CGAGCCGCAGATGCCGCAGTGGGTCACCTTGACCTCAATGTCGTACTCTTCGTCGAACGGCTTGGCCGCATACGAGTGCGGCTTGACGTCGAGGCCGGGCTCGTGGGCGGCTTGACCGTGGTAGATGTCGTTGGAGGCCATGGCTGTTGCGGGTGAGGTGATTTGATAATGACGAATCAGCGGTCTTCTGCAGCCTCGCTGAGTTGCCGAAGCGGTGATTGGTCCAACGGTGAGTCCAACGGCGCGGCGGACGAATCACGACTGCGCGGCGCGATAGGCGGCGATCCAGAAACGCACATATCGCGTCGTTGGCAGCGCATCGTGCTGCGGAACAACCACGCACTCCGACTGCAATTCATGTATGAACCCACGTTGTGGGTGGCAAGAATGGTGCGCTGGAAGTCGAGATCTTAAGGGCGGAGTGGACACTGACCGCCCTGTACACTGCGCTCTGGACCGACTTTGATGCTTCTGGAAAGGGCAAAACGGCTATTGCGGGGTGCAATTCAATTGTACGCTGAGGTGGGGATGGGGCGTGCAGCAATCCCAACCAGACGTCGAGAAACGTCTTTTTGCATGCCGATGGACTCCGTTGAAGGTCGCCTCACTGGGTTTGTGAGCGATGCGTTCGCGTTGGCTGCAAAATGCGGTGTCCATATTTTATTACCACTCGGAATTGCGGCGTTGACGACGTGCGCGCTGTGAGAGCCTCTCGTTTTAAACGTCGTTTAGAAAAGCGGCGTGTTTAGTATGTACGCGACACTTCAGTCTCATCTTGCCGGTAAACACAAGGAGAGAAGAGTTAATAGTTACTCGTCGAGCAAGCTCGTGTCTGGCTTTTAGCAACCACCACCACGCGCAATAAGATGGCCCTCGCTTCCTACTGTCACCCGGTCCACCTCCAAGCACGGCGATTGCTGCTGCGGCCAAGGGTTCGTTGTGCTTGTACAGGGCGGTACAACATGTGTTTCGCAGCCGAAGCCGCTATAGTTCGCGACTCAGTTCACCCGTCCGCGATATTTGTCGCACAATCCAAGGATCTTTCCTTCGTTAATCAGACGCATGGACTCATCAGCACTCATACTAATCATGTATCGCAGTTGTAATCGCAAGCACCTCCATCATGGCCCGCCATACTGTACTAACGACGCTTCCAGAATTCGAGCCCACCGTTTCTTCCCACCGACACAGCTCTTCATTATCAAATCACCTCACCCGCAACAGCCATGGCCTCCAACGACATCTACCACGGTCAAGCCGCCCACGAGCCCGGCCTCGACGTCAAGCCGCACTCGTATGCGGCCAAGCCGTTCGACGAAGAGTACGACATTGAGGTCAAGGTGACCCACTGCGGCATCTGCGGCTCGGACCTGCACACGATCTCGGGCGGCTGGGGCCAGATCAAGTACCCGCTCGTCGTCGGTCACGAGATCATCGGCCATGTCGTCCGCATTGGCTCCAAGGTCGACAAGACCAAGTTTGCCATTGGCACGCGCGTCGGCGTTGGCGCCCAGTGCGAGAGCTGCCTCAACTGCGCGCAGTGCGACAAGAACAAGGAGCAGCTCTGTCCCGAGATGCTCTGGACGTACGGCAGCACCAACAAGGCAGGGTATGTGACCCAGGGCGGGTACGCCGACTACTACCGGTGCCACGCCAAGTTTGTGTTTCCGATCCCGGCCGGTCTCCCGTCCGAGTCGGCGGCGCCCATGATGTGCGCGGGCGTCACGACGTACTCGCCGCTCAAGGCCCACGGCGCGGGTCCTGGCAAGAAGGTCGCGGTCCTCGGTATCGGCGGTCTCGGCCACCTCGGTATTCAGTGGGCTGTCGCGCTCGGTGCCGAAGTCACGGCGCTCTCGTCGTCGGCGGCCAAGGAAGACGAGTGCAAGAACGTGCTCGGCGCGCACCACTACCTCAACTACAGCGACCCGGAGGCTGTCAAGGCGGCGGCGCAGTCGTTTGACATTCTGCTCTGCACGTCGTACGGCGACAAGACCAACTGGGATTTTCTCTTTAGCCTCGTCGCAACGGAAGGCAAGTTTATCCTCGTGGGCCTCCCGGAGAAGCCGATTTCGTTCATGGCGTTCTCGGTCGTGCCGCGTCAGATCACGTTTGTCGGGTCGCTCATCGGGTCGCCCGAGACGATCGAAGAGATGCTGGAGTTTGCTGTCGAGAAGAACGTGCGCTCGATCGTGCAGGTGATGCCCATGGCCGAAGCGTCCGCTGCGTTGAAGAAGGTTCGTGCCGGCGATGTCCGCTTCCGCATTGTGCTTGAAAACTAAACACAAATATAATAGACGCATGTATTGTAATCCTCGTTTCCTCATTGACACTGTGGTCACTGTTACTGACTACCAGGAGAAAGAGTCAAGTGCGTGGGCGTCCAGGAAGTCTACTAAATGCAAACGCACACGAGCAGTGTTGGATGCTACGTTTCTCTTCAACGTGCTCGGTTGCAGGGGTTAGCGCCGTGCAGACGTCGTTGGTCATCCACAGAAATGAGCCATGATCCATTGGAATGGAATGAGATGAGATGACTACGCTGTCGTGTGGTAGAAAGATAAGCTTTGAGGCGTGCAGTCACACATCCGAGGCCATTCGTGCACCAAGAACAAAATTACCTACCATGCATAGCCTGCAGTGCGACGCAGAAATATGGAACGTGCGGGTCTTGACGCTCGCGACTCGAGCTCATCTTCCTGAAATTGAGTGGCACGGCGCGTGCTTTGCATAGATCCCAACTCTAGGTACCAACTACATTGTGCGGTGAACGACCTCGCTGTTTACAAACATGGCATACCGTAGCACCGGTAGAAATCGAGTCGAGTCAGGTAGTCGAGCCGTGTTGCAACAGTACGTGGCGAGCCCTCGCTCGCCGCGCTGTCAATTTCAAACAATCGAGTGCAGAGCGGCCGAGGCCAACCACCCACTGCGGCTCACGCACGGTACTCGTCCACAGCCTTGCACACGTACATTAGTAGGAGCAAGGGGATAAATATACCCTTGGTAGGAGCTGAATTCTGGTTCGATTTTACTGTGGATGTCAAGCGCGCGCCTGGCCTTGCAGTCGCGCGCAACGCATTTCAGCGCGGGTGAATTACGCCACAATCCGGATAATAGGATCGTATCCGGTAATCCGTTGGCGAAGCGCTGCATTCTGCGATCTGCCACGGGAAAGGGAAGCGACGAACGATGCTGGCCGCGGGTGAGATCTGCCAAATCGAAGAGATCCTGCGGGACAACATGAGCAACCGCTCCGTGCGGGTGACGGGAAGGTAGCGTCCATGAGGCTGCTCGAGGAAGAGGCGTGACGATGGAGGTAGACTCGATGCATTCGACGCGGCCACCGCGACCGCGTCCATCTCGTTCCAGAACGCGGCCATGAAGGTCGCGACGGACCAGCTCGTCAACGTCGAGCTCACGATCGGATCGCTGTACCAGTTCATCGGCGAGACGTACCTCCACAACGTACGTCCCATCCTGCACCAACGATACAGGCTCGTGAGGAAGCGCATGCTAGGGTGAACTGCGACTCCGAGCACGGATCGGCCGCCACGTGGACGGTCTCGACGTGCAAATGTTCCTGGATGCGTTAAAGCTCCGACGCGAGTTCCTCAAGACGACCATGGCCGCGTAACCTGACACGTCGAAGACGACGTCCTCCTCCTTATCGTAACGAATGCATACAGTGGTGCTTTATCTTTATAGCAAGTCGTCTTCGTCCATGTCGTCGACGGGAGCAGCGGTCTCGTCCTTGAAGTCGTCAAACAGCGATGCATCGCCGACCTTGGGCTTGGGTGGCGCCGTCGAGGGTACCACCGTATGTGCTGTTGCCGAAAGGGCAGTCGATGCCGGCGCTACCGGTGCCTGTGGCGTCTCAGGGTCCCAAAAGTGCAGCGCCGAGCGCCATACACGCACGCGACCATCCCACATGCGCTTGCTGATCGCCTGCGTCTTGTCGGGCGTCGACGGGTGCACGCCTTGCTTGCGCTCGTTCCTAGTAGCACACGCGCAGCATGGGTACATGAGAGGAAGACGATCGACCGGCGTAATGCAAGCCATACCTTGGGACCAATTGGGTGTACCGATCGTACCCGATCGTGTTTTTCCCAAAGTCGATCTGCTTCTGGCGCTGCGCGAGCTTGTGCGGGTCCGTCTCGCGCTGAAACATTTGGTTCTTCTCCAAGCGCGGTGCCACCTCACGCGGCGCGGGCGGTGTAGAGGCCAATGCAGCTGGGCGCGCTGCCACGGGCGTGCTGCGCTCGGCCTCGGCCTCGCGCGATGCGCTTGGTGGGCTTGGTCGCGGTGGTGGGCTCGGTCTCCGTGGCGGGCTTTGCGGCGGCTTCCCCATCGGGCTGCGGGACCGTCTACGTGGCGGGCTTTGCGGCCGCTTCCGCACCGGGCTGCGGGACCGTCTGCGTGGCGGACTACGCGATCGTTTCCGCTGCGGGCTCCGAGACCGCGTCCGGCGGCGCTTGTCGCGCTCGGCGCTGCGCCGGTCGTCCATACGCCGCTTCATCTCTCAAAATGGAGGGAAATGGCCGCGACGGAAATAGTGTGCATCCGGTCAGCGTCCACCTTGGCGAAGCAATCTTGAAGGGGCGCGAAATGGTGTACGAAAGATATCTTGCTGTTTGTAAGTAGGGAACACTAAATCGAGGTAGTCCAGACCACACCAATCGTGCTTCCAGGTATTGAGCGTCAAGCAGCTTGGATCAGCATGAGCTCGTACGAAGACGAGCGCGCTGCGCGCATCGCGCGGAACAAGGAGATGCTGCTCTCGCTGGGCATTGACAAGAAGATCATTTCGCCCAAGAAGCGCGTGCTGGCGCCCAAAAAGCAGCGGGGCCGCCCCGTCGGTCGAGCCGCGTCGAGGTGGCGGAGAAGGCCAAGGCCCAAGCCGTACTCCAGGAGCGCTACGAAGCTGCCCTGCTCGCGAAAGAATCCATGTCGGAGCATTCGCGCCGGTACCGAGCCGCGGAGCGCTACGTCGAGGAGCTCAAGCATGAGGTGCGTCTTACCATTGTTTGCAACAAGAACGCGACCAACCGATTGTAGCTGGCCACCTTTGACGCTAACTACACGCGGCCCGCGCCATCGACCAAGAAGGCCAAAGTCAGCACGACCGTCATTTCCGACTCGAGCGACGACGAGAGTGCGATCTCGATCAGTGACAACAGCGACGACCACAAGAGCAGCGACGAGAGCGACGTCGAGGTGTACGTCCCGACCAAGCGCCGGAAGCTGCCGCCCGTACAATACTAGAACGTAAATCCTAACACGCTCAAGGCGTGTAATGTCTAGGCCGACGACGTGCTCCAGAACGTGCCCGTGCTGGAGATGGCCATTCCCAGCAAGGGCCAGGTCAAGTCGGTAAAGGAAGTGGCGTTGACGCTTCCAAGCGACAAGCATGTGGGGTGTGCACTGGCGCCGCGCGGCAAGAAACCGCTGCTTGCGTGGCTCTGCCCTGGGTACATGCCCACGTTCTCGCTCATGGACGGCCACCAAGTGCTTCTGAACGGCATGGTGCTCTTCATGAACGTCGACATGGACGATCGGTACGCAGTCCACTTGATCCTTTTACCTCCCATGCTATTACAATGCTGCTGCTATCGTAGCTACATCAACATCTTTGCCAAGAACGAGACGACCAACGCGATCACGGTCACGTGGTTTGCGCGGGTACGCTGACTTGTGTTGGTCCATATATAGCAGCGGGCGACACTATGCGCGTAGAAATCGATCCATACGGACCACGTCGTAGCCCAGCAGCTCATCCACGGCGTCCAAGCCAACGCCAAGAGCGAGCTCCAGACGCACACCAAGCCGACCCTTCTCTTCTTTCGCTTCCACCCCGAGGTATTATGCTTCTTGGCCCGCCGAGATCAATGGCATTTATGTATGTGGCTGCAGGGCTCGTACATCTACGCTGGTCGGCTCGCGTACGTCGGTCACAAGGGTGACGCTCCAATTCAGTTTGAGTTTGAGCTACAGGACGCGCAGCACCTATGCAACGACCTCGTCGAGCTCATGCTTGGCTCCTCCTAATTGTCTCTTTTGTCGATATACTCAATTGAATGCACCTGTATGTACTGTGTTCCTGGCACCAGCGCTGCACACGCACGCCATACATAGGTGCTACTAGAGCGGCAGACATGCATCAAAAGTAGTTGAGGTGCCTTAGACCATAGTGCTGGCGCAGTGCGTTTATCGCGAGGCTTGGGCCGCAGCGGCGCCGGCGCCCTCGGCCGCGTTCTTCTGCATCTGCATTTGAATCGCGGCAATGTTTTGGCGAATCTTGACGGCTTCGTCTTCTTTGGCCTGGAGCTTCTTCTCGACCTTCTCCATCTCGTTCTGGATAAACTCGAGGCGCTTCGCGACGTTGGACTTGGCCTCCGACGTGTCCTGCTTGAGCAAGACAGGGCCCACGAGCTTGAAGACCTTGGCGTTGTCCGCGAGCAGGTCCAGCTCCTGCTTGACCATGCTGTTCTCGTTCTGCTGCTGCGCGTAGAGCTGGCGCTGGTTGGCCAGCACCGTCACCTAGCCACGGTAGCAATGAGATTGGCGCGAACAGAGGCGCGTCGACGGACCTCCTCCTGGAGCGCGCGGTAGGCCGCCATCTCCGCATCCGCTCGTTGTGCCAACGCCATTCTTTCGCTTGTTGCCAGCAACGCAGCGGTATATTATTTTAAATTTCCATTTAATGTCGAATACTTTATTTCGAATACAAATATCAAGTGCAACCACTTTGAATGTCATAAAAAATACACTACAATGTACTTGGACAAGGGAATTGCACGTGTGAAATAGTATAGAGCGTGAAATAGTATGGACTGAGCTGTGGCGTCTTCTTGAGCAAGGATGCTTGTCGCCCAGTGCACATGGCGCTTGTGAACCTTATCTTTGCATGGATGCTTTGAGCGTCCGTAGCGAGCGACGAGTGTGCATCCACAAAGGTACAGCACCGTGCATGACCAGGACATGGCACTTCAATAGTGTGAAAGACAGAGTGGAGAAAATCCATATCATCCGGATGCTAACCGGCGATCGACGCGTAGCACTAAGATTTTATGACCGCAACCGAGGTGACGACGGTGGGGCCGCCGAAGCGGCGCCTGCTGGAGCACCTGTATCGCCACGGCCGCGTGCAGGCGAAGGCGCTAAGCGTGTCCTGGATCGGCCTCCTCTTGGGCGTGACCTGGCTGCTATTGCACCCGATCGCTACCGTCACGACTGGCGAGCTCAAGTGCCGCCAAACGTACTTCTCGGAGAACGCGCTCCTCGTGGACACGGTGACCTCGACCATCGACGACACACAGGTAGCTCGACTTCTTCTTTCTGTGGCCCAAGGTTGTCGCTGGATGCAGGCGGCGTGGGCGAAAGCGTATCATCGCGAGTACATCAAGCTTGACGCGGCTGGTGACAATGGTTGCGCGCACGACAACTCGTGCGCGCACGTCATGACGTGGATCGAAGCGCAGCTGCGAGCGATGCCAGGCGTCGAGTTCGACCGGCAAACGTACGCCGAGCAGCTCTACGACCACGACGAGTATGTGAACCGGACCAACCTCTTTGCGATCCTCCGCGCGTCGCCGCTCGCGGACGGGAAAGAGTCGATCGTGTGCGTGCCTCCACGACCGCGAATCCACGGACACTCATGTCATGCATGTAGGCTCGTGGCGCAGTACCCCAACATCCCTTCGACGAGCAAGAATGGGTACTCGGCGCTGAGCGTTGGCCTCGCCATGCTGCGCCACCTCGGCAGCGTCAAGTGGCTCGCGAAGGACATCATTCTGCTCCTTACCGACGGTACAACTTGTGTGGTGCGTGTTGCAGTACGAAGTTTTAACGCTCTAGACGGCCCGGACGACGGTCGCCACGGCCACTCGCCCGCCGTCGAAGCCTGGCTCGACGCGTACCACAACGATCCGTTTGCGACATCGAACGCGGCGCTCGACATGCACGCCGGCGTCATCCGCGCCGCCATCAACCTCGAGACGAGTGGTGACGCGCACCGACACAACACGGTGCGTTCGTTTGCAGTTGCGCGTCGCAGGATGGATCCGCGTTGTAGGTGGCGGTGCTTGGCGCGGGCGTGAACGGCCAGCTGCCCAACTTGGATTTGATCAACTCGGCGGTCGAGGCCCTCGAAAGCGAGCGCATTCCCGTGGCCATGGACCGGTACGTCCTGCTCCTGCTCGATCGATGTCCCGATCGATGCTGATCGTTGTTGGTAGCTGTGCGGACGCGCGCTTGGACTGCGACGGTGACGCGCTGTCGTCGACGCTGCGGGCCGTGCGCCGCTTTGTCGTGCGGCAATTGGGCGCGTCATCGGCCCTCTCGTCGTACTTTGACGGACTCTACCATTTGCTTCGGTTCATTCAAACGCTTGCGATGGGGCCGTCCGGGCCGCACGCCAACTTTATCCGGCACAACATTGACGCGATCACGCTCTCGGCGGTGCAGGCCTCGGGCGCGACGACGCCGCTCTCGCTTCTCGGCTGGCTGCGCTCGATCGAGACGACCGTGCGCGCCATGAGCAACGTCGAAGAAAAGCTGCACCAGTCGTTTTACTACTACCTCCTCGTGAGCCCGCGCCTGTTTGTGTCCATTGGCGAGTACTACTACGTGCTCGTCCTCGTGCTGCTGCCGCTCTTTGCCCACGTTTTGTACCTCGTCGCCCACACGGTACAATCTTTTGATCGATTTCTCGATGTCTGGAAAGATTTCTACGATAAATATGCTAGGCGGGGCTTCGCACCGCGCTCGCGCTCGCACTCTTTCTCGTGGCCGAGGCCTTGGGCGCGATGGTGTTTCTCGTCGCGACGCACCTCGAATGCCTCGACGGAGTCCTTGTCCTGGACCAAGCGACCACGACGATGAGCAGGACGTATGGCTGGACCCTTCTCGCCGTCGCCTCGGGCGTCGAGCTCCTTCTTGTCGTTGGTGTGCTCCCACTTCTGCAGCGCCATGCCCTCACGCAGGGCAACCCGGACGAAGCCGACTGGCTCGTGAAGATCGATGACCAGCGCCGCGCGTTCAAGGCCACGCTGCCCGTCGACCCGGACGCCGACGCGGACGAGGTGAGCGGCTCCATACCGAATCCTGTGACTGTATATTCTGTGTAGCCGCCGTTGGACGACTTGGCGCACGATGTCCATGGCTGGAAAGCGCTCAAAGTCCTTGCTTGCATCGTTGCCATGTACGCGTAGTACGCTTGAGAACAGAGAACCTCATGGGAATCCCGTGCTAGCCTCGTGCACTGTGTGGTGGGTATCATCAACTACGCCTTTGCCATTGCCGTGGTCGTGCCCATGACCGCCTTGCTGGCGTCGGCGGTGCCGGCTGCAACACCGCAGTCGGTCGTCGGCCGCGGCCTCCGCGCGACGCTCGTCCTGCTCTCGAGGTAACACGCGCCGTGCATTTTGGAGTCTTGTTTGACGAAAAGTGCTAGCCCTCTCTTGCTCGCGCTCGTGCTGCAGTCGTTCCAGCCCCAGTGTACGTGCTCCTGGAATCTGGAATCTGGAATCTGAAATGGATGGATTGTTTCTAGTGCTGGACACGATCGCGTACTTTGTGCATGGCTACGTGCATTACGGGTCGATCGCGCTGCCGTACGCTTGCGTGGTCTACTTGCCGCTCCATGCCTTGGCGCTTTGCATTGTGGCGATGCCACCGAATCCGATCAAGTCCAAAATCGATTAGATTTCCCGACCTCCGTAATCCTAGTGAAAGTGGTCTTTTCTGAAGGCGGCGTGTCTCAAGACCTGCTATGGAGACAGAGGTAGCAATAGACATAAGTACTGCGTGATGGACCTTTTGCCGGAATCGAACGGCCAAAACACCGAGCCCATTCAGGACAGGATGGAATACTTATCAACGCGGAAAGCAAGCATTGTCTGGTAGAATCGAAAACGTTTTACTCGCAAAGCTGGCGTTGTCCCATTGGGTGGCTACCAAAAATACATTTTCATCAAAATTTCATCAAAATCTCAGGTCGACCGCTAAGCCATCTCAGATGCATTCAAGTCTCGCACAGGTCTCGACAGATCTCGTACACATTTGCTCTCACAATTGGTGTCTCGTGAGAGTGTTTTTCGTCTCACGAGACTTTGAGGGCATCTCAGATGCAATCTCAGATCATCTCAGATGCTTTGTGAGACGGCCAAAAATGCATTTTTGGTAGCCACCCATTGGACCGATGGATAGAGTGCAGAAGACGACGAGATCTCGTCAGCCACTTTTTAACGCAGGAATGTTGCACTGCATTGGGTATTACAACGTCTCGTAGTACAACGCAAGGGTGTTAACACGCGAGACGCTCTTTTGCGAGCAGGCGCGACACCTTGAGCATCTAGAGAGCAAGTGATAGTATCAACCTATCAAGTCGATACAATGTGACGGACCTCCTTGGTCTTGGCCACCCGAGATGCCAGCGGTGTGGACGGCTACGGCGTACAAGGAAATATGTGGTCCAACGTGACGAGACCGTCAAGAGGTACCTCGCACGACTGCAAGCACACGCTGCGCACAGAGCTGCACGACTACGCATAGAAAGTATTGTGATGCCAACGACCGTCGTGGCAGCGAGTTCGCACCGACGCGACTGCCTCGGGTGCGCGGGGCCGTCCCGACGGCGCTGGTTTTGTCGCTGATACGGTCGGACGTAGGCCTCGGGAGTCCTGTAGGCGCAACGTGGTATCTCGCATGGCCCGTTATCGTCGAGGTGACGTACGGTTGACGGCGGAGGTGCGCTCAAGTACGCATGGAGGTAGCTAGCAATCATACATTACAATAAATAGCGCGTCGCGATGGAAAGCACCAACGCTTTGGGCCACGGTGGCTGCATGTGGACGCGTCGCTTTAGCGCACACTCGGGGTCTTCGATCACCAAGCGCTCGGCCAACGCCGTCGTCTACTCATCATACCTCGTCAGATCAGAACGAGCGCGATGCAGGGACCTACGGTGGTGGCTTTGTGCAGCGTTCGATCACGCACAACGCGCAGACTGTCGCGCACCGTCGTCGTCGTCTCCGCGCCCGATGCGAGTCGACAGACGACCGCTTGCTCGACGATGCCCTTCATCGAGTCAGGCCGTTTGCAAAGCCCATTTCGCCGCAGCCGCGCAGAGTGGCGCGTCGTCGGTGGTACGGTGGACGTCGGGGCGCTGGCATTCGCATCGCGCCACACGCTCGAGGGCAGTGGGGGTCGAAGCGTCGGCCGAATGATCCGATATCCATCCTTCGCACTGGCCATCGACTACAGCCCACGCAGCATGAACACTGCGCGAGCATACCTTTTGATATATTCTCACGTACTGCGCTGGACGACCGTGGCGACGGGATGGTAATGCCCCAGGCTGCGAGGAGGTCGAACTCCATGGCTCCTAAAGATACGTTTGCCTGCGTTTGATTGGACAATGAACGGGCACGCGTTTTATATTCACCGTTTAGGTGGTTGATTTGAGACTCCGACTAGGACCAAGTGGGGTTCTTGTAATTGTAGAGGGACCGACGTCGGGCGATGATTTTGGACCGGCGTAGCGCTGCATGGTGCTCTTGGTGCGCCAAGGCAACGTCGGTGTCGTGCATGGACTGCGCCGCTTCAGCGCGAACTTGGGCCGACCGGAGGCGCTATGCACCAGCAGGAAATCGTCGGTCGAATGCTAAGTAGGATAGGGGTACAGCGCAAGCAGACGCTATCGGGGCTTCAAGTAAGGCTCGCTCGAGGCCAATGTTGTGGAGCTGGCGTTCCCATGCCTATAATGCTCGCAGCCGTCATTGCAGACACCGCGAGTTTGTGCGCAACGGTATTGCTACCTGGAAGCAGCCGTGGGTCGAGCGAGTGCACTATGCGATACTCATCGAGCCTACGCCCGTGCAGCAGTACGTACCGTAGAAGTAAGCTTATTGCTTTGAATTCTGCGGACTTCAGGTCCGCGGGGAAACATACGGTGGTGGCTTCGATTGTCTGGAAATCTGGACGTTGCAACTTGCAAGACCATCACGATCGCACTTATGAGAGTTCGAGAACTCGGTGAAACGCGCAAGTAAATTTGTGTGCTGCAGTGGTACAGGAGATGAATACAAGCGCTATTCATCATAAATTTGTTATGCAATAATGGCAGAAAACGCTATTCCTTCCACACATTCAAACCATTCCCCCAGTACCCTAGAATCTGCCCTTGACCCCCTTTTCCCGTGCGTTGAAAGACTTATGTGGCAGATAGAATCCTCGCCACACCCCGACACCCTCCCCACTTGGGGCAGCAGAGAGCTCCCAAATCCACCCCCGTGCACGAGATGAAACAGATCAAACACCTTATCACATTTTTACAATTTATGGCCAAACGCTTGTTGATGTGACCGACGCAACCCTTTTAACGCATCACTTGTCAAGCCGATGGGTCGATGGGCAAATGACTGATGCTGGCGTGGTGAGTGAGCCGTAGTTACCGAGAGTTGCTGCGGTAGTCAGCGGTCGTGCGAAATCGGTATCTCGTGCTGTCACATCGTGGAAGTTACGGTATGTTTGGTTTTGAAAAATCGTACTTACTGGAAAACAAGCTTAAATTCACGCAGCGTTCCGATTAGATGCGTATGCGAAACCGCCCAACGAGCGACGACGGCCCGCAAAAGTCGACCAAGGTCGAGGGCTGCCTTTTTGTAGGCCAACGCGCGGTCGTCGCCAACGCTCTACGCTTCGCATTGACGGCCAACAACGCATCAAGTTCCTGCCAGCTCACAAAACCTGCAATCGCACTTTCACGGGGTATCCGGATTTCCGCGTCCGGTCACGCCATCAATGCGCAGACCTATAATAAGTTCAAATGGTCGGGTCATTTCACGCTCGTGGAAAGGTCGGTCTCGGTCCCAAGAATAGCTTGGGGTCCTATTTCGGGCGTCGTTTTTGCGACAACCGCTATTGGGCAATGCAGTAGGCGCATGAAATCGACCGCGCGCCTACGAAGCAACGCCGCGCCGGTGTACAAGGTCCATCCCGGCGCCGCGACCGCCGCCGACGATGACGCCAACGAGCACGACGATCGACTGCGGCACAACAAGGAATTCATCGAAGAGGAGACGTTGCTGGCCATTTCGGCGATTGTTAAATGGTGAGGACCGTGGCAGCCACATGCACGACGTAATGTGCCATAGGTGGCGCCTGCGTCGTCTGCACGCGCGCATCAAGAGCAAATGGGTAAGCAATCACGCGATGACGCCGACCATCTAAACTGCAATGTATGGTAGACGCCCGAGCAACTCCGAGAGCTGCACGAGGCCCAGCGAAGGAAGCGGGTGCAAGCTCGCGTACGAGACATCTTGGTCTACTGCGCCTACCTCTATATCTTTTGGATCACGACGCTGGCATCGCATAAGGACGCGAGCCCCTACTATTTCACGCGCAGCCTTCGCGGTGCGGGTGGCTCGACAAGTCGCGTGCACTCATATAAGAACATAGGGCTCTTCGAAGACACCCTCTTTACGGTGCGCGGCAGTGCGACGCCCATAACGTTCCACGACATTCGATCAACGGACCATGTCCACGCGTGGCTGCAAGGACCGCTCCTCGCTGGTCTCTACGGCAACAGCACTCCGACGACAGGCACGGTGCTGGGCGGAACGGGTCAGCTCGTTGGCGCGGTGAGTATTGGAACGCTGCGTGTCCAGCGCCACGACTGCACAAGCGCGCTTCCAGCCGGCGTCGTCGCCGACTCGTCGGTACGTCCGTTAAAAGCCATCCATGGTGGCGATCTATATTGCATCCATGCAGACGTATTACTGCTACGGCACGACGGGGGCGGGGCTCTTCAGCACGGACGTCGAGTCGACGTCGGCCTTTGGCAGCAAGAACGGCTCAGACTTTGCCTATGACCACGTGGCCAGCGTCGCGAGCTGTCGGACCAAGTTTTTTTCAACCATCGCGTCCGAGACGTCGACCGCCACGTACCCGTGCCCTGGCTTTGTGCAGCTCTTATCCCACGCCAATGCGTCGGCGGCGTCTCTCTCCGTGTCCAATCTCCAAGCACATGGGTATGTGGATGCGGCGACGCGCACGCTCCTCGTCGAAATCAACGTCGCCAACGTCATGCTGCGTCGCATCGTCGTGCTGCGCTTCCTCTTCGAGTTCCCCCCGTCCGGGGGCGTCTTGCCGTCCTCGAATGTGCTGCTCGCACCGTACGCCAGCGCATCGTTTGATTTCGAGACGCAGTGGTCGGTGGTGCTTCTCGGTCTCTTTTATGCCTACTTTGTCATGCGACTGCTGTACATGGGTCGGCGCGACGGGTGGCAGGCGTTCCGAAGTCTCGCCCCGTGGGTTGACGCGAGCAACATCTTGTGCTACATTGTCATGTGGCTGCTTCGGACGACAATGGGTCTGGACATGCCGAGCACGCAGCTCCAAAGCGACGCGTTCAGCAGCTTTGCACCGTACGCGACGTTCAGCCAGCTCAGTGACGGCTTTGCGGCAGCGACGGCGTTCCTGAGCTTTCTCCGCCTCCTCCTTTTGCTCGACATCATCCCGCACGTCGCACTGATTGTGCACGTGGTCGTCGCGTCGGTCGCCGAGGTCTCGGGCTTCCTCCTCACGTTTGGCCTCGTCGTCTACGCCTATGCCACGGCGTTCGTGCTCGTCTTTGGCAATGCGGCAGCCGACTTTCGCACGGTCCCGACGGCGTACTCGTCACTGCTGCGGTCGCTGGTCGGCGACATCAACTACGCCGCGCTCTCGTCGGCCAACCCCGTCGCAGCGCCGCTCTTCTTGGCGGCCTTTACGCTCTCGGCCGTGTATGTGTTTTTGACGATTCTGATTGGTACGCATCCTCTTTGATGACAACTTGTCTGAGATATCACATGTGTAGCCATCATGCAAGACGCGTACTGGAAAGGCAAGGAAAAGACCGACTGGGACCGCGTCAGCCTCGTGTTTGAGACTGTGAGCTACGTCTGGTCGATGTGCAATAGCATGCTGCGCCTCCTCGCCAACTGGTTTGGGGTGCGCGCCGCGCTGGATGCCAAGGCCAAGACACCCAAGCCGCAAAAAGGCGCCACTGCCGTCGCGACCGCGGCTCCGTCGAAGCGCCTCTCGATGGTGCAGACCATGGTGCTCAAGCCCCTTCTCTCGACGCAAGAGACGCTCACGCGCGTCGGGTCGCAGCTCACAAAGAACCAGCTCATCAAAACAAGCGTTCAATCGCTCAAGAAAGGGTCGAACGTCATGACCAGCGCCAAGGGCCACCTCGTGGCCCAGCTTACGTCGGCCAATATGTCGTTGGCCAACATGAACCAAGGGAGTAGCGAAAACCACTTGACGTACTCGCAAGGCGCCGTCAACGACGAGCAGATCAAGGCGCTGCAGGGTATGATTGTGCAGCTGGCCCACCAAAACACAAAGATCCAACACACGTTGGGACAGCTCCAGGCGCAGCTGGCGGATCTGCGAGGTGACCGCCCGCCCAGCGACGGCACGTCCAGCATCGAGAGCCAGGCGGAGACGCACTTGGGAGCTGCCACCACGTCCCTCTAACTTATTATTTGCTTGTCTCGTGTCTGCGTCCATGCCTCGTGCGTGATCACACGCTCGTCAGAACATTATGGTGACACTCCCCCAGCGAATACGTTCTCTTCTTGGCTCTTGGTCGACAATGAAGCAATGTGGGGAGTCAGGACAGACATGGAGACGCACAGATGTCCACTACAAATTTCTCGTCTCGGCAGATGGACCTTGCAGACGAGTATATTATAGGAGAGGTAGCGACCGCTGGTGTGCCTCAAGTTTCCACCGCCATGCAGGTTGCGCCAGGGCTAGGGCTTGAGGCACTAGTGTTGAAATACATAGTGGTTATTGACAAGAAACTAGAGGCGTCTGTCTACTCGAGGGTGCTTTTGGAGGTCGACTTGAAGCCGGCAAACGTGATGGATCGTCGCTTGGGCTTCTTCGCCTCGCCGTCGTCGCCCAAGCTCGTCGTCGGCGGGAGGCCAATCTCAAAGTCATCGCGCGTCGCGGTCGGATTGCTTGATTCTCGCCGCAAAAACATGCCGAGGTTGCGCTGGCTGCTGTAGCCCATGAGGAGCGTGCCCATCGGCGACATGTTGAGGAAGTTGTCGATCGCTTGGCGGTTCACCGTCTCGTCGTCCGTGTCGTCGTCGTCGTCCACTTTCGTCTCACCCGGCGGCTTGATCTCGTCGCCCGGTGCCGTCGTCGTTGCGGCCGACGTCGCCTCGTCACTGTTGCTGCCGTCGCCTTCTTCTTCGGCGATCGTGGCTTCAATATGGCCCTGCGCGGGCTTGGGGTTGTGCCAATACGAGCTCATGTTGCGCTGGGATGTCGCGAGGCTGCGGCGTTTCTTGAGCGTCGGTGGCGGCGCAGAGAGCGACCGCTGCGCGAGCAGTGCAACGCCTCCGATCGTTGTCGAAATGCCCAGCACGAACATGGTCGCCTGGAACTCGGTAAACGACCGAATTTCCTGAAAGTAGACGGCGCCGCCCATGACGCCGCTAATGATCCAGTACGCCTAGGACCCACGGTCGTCTCACAATAATCTCAGCGATCGCGTACTTGGTAGATCGGGACGACCGAGAGCGCGTCGTAGTTGACGAGTCCGCCGTTGAGAAAGTGCATTTGCAGCACGAGGCAAAAGCCGAGCGCGACAATGATCGCGTACGTCTCGGGGTGCGTAAAGCAGTCGCCACCGTTGATGAACGACTTGACGAGCTCGGCCGTCGACTTGGCAAATAGCACCGACTGGCCGCCCATGAGCCCACCCATGCTACGATAGGTGCATCGCTTGGATCCAGATACAGAGTCGATTGAGCTGGACGTACCCCGAGTAGGCGACGAGGCGCACGGTCGACCACATGACGGGTTGCCCGACGTTGATCATGCGGTGGCGGCTCGACGCGAGGTTGAGGTGCTCGACAAACTTGATCATGGCGTAGTGCAGTAGGATGAGCAGCAGCACAACCACAAAATAGACAACTAGCGCGTTGCATGAGCCTCCTCGTATCGGATACAGGAGCTGCCTACTGGTATACGTGTTGTTGTACAGCAGCTTGAGGTCGTCGAGCGTATACGACGGCGAGTTGTGCGAGGCAAAGACCACGGCGAGCGTCGCACCAAGGAAGATGATGAGCGTCGCCCAAATGTCCTTGCGCGAAAGCCGCTCCTTGTTGAAGCACGGCGCGAGGAGCTACGCAAGCAGATGAGATGCTGTCGACAGAGACGACGGGCGGAATACCATGTTCCAGACGAGCGTCAATGCAGCGAGCGGCGCCAAGAGACTCTGCGGCGCGAGGCCGAATGCGACAAAGTCCAAGAGCGACCCGGCGAGGATCAAGACGAACCCGAGCGTCCAGAGCGGCAGACGGAACGGCGAGAGCGGTGCCGTGTTGGCTTCCTGCGCCTTGAGCTCGTTTTGCTTGAGCGCCTTCTTTTGCAAGTTGATGCCGACGCTCGCGAGGAACGAGAAGACGACCGAGATGATAAAGCCCGCGATCCACGCGCCACGGTTGGGCCCCGCGTACGCAAAGGTAATGCACTTGTCCTGGTTGATCTTGCCGCACGTCGTCTCGGCTGCGGGCGTGAGCGCGCTCGCCACGCTCGAGCAGTTGGCCTTGATGCTAGCTTGGCACGCCGTGGCGCACAACGGACGCGCTTGGGCGAGTTCGCACGCTGGAAACGCCTTGGCACAGGCAATCTCTTTGAGCGACGCGCTACAAGTAAATGCGTCGGCGCCGGTCACCTCGCGCAGCGTCGCGTTGAAGAAGGCAAAGGTGGCAGCTGCCATATCGTCTTGCTGCTCGAGGCTCTTGCCTTGCATGGCACACACCTGGTAGGAGCTCCGGAGGCTCCCGCAGAAGGCCAAAGCCTCCGTCATGGAGACGCAGCTGGAGCATGTGATGGCCTCGACGGCGCCAGCGCCATGCATGGTCATGGTCGAGATGGCCGCGAAGGCGACGGCCGCGCGCCTCATGTCGTCGGCAAATTAGAGTTTTGCCCAGCTGCGATTTCATTGGCATAAAATTTCGAATGAAATTAATATTCCACTCCACCGTTCCTTCATTACACATTTGTATGTATCTCGGCCACGTGCAAAAAATGACGGTGGCTTGCATTCTTTACCTGCCACATTGCATGCACTGAGATATGCATGTATAGAGGTTTGAAACGGTCGCTCAATAAAATACAAGGTGCGTTCACGATCGACGACAAGTGATTTTAAAAGATAGAGCCATTTACTTTACCTTTGTATGCAATCGCGATGTATGTCGGAACCGCGTGTATTATAATTCAAATGTTTTTCAATGTTTTCGTGGGCCGGTATTAAAATGGCTGAAACGTCTTGATCTGGACGAGTGAAACGCCGGCGCGCAGAGCAGCTTTTACTGCATGTAGTGACGCGCATTCGTCATCACTAGTAGGAATCAGTAGGAATATCAAAACGATATGCATAGACATATTGAACACTTTTTGCAATTTCGTGTACACAGTATTTCTCCCTTTTAGGTTGACAGTGGTCATGCAAACGACGATCGCAAGCGTGCATGCAAGCACGGAAAGTGAGCTAGAACGATTCGAGAAAGAATGTTCTCGTCGATAACTTAGACGAGTTGGAGACTGGCCATAATCAACGGGGTTCAATTCCTCCGCACGCCCAGTCTGAGACGAGCACACAGCGCGTACGTCAATCATTGCCCGAGTGTTGTACTTTGTTTGCGATCCGCGGTCCGGCAATGTCACTTCCAAGCTTACAAGGCTCTTGAAGACACTGACGCGTACTATGAGGATAACGACGCCGCCATGTTTCGCAACGGGTGAGCCAAGCCCATCAGCTCAACAGACAACATTTGCTCGACCGACTTGTACAGTGTACTAGTACATTCTAGTGCTGGTTTTCTACTATCTCGGCGCGTCCTGTTGGAAGAACATAGACTGCATGCTCACGTTGTGGTTGCGTTCCGATATTGCCGAGTCGAGGAGCCCTTTTCGCTCCACCTTGTTGGCGCGTTGCAGCGCCTACACAGATGTATCCCACGCTCAACGTCGCTCGTTGCGAGAGGTGTACGTGGTCGAGAAAGGCTTGGTTGTAGGCGAGGAGCTTGGCTGTGGTCGCTTTGATGTGGTTCTCTTCGTACAGCTTTGTCTCATAGTCTTGGGCCGCCGCATACGCATCGATGCGTTCCAGGTGGTTCTACACCACAGAAATCCATGTTTAGACTACTTGAGCCGTCCGTCGTCGTCGTACTGTGAGGATCTCTTTTTTGGCTTTTCGACGACCTTCTTTGCGGCTTTGATCGATCACTTGGGGCATGAGGCGCGCGCGGCGAAGGCTCTTTGGCGTGTTCCGCATATCGCCACCGAGCACGAGCGTGGTCGCTGTCTGCGGAATGACGCCGTCCGCAAGCTTGGCCGAGTAGCGCGTTGGGACGGCAGTTTGCCCTCTTCCGCCAAATGGTTGATGTTGAACGCGGTTTTTTCGCGTGTGTTGACCTTTGTCACCGTGGTGGTGACCGTGATGGGTGGCAGCGTCGGCGGTGCCGGCGTAATCTCCTCAAGGACGCTCACGTTTATTGGCTTCTTGCGTCGGCTCATGGAGCTTGGAACCGGCACGCGAGACGGCTCTTTTATTCGCTCTTGGAGCAGCGCCACGGTCCGTTCTTGCCGTGCAATCGGGTCTTCACTCACTGAGGGTGGCAAGTCAAACTGCCTAGTTAAGACGCATCATGGCTCCATGTCGCACGGAGCGACGGTGTCGTACTTGGCAAACGTCTTGTAATGTACAGGCTCGGCGTTATTATCGCGAAAGAGTTGCCGGACTTGGTCTTCTTTGAGTCCTAAATAGTATAAAGGATAGTCCATTGCTGAAAAAGGATGGAAGAGGAATGTACCAAAGTTCATTTTGGTAAAGGTATCGACAATGTCATCGATGCTCACATAGCCCGTGCGCGCATTGTCCTTGATGGACAGCGCAGCGATGATGGCATTCGATATGGCACCGTAGCCCGCCGGAGACTCGTACCAGCTCTCTGTCTTGAAGGTCTTGGTTTCGTGCTGGTGTCGAAGAATATTTTGCACAAGGAGGTCCTACGTCAGTGTGAGTCCCTGGTCTTTTGTCGTTCACCTAGCTTGAATGCGCTGCGGCGGCTGGACGCGGGGCGAGTTCACTGCCTCGGGGGACGATGGCCGAAGCAGGGGCGGCGGCCTTTCGGGGCTCGGTAGTGTCTGCTGCGGATGGCCAGCCGCCCGGCGACATTGCAGCTGCGTCCCAAACGTGCCCTCGACCTCCTGCCGCTTCTTGGCGTTCGCGTTGCCCACGTATCGCCGCTTCTTGGGCGACATGGGCACTGTCGTTTCGCCACTATATAAAGGCTGCACTGAGAAACTCGGTACATCCGAGCTGCTCGAAAATATAATAAAACACATATTTGTCCACACGCCCATTATTGACATTCTGTCAGCGCTGACGCAAAAATGCCTTGCATGCTATTTTATTGGTCCACCATGTCTCGCAACTAGTATAGTAGTAGCCACTGCGCGATGCATGCTACAGTGATTTTCACTTGAGACCTATAATAATCAATGTGAGGAAAGACGCGAATGATCGAGTGCAGTGGAAACTGCGGGAGCTACAGTAACAGCGTGCCGGCAGCGGGGCTGAGTCGTTCGATGCCGTCGACTAGCAAGTATGAGATGCAGTCCATGCCACGAGCGTCGACACTGACGAGTCTCTCGGATGTATGTACGTATAGAAACAACATGTAAAGCAAGAGAAGCGATCCACATATTCAGCGAGAAATGAAACAAATGGTCGCACCTCTGACGTGGCACGGTGGTGGCATCACCAGGTAAACTCTCGAATGTGCCCACTTTTCGCTAAAAGACCAACTATCGGCCATGTGTTGGGACAAAAAGCGATCGGCGTTCTGTGGTCACCAGCTCATCGTGACGGCGTCGCGTCGTTGCATCGCCAACTCTACTACTAGTCTACTAGTATACTAGTTCGTCGTGCTCGAAGACTTGTGTTGCTTCTGTGCATACGTCGACGTGACCAAGATGACTGAGCACGAGGCAGGCAGAGACGCAGGCGGGCGTAGACGCGCGCTTCCCACGTGCCGCTGTGTTGACGTCGACAAGACGCCTGTCCAAGATCGCGTTTGCACCAATCACAGCGCACAAATCACGTGTGAAAAACAGGTGAAAATCCATCCCTATATTCGGCATGTGCCCAATTTAGCTGGCGGGCGCGGCAAAGCTTCTGGGTATATCCCGTATAGCTACTACAGTATATATCCCGAATTGTTCACGACCACTTGCGTACACGTGCATTGATAAGCAAACCTCGTGTACAGGATCGCATGCGACACGTATACCATTTGGAATTCATTGCACGGGCTTGATCAATAGCGTTGTCCGTTTGCGGCAAATGCCACGGTGCAAGTCATCACAACCGGATCGATGGACGTAAAAAGCCGCATCTCAATTTTGGCGCATCCGGATATCTGATTGACAAGCAGTCGGGTTGGTGCATGTCGTTGCACTTTGCATTTTCCCATGCTGCAACCACCTTCGCTACTGACGCTGCCGACGGACGTTCGCGGCCACATCTACAGCTTCCTCCTCGGCGGCCGCTTGCGCCACGGCTTTCGATCGTCGTCGACGAACCTGCTCGCGTGGGTGGGGACGTGTCGCGCCATCTACGACGACGTGCAGGCGACGCAGCTCACGGAGCTTGCGATGGACTTTGCGACGACGCAAGCTTTCCTCGACACCATTCCCCGTCTCCCGCAGCACGTGCTGCGTCAGGTCAAGCACGTTCGCATGATCGGGTACCTCTTGCCGCTCCACCCCGTCACGCAGGCGTTCGCACGCCCGTGCGACGCAATCAACTTTTTCCCGGCCCTCCAGCTCGACTCGCTTCTCGTGGAGGATTATTTCCACGGGCCGAAAAGGAGTGCGTCGGACGATGACTACCTCTCGGACGAGATGACGCGCCACCAAGTCACGTACCTTCTCGCGACCGACGGCTGGACGTCGCTGCAGTACGTGTCGTACGCGACGGGGTTTCTCTCGCTCGCGGGCGCCAACCAAGTCGGGATGTGGGACCAGTTCCTCAAGGACTCGTACGGCGAAAACGCGAGCGTGACCGTGTATGTGGCCAAGGAAGCGGCGCCGGATGCGTACCACGTTCTACGCAACGATCCTGCCCGCGTCCTCAGCGACCTCACGCAATTTGAGGCGTGGACACCCGAGATGGCTCAGAAGGCGCCGCGTCGGCTGCGCGAAGTCCGCATCCTCGCGACGCGCGATGCCACAAAACCGCGACGGCAAACATGCAAAGCAATGGACATTGCGAGCGACGCCTTTCGGCAGCAATACCTCTGGGCGACGACGATCGCCGACGATGCTCGCTCGAGCTACTAGGCACCGTACTCGTCGCCAACGTATTTTTCTATTTAACACGCTGCTACGGAGTCGTCATGGCATTATTGTCCATTGCTGTAATGACGTAATACTGTCATGTGTACATCTTGTCTGCAGTGTTGGCCAATGACGCTTTGCACGAAAACAAATGCCTCCTAGCCGTGTATCCTTCTAGCGGAACGCCTTGCGTGTACTACAACGGGGACGCTTAGGTACAGCCATTCCGTCGCGATACGCTGTGACTGACGTGTTCAACGAGCTTCTGCTTGTGAACGATTCGAGACCGACTCCAATCTCAAAGACCCGTTCAATGGGAAGTACGTACAAAATGTACGTAAAAGCAAGCTCCCTTCAACAGCAGCGAGGGAGATCGAGATGGATGAGACAGCATGGACAGCATGGTGCCAAGCAAAGTAGCCAGCAGAATATGCTGGCCAACGTTGAAAGTACTAGTAGCCACCTACCACCGCGCTAGAATTGGCGCCGTCGTTGTCTTTGCGACGAGAGCCACTTGTTATATAGAGCCGTGGGTCAGTAGGAGTGAACACAAGTTGATCGACTTTTCGGCGAAGAACTGCATACTACGCGATGCCAAAAGGTGGTCTCCAAGAGCAACCAACTGGGCAACAAAATCTCGTCGTGGCGGCAATTCGAAGTGAAATCCGAAGCCGATCCTACGGTATCTTTTTCGGACCGCACGTGCCAATACAAAGCGAGAGTGACAGGACCGCGTGGCACGAAGTTCGAAGTCGATTGGAACAAGATTCAGTCTTATTGGTTGTAACGCAGCCAATCAGCGGTCGCGGCCAAGTCGTGACACATGCGATGGCGTTTGCAGTGTAAGCAGTGCCATCTCGCCGACGCCCGCGCTGCTCGCGCTTATACGCAGCCTTCTTCCATGCCCAGCAGCAGCAGCGGCACGCTCTCAACGAGCTGCATGGCGACTTGCGGCGAAGACTTCCGAGGCCTCTGCGCCTTGTACCTGGGCGAGTCGGCAGCCACCGACTGCCCCTCCGCGTCCACCATTGCACCCTGCCAGCGGTCGTCGCAGACAACGTACTATCAATGCTTCAACGTCACTGGCACATCGTTGGCGCTCGCACTTGGGAGCGAGCCGAGCTTGCAGATGCCGGTGGCGAACGTCGGCGCTGTCGGCGCCTTGGAGCTCGGGCCGCTCACGTCTTTGTACGTGCCCGACCTCACGACGAACCTTACGACGGAGGCCGTAGGACATTGCGCGGTCAAGGCAGCTCGCCACGGCCCATGGCCTTTGCAAACAACTTTCTGACGCGCTCGACCGCACTCACCCATCTGTACGTCATCGCTACAACGTCGTCGTGGCCAACGATAGCTATTAGAACGCTCTCGACGCTTGCGGTCCCAGCGTTTCCATCGAAGCAGCTGCCAACCACGCTGCAGTCGCTGTAATGCCCCTCCCAACTCGACTTGGCGGGCTCATTTTTGCATATTCACAGAGAGCTGATCAACTGCAACCTCACGACATGGCCCGTCGCGGACGCCCTCGTCCATCTCACCGCCCTGTACAAGGGACAGCGTCTCGTTCGCACCCTCATGTAGCTATCTTCTAGCGACCTGAGCGACAACCAGTTTCGCGTTCTGCCCGCGGCCATAACATCCGATCTCCCGCGACTTCGTGCCCTGTAACTTTTCATCCGTATCGTCCAGTCGATTGACGCGCGCCACCTCTAGGAACTTGTCGACGAACCCGCTGAGCTTGCAAGAGCTCCAGGCGCCACTGGCAGCGACCTTCTTTGCGCGCCTTGGTACGTTCACGGTCGACGTCCATCTCTGCAGCAGCAGCCTCGCGACCACCTTTACGAGCGCGTCGGCCCTTGCCGCTGCGGCGTGCACCGCGTCCGACAAGGATTCAGCGCCGGACGCACGTACGTCCATACCGATCGCTTGCTCTTGATGGCTCATGGTATATTATTCTAGCCCGCTCGCTTCTCTCGCCGTCTGTCATCGCGCTCATTGCCGTGGCTGGCGTTATCGCTATCCTTGGCGTCTTGCTCGTGCTCTGGCGCTGCAAGCGTGGGCCGCGGCCCGGGACGACGCGCAACGTTGAGCGCAGCCAGCGCGTTGCCAACGATGACGACGACCAAGATGTGACGTACTTTCCCGGCCCCAAGACGAAAACTGCATTTAGTCCTGCCACGTCATCGGTCCGGCCAGCGCTCGTGTCGTCGCTCAAGCGGGTTGTGGATCCGGCGATGACGGCCCTGGCCACCAAGTACGCAACCGACAATCAGCTTGAAAGCCTATGCCTTCCCAGTTCGTCGGTCATTATGACGCGACTCCTCGCACGCTCGAACGACCGCGTCTACGAGGTCTGGCTCGGCACGTTTGAGGACAGCCACGTCGCGATCAAGAAGCTCGCGCTGCACGTCACCGACGTCGAGGGCTGTGCGTCAGCCCTCTACGACGAGCTCAAGGCGCTCGCGCGCTTGTCGCACCCCAACATTTTGCGCGTCGTGGGTGTTCTCTTGCCGCCCGCGAGTGTCGCCGGCGTCCTCGCCTACTGCGCCCACGGCGACCTCCAGAGCCTCCTCGGAAGCTCCAGCGTACACGACGACTCGTGGAGCTGGTTTGAGCGCAAGTATGCACTCGCACTCGACCTTGCGCGGGCCTTGGCGTACCTCCACGCGCAGTCGCCCAGCGTGATCCATCGGGACGTGCGCGCGCGCAGTGTCCTTCTCGACAGTCGCTACCGGTGCCAATTGAGCCATTTTGGGTCGGCGCGAGTGCGCTCGATTCTGGATACGATGACGCAGAATGTGGGGACGATGCAGTGGATTGCGCCCGAGATGCTGCGTGGCGAAGACTACTGCGAAGCCATTGACGTCTACTCGTTCGGAGTCGTGCTCACCGAGCTAGCGACGCACGCAATTCCCTTCCGTGACTATGCCCACCGTACGTTCATTGTGATTTTGTACAAGTTGGCACTGCAAAACGATTGGTTTCTAGAGGAGGACCCGAAGCGCGTGCTGGTGCAAGAGCTCATGACGGGCCGCGCGGTGCCGAGCTTTGGCGACGACTGCCCCGACGTCGTGTCTCGCATCGGGCGGCAGTGCCTGCAGCTGGACCCGTCCAAGCGGCCGCCCATCGCCTCGATCGTCGAGGCCCTCGAACGCGTCGAGCGCTGTGAGGACGAGCAACACATTCATAATGGCATTCTGGTCTAACGTAGTATTATAATGATATGAAGCATGATGGTGGGGATGGTGTTGTCTATGGCATTTCAAACTCAAAGACGCCGCCGTCCTGCGAGTCGCGCGGGTGCGCCTCGTCGTACTCGTCGCTGTCGTACTCGTCGCGCTCGTCGAGCGAGAGGCGGTCGAGCGACCGGCGGTTGGACGACGTCATGTCGGCGTACGACCCGCGGCGCATGTCGCGGAGAATGGCCAGCGACGGCGACTGCGACAACAGCGTATGTGCATCGTCGAGCGTCATGCGCGTCAGGAAGCCGTCAAGCTGCGCCGGGCACGACGAAGCGAACTGTACGACTGTCTCGCGCGGGCGCGGCTGCATGGGCGCTGGCGCCGTCAACGGTGACGCAAACCGCTCGTCCGAGAGCGACTCGCGGTTCGGCGGCGGCAGCTCGAGCGGTGGCATGGGTGCTTGCAGAAAGGCAAACGACGGGTCCGGGAGCGATCCAATCTGTGGCGTCAAGGGCGCATGGCGCACGCCACGTGGTGGGTTGTCGTGGAGCGGGCGGCCCGCGGGGCACGAGTGCGCAAAGGCCTGGAAGCGCGACGGGGACGTCGTGTCGCGATGGATTTGGATCGCGCGGGAGGGCAGCCGCAGGTCGGCAATCTCCTTGGTATGTGGCTGGATCGTAATGGGCACGGCGCTTTCGGGCCCGCGGGCGGCGGCGCCGGCCACGAGGTTGGGCGGGCTCAGCATCGTCGTGCTGCTGTCGCTGCTGCTTGTTTGGTCGGCGGCTCTGCTGCTCGTGGTTGGCCTTGCAACCCGTAAACTGAGCCGATTCTGAAATAAAATCCCAGTAATCTTTTGTCCGTTGGCGCATCAAAAGTATTAAATACCTTGCCTTTTGTATCGACGCGGAATAGAAATGCAGTCCCCGGCCACGAAGCATCGCATTGAATTACGACAGCTGGTCTTTATTATAATTTATGGAAACCTCCAAACTCCGGCGGCGCTGGCCCTCTGGTCCCGACGGCAACATGGTGGCATGGAGATAAGAAGGAAGAGCGGGCGACAGATGGACGCGGACGCCAGCGCCTCCATCGTTGCACCAAAGGCCATTGGCTGCTGTGCACGCTACGCGTCTGCCATGCCAGCATGGCATGCCATCGACCGCTATTCGACGGTCCAGAGCTCTGCGCAGAAAAGACATGCGATCGCCTCTTCGCTCCGCGTGTGGCTGTTCGCGGCCAGCGTGGCCCGACCACTGCGACCTCATGGGCCATGAATCAAGCTCAGCTCGCCACGTGGGTGAATGTTGGTCCTCGCGGTCGCTGGCCTTCGCCCACTTGCAGATTCGATTGCATCCGAACGATGCCGCAGCAACGACCTCCGCGCGGCCCGCGCCTCGGGCCGCAGCCGAGCCCAACGACGGCCATGCCACCGCTGCAGCTGCCCGCCCCGCCACCGCCCACAGCCATCTTGGCGCCAATGCCAACGACGTGCTGGATTACTTTTCAGAGGGTACTTGGTCGAGCAAGAACTCGGTCCATGCGTCGCTAAAACTCTTGCCAGCCACGTCGACGGGCGGGTCCGGCGACGCGCCGTGGAAGAGCCGACCGAGCGACCGCAGCTGCAGTCGCAGTGGGTTCCCAAGCAACCGCTCCTTGTCGTCCTCCGTGCAGCCCTGCAACGTCTCGATGAGCACAATGGAGCCTCGTACGACGTCGTACCAGAATGCGCGCAATGACTTCGAGCACGTCGTGCTTGTTGGGACTCTCGTGAAATTGAATCTACGACCGTGTCGTCAGCGCGCCGTGTCGATCCATTTCCCGCTCGCACCATCATTTGGATGGCCATGCGCTTGTCAATGTTGTCGACGTCGTCGCCGAGATGCTGCGCCGTCCGGTCAAGGGCCTACAAGGCATGATGACACAGCCGCTAATGACCCGAACCGACGACCTCGCGCAGCCGGTCGCACTCGACTTGCTTCTTCTCCAAGATGCCGAGCACGCGCTTGAGGTCAACCTCGTGCTCGGACGTTGGCGCCGGTGCCGGCGCGCGCAACGCGGCGATTTGAGCTTCGTACGCTTGCACTTCGCGCTTCCGGTCGGCCTCAAACTGGAGAAAGATGGTGTGTGCGTTCGCGAGCTCTGTCTGCAGCCGCTCGGCGTCCTGCGCATTGCCTTTGCGTAAAGAAGATACCAGGCGGAAATGAAGGTCGTACCTGTTCCGCAATGTGCTTGTCGGCTTGGAGGAGCGTGAGCTGCGTCGTGAGCTCAAAGGTCTCTTGCTCGGTGAGTGAGCTCGCGTTCGCCTGTGCATGTTCGATCCATTGGGTTTGCTCCAGCGCATAGGCCTCCTTGGTCGTTTTCAGCTCATCGTTGAGGGAGTAGACGAGGTGCTCGAGCTCGGCGAGGCGGTCCATCGCCGCTTCTTCCTTCTCGTGCATCTCTTCCTGCAGCGATGACTCTTGCGTGTGCACAACGCGCTTGAGTTGTGCCAGCTAGAAAGCGTCGTTCAAGTGCCAGACGCTGCCAAGGTGTTTTACCTGGTCGGCGAGCTCGGCCGCTTCGTCGGTCAGCTGGTCGTTCTGGCGTTGCAGCTAATACATTCATCACATGAGACTATCGCAAGACGGACAGAATACGCATGGCATACCTGCTTGGTTTTGGTCTGCAGCGTTCGGATCGTGGCGTCCTTCTCCGGCACGAGGCTGGCAGCCGCAGTCGCTTCTTTGGCCTTGGCCGTCGTCGCAGCAAAGGCGTCTTGAAGGGCGTCGTGCTCGAGCATGTGCGTCTCGAGGGTCTTTTGCGTCTACCGTTATCCTCCGTCAACACGATGCATGTCCAGGCACTCGAGGTAGCACCTGCGCAAGCTTGCTGCTGGTGATGCTCAGTTGCTGCTCGAGGCGGCCGGCGCGGTCTTGATCCGCCACCATCTTTTGTGTGAGCTGATCCAATTTGGCTTTGGCGGCAACCGTCCAGTCGGCGACCGTCGCCGTCGCGTCGAGACGGGCGTCGTGCGAGAGGAGGAAGGCGTGCAGGGCGTTTTTCAGCAGCTTCACATCACCTTCGAGGGACGAGATGCGGGTCGCCGCCCGCGTCGCATACTCGGCCACCTAAATCGGGTTAAACGCAGCTCGATGAAATACGATAGTACCGTCGAGGACAAGGATGTCGTTGCTTCGGATGGCGACGCGCCGGACGGAAGCACCTTGGAGAGCGTCGTCATGGCGAGCACGAGCGATGTCTGGTGCAGCGCATGCGCCACCTTGGTTTCAGCTTGGAGCTGCGACAGCTTTTGATCGATTGCTTGGTTTTGAAGGACGAGCGACGCGACTTGATCGTTCAGTGACGCGAGCTCGGCGTCCTTGGCGGCAACCGCCGCATGGAGCTTGGCCACCTCACCCAATAGCGCTTTGTTCTCGTCTTCGGTCTTGGCCAAGCGGCTGATCGCGTCAGGATCACGCGTCTACGCAGCGAGCATGAGCCTGAGTAGGATGGGTCATAGCCGAGAGACCTGGCTGCGTGGCGGCATGGCGTCCAAGCGCTGCTGCAACGCGTCAATCTACGGCCTCATGAGTGCTTGATTGACACGCGCGTCTCATTGCACCTCCTTGAGCGCAGCCTCATGCTCTTGGCGCTTGCGGATGAGCGACCGCTCGAGGTCAAGGACGTAGGCATCGAGGTCGTCGTCGTCGTCGTTGCCTTTGCCGATGGACCGCGGCTGGGCGCGTGGCGAGAGGCCTTCGGCAGGCGATACGGCGCCCTCGTCGCCCGCAGCGACGATCTCGCGCAGGTCGTTCGTGAGCTCGCCAGCATACGTCGCGAGCTGCCCCGTGATTGCGCCCCACATGCTGCTCACTGCCTCGCTGAATGGCCGTCTCCGATTGGCCCGTTGCCAAGACGGGGCAAAGGTTCATCAAGATAAGGTATAGACTAGCCTTTTGTATGTAGATATATTTACACAGCCCTTAAAGCCAGGTCGTAAACTGGAAGCGAACCAACCAATGGTGGCCTGTCTGGCACACCATGGACGGCCGGCTTGAGGTCGAGATCGAGGCCTACGGCCATGCCACCGACCTCATGCACCTCCTGGATCTCGGCGAAAGCGACAAGGCGACGTGGAACATGAAGTCCGAAGCCATGGGCCGCTTCGTAGACGGACTCACGGCGCTAGCTGCGCTAGCCTGCGACGACCGCGGTGTCCAAGTGCGTCGGATGCTCCTCGCCCAAGGCGCCAACGTCGTGCAGCACATCGTGGATGCGCTCAAGTGCCGCGACGTCCTCCTCAAGTGCAAGAGTGCCAGCGCCTTGGGCTCCATTTGCATGTGCAGCGAAGCCTGCGCGGAGCTCATGGCAGCCCACGGCAGCGCCATCGTGCATGGCTTGATGCGCATGGTGGCCGGGAAGAACCGGTGGGCCCAAGGCGACGCAATCTTCGTGCTGGGCTGGATCGTGCGATGGAAAGATGACAATGCGGAGACGCTCGAGGCCATTGCCGCCGCCGTCCCCAACGCCTGCGACATGGTGCTATCGAGCTTCGCGCGCCGCCCGACCGACGAAGCGCCGCACGACGAGAGCATTGAAGACCGCGAGTCGAACCTCCGCATCTACCCGTTTGTGTTTCTCCTCAACTTGTACCAGCACACGTCGCTCACGCCGGCACTTGCTGCTGTCCTGGACGCCATCGCTGCTGCGATCCACGCCGCAGTGCACCAGCCGACGCTTGCCGAGGTCGCGGTGATCGCTCGACTCTCGACCTCACTGCTGCTCTCGCTCGTCGACAAGGACGCAGGTATCGTGTGCCCCCTCGTGCTCGAGAAGAAGATGCTACCGGACGTCGCCCGGCTCAGCCGCCGGCGCTTTGACGGCGACGACGACCTCGTGGGCGACCAATGTCGTGTGGTCATGGACCTGATTGTTAAATCGCGATAAGAAAGGCGGTGTCATATTTAGAGTGTCATTCTGTGTTTCCTTCTCTCTCTATCTGTCTACCGTGTGCACTCGACTTGCAATTGGATCGCTGGATAATATGTTTCACTTCTTAGTTCCGGCCCGATCGCTGAGATAGGCGAGTAGGCGGATGAGGAAATGAGCTTTCTCTTGGCGCTGCGTGAAGAGTCGCGTTCACATTGCCGAAGCAACAACGAAAGTACTCCAAACCGAGCAGGGCCGACGGTATCGCTAAGTGCTAATACAACTATTGAGATGTCAACTCTACTGCACCCCCCCGTGGTGATGATATCTTGTCTCGACGCGGCAAATTCGAAAGTGAAATGACTGGGCCTCGCCGTCTATTCATTGTCAAAAGTTTTATCCGGATATAATATCATTTTCAAAAGGTTTATGCGCCATTTTGGATCGGATAAAAACACCGTGTTTTCGAAGCGTCACGCGTGTGTGCGACGGGTAGCTCACGCGCCGAAAGCCTGCAGAGGGGGTCTTGTGTGCACTCAAGTGACAGAACCGGCGTCCAGTGTGCATTCCGACGTACATCGCAACGCCTTTCCGAGAGTCAAGGAGACGGTAGGAGAACCCGTCGACCCTAAGAGTTGTGTGATTTTAATCTAGCGACACTTTGTAGATCGACAAATGGAGCCGCCGACGCTACTCGAGCTGGCGCTACGTGCGATCGCCCAACACATCTTTTGCTTTTACAAGTACGTACTAACGAGTAGGCTGTCAGTGGTAAACGCAGTCGTAGCTCTGCACTGCTGGACGAAGGCTCGTTGCCGGACGCTTTTCAGCATCTCCTGCATCGCTTCGACGTGGCGCACGCCCAAGGTCTTCGGGATGGCGACTACCTCCATGACATTTTCAAGCATCATTTGACGGGACTTGGAACCGCCAAGCCGCTTGCTACCGTCTACGCGCAGCTACTATGGGGCCATAAGCACGCGTGGACTCCCCGCGAAATCGTATGACCTCTCTTCATCCTCGTGCCCTTGTGGAATATGATGTTCGCGGCTGTAGGAGTACTTTGGTTTGTCTGGATTGGTTGCGGCCGACTTGGGCACGTCCATGGACCCCGACCACACGCCCGCGACAACAACAATTGACGACGAGAGTGCCGTGACCGAGGTAGCGAAGTTGATTCGGAGCAATGAACCGTCATCGTGCAGGTCGACCAAACCTTCGCGTCAAGTCGCCGCGTCCTCGAAATCCCTCCGACAGATCCAACAGTCGCGATTCAAAACTTGACGGTCGTCACCAAGTGTCTCGAGCCGCTGACCAATGCGTTTGCCCACGCGTTGGCCGTGCGACGCTTCGTCGCGCAATCTCCTCTCTTACTACTGCATGTCCCTAGGACATTCTCTTGCGCTACGATCGACTCGTCGAGGTGCGGCTCGTCTCGTGCCTGTTGGGACCGGCGGGTGTGGTGCTTCTCGCTGCCAGCGCCGCCGTGCGTCGCCTTAGCGTGCTCGACACCGCGAAATAACTCCACGCATGTAGACGTCCACGTCCCTCCGGGTCCTCGACTTGAGCAACGACTGGACCGAGCACGACGCGAGCTGCGACAACGTGGTCGGGAGCCATGGTGCTATCGCCGTCGCCACGGCCATATCCACGTCACCGTCCTTGACAAAGGTGGTCGTTTCGCCACGTCGTTGGTGATGCCAAGTGGGTAGGTGGCTCTCAATGGCACGCGACTTGGGTACAAAGGCGGGCGCGCGCTCGCGGCTGCGATCGCCCACTCGCGCTCGCTTCGGTGCTTGCATCTCCGTCGGTACGCCTCGAACTACGCTACAGACCATCGACGAAGGCATGTATCACGTAGCTGCAAAAGCGTTGCACGCGCCGCGGCAGCGCTTCTTGCCGCCTACGACGCCTCCCATTCGTGCGCCCTAATACTGAAAACAATGTGCGTCTCATGTATGTATATACACTAATAGGCTTGTCGATTTGGACATGGAGTGGTGTCGACTGCCGGCCGGTCTGGGCGTTCAGCTGTTTGACCTGCGCGTCCAGCGGCAGGCCGTGGCCCCCGAGGCGGCGACGACGACCAAGTAACCATGACAATGCAACACCTAATTGAAATGTCCTATCAAGCATTCCCATCAGTAAATGATGTCGATACCATAGTGTTGGATAGATGCTATCAGGGGTAGGGTAGTGCGCATTGAAATAACGGTCAGCAACATTCGGACGCGATGCTCTCCAAGAAGGAACGGGCCGAAGAAGATGCGCTGCTCGAGCAGCAGCTATTGACGCAAGGACCCAAAGGGCTTCTCGCACTCTTTAGCGGTAGCGATGGGAAAAAGGCCAAGAAGGCAAAGGCGCCCAAGCTCTTCATGGAGCTCTCGCGCTCGCAGCAGCGCGTCCAGGGCAAGAACGCGCCCATGCTGCGACAAATGGACGGCGACACGATCAACGACAAGTTGTCTTCGTACAAAAAGACAATCCGCTTCCACATCAACGGTACGACTGCGCTCAACCTTACCCTTGCACGACGCCCGGCTTAGCGGCCCACGACGAAGCCATCACGATGGTCCGTGACATCCGCACGGGGCACCAAGACGTCAATGCGCGCGACGTAAATCGTTGGCTCTTTGGATTTCGCTGCAGTTAACGTAGGAAAAAGGGCGCAGCGCCTTGCATTTCGCCTGCCGCATGGTCGATACCACGTCACGAACACGGCAAGGTGTAAGACCATTCACGCCTAGGGCTCCGAGGCCACGATCGCGACGCTCATCAAGGAGGAAGGATCGATCGACGAGCCCGATGTACGCATTGATGTGACACTCTTGTCTTTCCGTCGTGTCTAGCTTGAGATGCGATGGACGCCACTGCACTACGCAGTCATGGGCAAGCACAAGTACGCCGCTGGTCTCTTGCTTAAGTACGCGCCATCCCCGTACGTGACGGTGAACCGGCGCGACGTAAGCTACGACCTCTCTTCTTCTGTGCGACTCAGTGGCCTTTTTGCTCATGTGCAGAAAATTGGCACGACGCCCCTCATGCTGGTGGGATCGTCTTGGGTGCCTCCTGGACGACGCAATGTAGGCTGCTGCGGAAGGCCACGCCAACATTGTTCGCTTCCTTCTCGACCATTTGGCCGACATCAACGATCGCGATGTCCGTGCCTGCATAAAACTCTGAGTTGATTGCCGTCTGTAGAACGAAGGCCTCACCGCCCTGCACTACGGTATGCTGCGATGCGCGTGCGGAGCGTGACCGATGCATAGCGGCACTTACGGACCGCGTCAAGGCAGCCGAAGTGCTTCTCGAGTACAAGGCGGACACGGAAATTCGCACGAAAGCCAGTGGAGAGACAGCTCTCGAGATGGCCGAGCGCCTCGGCTCGCACTTGGTGTCGATTGTCCTTTTTGAGTTTGAGAAATAATGCAATTGATGGAACGAAGCGACCGAGACGTGAACCGTTTTCGCACTGCAAATAGGAACCGGTCGGCGTTCTCACCCTTCGGGTTGCCGTCGGGTCACCCGGAATAGTGCAGATCGAAATAGGCCGCTGGCTCATTTCCTCTTCAAACGATTCCATGGAAGACGCACTCGAGAAGGCCAAGCAGCGCTCGGAGGACGTGACGCACAAGTTTCTCCAGACCAAGGACGGCGCTGCCAAGGTGCTCAAGCACTTTTTCGGCTGGGACCATGCCACGGCCGACGTCGAGGACGAGGCGCCGATCGAGCTCGATATGGTGCCCATGGAGCCAACGATGGCTCTGCAAACAATGTTGATGCGCGCTGCGGCCATCGTGCAGGCGCCGCCCGTGCTCTTGCCGCAGTCGATGGCCGACGTTGTCTATGAAGCCACGCTGCAGCAGCTCGGCGACTTGCAATTCCGCGTCTTCGCCATGAACGCATGCAAGAGCTACATTGAGCAGCGCCACTGCCTCGTGCGCGAGTATTGGGCCAAGCTCGCGCAGCCGCCGACGCCACCGACTGCCGAGCACCACGCGAGTCTCCAGAGCACGTTCAAGATGCTCGTACCGATCTACCGCAACGACGTCAAGATTCTTCGGCGCAACGTCAAGCAGTATGAAGCCGCCGCGTCGTCGGCGCTCGCACTGAAGTACAAGCGGTATCCCAACGACCATGTACTCGTTCATATCTATCGATCGACACCTCTAACGTGTACGTAGGCGATGGCTGTCGACGAGCACGAGCTGCGGCGCGAGGCGGCCGAGACGTCGTCTCGGCTCTTGGCCGACTTTCCCGAGACCATCTTGTCGCTCGAAGCGCTCGAGGCCCACGACGCGACGCTGCTCGAGCACCATGTCTTTGAGCTCGAGTACATGGTGGCGCATGCGCGCATCTGCGGGGCCTTTTACGTGACCAAGGCCAAGCACCGCGCCGACGCCGTCACGACGCCGTTGACCGACACGCGGTCGGCCGACGATCTCCAGAGGGCTTTCACCGACGCGCTCAGTGCGTACGAAGCGAGCGCCGCGGCGCTCCAAGCGAGTCTTGCCGCCGACACGCAGTTTCAATTGGAGCAGCAGGCGCGCGCCGCACCGTCCATCTTTGTCGCCTCGGCGCACTCGGTGCTCTACGGCAAACTCCAGCGCGCGGCGCGCAAGGTGCGGGCCGAGTGCCGTCTCTCCAAGACACTCCACCAGCTCGTCTCGCTCGCGCAAGCGCACACGCAGGTGGCTTCGATTGTCGCCAGCGACGCAGTGCATGCAGCGGTCGCCGCGGCGGTCGTCCAAGCATCTGCCGCGCTCACAAGCACCCACGAAGCCCAAATCCACGAGGCAGTGGAGGCGCATGCGCGCGAACTTGAAGCGCTCGAGCACCCCCACACGACATTGGACAAGAGCATGGATGTGGCCGACGTCAAGAGTGCGCACAAAGCCGAGCTCTTTGCGATCGTGAGCCTCACCAAAGTCGTCGCCCGTCGCAAGGCGCTCGCGCTGCGTCGGCATGCCGAAGCCGAGTTTGCACGCCTCGAACACATGCAAGCGCAGCACGCAGTCATGCTGCAGAAGCTCGAGGCCGAACTCGAGACGCGCGAATCGCTGGAGCATATGCGCTTGCTGGCACGGCTCGAGAAGCGCAAGCTGGCGCGCATGGCGTGCGGGTCGCCCGCCACGACGACGAGCGACCCGTTGCCCGCGGCAACGGCCATGCTCGAAGAAGAGAAGGCCAAGATCATCGAGGAGAAGAAAAGCGAGTGGCACGAGGCCGAAGTTGCTTGCGCCAACGACGTCCAAGCCGCCGCGGTCAAGGCGATCGCTGCCGAGGCCGTCACCTTTGGCCTTGGCCCCGACACGGACGTGATCCAGGGCCTCATTGCGCAACTCCAGGCGGTCGACTTTAGCCGCGCGCCGTGCACGATCAAGCAGATCCACGCGGTCGAGAAGGTGCTCTTGAGCATGCGTGAGAGTGCACAAAAGCCCCGGCGGAGCGGCGCCAAGACCACCGCTGCCCCGCGCCCGTCGCACATTGTCGTGGAGAAGGCGAAAAAAACCACGTTTCGTTGATACACTGCAACAATGTCAACTTGAAACTAAAGGTTTCCATCCTTCAATCATAAAATCTAAGTCCAAAGCAAGGCGCGGTACGTCTTGGACCCGCGTTCGCGTCGCAGCTGCCCATAGAGCACAAAAAAGATGCCAAAGAGGATGCAGGCACCGCCCGTGAGGAGACCAAACAGATTGCCGAGGCGGTAGAGCGTGAGAAGCCCAAGACCAAAGAGGTAAAAGCCACTGCCGCGGAACGAAGCGAGGAGCGGAAACCACGCGAGCGGCGCGGCGGCGGCGAGGAGCAGCGCCGGGAGGACGAGCAGCGAGAGGAAGAGCTGGAAGAGCGTGAGGGCCACGGACGCAGCGGACGCGGCATGCGCGTAGTCGAACGTGCTGAGAATGTACCCGGTGGCCGCCGCATTCACGGTCGCCAGGAGGAGCGTCGACACTTGGTGAAAGAGGTGGAAGCCGCCGACGCCACCGACGGTATACCACGTCGTGTTCATGGCGATTGCAAGTCTGCGAAGAAGCACCGCGACGGTTGAACAATATTTGGAGCGGAGGAGACCATACGACGGCCGAGAAGCCGCCAACCTCTACGCGGAGATGGCGGTTGACCACCGCGTCTCGCCCGCCCAGTATGTCTCGAGGTGAAATTTTCGCGCCGCCATGAATTGCATGGACCGCCGCTTCCAGAGTGCGTCGACCCGGGCGAAGAGACGATGTTCATAGAGGACCAGCGAGTGCATGCATGGCCGCACGTGCTGGCGTTGCTTGGAGGTTTGTTGGGCGGGGTTCTAGATTCGAGCACCGCGTTTCGCCGTCTCAAAATTTCACCACCTGCGAACTGCGACTCAGTTCTGGACACCGCCCAGACTCGAATTTTCCCGCTCGCTGGACAAGACACCATGGGCGGTCTATACACGGTGCACCAAGTGTGCATGACGCTCGTCGCCCTCGTTGGCGTCACGGCCGCGGTCCTCAGCTTTGTCACGACCACCTTTGCCTTTGGCGAGCTCAGTGCGCTGCGCTGGACGCTCGCGTCGCTCGGCGCGTTCGTCTACCTCTTCGTGCTCTCGGTGCTCCTGCTGCTCGCTGCGGCGTTCGGCGCGCTCCAGCCGCTGCTCTGGCTCGGCTGTCTCGGCAGCTTCGTCGGCAGTGGCCTCTACGCCACTTACCTCGGCTTGCTCATCTACACGTTTCTTGGCGGCGCGGCGTATGGGCTTCCGATGAGCGTCTTTTGCATTGCCATCGGCGTCCTCAGCGTCGTCTTGGGCGTCGCGTGGAAGGAGCGCGAGACTGCGACCTACTACTCTCTTGTCAATTGAGCACATTCTGTTTGTGTTGCCATGTTGCACTTGAAAAGCACATTGCCGCACAGAGAATGGACGTAGCCTGGGTACCAATGCCTGGGTACGGTACTAGTAGTAGGAAAGGGTGGTGAGTGCTCTCGAGGGCCAGCAGCCATCTGTCTCAAGACTCGACGGTCAACTGCCAACGCCGCATCAGAGAACATTTCGATCCGACGTCGACTATCGCATCGGGTGAGCCAGCGGCGGTTCAATTCCCGCCAATGACACATCGCCGCGTGCGAGAGCTACGAAGGAGAACGCTTTTGCAATCATGGCAGTGCGTGGATTCGAACTCGGGTACGACGTGTCTTTGACGTGACAAACGAGGATCGCAATGGCCTCTTCAACATCAACTTCAACGTAGGACCACCATGCATGTCCATGCACGTGGGCTGAACGACCGCTTGGAAGAGTAATCACGACGGTACCGACTACATCTATTAGGACAAGAAGCCACATCATCCCTTCCCCGAGAGACTCGAACCATCGAGGCGTGCCAATCATCCAATCGACGCGCATGGGTTTCCGACACATGTCGCGGTAGCTTTTGCACCGCCGCTGCTTGGTCGAAGCCGGGTCGCTGCTGCTGCCATAGACGTCAGCACCACGCTGCTCGCTCAATGATTGAGCGAGCAGGAGCCGATTGACTCAATCGTCGTCTGCGGCGACATGACGCCAACGGTGTAGTATGCTATCTGAAAAGTGGTCGTCCAAACTCCAAACCACTCGAAAACGAAAGATCGGTTAACATGTAGAGGGCGCAGCTCTCTTTACTTCTGCTGCGCGTACAGGGCCAGAATGCGGTTGACGTCGCGCTTGCAGCCGAGGAAGATGCCCGTGCGCTCGTGGATGTGCGTCTACGCCATGGTCATGAGCATCCTGAAAATAGAGGAGAAGGATATGTTGGTACCGGGTTGAGGTCGAGGACACGCGTCGTGCCGTTCGTCGAGAGACCACCGGCCTGCTCGACGATGAACGACATCGGGATCGCTTCGTAGAGCATGCGGAGCTTGCCCGTCTTGGACTTCTTGTCGGCGGGGTAGAAGAAGACGCCACCGTAGAGGATCGTGCGGTGGACGTCCGAGACCATACTGCCGACGTAGCGGGCCGCGTACGGCTTGGGCGCGTTCTTGCACTCGTCGACAAACTGCTTGGTGGGCGCGTCCCAGAGGGCAAAGTTACCTTCGTTGCACGAGTAGATCTACATCGATCGATCAGTCTCGCTCTATCCAGTGATACCAAGATGCGCACCGTCTTGGGGTTCTCGGGGATGCGAATGTTCTTGTGCGAGAGGATGAACGAGCCGATCGTCGGGTCGAGCGTGAAGCCGTGGACGCCCTTGCCGTACGTGACGACCATCTGCGTCGAGCTACCGTACATGCAGTAGCCGGCCGCGACGAGCTGACGACCCGGCTGCAAAATGTCCGAGATCCTACTCCGATCTTAGTCGCTTTGTGTGCCGATACAAGAGACGTACTGGCGGCGCGGGCCCGTGTTTTGCATGGCGTAGATCGCAAAAATGGTACCGGTCGAGATGTTGCAGTCGATGTTGGATGAGCCATCGAGCGGGTCAAAGGCAATGCCGTACTTGCCTAGATCACCGACCACGATGAGTGTTTTGACCCAACACGATGATGGATGCGACGTACAGCCCGAGACGCCTTCGACCCAGATCGGGTCTTCGTTCTCCTCCGAGACCATGACCTCAATCTTGGTCGAGTTGCGGAGCGAGTTGATAAAGATTTCGTTCGAGAGCAAGTCGAGCTTCTTGACGTCGTCGCCCGTAGAGTTGGTCGAGCCGTCCAGACCATAGAGACCGGTCAAACCTACGTGGCAGCGTGAGACGATCGATGCGTTCGACGGAGCGTCGTACCCGCGCGACGCACGGCCGACGAGATGACCTTGCACGCAAGCTCGATCGAGTTGAAGAGGATGCAGAGGTCGTTGTTGGACTGGAGCTCGCCGTCGGCGAGGATGAAGCGGCTGAGCGTGATCGGGTTCGAGTGGTCGACTTGCATCTTGCTTGGGTACTTGGCACAAAAAGGCAAACTGACCACGCCGTCGTCCTTTCCTCGGATATCCTCTATCCTTTTATCTTCAACGTCCGCGTCGGGTGCGTCGGGTACCTCTACCTTCGCATATCCTTCCACACATGATATATGCGACAATCCATCCCCAAGGAGGAAGATCGGGGCTAGGGATCGGCAGCGCACCAATGAGGAGGCGGCACGGCTGTTGCATCCACCAATCGCATCGCCGCTGGCAAGCACAGTGGGCGCGTGTGACGCGGCTTGCGTCACGCGTCCTTTTTTATATTGTCGGTTGATGTCGGGCATTGTATGTGGCATTCATTTTTTCTTTTTTATGGGACCGAGTAGCCGCACGTTGACGCCGACACGAGTGCCGCGGTCGCCAGGATGCGCAGATTCGATTTGCACAGTCGTGGGTACATGCCCCGGGGCACACATCCGTATGCGGAGGAGTCCGGATACGGAAAAACAGGGTGCGCCGGATAATGCGTTGTGTATCCGGCCCTTCGACTGGCAGCGTATCCGGCACAGTCCCAGGTTGCAGAGCGGTACGATGGCGTCCAAGATGGCGGCGCTGCAGCGCTACATGGCCGGTACGAGCGAAGTAGCGCGAGAGAGTAGAGAGGCAACGCGATGCTATAGGTGGGGACAAGGAAGAGAAGAAGAAGAAGCGCAAGGCGAAGAGCTCGCATGTGGGCATGCGCGTGATCGACGACGATGACGACTGGCGCGAGCTTGCGCCAAAGGGCAAGAAGACCGACTTGTGGCAGAACGAGACAGGCGAGGTGGATGAAGACTTGCCGATGGTCGTCGACACGGACTACGACCCGGAGAATCAGCCCGTCGTCACCAACGCCGACGAGTTCTTCGAGCGCGAGCGCGCAGAAGAGCTCGAGCAGCAGTGGCAAGTGGACGAAGCCAACGCCCGTCGCGCCAAGGCAGCAGAGCCCGATGCATCGCCTCCGCGCAAGTCGCGGCGATCGGATACGCCGCCACGACGAGCTGTTGAAGATGCATCGCCGCCCCGTCGGGCGACGTCTCGTGACGCCTCCCCGCCTCGGCGACGAGCTCGCAACGAAGACAGTGACGCGTCTCCTCCGCGTCGCTCGCGCAAGGATCAGAGCGACGACGCATCACCACCCCGGCGTCGTCCAGCGGACCGCGGCGATGCATCGCCTCCGCGCCGGTCCCGATTCAGCCAAGTCGCCTCACCCCCTCCGCGATCTCGCCAGGATGCGTCTCCTCCGCGCCAGCAACGCGAAGATGCTTCACCGCCTCGCCGATCCCGTCAAGATGCGTCTCCTCCGCGCCGGCAACGCGAGTCTTCGTCGTCGCAGCGCGACGCTTCGCCGCCTCGTGCCTCCAAGCGCGAGAGTGCACCGTCATCGCCGCCACCGCAAGATGCCTCGCCTCCGCGCCGCCGTTCGGATCATCGTCGACGGGATGCCTCCCCCTCGCCTCGACGCCGACGTTCGAGAAGCAAGCGCCGGTCCCGATCCGCGTCGCCCCGTCGACGACGAAGCCGCGACCGGTCGCCCCGCCGTAGTCGTCGCAGCCGAGACCGGTCGCCGTCCCCTCGTCGTCACCGGCGTGACAGCCCGTCGCCACGCCGTGACCACCGGGGCTCGGGTCGGTCTCGCAGCCCTCGCCCTCGCCGATCCCGCAGCCCTCGCCGATCCCACAGCCCTCGCCGATCCCACGCACAGTCGCCACCTCTAGTGGCGCCTCGGACCGAGATCAACGACGATGCGGACGATGCGCCGACGCCGCCTCGGCGGTCATCGCCTATGAAAGCGCCGGGCGGTGGTGTCTTTACCGGCAAGGAATTTCGGCAAGAGAGTGAGCGGGCGCGCAAGCAGCAAGGCGCGCTCTTCGAGGACGAAGCGCTCATGGGCAAGCAAGCCGAGACGGTCTACCGTGACAAGCGCGGGCGCAAGCTGGATATGCTCATGGAGATGGAGCGGCAGCGCGAGATCCAAGAAGGCAAGCGCAAACGTGAGGCCCTCGAGGAGTACGAGTGGGGCACGGGCAAGGTTCGAAAGGAAGAGCTCAAGAACCAGCGCGAACAGCTCGAAGAGATCAAGGCCAAGGTACGACCGACAATGCATCAACCACCCGCTCTGATGCAATTGTATGTAGCCCTTTGCACGCTACAAGGATGATGGCGAGCTCGACGCGGCGCTCAAGCACCGCCCGCGCAACTTTGATCCGATGGAGTCGTCGCTCTTCAAGGTACACGGATGGCCATGGGCGATGGCGCTGACACGTTCTGTGACCAGGACGACGCCAAGGAGCTTCTGGAGAAGGCGTCGAAAAAGTCCAAGAAGAGCAAGCCGCGCTACTCGGGCCCGTCGGCGCCCCCGAACCGCTTCAACATCCCGCCGGGCTACCGCTGGGATGGCGTTGTGCGCGGCAACAACTGGGAAGAGAAGGTGCTCTTGCGCCAGAACAAGAGTCAAGCCGACAAGGCCGACGCGTACCAGAACGCGACTGCCGACATGTAGTAGGCATCTATCAACTTGACTTTATATAAATGCTATTGCGCCTCATGCCCCAAGCTCTTCCGCGGTTGATGCAAAGCAGATGCGTGTTTCTAGACAACTCGTGTATCCGGATCGACCGGATAAAGCGTGGTAAAGTGCAATGTTCCGGCAGCGGGCCAAGAAGCTGAAGCGGACGCGGGCGCCGCTCGAGGACGATGGCAGCGACACCACCAACGAGGTTTCGCTGGACGAACTGCGCGAGCTCCGCGAGGACCAGAAGGCTCGGAAGCGCCAGATGCTTGTGAAGGCCGTGGCGGCGACGACCGAGCCGGCGCCCAAGAAGGCCAAGACGGTCGAGACCAACACGCTCGATGGGCAGTTCACAGCGCAGTCGCAGATGACGACCGCCGACCATTACGCCCAGATCATGTGCACTTTGCTGGAAGCGCAGTAGCATGCTCAGGCGTAGGTATGGCTAGGAACACGTACGTCGAAGAGAAGCTCAAGGCCAAGTACAACCTGGACGACGGCACGAACGCGGCGCCGGCGCTCACGGCTGAGCAAGAGCTGTACCGCATTCCGGACGAGCTGAAGAAGAAGATGAACATCCCGGACGTCGCAAGTGTACGCGTCTTGTTGGCTCGTTCCGTGTTGTCATGGGGCCACGCTAGGCACCGGAGGGTGGGATCGTGACGTGGAACACGGGTATCGCCGAGGTCGAGCTGCCAAAGAACGTCCACGACCAAGTCGTCGAGGCGACGAGAGAGGCTCTCGAACGCCAGCAGCACAACGAAGCCACACTCCAAATTAGCTCGGCGCTCCCGACCAACGTGAGCGCCAACTACAAGCAGCACAAGCACGACTACATCACAGACCTCAAGAGCCGATCCAAAGGTCTTGTTTGTGTGCAGCGAGCATGGTTCTCATTCTCATATGTACTGTGCAGAGGAGCAGCGGGCCAAAGGTTTCCAGCATGGTATGACGTTGCGCCATCCTCCCATCCCTCTCCACTCTTCTGTACTAGTCGACAAGGCTGCGCCGTCGGACGACCGCGTCATGCATCAATTTCGCCGCGAACTGAGCCGGCAGCGCCGTACGAAATAGCCCATGTAATACCTGGCGTTATATTGACACCACCGTACGTGCTCGCTGCACATCCCATTCCGCTATCAAGGTGTCCAATCTGCACTGCACCCAAGACCCAAGACAGCGTGCATGTGGCATCCACTTGAGCGTCCAGACCGTCATGACAACCGGCGTCACGTCGTCGCCGCATGGACAGCGCCAATTTGTACGCTGTATATTCGTACGAAGACGCGATCAAGATCGCGAGGGACACGGAGGCGCACCTGCTGGATTCCTCGTCGCCGCGGCTACTTGCCGCAAATAATTTCTGCCCGCGCCGGATACGCAGATTGTATCCGGACGCCGCCGCGCGCTATACAAACCGCAAGACGTGGCGTTTCCAGCCAGTGAAACTGCTGCCCGTCGGTGCGATTATCCGGACGACGAGGTGCCGGATACGGGCCACTGGATTTCTTCGTGGGGCATACAAACGTCAAGTGTGAACGGACTAATGCATCTTCTATGGGATCATCACTTTCGATTTCTTAGCGAAAAACACGGTAATCGACGAGTGCGTACGAGCCACGCGCTAAAATAAGATCGTAGATGACAGTTGCAACAACCTCGATGGTCCAGCAGGTCAAGCCCACGACGTCCATGGCCGTGAAGGCGCAGCCCTACATCTGCGGCGGGTCCGCGGCCGTCATTGCCGCGATCGCGATCCACCCAATCGATCTCGTCAAGGTGCACCTGCAGCTCGCGGGCCAGACGGGCTCGAACGCGACAGCCGCGAGCGTCGCCAAGTCGGTGATTGCCAAGGAAGGCGTCAAGGGCCTCTACGCCGGCCTCTCGGCCGCGGTCGTGCGCCAGATGGTCTACGGCACCGCGCGCCTCGGCATGCACCGCGCGATTTCCGACTCGATCCAGACTGCCCGCGTCGAAAAGGGCGCGACCGACGGCCTTCCGCTGTGGATGAAGAGTGCGATTGCCATGGGTACGGGCGCCGTGGCTGCGACGCTCGGGTGTCCCATGGACGTCTCGCTTGTGCGCATGCAGGCCGATACGCTGGCGGCGCCGGCCGACAAGCGCGGCTACAAGAACGTGTTTGATGCGATTTTCCGCATCGCCAAGGCCGAGGGCGTCCCGACACTGTGGCGCGGCAGCGTGCCTCTCATTGCGCGCGGCGCGGCCATGAACTTTGGCATGATGGCGTCGTACGACCAGGCCAAGGAAGTGCTCGGCAGCTACTATGGCCAAGGCTTTGTCACCAACTTGGGCGCGAGCGCCGTCTCGGGCTTTGCGTGCGCGTTCACGTCGCTGCCGTTTGACCTGGTCAAGTCGCGGCTCATGAACATGAAGATGAACAGCGCTGGCGCGTATCCGTACGCGGGTGTCGGCGACTGCTTTACGCAAATCGCGCGCAAGGAAGGTGTCGGGAAGCTCTGGCGCGGCTACTGGACGTACTATGGCCGGTGCGCGCCGAACGCCATGATTGTGTTGCTCGTCATCGAGCAGATCAACGCGGTGTACAAGAAGACGTTCTTGTCCTAGATATGTTGCCCTATTAGTCTTTAGTACGATTCCTCTCCATGCTACACATGCAATGTACTACTCAACGCACACGCACACACGCAATATGGTGGTCTATTCCAGGCAAATTGTACACGACTTGGAGGACTAGAGATGGCTACTCGGTTTTGACCTCGAAATGGGCGTCGGCGCAGAGGGCCTATGGAGAGACGATGATGACGACGACGATGCTGGCATGGTGGCGGACAGCGCGGCAGCGAGTACCTGGCCTTCCGAAGTTGCGAGGTACTCGCGCGAGACGGCAATGTCCGACTGGATCGCCTCGATGAGCGCGTCGAGCGACGAGAAGGGCAGCTCGGGCCGGATGTAGGCGCCGAGGAGGAGGTCGATCTTGGCGCCGTAAAAGTCCGACGTGAACTCGTGCAGCAAATGCGGCTCGATGGTCTTTTCCGTGTTTTGGAACGTTGGGTTCCAGCCGACGCTGGCGACCGCCATGTACGGCCCGGCGCCGTCGACCGTCGCCCAGCCGCAGTAGATGCCCGTCGGCGTGTCGTGCAGCGCGTCGCCGAGGTCCTCGGGCACATGTTGGCGGTCGGGCACCCGAGCTGCTTGCCGCCGCGGCCAAAGCCCGTCACGACGGTCGCCGAGAGGCGGATGGCAGGCACGGACTGGACCATCCTCCTGCTGCTGCTGAACTTCGTTTGCGTAAATGAGAATTCGGGATTCTGGTATCCGGATGATGTGGTCGGATACTGCCGACTTCGGCAGGAAACTTGAACGGCAAAGTGGCCAGAGGGATGGAAGGAGCTTCCTTCGTCAGCAGCAGCAGCAGCAGCGACTTGCATGCTTCTAGAGACTAGGAAGGACTAAACGACTATTAGTACATGTCCTTGAGAATCAGATGTAGCGATTCATCTACCATGGCCAAGGCCATCATCGGCGACCGTGCTTGGCACAGTGACGTGGCACGATCTCGTGACGACGCGGTGTGCTTCGTCCGGAGAGGAGCTCGGTACGAGCCATCGACCATGGTCTGGCGGAGCAGGAGCCGTTATCTGGTTCCGCGAATGCTCGCCCGTTGCGGCCGTTTCGCCACATCGAAGATCGCCGTCATGCATCGCAGCAACAACGCGGCGCCGGTGCTGGATTTGCCGAGCCTCAAGGCCCCGGACGCCAACGGCCTTGAAGACGTCGATGGCTGGAGCGACTACACGAGCGCCCACGAGCTGCCCGAAGCGTCGGGCTCGGACGACGAGCTCGACATCGCATTGGTTTCGACGCGCCTCTTGCCCGCGACCGCGTACGAGACGCCTATGAAGCAACGGTGAGCGTGCGACTTGATTCTTTGCGCTCACGGTAGCGGTAGCGCATACGACGTCCGCTTTGACGCTGGTAGTCGTCGTCTCGCGACGGATCTCCGACCAACTGATACTATGTCGTAGGACCCTTGGGGCTGGAGCTTGAGCGCGACTGGTCTGGGGAGCTCACCCTCGTCAAGAGCGTCTCACGTGCCGGGCCTGCGGAAGCGAGTAAGCATCGCGTCCCGAGCGCAAACGAACCTACTTGCGTAGGCAGTTTGATTCGCATCGGCGACGTCCTGCACGCGATCGACCACGTCTCGTGCCTCGACCTGTCATTGCTCGAGGTAGACGCCTGCAGTCTGCACCAGTAGATCCACATGCCGAGGAATAGACGCAGTCGCGGCTCGCGTCACCCGGGCCCCATACATTGCACTTTACCTCGCCGTGCAGCTTTAGTCAGGTTGAGCGCGACGTGTGCATCGCCAAGCAATGCATCTACGAGCACAAGGCGCGCTTCTACCGGCCGGTCGAGACACATTGCGACCTCCTCTTCGTAGCCTGGTTCGCCCTTGAGATTGAGTGGAATCGAGTGCGAGTAGGGCTGCATTGAGCGCTACCGCGGCGACGACATTACGTCGTTTCACCTGCACCGCGAAGACACGGGCGAGTTCCTTCTGGCCTGCAGCTGTGAGAGCGACCTCTCGGGGCCGTTCCTCTTCCATACGCTTCGTGACACGCATCTTCGCCGTACGCTGCCACGTCATGACAACGAGATTCGATATGCGCTAGGGTGGAAGGACTTGCCACGCGGCGAAGACAGCGCCGTGTACATGGGCGAACTGGTCGCGAACTTCCTTGGCACGGAGTTTCATGTGCTGGACCACGCGCGCCGCGAACTCGGTTTCTTTGTCTACGACTCGAACGTCCTCGGGCGCTGCCCCAACAGCCTTGTGCTGGCGCTCAACTGCGCGCCGCACACGGCACCGCCCAGCGAACGCTACAAGAAGCGGCAGCAAGCGCGGGATCCGTCGGTCCTGGACCGCCTCCGCCTCGAAGTCGAGTCGTTTGTCGAGGCGCTCACGTCTCCGCGCAACAGCAAGCCACCGTCGCCCGAGTACAACGCCGTCACGCAAGACGACGACGACTTGGACGACCTCGCGCTCTTTCAAGTCGACCGATGCATGCCTTCGTATCATCATCTCATGTCGGTCGTTGGTAGACAACCAAGCCAGCGTGGAACGAAGCGATGCACGCGTGGACACTGCCCTTTGACGGCCGCGTGCACGTCCCGTCCAAGAAGAACTTTCTCCTGAGCGACGACGCGCATCAAGGGACGGTCCTGCGCTTCGGAAAAGTCTCCAAAGTCCGGTTTACCTTGGACTTTCAAGCCCCCTTGTCGCCACTGATGGCGCTCGCGGTCGCCGTCTCGGCGTTTGCCAAGAAGCGCATCGTGACGTCGTAAGCCCGTGCAAATAAATGCAATTGGCCTGCTTTCTCGACGAGTCTGGACACGGGAATTTCCCTTCATTCTTGACTTCTTAGTCGTCGCCACACCCGATGGACCCGAGCGTGTTGGTAAAGAGCGTGTTGGCGTCATGGGGAAAGACCTCGATGTCGTGAACGAACGCGGCCAGGTCGTCCTGCGGCACGAACGCAACCGCGTTCTCGAGCGACTTGTACGCGGGCGTCGCGTCTTCCTTCTCGGGGACGATGCCCTCGATGAGGCCGACGACGACGTCGTCCTTGGTCGTGACGGCGCCGCCACACATGCCTTGCTCGAGCACCGAGTCGCTCTTCCCAAACACTTGGCGCGTGCTCGCGTTGCGCCAAAAGTAGGCCCCGGGCACGATGAGCGGCGTGATGCTGCCGGGCGATGGCTCAATGTGTCCGTGGTACTGCAGCGCCGTCGTTTCGTCGAGGGCGGCGAGACGCGAGAGGTCGTAGCCCGAGAGGAGGCGACCGGTGTGTTTTTCGAGGTTCAACTCGAGCGCTGCCAGATCGCTATGCATATGGCTAAGACGACAACGCAGAGAGAGGCGTACCGCGAGCCGTGCAAGGTCACGTGGGCCTCGAGCTCGACTTCCCACGCCTTCTCGCACGTGACCTACAGGATCATAAGTGTGATGGGATCGATGTGGCGGAACAGACGGCGAACGCACCGCATCGTGCAGCGACAGCGTATGCTTGACGTACGCCTCGTCGACGTGTTCCAGCCAGTCGTTGGGGTAGTAGGCGGGAAAGAGCCATGGGCAAGCCACGTGCGCGCACGTGAGCACGTGGAGGCGGGATGCGTCCTTGTCGACCATGCGCTGCCCGAGCACAGCCGAGCCGCTACGAGAGGAGGTCGCGTGAGCCGTCTGCGCCTTGTCCATGTCGTATATCCCACCGGCTAAGGACTTCGTACGCGGCCATGCCCTCGTGCGGCAGGCGGAACTGCGTCGTTAGCGCAAGCACCCGGCGCAACATTCGTGTTCCAATGGCGGATAACCAGGAATTAGGGTCGTAGCGTATCCGTAATTCGTATCTGGTGCAACCATGCGTCTCTGCGTTGTTTTGAGGGACTATCCCTTTCTATTTCGAGCCGACTGGAGCCACATTTGGAAAGGCGTCGACGATGCTACCCCGCTCGTGCTGCTCGTGCTGCCGAGCCTCGTGGCCGCCGCGCCGTGCTCGACGCAAGACATGTTTGCAGTGGTCGGCGTCGCCATGCAGCCGGCGTGGGCCAACTGCACGGACGCGCTCGGCCAACCGGTTAGCACGCTCTCGGAACTCGTCCAGTTCAAGACTTCGGGCCAGCTCACGCAGCTCTGTGCGGCGCCGACGTGCGTCGCCAACATTGACGACGTGTACAAGAACATGCCCAACTGCGTGACGCCCGACGGACTCAACTTGCACGACGCGACCGAGCGGACGTCGCAAATCATCTGCGGGACCCTTCCGGCATCATTGACGACGAATGACGGAAGTGCTTGCTCGTCTGTTGACCGCACGCTCGTCTCGTTCCTCATGGGCCAGAAGCCCGTGCCGAGTGCGTGCCTCGAAGCGCTTGGCGGCAACGCGACGACGCTGACCGCGATCTTGCCCTCCACGCACGCCAACCGTGTGTGCTCGGTGCCCGCCTGCACCGCGTTCATCAAAGCCACGTACAAGCAGCTGCCCCAATGTATCTTGCCGGATGGATCCAAGCCCAAGGAGCTCATCGAAGCAGCGCTCACGACGGTGTGCCACACGAACCCGCAATCGGTGGCCCACCAGCGACCCGTCTTCCTCAGTGTCACCGTGCTTCTCGCACTGCTGCAGTGGCTCGCGCTCGCGTAGCGCATGACATTAAGTACAATTTGCATTTTGCATCGTCAATCAAAGTCGTTCCGACAAGGTCCAGAGGATTGCTTTGGGTGCGCAGATGACGGCGTTGGAACCGACGCACGGAAAAGCAGTTGATGGCACATTGGAAGGAGCGTCCTAGGCGAAATATGAAGAGTTACATCCTGCGAGACCCATTGAAACGAGGAGTTTGGACGTCCTTGCCATGAATACACAACCAATTGGACTAAATTTAGGACAGCAGTGGTGAGCCGCAGGATGCACCGATCCAGTGTTCCGTGCGTCGGGTGCCAGCGGCTCTTCTTTCCCGCGTCGCTACCGATCCACCAAAAGACGTGTTTTGCCAAGAACGCGTTCGTGTCGCTTCCGTGCCCGACGTGTCATGCGACGCTGCGGTGCGCAACTTGCCTCCCGCGTTAGATTCACGCGTGTGGTAGCACCGGCAACTACTTTAACCACGTCAAGAACTGCACGGCCGAGCCCGCGAGAGTGCTGCAAGCAAGCACTTCGCCGACATCGACGGCAGAGCCCGGTCCCATTGGACCTCTCGAGGCCGACGGGCGTATCCAATGCCGAAAGTGCCATCGCGGGTTCGCCCCCGTACGTCCTTGCGATCGATTCCAATCAACCACGTGACGACGACCGCCATCCAGGACCGTATCGCCAAGCATCAGTCCGTGTGCCACGAGGCCGAGCGCATCAAGTACGTGCGCGACGACGGCAACCAGGCGCAGCACACAACGACGACGACGTCGCGCCAGGTACTGTGGCCGCCTCAACACAGCTCTCACGTTGATAGTAGCCTCGCCCGATCAAGCGCTCCCTCCCCGCTTCGCTCCATACAAATGTAGTACATAGCGTGCTGGCGACCCTGTGTAATTGGTGACCTAGGTGCCGCTGCCGCGGTCAGCGCCACAGGTCGGCGCTTCGATGCCGGCGCTGCGCGCTTGTCGGAAAGCACCGTACGACCTCGTACTGCGAGACGCGAGCAACCAAACGGGGTACACAGGTGCGAAATACGGAGGCATTGACATTAGCAACCAAACGTCTGCGGGCAACCCGCTTAGTCGGCGGCTCGTGTGATAATGATCAACGTTTCGATACTGTGTACAATATTGCTTTTACACGACTTCGAGCACGAGGACGGCACCCGCGAGGACCCACTTGGCGGGCGGGGCCTTGCTTCGCAGCTGCGCCGTGCAAATATACGTCGGGCCGCGCTGCTGCGTGCGGTAGACGGGGCACTCGAAAATGTTGGCCGCGGCGAGTCCTGTCGCCAAGACGGCGCGGATGTTGATGATGGGCATTTGGCAGCTCATCTCCTTGGGATGGCTCACGTCAATAACGCCCGAGCCCATGTCCCAGCGCGCGCCTTCGAGAGAGAGCCCATAGACAAACTGCCCGTCGCGGCTCGGCGCGTCGAGGGCGTCGAGCGTGCGCTTGGTGATGTCTGTCACGATGCTGAGCTTGTCGAGCTCCACCGACGTTTTCTTGGCGGTCGTTTGGAGCACGGCGGTCAAGAAGGACTGGGGGTTGAAAAAGCCGGGCAGCCAGATCGCAATCGGAATCTCAGCACCTACGCCCGCCCACTCTTGCAGCTGCGACAAGCGTCGCTCGAGGTCGGCCAGCCACGGCGAGAGCGACCGGAGACTCGGGTAGGCCACTGCTTGCCACGACGTCGGGACGCGATCGAGGTACAAGTGCTCTTGCAGCGCTTCCATCGCTTCCGTCATGGTCAGGTCGCCCCGAAAGCCCAAATCGAGCTCGGCCAAGGTCTTGGTCATGTGTTCCAGAAGCACGTTCATGCGTTCACACTCTTGCACAAAGACCGTCTGGTACGGCGAGAGGTCGCCGCCGGTGAGCACATCCGAGACGTCGAGGCGCAGCTCGCGGTAGGTTTCTAGCACGTCTTGCAAGATGCCTTCGGCAATGCTCTGCATCGTATCGGTCGAGGACGACGCAACCACGTCGGTCGCCGGCGCCGACGGCAGGGCGCCGAGGAGCAGCGTGCCCTGCAGGAGACTCTCGCTCGCTTCCGTGGAGAATTTGATGTCTGTATTCGGGTGCAGCCCAAACGCGAGTGGCGAGTCCCCCAGTAGCGTCAGCTCGACGTGCTCGAGCATGCGATCCAGTGTCGCGTTGAGCTTGGGCGCGGTAAAGAGCTTGACATCGTCGCCGTCGTCGAGGTACGGGAACATGCCGAGTTCGTCGAGGAGCTCGTCGCGTAAAAAGTAAGCCAGGTACGTGTTGCAGACGAGCCGGTCAACGTCGTTGACGATGTGACCTCCGTACATGATCTCGCCGAAGAGGTAGCGCAAGTCGGGCCACGGGACGCGCGTCGGTGCGTTTTCCATGTAATTGCCGAGCACCGTTGCACTTGCAATTAAATCGCCGGCCGCAAACGGGTACTTCATGTTGAACCCCTACCCAGAATGCTCCAAGAATGTATCCGAGGACACGATAGGATGGATACCTGGGCACCAAACCGCTTGCGCTCGAGCATGATCGAATGAAAGTAACACATGCCAAAGAGGATACCGCGGGTGCGCGGCTCGAGATCGTCGACGTACGCTTTTGAGAACGCACAGAGCGCGCGCTTGACATTCGCTTTCAGCCCCGTCGGTGGCTCGTTCGTGAGCTTGATCGCCTTGTCCAAGACGCCAATCGGAATGCGCGGCGACGGATCCGACGAAATGAAGACGCGGAATTCCTTGTGCACGCGACCAGACTCGGGCTCAAGGTTGGCCAGCCACTTGTCGAGCTCGAGGAGCCACTGCGGCATCAAGTGCACGTTGTTGAGAAGGATCCAGTGGCCGCTGGCAGCCCCCTCGGCGAGCGCAGCCATCGCAATCGTCTCTTGGCCTTGGCCCAAGCTAATGTTGTGGTACTCGATCCCTTTGCGCTTGGCGGCGCCGGCGGCGAGCTTGTCGACGTTGACGACGACGTCCGTGCCGGGCGAGAGGATAAAGTACAGCGGTGTCGACGGGCTCGACTGCTGGAACGCGTCTTGGAGCACTTGGTACGCGTTGAACTGCGCGTCGCAGTTGAGGTACTGGGACGCATTGGGTAGCACCGCGCCAATAAACTGATGCAGCGCAACCACGAGCCGGTCGCCGCGGAGACAGCGGAGCACGAGGAGCTTGAGGAAGGGCGTCTTGTCGAGCTCGCGCCAGTCGAGTGGGAGTTTCTCGGTCTCGGGCGTCGCCGAGTTGTACCACTCCCGGAACCGCGCTTCGCTCTCGACGAGGTCGGCTGCGAAGCGCTCGAACCCCTCGACCTGGATCAGCGCTTGTAGCATTTGCCACTACATGCATTGCAACGCGTGCAGAAGTGGTCACGAAGACAATATGGACCAACCTGAGAGTCGGTGAGCCACTCGATCGCGTTCTCATCGCCGACGATCTTGGGCGCGCGAAGAAAAAAGCGTAAATGGTCGTCGCTGTAGCCGCTCCAGTCGCCGATCGCGCCACGCTTGAGGAGCGCAAACGTGAGCTGCGTCAAGAAGAGAAACTTGTGCTCTTCAAAGAGACCCCGGCTGACCATGGTGAAGAGCGTGAGGAGCACCGACTTGCGCAATAGCGCGACGCGTTCGTGGGCGTCCGTGACACTCGCAGTGTGCGGCACGGCGTCCATGGCCTTGTAGTAAAAGACGAGGAAGGCGTCGAGCGAGTACTGGTACATCGGGTTGATCTGGCAGAGGAGCACCATGATGAAGAAGATCATCGCCCCTTCCTCTGCGATCGGCCGGTACACCTCGCGCGCGTCGTTGATGACGCGCTCGGTCTCCTTCCCGCGCACAATCGCCGAGTTGACATCCGTGGCCGTCATCTTTGTCGCCTCGAGCGACTCGATGAGCGGCACGTCCGAGAGAATGTCGTCAGGTGCGTTCGCGAGTCGCTCCAAGAGCTGGTTCTCGAGCTCCAGGAGCTGGATCTTGTACTTGTTGAACTGCTGCGCCAGCGCCTGCTTCTCCGTTTCGAGCACGGGCTGCTCGCGGTTGACGACTTGGGCGAGGAGCTGGTCTTCGAGCCCGCGCTCCGTCACGATAAAGTTGATGAGCGTGCAGTGAGCGACGATCTCTGGTCGGTAGTGCGGGTTGGACAGCTTGGTGTGCAGAAACAGCCGAAACTTTGTATCGTACTCGATGTCGTCGCCGCCGAGCTTGACAAACCACGACTTGCCCTTGCGGTGGATCTGCCGCATGAGGATCGGCTCCAGCATCACATCCAGCGTCTCGCCTGCACGGTTCATGGTTTTGAGAGGCGTTGGAGATGGGGCACATACCTAAATTCTCGAGAAGAACGGTCGCGCCGTCCGTGATGCCTTGTTCGAGCAGCTTGCGCCAGTTCTTTTGCGACGGATTCAAGACGACGAAGCTCAGTGGCGGTCGATCGGTGGCTGGCGCGTTGCTGTGTGCGGTGCTGCTCGAAGTCTTTGCGTTGGGGTTGCTCCGCTTGCCCAGTTCCAAGTTGTTGCTCCGGCGTTTTGCGAGTTTGGCTTTGGCGTCCGCCTTCTTGGTTGGGGACTCGGACGCTCGATTTGCGTCCAGCGACGTGTTGGAGTTGGCGTTGCTCGCTTCGGCGAGCGTTCGCTGCATCTCTTTGGAGCGGAGCCACGTGAGGCCCTGCAGCTGCGGGTCAATCAGCAGCGGCCAGCGCTCGCAGCTCGAGATGATGCAGCCGTTTTCGATCGACATGCGGTCGGCGGAAGGCCCTCGTTCATCCACTGCGCAATCGCCGAGTCGTCGCAAAGCGTCGAGATTGGGTCCAACGTTGGCGCCTTCTCATCACTGCTCGGTCGAAGACTGATGGGGATCTCGCGCGCCGCCAAGTCGGGCAGCCACACCTACGATGGAAAGAGGAGGAGGGTCAATGGCATGACAGGATGCAATTAGGCGTCACTACTTGTTTCCAGAGCTGGACGCGGAAGGACGCGTCGAAAGCTCCAATGTAGCTCACAAACGCTGCTGCGAGGAGCACATCGCCAACGAGACACGCTTCGCCGACCTTGAGCACGTCCACTTCGCGTTTCCAGCGCTCGTTCTCCGACGCGAGGCCGCTCACGAGCCGCTCGGCGAGCCCCAGCCGGTCTTGGCACGCGCGCGCTTCGGCTTCCACCTGCGACAGCCAAAGTGACGTCGTGACGACGGCGCGTCAAGCGTACCTTGGCCTTCTCGTTGGTCGCCTCGCGAAACGAGGCTTGAAGCGCCGCGAGCTGGGCTTCAACTTCGCGCACCATGGCCTGGACCGTCTCGAGGGCCGCGTCCGCATCGAGCTTGACCTTTCGACTCTCCTCGAGCGCATCCATGAGCGGCTTGACTTTGACGTAGACCTTGTGGTAAGCCATGATGTTGATGACCCACGTGCAGAGGTTGGCGGCGGCGACCGACTTGGCCTTCATTTTTTCAAAATTGAAGTTGGGGTCGTCCAAAATCGGCTCGACGCGCGCGGCGACCTCGGGCGGAATCGCATCCTTGTCGTACTGCTCCAGCGCGACCTTGAACGCATCGACTTTGGCCATCATTTTCTTGGCGTTGTCCCACGAAAAGTTCTTGGTCTCGAGCTTGAGCATCATGAGCACGGCGGTGGTGACTTTGTCGACGCCCGCAGGTGGCTTTTGCATCGACTTGAGCTCGGTCAAGCTCGCCTTGTTGAGGCAGTTGACGGCGTCCTGCGCGGCTCTCAACGCGGGCTGCGCAATCTCGAGCTCCGTCATGGCTTGGCGCTCGATTTTGGTCGCCATCTCGGCGGCCTGCGTCGCCTTCTCCTTCTCTTCGTCGGCTCTATAGCATCAGCGTTTGGATACAACGAATATGGAGATCCAAGGTACCGGCGCTGCTTGATTTGGGCGTCGTTGCGCTGCCGGCCCATTTGTTCGAGGAGTGTGTCGGTCGCTTTCTTGCGCTCGTCGACGCGCTTCATCGTGGCTTTGAGATCGCGCTGGAGCTGCTCGACGTCGTCGGCCGTCTTCTTGAGCGTCCGGAGGCCCACGTCGAGGCGCTGGATGAGCTGTGCGACCGACTTGCGTTTGGCACTCAACAGTTTTTTGTAGAAAAAAATGAGTTCCAAGAACGACGTCGGCGTCACATAGTTGTAGCGACCAAGCGCGGCTTTGAACTGGACCGAGGCGGCGATGACCGACGTGTGCACTTCGGCCATGTGATGGCTGACGTTATCGGCAATCGCGAGCGATGGCCACGCCAAGTCGCTCAGAAACGACGTGCTCACGCTCACGAGTGCGTCTTTGGGCCACGGGTGGAACCAGTCGATGGCCGCGCATTGAATGAGCGCGGGAAAGCGCCGAAGCCGGATGCGGAAGTTTGGGTGCACAGGCGAACACGCCAGGACGACGTGGCAGTTGGCGCGGACCCGGTCCAAGAAGAACGACACCTACACCAATCGGGTGTCTCAACATCCGATCGGGAATCAAGTAGAGTACATACCATGTGGTCGCGGGCGTCGGGAATGCTGTTGGCCTTGGCTTCGGCGCGCAGCGAGCCCAGAATTGTGTCCATTTCTTCGGTACCAAAGAGGTCTGCGAGAGCCGACGAGCCTGCAATGAGCATATTGAGGTAGATCAAAAACGTCTCGTCGACAATCTGCGAGTCGGTCAAAAGCAGCACAAGCGGCAGACCGGGCTTGACACCGGCCCGGCGCACGACGTCCTTGATGTCTTCAATGAGCTCGTTCGTGCCATATGTGGTCTTGACACAGAGCTGCAGGAGCGGGTACTGGCAAATGAACGTCGCTAGCTTCGTCAGCGACTGCTTCCCCGAGCCGCCGACGCCAATGAGCATGAGATGGCCCCGGGGCATGCTGAGCACACGGAGGATGCGCACGACGTGGTCCATCGCCGCTTCAAAGAGCACGAGGTTCATGACCGCGGCGGTCTCGTTGTACGCGTGCAAGCACGCTTGCAGCGTCCGTTGGAGCTCGTTGCGATCGTGGACTGGCATCGGTGGGTACGAGACAACGCCGTCGACTTCGTGTGGCAGTCGCGTAAAGAGGTTGGGCTGCGCGCTGAGCTCGGCCGCGTCGTCTTCGAGGTGCTTCTTCGCATGCTCCAAGAGGAGCTCGTGGAACCGGACGACTTCGGCCGTCGAGACAAGCCGATCGCTGAACACGCGGGCGCACTCGTGCAGCCAAAACCGGCCCATTTTCAACGTGGTTGCAAACAACTCTGGCTTGGTCGCGAGAAGACCCTGGAACAGCAGCCCGAGGTCCCGTAAGCTAAAGCTGTAGTGAGGCTTGATGGCCGTTGGTACAAAGTGCTCGCGCAAGTCCGCATGCAGATCCATGGTGGCGGCGAGAAGGCCGGGCGCCATTTTCTTGACTGCGTCACTAAAGTGGCTCATGTGGTGGTGCCAGAGCGCGCCAAAGAGCGACGCGCACTCGGACCGTGTCGGGAAGAGCACGCCAAAGGTGGCAAAGTGCCGCTGGAGGCGGGGGTTGATGCCAAAAGACCCGGCCTTGTGGTTCATGCACGCGACAAACTGGACGTCTTGCATCGTTTTCTTGGAGCCGACCTCGTGCCGGTCGTACCAGCCGCCATAGTCCATGTACTGCCGAAGCAGCTCGGCGTGGGTTTGCGTGCCGTACATTTCCACAAACGGCAAGTTGAGGTCGTCCAAGAAGTACACGAGGTGCGACTGCCGCGGCGGCCCGAAAATGCGCCCCGATCGCTTCTCGACATGTGTCTCCAGCTCGGCTTGCAGCCGCGCGGCGTCCGTGTAGTAGTGCAGCCCAATGTTGGCGACCAGTTGGTCTTCCTTGTGCCGTAGGCACTCGGCCATCATCGTGGTTTTGCCAGTGCCCGGGCCGCCCACGAACATCACCGGTGTCTGGCCGGGCAAAAGCAGCTCCAAGAGGAAGCCTAAACGCGTGCTCTCGACTGTCGGCACGACGACGTTGTAGACTGGCGTGTCGCCAAACACGAAGCTGCTCGAGGGAACAACGTCGGCCCACGGCACAAACTCGTTCGTCTCGAGCGAGAGCCGCAAATCAAAGACAGAGACGGCATTTGCATCGTCGCTGAGTGCGTGCGACGGCTTGAAGAACGGTTTGATGGCCTGGCTAAACAGCCGGCGACTGTCGCGCGGCTCGCTGTCGAGCGCGCCGCCAAAGGCCCAGACCGCACAAAACAAAAGACATTTTCGAGCACGTCGGGGGCGGCGTCGGGCGTGCGCGCTGTGAAGCCGTCGAGGAGCTTGCAGAGCGTCGTCATCATCGCGATCGCACTCGTGGGCACCATACTGCACAGCTCCTTCTTGTGCTCGGCGAGCACTTGGAAAAACCCGTCGGCGTGCTTTCGGAAGAGCGCCGACCAGAGCGCGGCGTCCTTGCGCTTGCTCGCCCACGAGTCGACGAACGGCATCCATCCGACGTCGGTGTCGTTGAGGAAGAGGATACCAGCGCGCGAGACGGTCGCCGGTGTTGCATTGACGAGCGAGTGGACCTCAAAGACCATGCGCATCGACTCGGTGAGCGGAATGCGCTCGTTCGAGACGAGCGTGAGCACCTTGTTGTCGTCCATGACCGTGTTCATGCTCTCAATCCAGACCGCATCAATGTCGCCGTCGAGGACGACCCACTTGCCGCGCTGGTGGGCTGTGTACGGCGCCACCTCCTTGCTCATGTTGCGCATGACGATCGAGAGGACACCGTCCTTCCAGTCGCGGCTGAGCGTCATGTACCCGTACAGCTCGTCGGACGAGACGCTCTTGGGATTGATGGCTTCGTAGACCACGAGCGGTTTGGGCTGGCCGGCGTTGACGGCGAGCGCGAGCGTGCGCCAGATGGTCGTCTTGCCCGAGCCCGCCGGCCCGAGCAGCATGACCGAGTGGCGAACCTTGAGGAGCTGATCAAAGTCAGCCACCTTCTTGACAAAGAGCTCTTCGGGCTGAAGACCGTGGGCGACGCAGACCGACGCGCAGCTCGCCCGAATGTTTGGGTCGCCCGACGGGGCATCGCCGGCGACGCAGGCGGGAAAGAGGTCGTGGAGAAGACCCATGAACGTGGGCACATCGCGCGTCGGGAGCTTTGGGAGGTTGAAATCCCGCAGCGCACGCAGCAGAATCGTGTCCTCGTCGCACGTCGGGTCGGCCCGCTTGAGACTCCCGGCAACGAGGAGCACGGATTTGACGGCGCGGAGGCCCCAGTCGTAGTGCACTTGTTTCGAGAGGAGCTCCGAGCTGAGCTGGTACAAGGTCACAAATTTCTTGGCGAGCGTGCGCGCGTGCAGAAACCCCTCGGACATGAGCATGTTTTCGCAAATCGGCTGGACGTCCGGTCGAATCATCGCACAGGACCGGAAAAGGGCCTTTAAATTCTCGGGCAATTCGGTGCGCCCCGCGTAGCCCGGGTTCATCGTGATGAAGAAGCCGACCGTGGGCACAAGCATGATCTTCTTTCCAGCAAAGAGAAAGCTGCCGACTTTTACGGGCGGTGTGCCCGCCGGCGCGCCTTGAAAGTCGGCGTCGCGGTTCGCTGGCAGGGCGAGCCACGTGATCGCATCGAGCACGGTCTTGACTTGGGTCGCGACCACGGAGAGCACTTCGACGTTGATGCGGTTGAATTCGTCAAAACAGCCCCACGCGCCGGTTTGCGACAAGCCGCGAAAGATGTCGGCCATCGTTTGGTAGTTCATTTGGTCCGAGCAGTTGAAGACGTAGCACATCAATCCCATGCCGCGCGCGAGGTCTTTCGTGGTCTCGGTCTTGCCGGTACCCGCGGGGCCCGCAGGCGCGCCGCCCAAGTGCAATCGCAGCGCGGTGGTCATGGTGACGTAGCAGCGGTCGGTCAACGGCGTAATGACGAGGCGGCCGCAGTTGCCAATGTACTCGTACGAATACGTGGCTCGGAAATCGCAGAGGCGGATCGCAACGTGTGGCGTCGTTTGCGGCTCGAGATAGTAGTAGCGCAGCTGGGACTGCCACGTAAAGTCGAGGGCCGACGACACCTTCTTCGCGACAAGCGATGCAATGACGTCCCGCGCGTGGACGTCGACCGTGATGACCGTGATGACCTTCATGCGATCAAGGCGGGCCATGTCGCCTACATCTCTCCATCGTCAGTTGAGACTATGACATGTCTGGCGAACCTTGCACGAGCGTGATGAGGTCGTCGAGGCGGGCGTGGCACGTGTCGAGGTACTTTTTCAAAGCGTCTTCTTGGCCGCCCTCGAGCTCTTCGAACGCCGACTCGGTCTCTTCGGTCCACACAATCTGCGACCCGAGCAGACTCATTTGCGCGGGGTAGTCCATGACCCACGCATACCGCGCGACGTCCAATCCCCATGCCGACGACGCCTCGAGCGCGTTGTGCACAATGGTCTTGAGCATGAGCTGCATCATGAGAAGGAGGTCGTTGAGCCAGATCTCGACGGGTGTCCCATTGGCGATCGTAAAGGGCGATGGAAACCCAACGACTTCGCCTTCCTTGGACGTGACCGCGATGGCCGAGAGCGGCGACGCATTTGGCTCGAAATTGAGCACGCGAATGCCGTCAAAGCAGTCGCCAAGGTGCGGCTGGATCTTGAGCGGGTCGTTTCCGTGCGAGAGGATGTCAAGGAGCGCCGCGTTCGAGACAAAATAGAAGCGCGGGAACACATCCTTCTTCGCATCGAGGTACTGGTTGAGCGCTTTCTGGCACACTTCGAGCTCGGCATGAATGTCACGCAGGACGTTTTCGCGGTCGTTGTCGCCCGCACACGCCTGCAGAATACCCAAGTGGGCTTGGACATCGGTGTAGAGCTCCTTTAGCGTCGCATCCACCGCTTCAAAGCGCTTGGTCTCTTGCGGCAACTGGAGACGAATGTCTTGAGAGCTCAGAAAGATGCGTTCGAGCGAGAGCCACGTCTGCTGCACCGTGAACCAGAGCTTGAGCACGCTCTCGACATTGCCAAGGGTCTGTTGCCAATCGAGGACCTTGTCGCGAAAGTACTCGACGAATTTGCCGAGGCCCGCCATCGTCTGCAGAAGCAGTTGTTGCTCTTCCAGCGTCTCGATGATGGCGTCGGTCTGGGACGCCTGGAGCACTTGGGTTCCATTCGCGTACGGCACCACCGCGAGGCTCCAATTGGCCCACACATTCGCAATGTGGGCGAGGTCCGACTCGATCTTGAGCTCGCGGTTGGCCATTTCAACAATGTCTTGCACTTCGGTCTCGAATCGGTACAAGTCGAGCTTGAAGAGGTCTTCGAGATGCAAACTGCTGTCGATGCTGCTGGTTGGAATCGCCCAGTTGGCGTGGTTGCGCGGTTTCGTGACTTGCAATAAGCTCTTCCAGTGGCGCTCGCGCATCGCCGACGAGTGGAGGATCTCAATGAGCGGCAGCGATGCGCCCATTTGGCGCAAATTCGTCTCGGCGGTCTTGTAGATGGGCCAGTCGCGGACGCGCAACGGGCACTTGAGCAGAAGGCTCGTCTTGGTGCGCACGACATCGAGGAGTGCGTCAATTGATGCATCTTCCCACAGCAGCGCTTGCCACGTGTAGAAGGTCATGGCGTTCTCATCGAGAAGCTGCCACACGCGCGTGAGGAGAGCCAAGTCGCTACGGCACGTCTCAAGCCCCTCGAATGCCATGGACGCCAGCTCAAACATGTCCTCGAGATTCCGGAGCCGCCGCGCCTCGGTCTCCATGTCGAGCAGCTTGGCATCGACGGTCGATAGCGCATCATTGGCTTTCGCAACGACCACATCGAACGCACAGGAGTCGAGTACAAGGGCGTCGTAGCTGAACGGCGCTTTCTGCACAAATTCGTCCCGGAACGCGGACACGCGTTTGTTAAAGACGCCGAGTTCGAGCTTGATGGCCTCGACGGCGTGGTTTTGGATCGGCGCAATCAGTTCTTTCTTCTTGAAGGTCTTGTTGACCATGTTGTCCCATCGCATTGGCGCCTGCTCCAGACACGAAATCGCCGTCTCCTTTCCGACATAGGACGCATCGAGGTTGATGCCGTGCGTCTTGAGGAGGGCGACGGTGTCGCGCAGTGGCCCAAACTGAACTTGTTTGAGCTGCATGAGGCGTCGGACGTCCTGGATGTGGCCCATGACGGCCATGAGCGCGTTGGTGTCGCTCACGTCGCGCTCGAGACCGCTCGTGACGCGCAGGACAAAGTCGTCCATCCACGTGAGCTGGTTGATGACGCGGTCGTGCAGAAACTGCGTAAACATGTAGACCCATTTCGTGACCCACGTGCTAAGCGCTTGCTTGATCGGGAGCGAGTTGACACGCACAAAGCAAATGTCCCGCGAGTGCTTGGCCTCGCTGATCTCGTTCTGAAGGCCGAGGTAGAGCCGAATTTTCTCATCAAACTGTGCCAAGTCGAGGTTAGGGCCCGACATGTCGACACTGGCTCGATCGGGCGGCGGCGCGTCCGAGGGCACCCACGCCGATGCCAAGAAGGTACTGAACATCGCGTTGAGGTCCGTGCTCCAGAGGTACTCGTACTTCATCAGGTCCTTCTTGTATTGGAGGCAAATGGCTTCTTGGGTATTGCAGCTCGTGACAATGTCGGCGATGCATTTTTGCACTTGGGGATGTTCACGGAGCTCCTTGAGATAGGTGCCGTCGGACGTGTCGAGCCGCTTGAAGAGCGTTGTAATGTGCAGTATGCCTTCGATCCAGCGACCAGCGACGTCCTTGATGCCGACTTTGGACGGCGCACTGCCGATTGGCGGCGCAAACACAATGTCCTTGCCGTACAAGTCGAGCTCGATCTCGAGCAGCGGCGTCAGATCGTGCGTCTCGATCGTGGTCGGGTCGAGCTGCGACCCGAGGTACTGAAGCGAGTTCAACACGACTTTGGTCAACCCGTCTTCGACAATGCCGTTGATAAAGTCGACGTACGCGCGCCAATCGGGCGACCCCTGGCTCACCTTGAGCTTCTTGAGCGTATCTTTCAAGAGCCGGTGGATCTCGTTCCCGCCCTCTTTGATCTGCTGGTACTTGGCCAATCGTGTCGGTGCTTGGCTCTCGTCGAACTCGGTCACACTCATGGGCTTGCTCCGGCGCTCAAAGAGCGTCCCTGCATCGTATTTGAATATTCACGCGACGGCTCGAAGGCACTGTACCGTAGCACCAGCTCTCGAGCAGCTCTTGCACACGCGTCATGTGGCTCTTCATTGCATCGAGAAGGGCAGTCGCTTCGTGCACGTCGGTCATCGAGTCTTTCAGAAACATATCAATGCCATGGGATTTCCAGTTGAGCGACCGAATGCCACGTGCCAGAATCTGGTCAATCTTGTCCAGATGCGCCTTCACCAGCGGTCGCTCGACGGGTAAGAGCGTTGTGTGTACGCGGTTGTACATGTCAACGATCAGATCCAAGTTGCCCGTTTGGCGGCGGAAGATCTCCGCTTTGCGGTAGATCGCCATCGCCTCCTCGGGCACCTCGAGGCCGAGGCTCAAAAGTACTTGACTTCGCGCAGCAGCTGCACGAGGGCCGGGTCGAAATTGACAAAGACGAGACCTGACTCGGCCTCCTTGCGGAGCAGCGGCAGCTTGAGCTTGGACTTGCTCGAGACCTCGATCGAGTGCGCCCACGTTTTGACGCTCGCACTCTCAAACTCCATGAGCGACCCGACCAGCGTCGTGTACATCTTGATGACGTCCTTCGAGTCTTCGCGCTCGAGGATCGCACGGTTGAGCCACTTGAGCTTCTCCATCGGATACCCAATGCGGTCACGGAGGCCGCGCGCCCACGCGACGGCGCCGGCAAACGGCGGAAAGTTGTACCCAATCGGTGGACTCTCCCGCTTCTCGACAAAGACTTGCTGAACTGCGTGGAGGTCGGCGCTGTACGCTGCAATCAGAATCGCGTGTTTCTTCTCGAGATCGTTCTTGATGATCGGCCTAGCGACAAGCGATGAAAAAAATTGCTAAAAACAAGTCAAATCCGACCGCTCGAGGAGGTCGTCGAACGAGTCGAGGAGCTTGAAGCGACCCGTGATCGACGTTGCGTCATCAAACGCTTGGTTCACAACGCTCGCCAAGCGCCGCTCGAGCTCCTTGTTTTTCGATCGAAATTCGTAAAAGTCGTCGTCAAAGCCCTTGGCATCAATGTCCAAGAGGTCGTACGCGACGTTCTGCACCACAACGACCGTGTCGGTAAAGTCGGCGTAAATCTGCTGCACGGACGTTGTGAGCGTCTTGCCCTTTGTGCCACCCACCTAGACACACATGCTCCCTTTGCGAATAAATATCAATATATCGGACGCACTTCAATTTTGGCCAGTTTGCCGAACTGGACAATGGTCTGCGTGAGTTCGAGGACGTCGTGGCAGCGCTCCAAGAACGCGTCGAGGCGAACAAAGAGCGCGTTGTTTTGAATGCGCCACTGGTTTTGCGGACACTCGGTGTTGGCTTTGGCCTTGTAGTCAAAGTACACGGCTTTAAAGTGGGCACATACGCGTAGGGTGGTCTTGAGGTTCTCCAGCGCGCGTGGTGTCTCGTCGGCGGCCATGAGCTCAAAGAGCATCGCGCCGTTCATGTACGCAAACGCCTATCCGATAGTTCACATCAGCATTTTTCAAGGTAAGACACGTCGACCTTGCGAATGAGCTCGTTGCAAATGTGTCGTACGAGCACGACGAGCCGCGGCGGTGTGTTGTAGAAGCGGCTCCACTTCCAAACAAGAAGAATGGAATGCATCATGGGTCGGAAGAGCTCGACAAGCGCTGTAAAGGTCGTCTCGCGCTCCATGGCGTGGAACCTAGAAGGCGTGAGGATGATAGACGCGGAGAGAGTGGGTGCGGACCATGGCAAGAGAGGCGCAAGGAAGAGCACATTGTCGTTGGCCTCGGCGCGCGCGTGGAAGACCTCTTTGCAGAGCTTGGCAAACGGTACGTTGTACGTGCTTTTGGTCGCGTCGAGGTACTGGAGCACCTTGCGAATGCTATCGCTCTGGAGCTGGTCAAAGATCGAGTTGAGATTGCGCGCTTTGCCGAGCCAGAAGCGGTTTTCCTCGGACGGACCAGGGTGCAGACCCTTCTCGTTGGCGTTGAGGAGTGTCTCGGGGTCTTGTTTGAGGATGTTCTTGATCTGCTTGGTCCACGTGATGAGGCAGCCTTCGAGCACATGGACTTGGTCTTTGATGGGGACGCCATGGTCCGACTCGTCGCCTATTGTCTTGGTATACGTTGACTGCTCGGGTGGCAGTGGCAAGCACGTCTCGCCTTTGGTTTGCCCGAGCGTGATCTGGAGGCTCGAGAGGAAGAGCTGGAGGTTCTCCGAGATGGAGGTCGCGACCATTTCCGGCCACGCGTGCTGGTTGCCGCTGTGCGACACGAGTGGCACAAAGACGTCTTGCATCATGCGCGACATGGTCTCGAGCACGCTGCGGTTGAGCGAGCCTGCGAGGAGCTCGGCGCCCACGTGCTCGGCCGAGACGGCGCCTTTGGCGACCTTGATGAGGTAGAAGATGTCGCTTTGCGCCTTGGCCGTCGCGGTCTGGATCGAGTGCGCGATTGTGAATCTGCCCGCGCCGGCCTCGTACACGAGCAAAAGGCGGCTCTCGCTTGCGCCGAGAAACTCGAGGATCCGCTGGCGCGTCCCGTCGCTCGTCACAAAGCTGTGCACGTGGTCCAAGTTGGACGCGCGGAAAGCCGTCTCAAGCAAGCGGCTCACGTACTCGACGCGGCCGTCCGGCGCGTTGTTGCGGCTGCCACGCCGAGCGTCGACGTCGACCGCGGCTCCGGCTTCCGCCATGCGAGATCTTGATACGACGCTTCGGTCTCTGTCCGGATAACGCGCTGTGTATCGTCTGAATAGTGTACTACATAAATAGTATAGTGCACCAATTGTATATTAGTGTAGTATAGAAATACTGTGAGCACGGATCCCGCAAACGGAGCGGCGGTTTCAAACTGGTGGTGCATTCGTAGTCGGGCTAAGACCAGGGCTCAGACATGCTTGACGTTGTCGATCGAAGCAGTAAATGCTACCGGGTCGTAGTAGCTCAGTGCTCTACCACTATTGTCTACCTGCGTCGATTCACGCTTCGGGTACGACCAGCCTTGGTTTGGACATTAAGTTGCCATTGTTGTGGTCCCTTGGGATGCAAGCGCTCTAGTTGCATCAACACGAGCAAAACATCACTGTAGAGATACGATCGGTACACATAGGCAGCAGTGAGCTGCCTTACAGAGACGACATTGTACTCGTTGGATGAAGGACCGAGGAGCGCGATGATCACCAACTTCAAGGTGCTTCATGTGATCGAGGGACTGGAAAGAGAGTCCGTCGGGATGCAGAGCCTCAACAAAGAACTACACGCTATAAATATGATGTCGTCTTGGATTCGCTGTCGGATTGGCTCTTGAAGGGGCGTGAAACCCCTGCACTTCCACCTGTAACCTCATTCAGCAATCCAACGGTTCAACATTTGACGTTTGGAGCGGCAAAGAAGCGAAGACGACGACCACTTGACATGGACCCGACAACGAGCTCACCGACGCGCTGTGCGTACAAGTCGGGCAAATGCACGAATGCGCGCACGCGCAAGCTCAACGGCGGGCAACACTCGCTCTGTGCGCTCCACCGAGAAAAGCAGAACGCCCACCAGCGCAAGAGCGACCGTAAAGCGCGCCAGCGCAAGGCGATGCAGTTGGCTGCCGATCCGTTGTCGAGGTCATCGACATCGTTGATGCAACTGTTCACGTACACGCCCGAGGCGTCCGACGGCGGCCCATGCCACAACGTGCCCGTGGTAATGGGCGACCCGAATTGGACCAGCAACCTCGTGGACGAGAAGCATCAACACATTGATGATTGGTGTACGCGTCGTCATGACGCGATCGTGCCGACGAGCGCCGTAGCAGCCTACAGCGCGTACCCGGAGCCTCCAAACCAGGATACATGGTTGTCACCAGACGAGATCAAGCCGTGCGTACAGCCCGTGCGACTGCCATCAATACGCGATTTGCTGCACCCAGTGTATGCACGCAACTTGTTCCCATCTCATTCAGCAGCTTGATGCCCGCGTTCTTCAAGAGTACATGCGTCGTTCGGCTCTTGCTCAGAGGTTGCGGCCACTTACATGATCCGCTGTCGTTAATATCATGAACGGAATTCGTGTTGCTCATCGTGTTTTAGCACCAGGCTACGTAGTGTAGGGCAATGGGCCACAAGGAAAGCACGTTGGCCATGAAAACAATTAAGAGACTTGCCTGTTGGCAATGGATCTTCAACGATTCGGATCGGTAGGCTTGGTCTAAGTAAAATATAGAGAAAGGAGGTGGTTTTACAATGGCTGGGCCGAAGGGGCTCATTCCAAATTTGGTAGCCTGGTTTCCACCTGCCTTGCACGCTTTAACGCGCCGCAACGCTCTCTTGTCCTTTGTTTTGGCTGACGCCTCTGCAAGTGCCTTTTACAAGTCTCTAAACAATGGGGTGACAACATTGCATGACCTTGCAACCTCTGTGCTAGTACCGCGAAACCACCAGTCTCTGGATATGGACTGCGTACAATTGTATGTGGTATGAGATAACCAACACCCGACGTATTCTTCACCAATCAGCGACAACGGCGGTGGCATGTGCACGGTTGAGGTCCCGCAGCGTTGCAAATGGAGCCTAAAAATACCCTTTGTATGTAGTCAATAGAGTCCCGCGAACTTAAGCACCCCTTGGATGCCGGGCACATCCCCTCTCTATGAGCGTCTTCCATCCAAGTTGATTTCCATCATAGACATGCTTGGTGCGTCGATGGACCGATGACGGTGCGCGCGACGTTTCGGCTCCACCAATGACAGCGCGCCATTGCGATCCGCCGTTTCATTGGCCAGCTATTCTCTCCAACCTAAGATGTTGACCTCTTCTTGAGGGACTGTCTCTTGGTGCGTATTCGGATGCGCCGGTTACCGCACACTGGGATTTCGCCAAGTGCCATGGCGACTAAAATGGACGGCGGAGCGCGCCGGCAGATCCCGATCGTGTGCCCCGGGCACTCGCGGCCGCTCACGGAATTGCAGTACTGCCCGCACCCGACGCCGAACCCGGTGCCGGGCGACGCCGACGCGTCGCACTACCTCCTCATCTCTGGCTGCCACGACAAGCTGCCGATGCTGCGCTGCGGCAAGTCGGGCAACTGGATCGGGACCTTTGAAGGCCACAAGGGCGCTGTGTGGTCGGCCAAGCTCAACAACGACGGGACGCGCGCGATCACGGGCAGTGGCGACTTTAGCGCCAAGCTCTGGGACGCAGTGACCGGCGACAACCTGCGCACGTTTGACCACAAGCACATTGTCAAGAGCGTCGAGTTTATCAACGGCGGCGCATATGTGGCCACGGGCGGCCAAGAAAAGCTCCTCCGCGTCTTTGATCTGGCGGCGTCGACCAACGACCCGCTCTTCACGATGACGTGCGACGAGGGCATTCGCAAGATCGTCGAGATCCCGGGCCAGGCCGCGGTGACGGTGGCGACCGGCGACACGGCAGGTTTGTGCAGCGATGCAACATCACCTTTGTATCTCATGTGCAAGGATAGGCAACGTGGTGGTCTGGAACGTCGAGACGCAAACGCGCGTCGCGACCTTCGCCGTCGACACGGTCGGCGGCGTCATGGACATGGAGGCCTCGCGCGGTGGCCGCGTGCTCACGGTCGCGGCGGGCTCGCACGTGTCGTTCTTTGACACGACGTCATGGACGCTCCTCTTTGACGTGACGATGCCAATTACGTTCAATGCCGAAGGCGGTGCGTCGCTGCACCCGACGCTCGACCGCTTCGTCGCTGGCGGCTCGGACACGTGGGTCCGCGTCTTTGCGTGGGAAGCAGGAAAGGGCCACGAACTAGAGTGTCACAAGGGCCACCACGGCCCCGTGCGTTGTTTGCGGTACGCGCCGAACGGCGAGAGCTTCGCGACCGGCTCGGAGGACGGTACGATCCGCATCTGGCAGACAACGTCGGCCGTTCGCTTGGAGTAGTCGTTCGTCAATGTTAAACTCGATATGAAGAAGATGAAGATGAGGACAATGGTAGTATGTATTGTCGTCTCTCGCTTACGCCACTTGGCGCGCGTACCACTTGAGGATCTCGGTGTACTCGAGGTACCCCGTGTTGTTGGCGTCAAGCAGCGTCACGACCGCGTCGATCTCGGCGTCGTTCACATCCAGGTTCAGGTCTACGCAGAAAGCGTGCTTGGTACTACGCAGCGAGGCGCAGGCAGGTCGTACCTTGGATGGCGAACGTGCGCAGCTCGCGCGCCTCCATGCGCCCGTTCATGGCAACGTCGTACTGCTCAAAGAGCTGGCGGAAATTCTCGATCTCGGCGACCGAGAGCTTGCCGTTGAGCGCGTCGGCAGCTTTCTCCTGGAACCACGTAAGTGAGTACGCAATGATGTCGGCGGGCGACGCGCGGATGATGTCCTTCGTCCACTCCTTGAGGATCAGCGGTAGCTCGATGGGCACGGCGATCTGCTCGGCGCTGAAGATCCGATTCACGTCCATGCTGCTTGGATGAAACCAATAATTTGGTTGATCTTGGATGCAACGGCCGTGCACCCACTGTTTTATATTCTGTTTGGATATCCTAATTAGGACTTTCAGGTGGGAAGCACATGGAATTCCACCCATTGGTTCGGCTTCGGATCCGATTCACCTCATCATCTAGAGCGATGCAAGGACTGCGTGTGACGACGACCGCGCTCCGGCGGACCTTGGCGCTGCGCCGCCTCCAAGCGACGCCGCTGCTGCAGAGAACGTTTGCATGTGGAACATCGGGCGCAAAGGACAAGTCGGCAATGACACCCAAGAAGCCTCGGCCGGCCGACCAATACGTTAACCCGTCTGGCACTGCGTTCCACCACGATGCGCTCAAGGCCTTCTTGAGCCTGAACGATCCAAGCGCTGATGAAGTCAACGTGGCCAAAGACCAGATCGCCGATGCGCTCGATAGCTTGCGTCCGGACATGCTCGGCCCCGAAGCCACAGTCTTGTCGCTGGCAGCCGACAAGGTGGGCGACCCGGCGCTCGTTCTGCAGGTCTACCGCGCGCTTCGCCAGGCACGCGTCCAGCCGGCGCCGCTCGTCCTGGAAATCTCAGCCCGGTACTGCGCCTCGGCGTCGACCGATGCAAATGCGTGGAACACGGCGCTCGACATCATTGACGAGATGCACGACGCCGTGCATCTCATGGGGCCGTCCACCGACATTTACGAGCGCGCGATCGACACGTGCGCACAAGCCGGCAAGTGGATCGTGGCCCTGCGTCTCCTCAACGAAATGCGACGCTACAACCTCGAGCCGTCAGGCGATGCGCTGCGCTTAGCCGGCCAGTGTTGCATTGCAGCCAACGAGCTCACAGCGCTCGACAAGGTGCTGCAGATGCTCGCGGCCGACAAGGAGTACCTCGACGTCGACGAGGTGTACGGAAAGCTATTGTTGACGGCCGTCAATCAAGAGAACGCTGCCATTGCCCACCACGTCCTGCTGCACATGCACGAGTACAAGCAGCCGACGACCAGTCTCCGTGCGGTCTCGGCGTTCTGGCGGTCGCTCACACGCCCTTCGTCGCACGCGCCTCTACTCGAGCTCACACCGGCGCACCAAGTACAGGCGATCACGGCCTTTGCAGCCGACCAGCTTTGGATCGAGTTGCACCAGTGGCTTCCGGTCCTCGGTTTTCCCGACTACATGGGCGTCGACGCCTATGCCACATCGACGCACTACATGAAGATTGCATTCCATATCGCGTCGTACCTCAAGTCAAGTGGCGTCGTCATGGGCGCCACGTTCTACGATGCACTGCTTCAAGGCTGCGGCCGGCATCAAATGCTCTCCGAGGCCAAGGCGCTTTTGGCCGAGCACCCAAACGTCACCATCTCGTCCTACTACTTTGCCATCACGGCGTGCCAGGCGCATGCGCGGGACGCCGAAGCCCTCTTTGATGCGTACTCGGTAGCAGGCATCAACGCTACCGGCCGCCACATCAAGCACCAGCACACGCACGCCGACGTCTGCGACGCGCTCATTACGTGCTGGAGCAAGGCGCGCGAGTCGCGCAAGATCTTGGCGTTTGCAACCGAGCTACCGGCCGAGATGCTGCACCACGCGCGCACGATGGGCATGATCATGCAGGCCGCGCGGAGCGTCGAGGACTATGCGACCGTCATCGACATCTTTCAGCAAGCCAAGGTCCACGGTGTCAAGTGCTCAGCCCACATGTACGCCGACGCGATGCTTGCGTACGCACGCACCGAGCGCGGCCGCATTAGCATGCGCCTCTACGCCCACATGCAGCTGGAAGAGCCAATGCTGAGCGTCCACCCTGTTGTACGTTGCATGCCACGGTTGCGCAATCATCAAGCATACGTCGTCTAGGTCATCAATATGCTCTTCCAGTGCGCCAATGCCTCGCCCGATGATATGATGGACGTGGTTGTCGACGCCTTCTACAAGATGGACCGCGCAACCAGCACGACGCCGCTGCAGTCCCAGGGCGTCATGGCCCTCTACGACGTGTTGGCAAAGAGCAAAGCGTAGGCGACGACGACCTTGCATTGGGATCTCACGATGCGTTCGACATGTGGTAGACTGCCGGCCGCCAAGGTCGCGGCCATGCACGACGTGTGGCAAGTGGTGCTCGAATCGCCCGCTGTCTACACGGCGCGGGACGGCTCTCGCCCACCCAACATGCTCAACAAGGCGCTTCTGCTTGCGGTCAACGCATTCGACGTCGACGCCGCCGAAAACCTCGTCATCTCGGCCGAAGACGTGGGCATGCGCTTGTCGCCGGTCACGTGCCAGCTCATGATGCGGCTGTACAGCCAGGCCGAGGACTTGTCGCCCTCGGCGCTGCTCAAGGACAAGCCGGCGTACCCGGACCGCTTTGAGTTTTGGTGGCGCGCCTTCCAGGACCACAACGACGCAGTCATCAACGAACACACGCTCGGACCGCTCTTGCTGGCCCTCTTGCGAGGCATTCCGTTTCGCGCGATCGGCGGACGACGTCCGTTCACCGTCGACGATGCATGGACGCTCATGCAGACCCACGCGATTCCGCTCACGCGCCACAACGCCGAGTACTTGATGCGGATCTACGCGCTCGACGGCGGCGATGGCTGGGACGGCGCCTGCCGCGTCATGAACCTCATGCACGACAGCCATTTGCGCCACACGACCACGTCCCTCCAACACTTCGCACAGATGGCCCTCGCGACCGGGGACAGCGCGCGCCTCAACCAGCTCGTCGAGTTTCTCGATGCACAGGACGACGATGCGATCGACCTCTGGCACGCAGTCGCCGATGTCATTGCACAGGCCGACTTGCGGCTGCGCTTCTGGCAGGCGCACTACGACCGCTTCGCCTGTACGCTCCACGCGCGCACGCTCGCCCTCGGGCTGACCAAGTGCAATTCGGCCGCCGAGCTCCGCGACGCATGGCAGTGGCTTCAGCAGCGCGAGAACGCGCCGACGCTGCTGCTGCGCGCCGAACAGGCGTCTGCGCTACGGTCGCGCCTCGTCGCATGGGGCGAAGCGCCCGACGACGCCGTGTGGGCGTCGCTGCTCGCGCGCGTCTAGGCCGCATCAAGTCGAGTCGTTGCCATCGTCGTCCTGCCACCGAGCCATCATGGCGACGCATGGAGGCCACTGCATCCTCTTGCGTCCTCGTCGTCGTCGTCCTCGTTCCAGCATCGGCAATGCGATCCAAAGGTCAAGTTGGCAACTCTTGGGCCGGCGATAATACAATGCAAACATTTAATTCGATATACAAATCACAAGCGTCGCGGCACGAAATACAAACCACGGCGGTCCGTTTGTAGAGACCGGGACGGCCATCGGTCTTTTAACATATCCTCTTAAAATGCATGCAAAGAAGAATCTAGTTCGTATGGATTTCTTGCTCTTTGAAACCTTTTACAATGCATATCCTGTATATATGCATACTCGCGAACGCCAGCGCCGTCACCGACCACGCTCGGAGCCATTTTCACTTGAGCGTTCCCGGCGGTACTCGAGCAGTATGGACGAGATGGGCATTGACCGCAAGATCGTCATCCTCGGGTGCACGGACACGGGCAAGACATCGCTGACAATCCGGTACTGCCACAACAACTTTGCGACGCCGACGGCCGCGACCATCGGCGCGTCCTTCCTCCAGAAGCGCATCCTCGTCGACAAGCAGAAAATGACGCTGCAGATTTGGGACACGGCCGGCCAAGAGCGCTTCAAGTCGATGGCCTCCATGTACTACCGCAACGCCAAGGCCGCGATCCTCGTCTTTGACGTGACCAAGCAAGACACGTTCGATAAGGTGCTTGGCGCCTGGCGAAACGAGGCCATTACCATGGATCGATGTAGGTCAAGGAGTGGCTGAGCGAGCTGCGAAAACACGTCGACAATGACATTGTGCTGGCGCTCGTCGGCAACAAGTGCGACCTCCCGACCGACTTTAACTTTGGCCTCGCCGAGGCGTACGCGAAGGAGATTGGTGCGACGGCCCACCGCACGAGCGCGCAGTCGGGCCACGGCGTGACCGAGATGTTTGAGACGGTCTCGCGCGGCCTCTTGGCGCAGTACTTGGACAATGAGCAGAAGGCGTCGACGCCCCAAGCGCGGACAGACCCGCTCGATAAGATCAGCGTCGTGCCACCGCCGCCGAAACCCAAGCAGCGGTCGTGTCCGGGCTGCTAGACGACGACACGAGAAGCAAGTAGATATTTGGACCCGCGCTATAAAAGATATATAAGCGGCGACACCGCCATGGTACCGTATACCCCACCGCATCCTTTCGTCTTCATCCTGGCCTGCTGCGACCGCTCGCCGCATGAAACCTTCGAAACGACCATCCATCGCCATCATGGCCGAGGACGGTCGACGCCAAGTGCTACTTAACGGCTTGGTATTTGCATCGACCTTTGACGCTGGCAATCTCCAGAGCGTCGTCTACGATGCGGCCAGGAGCGAGTACGTGGTGACGGCGGCGCCGGACCCGGCCCCGACGCCATCGCCGACGACATGGTTTACTTTTCGATCGCCAACCTCGCACCACGGCAAAGCATTGCATTGCGCGTGCGTAACCTCGTGCGTCATGTGGCCTTGTACGACCAAGACATGCGCCCGGTCACGCGCGCCTTGCCTTCGCAGCGCAAGTGGGAGCGGCGTACGTCCTCTGTGCACAAGCTGGCATCCTGACAATGGTCGACCATGCCTAGTGCACACGAGCGTGGGCATGACGCCGTCGGACCCCGACTTTTCCATCACATTTGGCCTCTCGGCGCCGACGGCCGGCGACGTGGTCTACGTCGCATTCACATACCCGTACGCGTACGCAGATCTGCAGCGGTCACTGCGCCGCCTCGACGCCGACATGGCTGCGCGCGACGATCTCTACTACTGCCGCGAGACGCTTGTGACGTCATTGGACGGCCGCAACGTCGACCTGCTCACGCTCTCGTCCCGCCGCCAGTACGACAGTCGAGACTTGGATGGGTCGACATACTAATGGCGCCGAGTAGTCTGGTCGATGCCCGCGAGCCGAGCGTGCCAGACCTCTTTCCAGATCATGATGCCATCTCGGCGGTACGAAGAGAGGAGGACGATGATGCAATCTCTCATGTCGAGGAATCGGGGGTAGCCACGACCGAGAAGGTTTCAAAACAAGCGCGTGGTGGTGCTCACGGCGCGCGTACACCCGGCCGAGACGCCGTCGAGTTATGTCGTCGACGGCGTCCTCGCCTTTCTCTGCAAGCGCGACGACCCGCGCGTTGCCGCCTTGCTCGACGCCTTCGTCTTCAAGATCATCCCGATGCTCAACCCCGACGGTACTATGCGTCTCGACGGGGATGCGAACGAGCGGACGCGCGTGGTAGGCGTCGCGCGCGGCTACTACCGGCACGACACACTCGGGCAAAACCTCAACCGGTTCTACGATGCGCCGTCGCTCGAGGCCCAGCCCACGATCTATGGTGTGCGCCACTGGTTCCTATCACTCGTACGCTCCTCTCTCTGGCTGCAATGCCGCAATCGCAGACTAGTGCGATTCCGAGGCAGCCCCGAGCGTGTACATTGACCTGCACGCGCACGCGGCGAAGCGCGGGTGCTTTATTTACGGCAACCGCCTCGAGACCATCGACGCGCAGGTCGCGACGCAGCTCTTCCCCAAGCTCGTCGGACTCAATTCGACTCACTTCGAGTACGACCAGTGCACCTTCACGGCCGAAAATATGGTCATGGTCGAGAAGCGCGACGGCGGGTACGGTGTCGACTTCAAAACATCTATCTATCTATCTATCTATCTATCTATCTATCTATCTATCTATCTATCTATCTATCTATCTATCTATCTATCTATCTATCTATCTATCTATCTATCTATCGATCTATCGATCTATCGGTGCGTAGGCTTTCCAAGCAAGGGTGCGCCCGCGTCGCCTTGTACAACGCGACAAAGGCCATGCACCCGAGTTTGCACTTTTACACGCTCGAGTGCAACTACAACAGCGGGCGCAAACCGGGGCGCGTGCCGCCGACGGGGGCCTGGGCGCCCCGCGGCATCAAAGCGTCTGGTACGGATCTCTCGATGCGTCAAGTTGATCACTGTCTGATGAAGACCTTCAGGTCCTTTGAGCCCTGACGTCGCGACCCGGTCGTATTTACCGAAATACACGCCGGCTGCATGGGCAGATGTCGGAAAGGGTCTCATGCTCGGTCTCTTGGACCTCTACAGTCTCAATCCATGTTCGCGCCTCCCACAGTCCTCATGGCGGACGCTGGCTGGCGTCGTGCAGGAAACCCGACGACAAGTAGCTCCGACGTTCATCAAGACACCGGCCTCGGCGTCATCGGTGGTCGAGAAGCGTAAAGGCAGCAGCAATCAAGACGAGACCTCCACCCAAGTCCGCTCCATCAAGTCGGCACCGGGCGCCGTCCGCCTCCAAAAACCACTGTTGCGGCTTCAATCTACGTCCAAGTAGAAGCGATGGGTCGAATGTGCTCCAAAAGACGACTCAAAGACGCCCAACGGCGTGCGAATTGCACTTGTAAATACCAGTCGTCGTTCATAATTATGATGATGTTGGCGCAGGAGATGACGATGTCTGCCGCAGGAGCAGTCGCTTTTCCTTCCTACACCATATTCCCACGGATCTCTACACGATATGACGTCGCTCCGAGAACGTACCAAATGACAAAGTCGGACGCGGCGCTCGCCAGCAGCTGATCTTTGGCTTTTTGGATATAACTCATTTCGGCCTTGGCGACGCCGAGCGCGTCAAACGATGTGCGGTACGCCTAGACGCCAATGGGTTGCTTGCTCCGACTTGGATACGAATGACTACTAGTACTTTTTGGCAAGCTGGAGCGCTTGGACGAGCCGTGTTCGGTCCTCGTCCGCGTCATCGGTCTCACTTAGCGCCTTGGTCACAGCGTCGATTTCACTAGGCACATGCATATATTGTCTTCTTTTCGCCAGACAATTGTGTACCTCTTAGCGACATTGACGTCGTTGGCGCACTGCACAACGCGTTTTTTGGCCTTGCGAAAGTTTTGCTTGGCGTCGTCCAGCTGCGTCTGCATGAGCGCAGCGTACTCGCGCTGGAGATCGTCGTCCGACAAGGGCGCTGGCTCCGTATCGTGTCGGTCGAGCGGCACGTCGTCGTCGTCGTCGTCTTGCGGCTCGTCGGGCGGCGCAATGGTGAGAGGCTGCTTTGTCTCGACAGCACTTGTGGCCAGCGCCACCTCGCGAAAGAGACGCAGCATGGCCCGTATCTGGACCACGTTGATGATGGGCAGCTCCAGCGAGGCATCTGCGACATAGGCGTGGATCGCAGTCTTCATTTCGGCCTCGGTCTCGGGTGGGATGGCGGCGTCGTACGACACGTGGCTCCGACCGGCCAGTGTATCGTGCAGCGCGAGCTCGGTCTTGAGCCGTTTGATTTCGTCGACATACTTCTTCACTGACGCACTCGATGAGTCGGCGCTGTTGACGACCGCCGACGTCTTGACGCGCATCATGCGCGTGGCAAACTTGAGCGTCGCGATCGTTTGGTCGTTCTGGGACTCGTCGGGCCAGACGCAGGCCACAAGAAGGGTGCGACAGTTGCCTCCGAGCGAGTCTTTTCTATATCGGATCGCGTTGGAAACGGGACAATGTATCAAGTTGATACAAGAGGTTGGTGAGCGTGGTTTGGCGGTACGGAATGTGCTCGCGCTTCTGATCGCCCAGCGCAATAACCACTTGTTCCAGAAACGTCAGTGACTTGTTGATATGCATCGTCTCCTTGAGCATCGTGCCCGTGACTTGGGTCTTCTTCATGCGCTCCGAGCCCTACAAGATAATGTAGTAACTAGAGCAAGGTGCACGGTAGACGCACGGCGAGATCCACGAGGTTGAGTTTGCTCACGACCAAGGGGCTCTTGGCGCTCTCATCGGCGCTGCGCTTCTCAATGTGCAAGCTAAAGATGCAATGCGACCTAATAGACACTCGCCGTTTGAATCCCATCGACATGCACAAGCCGTCGCACCGCGTTGACGCGTTGTTGAGGCAGTGCTCTGCGATCGTGCGGTTCGTGTCGCCTTGAAAAAGCAAGTCCAAGGCCGCCTCTTCCGTCTCGACGAGCGGCTTGGAGAGGCCTTTGACAAACGTCTGGCCTAGAAGCATATATCATGGAGACGTGAGTGGTGCAAAAATATAAAGACACTGCCCGGCTACCTTTGTCGTTTTCTTGAACGACCAAGTCGCGCGCCTGGTTCTCGCCGTCGTTAAAGTCGAGGAGGTCGTAGAGCTGTTCGTTGTATATCTCAATGTACGAGACGCGCACGCTGTAGGTAAAGTCTCTCGCCGCCTTGATGGCCGCGAAAAGGAGCGCAATCGACCGCGCGCAGATGCCTCGGTCCGCAAAGCTTGTTTTGCCGCCGCTCTAGACCCTTCTGAGACGACGACGTCTTCGTGCCGTCGTACGTACCATGGTAAAGGTCTTGCCAGCGCCGGTTTGACCGTACGCCATGACCGTACCTACACAACATGCTCGGAATACTAGGATGCATATCATGGGAAGAGCACCGTTGTAGCCGTGCAGGACGCTTTCGGTCGCTTCTCGCGCCGCCCGCTCAAACACTTGCTCTTGGCTCACGGTACTCGCGAGCACGTCGTCGAACTTGAAGCACGTGCCGTGGCCATTCGCATCGTGGAGCACGCTGATCGTCTATACAGTATGTTGATGCAGGAGGACTCGTGACAACCCGCGCACGAAACAAGAAAGCACCTTGTCGGCCTCGCTGACGAGAATGCCAGCGTGGTCCTTGGACGCAGGCCGCACCCGGATGCACACCTTGACGCGCTTGTGCATCTTGTCCGCCGCGTAACCCGACGTTTCAACACGTAACGCTCCCTCCTCTCGCGGCGACGTTGACGTCTGATGAGTTGTAGGAAGCTTCGTTGTAGACTAGAATCGCACAAGCCGTCAAGGCTGTGTGTTCGGGCGATGGCTCTCTTTATTCAAGTCAACGGCGGTGGCCAGAGCTACAACTAGTTCCGCTAAGATGGCCATTGCTTCGACAGTATTGATAGAAGCAGTGCAGCAAATGAGTAAGAACTCTTTTGTGCAGAAAGTTGGTGCGCTATGGGGGTGGCATTAAAGACCTTCTTAACTAATCGACCGACGACACAAGTGTAGCCGGCTTGACCTTGGCGGCAACATGGTCGTGCAGCGACTTGAGTTGCTGCGTTCTGATTGGTCGATTTGTTGCCGCAACATTATTGGCACCAAGCAACATGCTCCGACGCCTCTCGACCGACGCGCGCCGGAAGCTCAAGGCGCGGCAGCTCGTCGATGTGGTGAGCGCTTTGCACGTAGGTAGTAGATACGATGCGACGATGGAGATATTAGACGATCGAGTCGCTCGACATTCACGGGCTCGGCGTCGGAAAGGACGCGGCAACCGGCCTCCTCTGCGCGGTCAACGGCGCGATTCCAGGCCAGCACATCAAGGGCCGCGTGCTCCAAGACAGGTAGATGCATTCTCAGTGCTTGCATGATCTCTGTATCGCTGATATTGATTAGCGTTGTGCCAGCACGTGTGGCGCAGATGGAGCTGGTCGCCGAGAGCCCCGACTTTGTCCCGCCAGTTTGCCCCGTGTTCGACAACTGTGGCGGCTGCAAAACTCAGCACTACCCATACGTCAAGCAGGTGGCTGCTAAGCACGCCGCGATTCAAGCCACGTTGGGTCGGTCGGACGTCGCGCCCATGGCCAGCGCCACCGCAGCCTTTGGCTACCGCAACAAGATGGAGTTTACGTACAGCGCAGGTCGCTGGCTCACACTGCTGGACACCGTCCAAGATACGCACCAAGCGACGCTGGGCCTCTTTCCCAAGTCGAAAGGAACGCGGCGCTGGGACGGCCGCGTCGTGGCGATCGACCATTGCGCGCTACAGTCGGAGGTTGGGAACCGCCTCGTGGCGACGCTCTGGCGCGTCTGCAGCGCGCTGCCAGCGTACGATTTCCTCAAACACACGGGGTTCCTGCGCCATCTCGTTGTGCGCGTCGGGTCGACACTGGGCGGTGACACGGAGGTGCTCCTCGGTCTCGGCACGGCCACGATCGACGACGCCACGGCGCCGGCCGTCGCAGCCGTCGTCGACGCGCTTCTCGCGACCGCCGACGATGCGTCGGTCGTTGTTTCGGTCGTTCAATACATGGACGACGAGATGGTGCGTCGGTTCCGCAAGAGCCACGATGGGCAGCGACCGCAGGAAACGCTCCGCCTCCTGCACGGCCGGTCGTACATGAAGGACACGATTCTCAACAAGGAGTTTCGCGTCTCGCTCCAGTCGTTCTTCCAGCCCAACACGGCCATGGCGTCCGTGCTCTACGCGTACGTGGCAGCGGCGCTTCAAGCCCGCGCAACGCCGCCGGTGGTCTGGGACCTCTTTTGCGGCGTCGGCTCGATCGGGATTTGCGTCGCCGACCACTGCGCCCACGTGGTCGGCATTGACATCGTACCCGACGCCATCGTCGACGCCCGCGCCAACGCCGAGGACAATGGCGTCGCCAACAAGATGTCCTTTCTCTGCCGCGACGTCCTCGCCGATGGTATTCCCGACGGCCTCCCGCACCCGGACGTGGTCATCGTCGACCCGCCGCGCGCCGGCCTCAACTCCGAGCTCATCTCGTTCTTGACGTCAACCGTGTCACCGGACGAGATCCTCTATGTGTCGTGCAACGTCGTGAGCCAGGCGCGCGACCTTGAGAAGCTCACGGCGGCCGGCTACAGCGCCGTGTCGATCCAGCCCGTCGACATGCTGCCGCACACACCCCACGTCGAAAACATCGTTGTCTTGCGGAAAGCTAATTGAGCCTTCGAATTTTGCTTCGAAATTTACGTGAGAATTCATTTCTCACGTGTACAAGTCGACCATCAAAACGTCCCGAGCCGCCGCGAAGTCGGATTGGACCTTGATGGGAAAATGAGGCGTCTTAACTCAACCATCGCAACGACGCGCCCTTGCCTTTTGCAGCGTAGTGAGCTGGTCTGTGACTGCCTGTGAAAAGCCAGGTCGCGACAGCAAACATTATTATCTGCTACAAGTACTGTAGTGCCTAGAGACTGCTATCGTCAAGGGTTGACCCTTGTATCGAGCTTATCTATCCACTCTAGACAAGCCCTGAGAGCTTGCCTTATTGGATTTGGGGAGCGTACTGAGAGTCAACGTTATCTTCACGGCGTGCGTGATTATACTCGTTGAAAAACACACGGTGTAAAATCACACGGTGAAAATCCCGATCCTTCGGGAAACGCTTTGCGTGGAAGTCAGACGTCGTCGTCGTCGTCATTCCCATTGTACATGCGCCCGACGCACCTCCGACGCAGCATGGCATCGATCTCGGACCCGTTGATTAAGCTCCACCTCTCGCTCGAGCACACGGCGGCGCGCGACGGCAGCGGCTTCCGCGTCGAGCGCGACGAGAGCGTCGACCCGCGCAAGCCGCGGGCCAAGGTGCTTGGTGCGTCGTTCACCAAGGCCATTTGCACGCCGCTGCCGCAGCCCAAGCTCGTGTGCATTGCGCCCAGCGCGCTCCAGCTACTGCAGCCAGCAACCGCACCGGCGATCGCCAAGCTCAGCGACGACGAGACGTCATCGTGGCTGCACCTCATCGCTGGCACGGGGCCGCTCGAAGGTCTCGCGCACTGTTACGCGGGGCATCAGTTTGGCCACTTTTCCGGCCAGCTCGGCGACGGCGCCGCAATTCTTCTCGGCGGCGTGCCCGGCTACGAGGCGCAGCTCAAAGGCGCGGGGCTGACAAATTTTTCGCGCACGGCCGACGGGCGCAAGGTGCTGCGCTCGACGCTGCGCGAGTTCTTGGCCAGCGAGCACATGCACGCGCTGGGGATTCCAACGACGCGCGCGGGCGGCGTCGCGGTGTCGACGACCGAAACGGTCCTCCGCGATAGGTTCTACGACGGCAACGCCAGCCAAGGTAGCCAGAACACCCCGCTTGCGCTCTTCTCAATGTGTGCCTCATAGAGCCTGTCGCGACGGTCTTGCGCATCGCCGAGACGTTCATTCGGTTTGGCTCGTTCGAGCTCTTCAAGCCCGTGGACGCGACAACAGGGCGGAGCGGTCCAAGCGCCGACCTGCCCACGGTAACCAGCATATTCCTCTGCGCCTTTTAGATCCTCATCGACCCAAATAGGACGCCAAAGAGGCCACGCTGCGCGCCATGGTGTCGTTCGTCGCCGAAACGTACTACAAGTTGCCCCGCGACATGCCGTTTGAAGACAAGACGCAAGCGTTTCTGCAAGCACTCTGCGAGCGCACGGCGCGGCTTGTCGCCAAGTACGACTTCTTACGCTCCTCTTGTGTACGGCAAGACTAAGAAGCGACGCAGGTGGCAAGCGGTTGGGTTTTGCCATGGCGTGCTCAACACGGACAACATGAGCATCGTCGGGGACACGCTCGACTATGGCCCGTACGGCTTCATGGAGCACTTTGACCCGCAGCACATTTGCAACACGTCCGACTCGTCCGGTCGGTACGCGTACGCCGAGCAGCCCGAGGTAGCGATTCCCACCCTGACGGCGCGTCACGCTCGCGCTAGATCTGCAAATGGAACGTGCACAATCTGGTCTCGCAGCTGACGCCGCTGCTGCCGCCGCCGATGCTGGACGCACTCCACGCGCTCGTCGAATCGACGTTTGACGAGGTTTACGCCGCCGAGTTCTCTGCTCTCGTGCACGCCAAGCTCGGGCTCGTGGCCGACGATATGTCGAATGACGTCCTTGCCGCGTGGTGGTCGACTCTGACGGAGACGCGCGCCGACTTTACTTGCGCCTTCCGGGCTCTCTCGCAGCTGCGCACGAGCGACGCCGCAACGAGTGACGACGTGGTCGAAGCCCTCGCTAGCGTTTCGCACACGCTGGCACAAACCAAGGCCGCGCGCGCACCGAGTGTGTCGCCGGCGCAGCTCGTGCATCTGCGCGACCTCCTCGAGAAGAGCCCCGCGCGTGCGGCCCAGTACGGCATCAACGCCGAGGTTTTTCAACGTCTTATGCAATCGCATCACGGTGTATCTAGGTGCTCGCCAAGCTCCAAGAGGACATTACCGCCTACTCGGCCCTGCTGACGAGCGACTGGACAGACGCCTCGTTCCGTGACGCGCAGGCTGCCAAGTGGCGTGCGTGGGTTGACGCGTATGCTGCGCTGCTCGTGCGCCAAGACGCTGCGTCGGACGAGGACCGGCACGAGGCTATGAACGCCGTGAACCCCAAGTTTACGCTGCGCAACCACGTGGCGCAGGCGGCGATCGAGGCGGCCGAGCGCGGCGACGACGCCTCGGTGCAGCACATTCTGCACCTGCTGCTGCACCCGTTTGAGGACGGTCTCTCGTGCGACAGCGCGCTCTATGCGACGCCGTTGGATCCGAGCGCGCCACCGCTCATGGTGTCGTGCTCGTCGTAGCTTGTAGCGAGGACGTTATTGATGCCCTTGCGTCTTTTGTATCTTACTATTCTTTGGCACGAACGCGTATCTTCTCAGTCTACGACAACGGCAGAAGCACTTGGGGCTTGAACAGCCACGGCTGCGCAACCTTGGTGGGCACGAGCTGGCCGTTGGCTTGGAGCTGGAACGTCTCGAACGTGTTGGTGTTTTCCTCACCGACGATCACCGTGTTGTTGGCGCCGAGGGCAAAGTCCCGCGCGCCCGCCCAGGCTTTAAGGACGTAATTGCCGATTGGCGTGAGGTCGGCGGCAAAGACGGCAATGCTGTCGCCCGGCGTCGACCCGCCGTACCGGTTCGTGACGAGGATGTAGCGGCCGTCGGCGGTGATGCGGATCGCGCCCGTGAGGACCCCAGCGACCTGAGTCGTCTTGACAGCCTTCACCAAGGTCAAGAGCCCCGACGCCGGTGCATAGTTGAAGCGAAGGACTTGGTGCGCTCGGTCACCAAGTAGAGTTGCTTGCCGCTTGGGTGGAACGCCGTATGACGTGGCAGCGCGCCCGGGCTGACGGTTACAAATGCCGGCGAATTGGCAAGGAGCGTGCCCGTCGTCGGGTTGAACTTGAACTGCATGATTTTGTCGTTGCCGAGATCGGTGACAAACCTAACGTCACGTTAGAGGACAGCTGATCGGGAAGATACGGGAAAAAGTGTACACATAGTTGTTGTCGGGGCTTAGAGTGACGCAGTGCGCGTGCGCGATGTCTTGACGCCCCGGCACGACGCGCGCGGCACCGGGGAAGACCACCTGGCTCACCATGCGGCTGGCCACCTTGGTCGTCGGATCGATCGCCAGCACCTACTCGGCATCGCTGTTGCACCGGCGACTTTGACGAGACGACCGAACGCACCGTAATGCTTCCGACCGTGTAGCTCGCGACAAGTGCAAAGCGCTGATTCGACGTCACGGCGATGTGCACGGGACCGTTCGAGTTGGTCGACGTCGCGCCGAGGCGCTTGAGCGTCGGCGACGCGCCGCTGCGGTCGATCGCAAACGAGACAATCTGCCCGGCTGCGACCTCGTTGGTGACGTACAAGTAGTTCTTATCTTGTGTGAGCGCCATGAACGTTGGCATGTTGCCCGTCAGTGTGCTGGAGACCGAGAAGAGCTGTTGGAGCGGCGATTTGCTCGCGTCGTAGACCGTGATGCCCGGCGAGGAGGCCTTGGAGCCATCGGTTCGCGCACCAACGAGCAGCAGTGACACTGGCTGGAGCGTCGTTGGTGCTACTGCCGGTGGCTTGGGGGTTGTCGGGGTTTGCGTCGATGGCATGGGCGTTGCCGCAAGCAGCTCAAACGTGAGCGTACTCGTCAACGTCGGTTCGGGTGTGGTGCCCGCCACAGTGGCGACGCATAGAGTAAAAAGGTACAACACCGAAGTCTTCATCTCGGTGGATCCGGCGGCTGACAAATTGCAGAGTGAGGAGGAACGTAGTTCGTTTCGGTGGCCCCATCACCACGGCGCCCATCGTTCTCTGTTTTCAACGGTCAAGCGACGGAGACGCATTACGCATGGAAACAGCGCGTCGTCTCATCCGTCCACCACCAATGTCGGTACGTACATTGGCCAGGGCATTAGAGACCTTGCATGATACCCTGTACCTCGTAGATATCTTCTATCGAGCGAGCGACCTGACGAGCGACACCAATTGGCAGTAATGGCTCGCCACCGCCAATGGGCTACCAAGGTCTAGTGAGGACGGTGATGTGCGCTGTGATGTCCCTCTCTTTACGCTTAAACTAATGGTCCTTGTGAGCTGCACTAAGGAATGGCAAGCTGATGGGCTCCGATGGGCTCAGGCACCGGACCGCGGTGATATTCCCGTGGCAAACACACAGCATCCTTCCTCTTCGACCGCCTAAAATCCCACTTTTCCCTGCGCACGAGCTCTGCGGTCTTCGTTAGTATTGATGTCGAAAACGCATTTACAGTTAGTACGGCAGGAGCACCTGCGGCTTGAAGAGCGTTGTTGCTTGTCCTTGGTGGTGCGTCAGCTGACCGTTCGCGTGCATCGTAAAGCTATCGATGCTGTTGGTGTTCTCATTGCCGACGAAGACCGTGCCGTTGGCGATTGTAAAGTCCCGGGGTGCGCCCGAGGCTTGGGTCGGGTACGATCCGATGCGCGTTGCCAAGTCGGCGCTGAAGACGACGAGGCTGTCGTCGTTGCCCCACCGGTTCGACACGAGCACGTGCTTGCCATTCGGCGCCACGTGCAGCGCGCCGGTAAAGACACCACTCGATTTCGTCGTGGTCTTGACCGCCTTCTTCTGGCGCAAAGTGCCCGACGTCGCGTTGAATTGGAACCGAATGAGCTCGTTCGACTGCTCCGTGTTGAGGTACAGATCGCGTCCGTTCGGGTGAAACGCCAAATGACGTGGCAACGCGCCACGCCCGACAGCCACGAACGCCGGCGTGTTGGGTGTGAGCTTGCCGCGCGTCGCATCAAACTTGAACTGCATGATCTTGTCGTTGCCGAGGTCCGTCACGAACCTAGCACCCTCGCGCTCAGAGATATACTACTCGGCACGACGTACGCAAAGGTGTTGTCGGGGCTCAAGGCGACGCAATGCGCGTGCGGTCCGTCTTGGCGACCTGGCACGACGTGGGCACCGCCTTCAAACGCCACTTGGTCGACCACCGTGTTTGCAAAGCCGTTGGCATCGACGCTTAGGACCTAAACAGTTCATTCATAGACAGCATCAACAAAATGTGGCTTACCGTGATGCTGCCCACCGAGTAGCTCGCGACAAGAAGATAACGACCCGACTTGGTCACGGCGACGTGCACAGGTCCCTTGGACTTGGTGGATGCCGTCCCAAGGGGCTTGAGCTCCACGCTGTCACCGGCGCGCGCAATCCGAAACGACGAGACGGAGCCCGCGTCGATCTCGTTCGTCATGTACAGAAAGTGACCGTCGTGCGAGGCCGCCATGTATGTGGGCATCTCGCCCGTGGTCGCCGTCGTCTCGTGCAAGAGCTTTCGGAGACGGCCGTTTTCGTTGGCAAAGACCGAGAGACCGACCGACGACGTCGGCGACGTCTGGCTGCCGACAAAGATGAGAGCGCTCTGGACGACCGTCGCGACAAGCACCAGTAGGCTGAGGACGAGCGTCGGCTTCATGACGAGATGAAATGTGAACTGCGGAAATGTGCAAGTGTGCAAAGGAGGATATGTGAAAAGGCGCGGTGGTGGATCGAGCCAGCGGGATGCGCTTCTGCGATAGCATCCGGATACGAACCACGACGCACACAGGTCGGAGCGCGTTCATTGTCCAACGTTCGAACGTGTCGGAACCCAGCTGCCGCCGCTCTGTGAGGTTCGAGTGAGATTTCATGGCGATATCCCAGCACTGCACTGCTGGGTTATCGTTAAGGTGCGAACTCTTTATATCAAAACTTGACGGCTGGTGTGAGGACATTTGTTTCTGGTTGGGTCAGCGTCGTAGAGGATACTAGCGTTCACGTCATGCAGCACCGAAGGGGCATAGTTCCGATCATAGCAGAGGCTGCAAGTCCATTGCTCTCGTTCTCCCGAGCAATTTGGGACCACGCCGAATCCGAATACATAAATGGGCCGAGAGAGGTGGACCAATCATGTGGCGCTCGTCGACAGTGCGGTGCGCTGATTGGCCCCGCGCAACCTCACGATCATCGTATCATGTTGATACCATGCACAAGCAGATGCACAAACACCCTCTCGGGCACTGGCATTGAATTGCCGCATCGGTGGCGCAAACCGTGCAGGACGAGGCGCATAGTTTCATTATGTTGAGGTGTTCAAGTGTCACGAACGCTTGGGCGAATAAGGCCGCCACAAGTGCCTCGCAGTGCAGTTACGTCAACGACCGGGACCTTCTTGGTGCATGCATCATCACTCGCTGTATACCCTTCATTCACAGTGCGCCGGGGCGATCAAAGCTGATGCTGACAAAGCCGACCTGCAGACGCGACCTGGTTGTTGACAGTTGCATGTCCTTGCTCGACGAGCGAACAACATGCGTGCGAGGACAGGCTGTTGACGACAGCAAAGCGAGGACAGCTTAGCTTGTTGTCGGTACACTGTGCACTTGTGCGCGGGTCCTTTTGATGCAGACAAGCGGGTACAACTTGGCGCTGAAGCGCAGTTTGCAACGGCTGAAACGTGACACGCTTGCGACTCGCCCTTTTGCGCAAGCTCGGACTGCAAGGAATGACCTTATAGCGTACTAGTAGCGCGCAGAGCCTAGGAAGGCTCGAGGCAACGAATTGAGCTTGGTGCAAGCGTGAGCCTCTGTGCCGTCGTCCTTGCAACGCCCATACGTTCGACGCTCATCGAGGAACAAGACCTTGATCGAGTTTTTTGAAGCGACGTTGAGGACTGATCTCACTATTTTGATTCAGTGCAATCACCATCGACGCACGCGATACAGGTCTCATCGACCGATGCGCCAGTACGCCCAGTCGACTGTCGCATTTTTGTGGACGGCGGCCACACGCTTCGCCTCGTCGAAACGCGCCGGCGGTCTAACGGCCGGTCCGAAATAGGTGGCAAAACCACTCTGCAGCAAGCGACGCTTGTGTTGGATTTCTGCGATGAGTGTCGCGCCGCTGCCGGTGCGCCGTCCAAGTGCACACGAGGGCTCGTCGCTCGAGTCGAGTGCCGCCCCCGGACGCATTCTCTACATCAACGACCGGCCGTCGACGCTCGCGGCCATGGCGCGCTACAACCTCAAGTACCCTGGCAACGTCGTCAAGACGTCCAAGTACTCGGTGCTGACCTTTCTACCCAAGAACCTCTTTGAGCAGTTCCGGCGCGTCGCCAACTTTTACTTCCTCATCATCTCGCTCCTCCAGCTCACCACCAAGTTGTCGCCGACCAACCCGTACTCGACTGTCGGGCCTCTCTTGCTGGTGCTTATCGGTATACTATCCAACGACTCGGTCCATTCCGTATGGATACTTGAGTAGCCACGATGATCAAGGAGGCGATCGAAGACAAGGCGCGACACGAGGCCGACCGCCAAGTCAACCACGAGCTCACGCTCATTTACGACGCGCCGGTCGGCTGGCGCAGCATCACGTGGATGCAGCTTCAAGTCGGGGACCTCATCAAGGTCGACAACAACAAGCCCTTTCCCGCCGACCTCGTCCTTCTTGCCTCGAGCGCGGAAGATGGCCAAGCCCAGGTCGAGACAACGAGCCTCGACGGTGAAAGCAACCTCAAGGTACAAGCAATGTCGGCGTTCCTTGCGACATAGTACTGGTGTAGACGCGCTTTTGCCCGATGACCAAGGCAGGTCCGTTGCAACCCACAGCGTTTCCGTCCAATATGACGGGGGAAATCCGATGCGAAGCCCCCAACCGGCGGCTGTACACGTTCGACGGCGTCCTGCAGCTGCGCGCAGCGGGCAACGAGCAGGACATTTCGCTGACCATCGACAACGTCGTGCTTCGGGGCATGAAGCTCTGCAACACCGAGTACATCATTGGAGTCGTGGTCGCCGCTGGCGCCGACTCGAAGCTCATGCTCAACACCAAAGCTGTACGGCAGACAATATCATGTCATGAAAATGTCTTATTGTTGCGCAGACACCCTCCAAGTTTTCCCGCCTCGATGTGATTGCCAATCGATGTATCCTGCTCGTCTTTTCCGTGCTCTTCGCCGTGTGCTGCCTCTCGACGGGCCTGAGTTTGATGTGGAGCCACCAGCGCATGCGCCTCAACTCGACGACGTACCTCTCGCTCCTCGTGGCCTCGAGCATCCTCGACGTCAACACCTTTGCGAGCACGTTTGTGACCTACCTCATTCTGTACAACAACTTGGTATGTATCGATGGAAAGAATGTCTACTGAACCAAAGACAACTTTTCACTGTAGGTGCCGATCTCACTCTACATCAGTTTGGAAGTGGTCAAGTGGTACCAAGCCAAGAAGATGGAAAACGACCCTGAAATGGTGCTGTATATGCTGGTTTATGCACCCATAGTCCTACGATCCATGCGCGTAGATCGATCCGGTCTCGGGTCGCGCCGTGCTGGCGCGCACGTCCAATCTCAACGAAGATGTGGGGCAGATCAAGTACCTCTTTAGCGACAAGACAGGTAGTTGTGTCCTTGGTGTTGGCGGGTCGTCATTTGTTTTTACGATTGTTCGATAGGCACCATCACAAAGAATGAGATGGTGCTCAAGGTCATTAGCATCGACAGTGTCATCTACGACAGCATTCCCGGGGTCTCAATTTGACTCTTCCGCGCCAGAGTGCGCTTACACGCTCGTGTAGTTGCCACGCCGGAAGCGTTCAATGAAAAGCGCCGTCGACGCGAGCTTTGTCAAGCGGCCGTCGCAACCCAACGCCGCTGCCGTCCTCGCGCGGTGAGCTGCGAATCTATGAGATCTGAGCGCGTGACAGTTTTGCATATTCTTAGTGAAAACTCGGCGCGGCGCAAGGAAAAGAAAACGCCGAACGTGTCGCCGCGCGTCTGCGCATGTTCCAAGCCGACGTGCAGCACTATGACGGTCTTGCGTCGATGGGCTCCAACCCGACCTCGGACGCCGCGTGCCAACCGGTGCGTTGGATCTGTCACGATGACACACCCACTGCTGTGATAGTCGTCGGTCGTGCTCGGGGACACGCCACTTACAAAAGGCGAGCTCGCACAGAGATTCTTCCGGTGCCTCTTGCTCTGCCACACGGCAACGATCGCCCCCGACGACGAGATTCGGGCGTCGTCGCCGGACGAGGCCGCGCTTTTGCTGGCTGCGATCGAGTTCAACTGTCGCTGCCGCCAGCGCTCCATCAACTCGGTCACCATCAGGTAGGCTTGGATATGTGGCTGACGAAATCAACGTCATGAATGCATTGCGTAGCATCTTTGGCGACGACGAGACGTATGACATTTTAGCGCTCAACGAATTCGACTCGACGCGCAAGTGCATGTCGATCATTGTGCGCCAGACGTCGCCGCCACCGACCAACGCGGATGACGACGGTGCGTCACGAGACCAGTCTCCACACAGGCCGACAACGACAGTAGGGATCTGGATGTTTACAAAGGGCGCCGACACGGCCATGATGGCGAGTGCCGTGCCATCCGGTCCGCAACTCAAACCACCGGCCATGGCTCTGCACATTCATTACTTTGCCTCAATGGGGCTGCGGACCCTTGTGTTTGGGTACTTCACTCTATAGGATTTTGTCCATAGTGCACTTTGCCGCCTAGATACAAGCGACTCACGCGCGCCGAGTACAGCGTGTGGTTTGAAGCGTACACCAAGGCCAAGACGAGCCTCGTGGACCGCGACACGAAGCTCGTCGAGTGCGCACGCTGCATGGAGACAGGCGTCACGCTTCTCGGCGCCACGGGCGTCGAAGACCAGCTCCAAGACGGCGTCAAGCAGTGCATTCAAACGCTTAGCAACGCGGGGTACACGCAACAGCCATTTCTATTGCTATTGCAGACGCACACCATCTCTAGAATCAATATTTGGATGCTCACGGGGGACAAGGACGAGACGGCCATCTCGATTGCCAACTCGTGTGGCCTCCTCACCGACCAGTCGCACTTGGTCGTCGTCAACGAAAAGACCAAAGCGGCCTGTTTGTACCAAATCGCCAACGCCCGCAAGAAGCTGCGCAAAGCCGGTACAGCCTCGGAGGTCGCGGCATCGATCACGTCATCGATCACGTAGGTATCTGGCATCCGGGGCGCGCGTCACATGACATTGCACTTGTCATCAACGGCGAGGCACTTGAGTGTCTCTTGGCCCCTGTAGAAAAGTCGCCCGAAGCCGCGCCTACCATGGAGCGGTACGCATCAAACGAAGCCCTTGCATCGCCCGAGAGTGGGCGCGCCGTCAACGAGAGCTCGCTGGATGCCGCGATCGATGTCCGTGACAAGGAATCCCAACGCCGTACGTGCCGACAATATCCGTTGCTGGAGCTGAATCGCGACTAGAAACTCGAGCGTCGTTGACGACCGACGATCCCGCCGAGCTCAGCGTCATGGGTGGCGGCAACGATAGCATCTTTATGCAACTCGTGACGCAGTGCTGCTCAGTGATTGCGTGCCGCCTCTCGCCGCTTCAGAAAGCGCAGATCGTCGCGCTCATCAAGACAAGGTGCGACTACATACAGATATGTGGGTTGACCAATGAATATCTCACCGGATGTATTGCAGCAAGGGCCGGCCCGTCACGATGGCCGTCGGTGACGGCGGCAACGACGTGAGCATGATCCAAGAGTCGCACATTGGCGTCGGCATCTACGGGCACGAGGGCATGCAAGCCGTGCGCAGCGCCGACTTTGCGATCGGTCAATTCCGGTTTTTATCGCGTCTGATTCTGGCGCACGGCCGGTGGAATTACCGGCGGGTCTCGATCGTGATCCTCTTTTCGTTCTACAAGAACATGGCGCTTATCATGACGCTCTTCTGCTACTCGTTCTACAACGGGTACTCTGGTCAGACCATGTACGAGTCGTACTTGATTGTGGGCTGGAACGTTCTCTACACTCTCTTCCCGATCCTTGTGCTCGGTAAGTCCCATTTCGTTACGGTATTCACGACACAGGGAACGAATAGGCATCACCGACGAAGACATTAGCTCGGAAACTGTGCTACTCTATCCGTTTATCTTTCGCAACAACCAAAAAGGCCAAGAACTCAACATTGAGAAAATGCGCGTGTGGGTCGTGAACGCGCTCTTGCACTCGTTTCTAGTCTTTATGCTCGGGACCTATTTTGTGTACGACACATGGATGCCAAGTCTGCATGCGACCATAACTCTATCGATAGGTATATTGTGGACGGGTCGTCGCCACCCAACTCGAGTGTCTTCCTCTACGGCACGGCTGTCTACGGTGTCCTTGTCGTGACCGTGACGATGAAAGCGGCCATGGTCATGCAGCGCATGCACCGCTGGACGCGCTACCACTACCTCTCGATCATTTCGGGGCCGCTCATTTACTTTTTGTTCGTGCTCTCGTACTCGCAGGTACGGCATTTCGCGATCTGGAAACCTGTACAAAATTGTCGAATTAGGCCTATGTGTGGGTGCCCATTTCCCCGGTCAGCGACTTTTGTGGCCTTGGAAAAGTTCTCTTTGGCACGGCGCAATTCTGGCTCGTCATTGTGCCCGTCTCGTTTGCGTCCTTGATGGTCGACGTGATTGTTATGTACCTCCAGCGCATGTACTTGCCGACGAACCAGGACATTATCGAAGAGATCGATTGTTGCCTCGACAACAACAGCGTGTGCGAGAGCACGGTGCGTCATCGATCGTCCTTATACAAAAACCACCGTCTTTTCTAATGTGTCCCCTAGTCCAAGATGGGCACAAGTAATTCCAAGTCGTGGATCATGGCCAGCAACCCGCTCGGTGATTGGACCAAGCAGCACGACGCGTCGTCGACCGAGCACGAAGAGCTGTGCCGGTGCGCAAAATGAATGATATTGTCATCTCTCACGTCGTCGTGTGGGTAGACACTTGGTGCGCATGGAAAAAGCCATTGCGCGTGAAATCGGCGCCCATCGCAGCGACGACCAGGACAAGGTCATTTCGGCGACCGCGCAGCCAGCCATCCACCCCATCACACTCGAGTTTATGGGCGAGGAAAACGAAGAGCTCGAGCACGAGTACAACACCAACTTCGCGCTCCGGTACGCCTTTTTCCGACGATATTTGATGCTCATTTCGCGTATATTGCAGCGAGGCGCGCCGCATTCGTACGCTCATGTCGGTCGTTGTCGTGGCCGTGCCACCGTATTCGTTTGTCGAGTACTACGGCGAAGGCGACGAAAACCTCTGGCCGTACCGAGTCGCGATGTTCATCGCGGCGCTTGTGTACATTGCGTACACGCGCACGTCGTTCTTCCACCGACACTACCAGTACTCGGTATGTTGCATCACAGCTAGCTAGCTAGTAGTGGGTGCAGGCGCTCACATCTTATAGGTCGCGGTGCCCTTGGCGATCGCCGGCATTGTGTTTACGCAAGCGATCAAGTACACGGGGAAGTTTGCGGTCACGATCTTTACAATCATTCTGTATTCGGTCGTGCGCGTCAAGTTTGTGATTGCGACATGGCTGGCGTTTTTCAACTTTTTGTACTTTCTTCTGTCGGGCTACCTCGGTCTGAACCACATTGCGGCGTCGAGTGAGAATTCCGCGATCGACGACACGCTCTTCGTGCTCTTCATGGTACCGTTTCTTGCATTTCAGACTCCACTTGTGAATCAGGCGATGATTCACCCCATTGGAACGTAGCTCATTCCGATTGGCATGGCCGCGTTCGGCGGCTACAACCTCCAAGCGACGATGCGCCGGGACTTTTTACAAAACCGGATTTTGCTCTACCAAGAACGCCGCAGCACGGAAATCCTCAACAACATGCTGCCCGAGCACGTTGTGAAGCGCATGCAGTCAGGCGACACGCTCATTTCCGAGGAAGAGAAGGACGTGACGCTCCTCTTCTGCGATATTGCCGACTTTGGCTACCTCTTCAAGCACTACTCGCCGACGCAGGTACTCCATCCGTCTCCATGGCTTCAGGACAAGAATCGCGCTTAGATGGTGAGCCTCCTCGACCGCATCTACTCGCTCTTCGACCAGCTGTGCCTCAAGCACGGCTTGCGCAAAATGGAGACCGTCGGTAAAACGTACTTTGCCTGCGCGGGGCTCCAAGACAGCGAGAAGGGCCGCGAAGCCGCAATTCGAACCGCGGCCATGGCCCACGAAATGATGGTAGACAGTCATTCCTTTGAAAACAGATGTTGCAGCGTCGACAGGCGGTCGTGGCCAAGTGCAAGGCGAGCAATGGCAACGGCATCCGGATTCGGATCGGGATTCACTCGGGGCGCGTCATTAGCGGGCTCGTCGGCATGAAGAAGCAGCAGTTTTCGCTCTTTGGCGACACGGTCAACACGGCCTCGCGCATGCAAAGCACCGGTGTCACGGGCCACATTCAGCTCTCGCAGGTCTCCCAGCTCGCTGCCTTCTACGCTGCCACACTTGCGTGACTTAGATGACGTTTGAGAAGATTCGAAGCGACTTTCACTTTGAAGAGCGTACCGTGGAAGCCAAGGGCAAAGGCCAAATGAAGACGTTCTTGCTCGGCCGTCCAACCACCGCACTCGCCGAGCGCGCGTGCCGTGGCCATTGGGACGCGGGCAAGCACGTCGAGTCGCGCCGCGAAAGTGTGCCCAATACGCGCGAGCCCACCGAGTAGGCCCTCTTCAACCAACTTAAGATAGCATCGCATCGCGGCGGTGTGTAGAAGCGAGCAGTGTGTGCGGGCGATCGTGACCCGCTGCATCGAGTCGCTCCAGCGCACGTTCGACTGCGTCCGCGCGCCGCCGACGGGAGCCAACGAAAGCAGTGCGGCCAAGGAGCTCGAGATGAAAGCGCAGATCGACTTGCGCTGGCTGCATTTCAAAGACACTGCATACGAGATTGCGTACTTGCGGGCGATCGTGGTCGAACATCGCGCAGGGTATGTCGTCATCTTTTTACCGAGAAAGGCGTTCATGCTTTGAAATAGGACGCGCCGCACAGTGCTAGCGCTCGGTGTCTACATACTCTACGCAGTGCTCCGCGATGTCCTCCACGACGCCTACGTGACGACCTGTGCATCGTGCCATAGCTATATGTAGCCACGGTATCCAAGCAGATTGTGGACTGACGAGGCGTAGGATCGCGTTCCAATTCGCGCGCGCGGCGATCGTCGTGCTCGTCGTGTGGTACGAGTACAGCGAGTACCACGCCAAGCGCGCGCTGTCGTCGCTCGTCGTGCCGGACGGCGTCATGCGTGCGTCGCACCGCCAGAACCACCGACTCCTCGCCTTCTACGTTGCGATTGCAATCGTTCTCTTCATGCCCAACCTCCTTCGGTAACCCACCGCACCTTGGAGCGGCAGCATTCAACGACAACTTGTATATGTAGCTGGATATCGGAGCAAGCGAGCATTCTCTACTCGTACCTCTGCCTCGATATCATCATTGTCATGTTCCTCGCGTCGTTTGGCGGCTCGCTCTTGTACCCGTCCGTGCTGCTCATCAACAGTCTCCTTGTGAGCGGCAGTGGCATCATTTACTTTGTACCTCTCTATCTCCACAATTCACCAGTGGTGTGTAACCAAGTTTTGTGTAGACGCTGCAGTTGAACTACGAGTCGCCGACCATATCCGACGCTGAGAAACTGCGCATTTACCCACTTGCAATTACGCTCTTCATCGGTCTCTCCAACGTCATGGCCCGGCGCGACAATGAGTTCTTTGGACGGCGCAAGTACTGGCTGCAGACGCGCACGCAGCTGGAGACGAAAAAAGCCGACCAAATGCTGTACAAAATGTTGCCGCAATCGCTAGTGACGCAGCTCAAGGACGGCGACACGGTCTGCGACCAGCACCATCGTGTGCGTGCTGCATCGTCAAGTAGCCCGAGCTTATACCACGATCCATTTAGGTCGGGATTCTCTTTTCCGACATTAAAGGGTTTACCTCGATCGCGGCGCGCGCCGACACGGACAAGGTGGTTCACATTCTTGACTCGCTCTTCACCGCGTTTGACAAGCTCACCGAGAAGCACGGTCGATTTTTATTTTTCTATTTTGGACACATTGTCTGAGATGCATCCAGGCGTTTTCAAGGTCCAGACAATTGGCGACGCTTACGTGATCGTGTCGGGCTTGCCGTACGCCGACGTGAGCCTCAACACGGTCTCGACCGACGATCTGACGGCCCAAGTACTGAGCCGGTCCCCGTTCGAGGACGGGTCGGGCTCGAAGAAAGGCGCGCCAAAGCCTTTGGATGCCACGTCGACGCACCTCCGGAACCTCATTCGCATGGCGAGCGACATGCAAACAGAGGTCAAGAAGGTGACGGACCCCAACAGCGGCGAGCCGCTGCAAATGCGCATTGGCATACACCTTGGGAGCATCATTGCCGGCGTCATTGGCACGTCGACGTTGCGTTACGACATGTGGGGACCTGATGTGCTCACGGGCAACGAGATGGAGACCAACGGCGTGCCCGGACGCATCCTCGTATCCGAAGACGTGCAGCACGAGGTCCATCAACTTGTGGCGAGAACGATCCTGTCTTATTGTCGCGCCATCATTGTAGGCGAGTGTTTGCCCGGACCTGGCGTTCAAGTTTCACAAGAACATTGACTTTACCAACGCCAACCTCGACACGTACATCGTCGACTACATCCCTGGTGGCCTTTTGCCAACACCGCCGACCCCCAATGGCTCGGTTTAGCCAATCTCATCCTACATATCCTATTTAATTTTGTGTGTGTTTCTAGTCTTAGTACCTTCGTCGAGGCGGGTGTGTGTGATAACCATCGTGTGGTGCATGTGGCTTAGCTTTGCACGGCATCGAGTGCTTCGACGTCGCTCCACGTGCCACGTCATGTCGTTGGGGCATGAGGAGGTCAGCGATGTATATGCATGTCTCTATTTCCATGTTTTGCAAGCTTTGAGAGAATTTAATACAAAAAATAAGGTAAAAATATGCAATTGCGCCGCGCACCTTTTCCGGATCGGGCCCGACCAATCACTGGGGTCTGTACATCCGGATACGGCGTTGGCTCGCGATGAATGGTCATCTACAAATTGGGCCATGGGCAACAACAAGAAGGGACCGAAGAAGGCTGCGGGTGGCACCAAGCCCGCGCCGGCGTCGGCCAAGCCTGTCCATGCCAAGCAGCAGCAGGGTGCCTCCAAGGGCAAGCCGCAGCAGAAGCCGGCACAGCCCAAGGGCCAGCAGCAGCAAGCGCAGCCCAAGGGTAAGCCGCAGCAACAGCCTGCTCAGACCAAGGGCAAGCCGCAGCAGCAGCAGCATGTGCAGCCCAATCCCCAGAAAAAGGCGCACGAGAAGAAGGGTGCTGCTGCTTCGACGCCAAACCCAAAGCAGGGCAAGCCGACGACGCCTGTGGCGAAGGAGGGCAAGAAGGGTCGCATCGTTGTCGAGGCCGAAGACACGCAGCCCAACGAGAAGCTCGCGCTCATGCTCAAGAACATGAAGGACAACGCCGTCGCGTGGTACCTGGCTATCAAGCCGCTGTCGGCGGGCAAGGCAACGAAGGACACGCCCAAGTACAAGCCGAACGACCCGATCGTCGAAGAGAAGCGCAAGATGGCCGAGTCGGCCATGGAGAAGCAGCTCAAGGCGCTCGAGTCCAAGGGTAGCCTCTCGAGCGACGAGAAGTACCTCAAGACGATGATGAAGTCTGGTACGTTGGCCGATCGAATTGCTGCGACGACGCTCGCGATCCAGGGATCGCCGATCCACAACCTCCAGCGCCTGAGCCAGCTCGTGACGATGGCCAAGAACAAGTCGCGCCGCGAGTCGCAGATGGCTGTCGACTCGCTCAAGGATCTCTTCCTCAACAACCTCCTCCCGGACCGGAAGCTGCATTTCTTCCACCAGCAGCCGCTGCACCGCGCCGACGCGACCTTGCAGCACCTCGTCATTTGGTACTTTGAGCACTGCATCAAGATGGCGTTCTCGCAGCTCATCGCTGTGCTCTCCAACGGCATGAACGATGCCATCGACGTGCACAAGCGGGCGTGCATCCGCGCGGTCTTCGCGCTCCTCACTGAAAAGCCCGAGCAAGAAGCTGTTTTGCTCTCGATGCTGGTCAACAAGCTCGGCGACCCGGAGCGCAAGATTGCGGCTTATGTGCTGCATCAGCTCCAAGAACTGCTCAAGAAGCACCCCGTCATGAAGCGCGTTGTGGTCGCAGACGTTGAGCGCCTCTTGACGCGCACCAAGGTCACGGAGCGCACCAAGTACAACGCCGTGCTGTTTTTGAACCAGCTCTACTTGGATGCCAAGGACAAGCCGCTGGCGACGCATCTCATCAAGGTGTACTTTGGTCTCTTCACGAAAGAAGTCCACCGAACGGGCTCGGAAGCTGGCGGCCTCGAGCGGAAGCTTCTCTCGGCGCTCCTTGTCGGTGTCAACCGCTCGTTCCCGTACGCCGAGTGCACGTCGGCGGACTTTCAGTCAGAAATTGACACGATGTTCCGTGTGGTCCACACGGTATGCGACACCCTTGTCCTTCGTGTGCGTGTTTTTAGCGTCGTACTAGGCGCATTTCAGCACGAGTGTTCAAGCCCTCATGCTCCTCTTCCAAGTCATGAACTCGACCAACTCGGTGCCCGATCGGTTCTACACGGCCTTGTACGCCAAGCTGTTGGACCCCAAGGTACGACGCTTGGCTCCACTTTCGGTGGGTGGCTAAGTGCACGCCATTTGTAGCTCCCGACGACGTCCAAGCACGCGATGTTTTTGAACGTGCTCTTCCGCGCCATGAAGTCGGACGTCTCGCCCGCGCGTGTCAACGCGATGATCAAGCGCCTCCTCCAAGTCGCGTACACGATGGCACCAGCCTTCGCGTGCGCTTCGCTCTACCTCGTGTCGCAGGTCATGGCCCATAACCCGCGCCTCCGCGGCATGATCAACATGGCCGAAGCCAGCGATGTGAGCGTCGTGACCAACGACGCGACGTCCAACGCCAAGGACGACGATAACGAGGGCGATGACGACAAGGGCGACGATGACGAAGACGACGATGCCGAAGAAGAGACGGCGTCCGACGACAATGCGACCGAGAAGGTCCCCGAAGAAGACGACGCCGACATGATGGCGGAGCGGGATCGCTCGGCGGCGCTGCTGGCGGCCATGGGCCTTGACGGCGCGGACGCAGTGGCCGAGCGCCAGAGCACGTCGCAGGCCGGTGTCGCGACGGTGTACGACGCCAAGAAGCGCAACCCCTTGTACGCGGGCGCCGACAACGCGTGCCTCTGGGAGCTGCAGCCGTTCCTGCAGCACTACCACCCGTCCGTGGCCACGTTTGCCAAGCAGCTGCTCGAAGGGCAGATCGTCTACAGCGGCGACCCGCTCACGGACTTTACGCTCACGACGTTTTCGACAAGTTTGTCAACAAGAAGCCCAAGGCCAAGGACGGGCCGCACCAGCGCGGGGTCGCGGCGCCGTCGGCGATGGCCAGCATGTACTCGGAAGAGTTCCAGAACCAAGACGAAGGTATGTCGTTTCCGCTGTGAAGACACATTGTCTTATATCGTTGTGACAAATTAGGCAACGTCGAGGAAAGCGACAAGTTCTTTTACACGTTCTTCAAGGAACGCTTGAAGCGGAAGCCCAAGAAGGCCAAGAAGGAGCCCAAGGACGGCGACGCCTCGGAAGACGACGAGTACGAGGCCTTTGCCCAGCAGTTGGCCGAGGGTCTCATGCAAGACAACGACGACGAAGACGTCGACATGGACGACTGGAGCGGTCCGGAGGAGGACAGCGATGATGACGAGGGCGCTGAGGACGCGGACCCGAGCGAGCTCCTCGCCAATGAGTTCCCCGACTCGGACTCGGACGCGTCGGAAGTTGACGATGAAGAGCTGCTCATGACCAACGGCCACTCGCTCGGCGACGACGCCGATGACTTTATGGACGACGACGACGACGACGACGACGACGATGACATGGACGAGGACGATGACGCGGATGACGGCGAAGACGACGACGATGACGAAGACGCCATGGTGTTCCAGGAAGACAAGACGGCCAAATTTGCGGCCAAGTCAAAGAAGGGCGCGGCGCCGGACCGGAAGCGCAAGTCGCCGTTCGCGTCCGCGGACGACTACCTGGATCAGATTGCCGAGCTCGAGGCCGCTGCGCGGTCGTCCAAGTCCAAAAAGCCTCGCAAGTAAATCTCCCTAATCACTACACTATATAATTCGACGCTCGTAACCTACTCCATGTCTACCAACGCCGTTGATACTGGGACTGGGGTTTTCGAGTTCACAAGCACGAGGTATCTGGATAGCACAGCTCTGTTGCGTGCATGCGGCCTGACGATCAGGATTCAAGGTCCAGGGCGCCACGGCACCCAAGGTACTTACAGATGGGATCTTTTAGTTAGATAGCACTCACAACGTCTAACTGGACTAGCTCTAGGCGATGTGCCGGGCGTTGTTCCTTAAGGCTTGGCCGCTTCGTTCATCTGATCGGCCTGGATCGCCGTGATGGCGATCGTGGTGACAATGTCGCCGACCGTGGCGCCGCGGCTGAGGTCGTTGACGGGTTTGTTGAGCCCCTGCAGCATCGGACCCATCGCGAGGCAGTTGGTCGACTGCTGCACCGCCTTGTACGTGTTGTTGCCCGTGTTGAGGTCCGGGAAGATGAGCACGTTGGCGTTGCCCGCGACCTCCATCTCGGTCTTCTTGAGGCCCTTGACCTTTTGCTTGGCGATGAGCGGGTTCATGGCCGCGTCGTACTGGATCGGGCCGTACATGGGAATCTCGGGCGCCATCTTTTGCGCGAGCTTGGTGGCTTCCCGCACTACGATCGACATATCAGCATGCATATTGGAGCAGTTATAGACGTACCCTTGTCGATGATCGGACCCTTGTTCGAGTCGCCGGTTGCGTACGAGAGCAGCGCGACGCGGGGCTCCATGCCGAACGCAATCGCCGATTCAGCACTCTGTACCGCGATGTTGGCCAGGTCCTCGGCCGTCGGGTCCGTGTTGATCGCGCAGTCACCGTAGAGCACGACATCATGATCCAAGCACATGAAAAAGACGCTCGAGACCAGCGGGCGGTCGGGGCGCGTCTTGATGAGCTGGAGCGCCGGGCGCACCGTGTTGGCTGTCGTGTGGCATGCACCCGAGACCATGCCGTCGGCGAGACCCATCTCGACCATGAGCGTACCATAGCACGTCTACATCAACATTCAGACTTAGCGAGACGATCCAAACATTGCATGGAAAATGTACCGCTTCCGCAGCCGACTCGCGGGCCACTTCACGAGAGACACCCTTGATCTTGCGCTTCTCGTAGAAGCGATCGGCATACATATCGAGGTCGGCAGACTTGGACGGGTCCACGATGGATGCCGCCGACAAGTCGAGTCGGAGCGTCTTGGCGCGTGCCGCGATCGATTCGACGTCGCCGAGGATCGTGAGCTTGGCAATGTCGCGCCGGAGGACCTCGTCGGCAGCCTGGAGAATGCGGTCGTCTTCGCCTTCGGTGAGCACAATGTGCTGCTGGACCTTGCGCGCCTTGGAAAAGAGAAAGTGCTTGAACTGCTTGGGCGTCCGCTTCGTGCTCATCTCTTTCGAGACACCACCGACAACCGAGTCGCGGGCCACATACTTGTCAAACCTACAGAAAAGTTCGTCTCGAATGCACTGTTCAGTCGCGAAGGCGTACAGAATATACGACTGCTGGATCTTGGTCTGGCTCGTGGGCAGAATATCGCACGTGACGCGGCTCAGCGCGTTCGCCGTCTTGTACGAGTCGCCTTCGACCGTGTAAATTGGGATCGTCGCGTTATCAATCTTGGCCACTAAACGCAGCATGTTACTGCTTCTGCCATCGGCCGAGAGATCGAGTACGCACTGCCTTCGAGAATTTCCTTGACGTGGTCCTGGGGGAACTTGCCGTTGGTCAAAATGACCGCCGCGACGTTCGGCAACGCGCCCGAGAGCTTACTCACAAGCAAGCCCAGCATGACGTCTACGCACGTGGTGAGATGTCTACAATCACGCAACAAGTATAAACGTACCTGTGCGATCGGCCGAAACAATGACAAGAAGACCATCGTCGTGCTTCTTCATGTGGCCAAAGAGGTCCTTGAGGTCGCTCGTCCCCACAAAGCCGTCGGTGACGACGACGCTGTTGGGCGACGGTGGGCCGTAGAGCTGCGTTGCGTGGAGCTGGTCCACGACTTCGTTCAGGCGCTTGGACGCGAGAATCGAGTCGAGGGGGAGCGCGCCATGGAAGATCGAGTTCGTCTCGCCCTTCTCGGCCAAGATGGCCTGCACGCGCTTCCGAATCTCGATCGGATCTTTCGTGTGCACACGGTTGGCGATCGAGCCCACGTACGTCAGCCCGGCGTCCTGGACCGCGTCCTTGGCGAGGAGCACACGCGTCACGATCGTGTCGACGAGCTTCTTCGTGCGCTCGTCCTCCGAGAGACTCTCATCCGCTTCGACATCCGCGAGATCGTTTGTTAACAGCACGGGAGCACCGAGCGTCTTGGCCAGCTCCACGTTGATGTCCCATGCAAGGTCGGGCGCCGACTCGAACATGGCGCCTTCGATGACCACAAAATCGTGCTTGGCGCGAAGGGCTTCAAACTTGGAGATGATCGTATCGGTGACCGAGTCGAGGTCGCCCTTCAAGCGGGCTTGGACCACATCGTCGTTGTAGAGACCGACGAGCTGGTCCTTCTCCTCCGGGAGCTTGAACTCGGACTTCATGACTTCGACGTGGTGGTCGGACACGCGCGGGTCCTTGTTGGGCGCGATCGGTCGGAAGTAGCCCACGGACGGGTACTTGACCGAGAGCGTATTCATGAGGCCGAGGAGCACGGGCGACTGGTGCGACGTCGTGTCGTTGGACATGACAAAGACGCGGTCGTTGGCATGGGGGGCTACACATACAGCCCGTCAACCTACGTCCTAGGTCTCCATGCGCCTACCATCCGAGAAGAGGCGGCTCGTGGCGGCGCGCGCGAGAAGCGCGGACCGGCGCGTCGGTAGCAAGTGGCGGCTCGCGCGGAGCATGCTGACAATCTGAAAATGACGCTGGATCGCATTTCTGCGTCAAGCGCGTCTAGCTTTCGGATATGTCCTATTTGAAGAGCACAAGTCCGAATTGTAGCGGTTAAGATTCGGCAACCGTTGAAAACCAGGCGGACGTCACAGTTGCGTGTTTTTGCGCGGCGGGTATTTTTATCCCAGAACGAATCTGAATAAAATACACTGGATTTATCCTGACTAGGGATTTGTAAGGGCGACCTCGGAATTGCGATTAAATACAGTGTAGAAAGGGCCTGTGGGCTGGCGCTGACGACGCTTATCCGGACAAAGATCCGCTTTTCTGACGCACCGGCCGTGGATGTCCCAAGGCGACGCGCTGCACCAATGAGGAGCAGTCATTCTCGGACTTGCGGTCGCTCAAGCACGCGCCGCCGGCCTGTCGCACTCCGTGTCCTCTTTGACGAACTCGGTCTCATTCACTGCACGACGCTCGCCATCCTATCGCAATCAGTTCATATTGCACTTTGAAACAAGATGGACAAGCTCACCAAGATCCTCGTGCTCAACGCCGGCAGTTCGACGCTCAAGTACAAGCTCTTTGCCGCGTCGCGCGCCGCGGCCAAGTCGCACCTCTCGCTCGCGCCCATGATCTCGGGTATGGTCGAGATCGGCGAAGTCTCCAAGGTCACGCACAAGACACATGGCGAGAACCCGAAGAAGATGGAACTCCCGGACGCCAACCTTGACGACCACAAGACGGCGCTCTCGCTCGTCATTGACCTCCTCTGTGACCCGAGCTTTGGTGGCCTCGCGCACAAGAGCGACATCAACGCCATCGGGCACCGTGTCGTGCACGGCGGTGAGCGCTTCTCGGACGCGTCGCTCATCACGCCCGTACGCAGACTACAACCTATGACGTCGTCACGTATGCTGCGAATAGGGTATCATGGGCGCGCTTGAAGAGAGCATTGCGCTCGCGCCGCTGCACAACCCGGCCAACATCCTCGGCATCCAAGTCGCGACCGAGCTGCTCGGCGACGCCTGCCCGCAGGTCGCAGTCTTTGACACGGCGTTCCACGCGACGATGCCGCCGCCCGCCTTTTTGTACGGCCTCCCGTACAACCTGTATAAGGAGCATGGCGTTCGGCGGTACGGCTTCCACGGCACGAGCCACAGCTACGTCGCGGCGCAGGCGGCCAAGCACCTCAACAAGCCGCTGAGCGAGTGCAACTTTATCACGTGCCACCTCGGGAACGGCGCGAGTGTCACGGCCATTAAGAACGGCCAGAGCATTGACACGAGCATGGGCTTGACGCCGCTCGAAGGGCTTGTCATGGGCACTCGGTCCGGCGACATTGACCCGGCGATCCCGACCTTCCTCCACAACCACGTGGGCATGAGCTACGCCGAGATCGACACGATGCTCAACAAGAAGAGCGGGCTCCTCGGGCTCTCGGGTGACGCCGACATTCGCGTGCTCCAAGACCGCTTCCGCGCCGGCGACGCCCATGCGGACCTGACGCTGGACGTGTTTGCCCACCGCGTACGCAAGTACATTGGCTCGTACCTCGTGCAGCTGTCGCCGCGCCTCGACGGCATCATCTTTACGGGCGGCATTGGCGAAAATTCCTGGATTCTTCGCAACAAGATCCTCAAGGATCTCGCCCACGTCGGCGTCGTCGTCGATAAGAGCCGCAACGAAGTCGACCTCACCACCAACGTCCTCGAAGTGCACGCCGACGAGAGCAGCGTCCCGATCCTCGTCGTGCAGACGGACGAGGAAAAGAGCATTGCGGCCCAGACGTACCGCATCGTGCAAGAATAGGATGACAATTCCGTAGTACACTAGTACTAGTACAAATGCTAGTATACATTGTCATTAAACGTGTCGACGTGGTGGCTGCGTGCACCTGAATGCAGATCGCGTGTCAGCAGCATGGGTCTCCATGACCAGGTTTCGCAGGCCGACGCAAGGCATCGGTGCGAGAAAGCGCCGTCGACAAAGCACGGCCGCTCGATGTGTCGTCACCAGGGGTAGGGGAACAGCTGATGCGCGTCGAGGTATAGGTCCTGCAAAAAAGAAAGCCGTCGTGTCAATTTGGCGGAGAGCCGACCGGCGGCGGGCGAGTATCGGCATCGACGCCGCTCCTGGCGGGACCCATTAAAGGGGATCGGCTGCAACCAACGTCGCTCGTTTACAAACCAGGATACGCAAAGGAATCTTGACCGTGAACCTCCGCGGACGTCCTCGCGATGTCGCGTCACACGTCTGCGGATGACGTAGACTGGAGACCACACGCTTTTTCTGCCTGTCCGCACGGCTTCTGCAAGGCGTGCATCGGTCGACGCCAACGATTGGCCGGGCTCTCGACACGGCATGCGACAGCTGTTTCCAAGCGGCCACTCATTCGCCGCCGCCGCGCGCCATCACGCGCGCGGCGTGCCGTGCTGCGTAGAGCCCGTCCTGTGCACCATGCACGCTGCGTGGCACGCTGCGCCGTGCGCCAGCCCCTTGGGGATAACCGCGCCACTTGGGACAGCCGTGGGATAGGCAGTGAGTCACAGTAGCGGCATAAATCCAGCCACGCGCGTGTCGCGTCCATGCTTCCTCGCGCAATCGACATCACGTCGCAGTCCGTCCATCGATCCGTGGATTCGCACTCCTTGTTGGACGGGGTGGGTGCGCCAGACCATCATCGACGCAGGAACCAGCCGAGTTGCAAGGGCTGGTCGTCGTCGGTATTCTAGTTGGCACGGCGTCGGCGATGGTGGTACCCACCTGACTTCGACGTCACAGCGCCGAGCCAAGACGTCAGCATACAAACCGCAAGATATCAGGCAAGCGGTCTGCGAAAGAAAGCAGCCACCTGGTCCGCCAAAATGACGGATGGCTAATCCCTCCATGACGACGTAATCGGTGAGAGGTCCGTGGTGGTGGTCACTTGAGCATTTGCCACCATGTTTCGTCTTCGTCGGCCGCTCCAATCCGCGCCCCGCCGTTGGTACTCGGAGAGTACGCCGATGATAATTCGATGTCTGCGCGCCAATTCATATGCGATGCTGCGTAGCGCACAAGGTCAACGACCGCGTCGTCGTGCTCTCCAACGACGCGACGTCGCACCAGACACCCGTGCTCCTCGGGCTCATGAACACACTCGCAATCAAATACCACTCGGTGGGCTATTTCCGCCCGATTGCGCCGCCGGTGGGATCGGACCACCACGTCGAACTCTTCAAGTCGGAGCTCAAGCTGCCCGAAACGTACGAACAGCTCGTGGGGCTGCACCACGACGACGTTGTGAACGCGCGCTTGAGCGGCGACCTCGACGTCGTCACCGATACGATCGTGGCCAAATTTGAAGCCCTGCGCGCCAAGCACGACTTTGTCGTGATCGAAGGCGCGACCTTCGAGTCGGCGCCCGACCTCGCTTGGGACATCAACGTCGAGCTCGCCAAGACGCTCGGTGCGCCGGTCCTCCTCACCAACGACTTTGGCGACGTGCCCGAGGTGCAGCGCATTGAAGATGCGATTGCGACGCGGGTGCTTCTCGGGAAAGACGCGGTCGACGCGGCGGGCCTCACGTACATTGGGTCGATCGCGAATCGCGTGCGCAGCTCGACGCCGCTCGAGACGCGCCAGCGGGTGCACGATCTCCTGCGGGAGAAGGGCGCGGCCGACCCGACGATCTTCCTCGGGGCGCTGCCGCTCGACAGCATCCTCGCGTCCAAGCGCTTGAACGAGGTCGTCGCGCAGCTGCAGGCGACGCAGCTCTATGGCCCGGCGTCGCCCAACAGTGTCGTCGTCACCGAAGGTCTCATTGGCACAAGCGACCTCAAGGAGCTTTTCGGCCATCTCAAGGCCCACGACGACGGTCTTCTCGTGATCACGTCGGCGGATCGCACGGGTACGTCCATGACTTGTGTTGAGGTATCTCATGGGTCGCAGATGTCGTTCTGGGTCTTTTGGCAAGTCGTGCGTCTGGCGCCCTTCCCAACGTCGCCGGCGTCGTTTTGACCAATGGCGCGTACCCGCAAGACCACGTCAAGAACATCCTGGATGGCAGTATGCTGTATTTTCGCACGCCAAATTGGCGCCAACGACTGTTTTTCTAGTGGCCAAGATCGACAATGCGACGATCCCGATCTACACGGTCGAAGGCGACGCGTACAAGACGGCGAACGCGCTGAGCCGCGTCACGTGCGACATCCTGCCCACGAGCCAAACCAAGATCCAGCAGTCCAACATTCTGTACGACAACGACCTTCACTCTGTACAAATCTGATTGTGGACAACTTGTCTAGCTTTGACAAATTCGTGTCGCGGAGTGCGCTCATGGACACGGTGTGCCAAGCTGTCAAGAGCACGAAGCGGACGCCCAAGCAGTTCAAGCACTTTCTCTTTTCCAAGGCGCGCAAGGTCCAGCAGCACATTGTGCTCACCGAAGGCGAAGACGACCGCATTCTCCAGGCCGCCGACGAGGTCCTTCGGCGCGACATTGCCAAGCTCACGATCCTCGGCGACGTCGAATCGATCGCGGCACGCGCCAAGACGCTCCGACTCGACTTGTCGGCGGCATCCATCGTGGACCCGTCCAAGTCTGCCGACCTCGATCTCCTCGCCGCGCGCTTCTACGAGAAGCGCAAGGTCAAGGGCGTCTCCCTCGAATTCGCCCGCGAGTCGGCTGCGGAAGCGGTACATTTTCCTTGCAATGTTTGGATCGTCTCGCTAAGTCTGAATGTTGATGTAGACGTGCTATGGTACGCTCATGGTCGAGATGGGTCTCGCCGACGGCATGGTCTCGGGTGCATGCCACACGACGGCCAACACGGTGCGCCCGGCGCTCCAGCTCATCAAGACGCGCCCCGACCGCCCGTTGGTCTCGAGCGTCTTTTTCATGTGCCTCGAAGACGATGTGGTCGTATACGGTGACTGCGCGATCAACACGGACCCGACGGCTGAGGACCTGGCCAACATCGCGGTACAGAGTGCTGAATCGGCGATTGCGTTCGGCATGGAGCCCCGCGTCGCGCTGCTCTCGTACGCAACCGGCGACTCGAACAAGGGTCCGATCATCGACAAGGGTACGTCTATAACTGCTCCAATATGCATGCTGATATGTCGATCGTAGTGCGGGAAGCCACCAAGCTCGCGCAAAAGATGGCGCCCGAGATTCCCATGTACGGCCCGATCCAGTACGACGCGGCCATGAACCCGCTCATCGCCAAGCAAAAGGTCAAGGGTCTCAAGAAGACCGAGATGGAGGTCGCGGGCAACGCCAACGTACTCATCTTCCCGGACCTCAACACGGGCAACAACACGTACAAGGCGGTGCAGCAGTCGACCAACTGCCTCGCGATGGGTCCGATGCTGCAGGGCCTCAACAAACCCGTCAACGACCTCAGCCGCGGCGCCACGGTCGGCGACATTGTCACCACGATCGCCATCACGGCGATCCAGGCCGATCAGATGCGCACGGCGGCATCACTCTAACTTAATCCTACACCAACAAATTCGTTGATGATGACACTCTTTCATGTGTTTAGAATTTTGTATCGATAGACAATAATATGCACCGTTTTACGATCTAGATCGTGGCCAGCGGATCGCGCGGCGACAGAATGGCCATCGTGCGGTCGTCGGAGCCGCGGCGGCGCTCCCTATCATAGCGGCGCCGGAGACAGCCACAGCAGAGACACAGCTGGAGGAGCAGCCACTGCCGACCCGTGTAGAGCAGAAAGAGGAGCGAGCCGAGGAGGCGGTACGTGTTGAAGGCGCCGATGGCAACAAACAAACACGGAAGGTACACATCCAAGAGCGCCCCGTAGAGTAAGCCGCCGACGAGTGCTGCATTCGAGACGAGCCAGAGCAAGAGCAAATTCGAGCGGAACGAGTCGAAGCGCCGGCGCACCAGATCTACGACCCTCGTCAGTCGACGCAATGCATACAAAAGAAAGCACCGGTCGTTGCAGCAGCTTGTTTCGCGCGGTCTTCGGCAGCTTTTTGACGAGCCACGACGTCCTTGTACTCGCCGTTCTCGCTAGCGCCAGTGTCGTGGCTGCTCGTATCAATGCCTTTGGTGCCCCAGCTCAAGTCTTGCAAATTGCAAAACGATAGATCGTGAGCGTATTCTACCGCGCACCATTATTACACCATATCATCGCCCTCGTCGGACGTACAATCATGACGGGCAGGAGCAGCGAGTACTGCACGAACGAGAGCACGATGTGATGTAGCTCGCAGTGGCACGCGGCCGCAATAAAGTAGACGCCAAAGACAGCGATACCAAGTGCAATCTCCTTGGGCGCCAGGGCCGCAGCGCCCGTGTGGACCAGCGTCAAGACCGACGCGGCCGTCGTCAGCACCACGAGCAGCATGTAGTAGGCGCCAATCGCACGGTACGTGCGTGCGACATGTTTCGGTCTACAGAATACGTACACAATTGTCATCATTCGAGACACGATACAGTACCGGTTGCCCATGCCGAGGATGATCTGGACCACAAACACAAGACCGTACACGACATTGAAAAGTCCTTTGGCCAACGCGCCGTGCGACGCGTAAAAGGCGCGCGTGTCGAGGACCCCCAGCGCGTTGCGTTCGAGGGCATAAAATATGACGTAATACACGGTAAGGTAAAAGTTGGCCACGAGAAACCAGTTGAAGACGACTTGAACCGTCATAAACGTATACTGCACCAAGAGTGCGAGACCCTACCCCCAGTTGAAAAGTTTAAAAGGCAACAAATAAAAATGGACAGAAAATAGGTACCCGACACAGGCTGTGGCGGGCCTCCGAGTAGACACGCCCCCAATTGAAGATCGTGTACAGCATCGCAAAGAATGACCCGTTGAGCCAGCGCCGGCGCTGCGCCATGAGGTCCACGAGCGTTGTTGGCACATCCGTACGCGCAATCGCGTCCTTGACGTACATCATGGTCCAGCTGCAATTCTTCCGCGCGAGGAGCTCAAAGCACAAGATGCGGTCTTCGGCGAGGTACATGTTGCCCTGGAATGGCCCGAGCGCCAGCATGTCGGTCGTGAGGCTCTTAAAGTATGCATCGAGCGGCGCGCCTTGGATCGCCTTGAAGCGGTAGGCCGAGAAGGCACCGGGGAGGACCGAGATGAAGCCAAAGCATGACTCGGTCGCCTTGTCGAGCACATTGCTAATCTACCCTCGTGTAAGCTCTTCAATCATTGAACTATTTACAGCAGACCTTGTACTCGTAGTGCTGCGTCGAAATGATGAGGCTCGTGAGGTGTGGCAGTGGCTGGGACACGGCGATTTCACCACAGACGCCACCGACTTGCTGGTTGACTTCCATCGCGCTCACCAGTTTGTACAGCGCCGACTTGGTCGGGAGCGTCCCGACGTCCAAGAGCACCTACGGTCGCATCGTAGTATATCGCAAGCAGCACTTTAATACGATCGGTCTTCACAAACCGTATACGTCGGGTCGACTTGGTTGCAAAAGCCATGGAAGAACCAAAGGTGCGAGTGCAGCTTGCCGGCGTTTTCCTCTTTTAGCGCAAAGACGACTTGCAGCGGCGGCATCGTCTCACTCGTGTGCGTCCAGAGTTTCTTGGCGCCAGGCGCCTCGGGCAGCAGCAGTGTTCTCTCAAAGAGGTGCATGGACGTCGCCAAGCCCGCCGACGTGATGCGCAGCGTGTCCTCGTCGTAAACACCCATTTCACGCAGCGTGATGAGCGTACTCGCAGAGGCTTTGGCGCGGCCGTCGCTGACGATTACGACAAGCACGTTTTGCCACGCGAGCTCGCCTTCGTAGCCAGGCAGATCATGTCGGCACAAGTACGCGACGTTGTTGCCGACCTTGCGCAGCGTTGCCTCGATCTCGGACCCGTCCTCGTTGTACATGGTGATGACGATGAGCATGCGCGGGCGACGGTGGCGGCGGAGGACCTGCAGCTCGTACCCGTCGCGAGAGAACTCGGACGGCGACCGCGTGAGCACGGGCGTGTAGTGCAGGCTCGTCCGCTCCACTTCGTCCATTCCGAAGGCTAATGTTGCAGCAGACACCGTCGTCGTCGGCATCGAAATGCCTTTGGACTGCCGCGGGGGGTACGCGGGCCGCACCTCGGGGCGATGCTGCATCCACGCAACAATCCCTTCTGTCCAGGCGACAACATCACTCGCTTTGGCGTGCAGCAGCCGTCGCACGTGCAAGTCGGCTTCGGTTGCCGCCACCGCATCGAGTACGCCGGCAGCACTAGGCCCCCTCTTCCGTCAAGAGTGCTCGGTCAAATGACAAAAACGTACCCGAGAAAGCGGTCAACGGCTTCCTTGTAGTGCTGCTGCCGCTCGGCGAGGACGCCTTGCTCGATGAGTCGAAACCCTTCCTGCGCCGTCACGAGCTTGGCTGTGCCACCCAGCGCGCTCATCGAGCTCGTGACGCGTGCGAGTAGTCGCTCTGGAAGGGTGGTCATACATCCAACAGTGCAAACAAGATGCGAAATGCGCAGAGTTCGTTCAATCTTTTCAAATCGGTCGCGCTATTCCGAGGCCGTGAAACGCTATTGCTTGGTCGACCCGTCGTCCCGGCTTCCGAGCCCGTTGGCGCGAATGACGTGGCTAAACCAGCGCGCCGATGCTTTTGGCATGCGCTCCATCGTCTCGTAGTCGACCCAGTGGAGACCAAACCGCTTGGTGTAGCCGCACGCCCACTCGTAGTTGTCGATGAACGACCACGCAAAGTAGCCTCGGACGTCGACACCCGTCTCCGTGATGGCTCGGTGCACTTGGGTGAGGTACGCTTCGTAAAAAGCGATGCGCGCCGTGTCGTTGGCTGCCGAAGCCTTGTCGACGTCGGCGACCGCGCACCCATTTTCAAAAATGTAAATGCCACCGGGCGGTGCATAGCGCTTCTGGATCCAGTGCTACTTGGACACGAGTGGAAAGGAGCTGGGTACGCTGCGACGTACCAGGAGGTTGTGAAAGCCGTACGGTACAATGTTCCAGCCAATGTCAGTCTGGGACCAGCTCGGGTCGGACGTGACGTCGACGGCCTGGTCGTCCCAGATACAGCCGTCGTAGCCGGGCAGTGTGTCGTAGCCCGCTCCTGGCTCGGCGTACTTGGAGGCATAGCTGTTGATGCCGAAGAAGTCCACGCTGCCTATAGTCGCTTGATGAACATCATGTGCAAACGATGGAATCGAAGTCACCGCGCACGAGGTCGATTTGCGCAGGTGTAAAGCGCGGAAGGCGATCTCCCAGACGCGTCTTCATGATCTCGGGGTAGTCGCCAAAGAAGATGGGGTCCGCAAACCAGCCTAGCTCGAAGAGCACTGAGCGCTCGGCGGCCTCCGTGTTGCGAGCGAGCGCGGCCGCGTCGTCCGATGGCTTTGGCTCGCGCCACTCGCAGTTGAGCGTGAGGCCGATCGTCCCGCTTTGGGACGCCTGGAACGCCGTGCGGTAGACGTGCACGGCATGGGCGTGCGCCAGGAGGAGATGATGTGCTAGCGTCGTATCCTATGAGCGCCACATAGATCAATAAGATCACATATACCTGCCGTGTACGTCTCGGTCTTGCACTTGTGCTTGCGGCCCGGCGCCATGTCGCCGGTGCCATGACCGAGCAACGCCGAGCACCATGGCTCGTTGAGCGTCAGCCACTGCTTGACGCGGTCGCCAAACCGCTCAAAGCAGAGGCGCGCGTACGCAGCGAACGCATCAACCACCACTTGCCCCCCGAGCCAGCCATCCAACTCGGTCTGAAGAGCCAGCGGGAGGTCCCAGTGGTACAGCGTCACGATCGGCGTGATGCCATGCGCCAGCAGCTCGTCGATAAGGTTGTTGTAAAACGCAATGCCTTCCTCGTTGATGTGGTCCATGCGGCCCGTCGGAAGGATGCGCGGCCACGAGATGGAGAGGCGGTAGTGCTGGAGGCCCATGTTGGCCATGAGCTGGACGTCTTCCTTGTAGAGGTGGTAGTGGTCGACAGCCTTGTCGCCGGTGTCGCCGTTGAGGGTTTTGCCGGGCGTCTTGGAGAAGGCGTCCCAGATGCTGAGGCCGCGGCCGCCTTCGTGGGCAGCGCCTTCGATCTGGTACGCGGCGGTGGCGGCGCCCCAGACAAAGCCTTCCGGGAACGTCAGCATGTTTGCCTTTTGGTTGTGGTCATCCGGATGAAGCAGAGGCATTTCCGGTTACGACACGTTGAAGTTGGAGTTTGATGTGCTAGGGTGCGATTGCGGACGGGTGCGATTGCTCTACGAAAGTCCTTCACGTCATCGACCTACTCTTGCCCACGTCAAAATGGGCTCTTCGAGTGTGCATCATCTATAGGACGTATTCGACATGCGACGACCTCGGGCATGTCGGCTTTAGCCTCGTACCGATGGCTGGAATCAATACTCAGTTGATTGAGCCTTGCTGGAATGGAGTGTCCAAGTCTACGCAAACTGGCGTTGTGCCACCCAAGACTATGCAAGCATTTAAATACGTCATGAAATGTCAAGAGGGTCCTTGTTGCGAAGTAGAGAGGGCACGACGTGGCGTCGCGAGTCTGGCGATAGAAACGCTGATGTAGCGCAAGCAGGATCGCCATCATGGATGACCCGAAACCATCCAGTACACGATTTGTACGGTGCAAATGTATACTTCGTTGCGATAGAATGCAGAAATCAAGCTGGTTGAAGTTGGTTTGATAATGACGCTTGACCACATCAAGCATCGATGGGTGTCCTCCATTCTGCGTGTGGTCCTTTCTCTGGCCAGACATTGACGTCGTCTTGCTCCTCACTTTTTCACTTGCCTCGTCAAGAACTACCGCCATGCCCACGCTGCAATTCCCCGACGGCTTTGTCTGGGGCGCCGCCACCGCCGCGTACCAGATCGAAGGCGCCGCCCACGAAGGCGGCCGCGGCCTCAGCATCTGGGACGCCTTCTCCAAGACGCCCGGCAAAACCCTCAACGGCGACACCGGCGACAAGGCTGTCGACCACTACCACCTCTACAAGGAAGACGTCCAGCTCATGGCCAACATGGGCCTCCAGCACTACCGCCTCTCCATCTCGTGGCCGCGCATCCTTCCGACGGGCCGCATGGACCACATCAACGAGGAAGGCATTGCGTTCTACAACAACCTCATCGATGAGCTGCTGGCGCATGGCATCACGCCGATCGTGACGCTGTACCACTGGGACCTCCCGCTTGCGCTTCAGACCGAGTTGGATGGCTATCTTGGTGGAAAGCCAGTGATTGATGCGTTCGCTGCGTACGCGCGCCTCTGTTTTGAGCGATTTGGCGACCGCGTCAAGCAGTGGATCACGCTCAACGAGCCGTGGGTGGCCTCTGTCTTGGGCTTTGGTATCGGCGTCATGGCGCCGGGTCGCAAGCACAACGGCAAGACCGAACCGTACATTGCCGGTGGGTTTGCACATGCGATGTGAACATTGTATCAATCTTTCAATGGTAGGCCACAACATGCTGCTTTGGCACGCACACGCCGTCAACGTCTACCGTACCGAGTTCCAAGAGACGCAAGGCGGCACGATCGGCATGACGCTCAACTGCGACTGGCGCGCGCCCAAGCCGTCGGACGACCCAGTGCAGTGGGCCCAGAACGTCGAGGCTGCCGAGCGCGCCGTCGTCTTCGACCTTGGCTGGTTCGCAGACCCAATCTACTTTGGCGACTACCCCGAGGAGATGAAGACGCGTCTCGGCGACCGCCTCCCGCGCTTCACGGCCGAAGAGTCGGCGCTCTTGAAGGGCAGCAACGATTCTTTGGGATCAACCACTACGGCACCAACTACGTCGAGCCCTCGGACGCGTACCTCGCCAATGCCCCATGCGGTCGTGACGGCATCATTTTCGATGACGCCGGTGTCACGATGTCGGCGGACGATGCGTGGCCGCGCACCGACTTGGGCTGGAACGCCGTGCCGTGGGGTTTTCGCCATCTTCTGGTGCGTCATTGGAGCCAGAATGCAAGGCATCTGAGTGTTTTGATGCCGATTAGATGTGGATCCAAGCCCGGTATGCGCCGGCGGGCGGCATCATCGTCACCGAGAACGGCTGCGCGGTCGCCGACGACGACCAAGTCGCAGCGGCCAACGATGACTTCCGCGTCAGCTACTACCGTGGCTACATTGCCGAGATGCACAAGGCCATCACCGAGTTCAACGTCGACGTCCGGGGCTACTATGCGTGGTCGTTCATCGACAACTACGAGTGGGCGTGCGGCTACAGCAAGCGGTTCGGTCTCCACTGGGTCAACTACGAGACGATGGAGCGCATGCCAAAAGCATCGGCGCACGTGTATGGCGCCATCATCCGCGCCAACGCGCTTGTCGTCGAAGAGGACGACAACGAGAAAGCTGTCGACGCGACGCCTGCGGCAGCAGCGCATTAGTGTGCCTCGATCGCGTTTATTGTTAAATCAAACATGACTAGTAAGCGAACGATCAACGTCGGACTGGTTCATCTCCTGATGCTGCACGCTGGGTCTCTTGGAGGAGATCGTCTGTGCAGCGGTATGGAAGTAGACACCCAGGGACGTCAGAGGACGCACTCGGCGTGTGTGCGAAGACAGCATGCTCCATGGGAGCAAGTCGCAATGCAACTCCGCGGCAATTGCTCTGCTGCGCGAGAAAGACGCGTGCGACGAATCTACAACCACGGTGCAGCCAGTTCTGGTCGAGCAGCCGCCAGAACCAGGCAACGCATCTGCAAACGTCGTGGCTTGAGCTACTTCTTGCAACAGGTCGACGACGTATTATACAACCCACTTTGGGCAAGACGACGAACTGGTTACCCTCCCTACTGATGAACTGGCCACCCTTTCTAATGGACTAGCTGGTCACCCTTTCGAATGGACTCGCTGGTCTTCCCGTCGTCGTACTGACAGTACCGTCGCTTTTGCGAGGTTGACGGCGCTGCTGGTTGCACAAGCACCGGCGAACGATTGTTTGTTCTGCAACTCTACAACTTGAGCTTAGCGCGGCCGAGCGATGAGCCACGACACATCCATTACGGCCTTGACACCTACCGACGCCTTGCCCGCGATTACCACGTCATACTCATCATCCTGCCTCGCCCACGACGCCCAGCCTTGTTCACGTTTGGCCTTTACCGAGTCGCTCGAGCTCACTTCGCCTTCAACGACGTAGAAGTAGCAACGTCGGCATCTGCGCTCGTCCAACGCCACGTCCGTCGGAATTGGCTCCTTGAAGTTGGCGTCTTTTGGCCACGTCCAACTTGTCGCACGTCCCATCTTTTATATTGCATACAAACAAATGGTTCCAATAAAACATTGGCATTGTATTGTCTTTTCCGTTGCAAATCCGGGCATGACCGCAGTTTGCCTTTCGCCTTGTCGAGCAGTAGACACCACCACCAAGCACTATGACCACGCTGCAATTCCCCGACGGCTTCATGTGGGGCACCGCCACCGCCTCGTACCAGATCGAAGGCGCCGCCCACGAAGGCGGCCGCGGCCTCAGCATCTGGGACGCCTTCTCCAAGACGCCTGGCAAGGTCCTCGAAGGCCACACCGGCGACAAGGCTGTCGACCACTACCACCTCTACAAGGAAGACGTCCAGCTCATGGCCAACATGGGCCTCCAGCACTACCGCCTCTCCATCTCGTGGCCGCGCATCCTTCCGACGGGCCGCATGGACCACATCAACGAGGAAGGCATTGCGTTCTACAACAACCTCATCGATGAGCTGCTGGCGCATGGCATCACGCCGATTGCAACGCTGTACCACTGGGACCTCCCGCTGGCGCTTCAGACCGAGTTTGACGGTCTCCTCGGCGGCAAGGTGCTCGTTGATGCGTTCGCTGCGTACGCGCGCCTCTGTTTTGAGCGGTTTGGCGACCGCGTCAAGAAGTGGCTGACGCTCAACGAGCCGTGGTGCTCGGCCATCTTGGGCCACGGCTCGGGCGACATGGCGCCGGGCCGCAAGCACAAGTGCAAGACCGAAGTGTACACGGCAGGTACATTGACCATTCTCCATCCGCTGTAAGATCCTAGTATGACCTATCGCGTAGGTCACAACCTGCTCTTGTGCCACGCGCACGCCGTCAACGTCTACCGCACCGAGTTCCAGGAGGCGCAGGGCGGCCAGATTGCGATCACGCTCAACTGCGACTGGCGCGAGCCCAAGCCGTCGGACGACCCTGTCGAGCAGGCGCAGAACGCCGACGCCGCCGAGCGCCACCTCCTCTTTGACCTTGGCTGGTTTGCGGACCCCGTCTACTTTGGCGACTACCCCGAGGTCATGAAGACGCGCCTCGGCGACCGCCTCCCGCGCTTCACGCCCGAAGAGTCGGCGCTCCTCAAGGGCTCGAGCGATTTCTTTGGCTTGAACCACTATGGCACGGCGTACGTCGAGCCCTCGGACGCGTACCTCGCCAACGAGGTCTGTGGCCACGAAGGCGTCATCTGGGAGGACGTTGGCACCAAGCAGACCTCGGACGATGCGTGGCTGCGCACCGACATGGGCTGGAACGCCGTGCCGTGGGGCTTCCGCAAGCTGCTCATGTGGATCCAAGCCCGGTACGCGCCGGCGGGTGGTATCATCGTCACCGAGAATGGCTGCGCGGTCGCCGACGACGACCAAGCCGCGGCTGCCAACGACGTCTTCCGCGTCAACTTTTACCGCGGGTACCTCGCCGAGATGCACAAGGCCATCACCGAGTTCAACGTCGACGTCCGGGGCTACTATGCGTGGTCGTTCATCGACAACTACGAGTGGGCCTTTGGCTACACCAAGCGGTTTGGTCTGCACTGGGTCAACTACGAGACGATGGAGCGCATGCCGAAGGCGTCGGCCATCTGGTACGGCCACGTCCTGCGCTCCAACTCGCTCGCGCTCGAAGACGAGTACAATAGCAAGTCGCCCGAGGGCAGTGTCGCCGCCGCACCGCTTGCCACGTCGTATTAGGCATGTTGAAGTTGTCAAGAAACGGCGATTTTGTATGGTATAGTGAGCGCCTGTGCATCGAACTCTCTCCATGCGCGTGCTTGTACGACGTTGTTTCGAGGGACTTGCCCTGAAATCCGGTGGGTGGATTCTGCCGGGAAAGCTTCGTGGGAACTGCTGAAGAGTGCAGCCGAGGATGGGATCTACCAGTAGCAGCGTGCCACGAGGACAATTTTGTGAGCAGCTGCGCCGTCGGGAGCGCTTGAAGCGCCGGCCCGATCGAATGAATCTTGGCATTTGTATGCCACATCAACGTTGGGCTAAAGACACGCAACTCCAAAACCCAGATCTTGTTCGGAAGATTGGCATTTCCACGATGGCAGCGCAGCGCAAGAAGAAGGTGCTTGTCTCGGCGTCCAGCCAAGAGCTCCTCGACGGCCTCGTGCGTCCTGAGGCGTACGTTGCCGACCCGCACGCTGTGACCACGACGGATGACGACGACGACGACTACGACGCCATTGAGCTCATCCAGACGCACATGTCGATGGTCTTTCTCCGGGCCAACGTCGTGTACAAGGTCAAGAAGAACGTCGACTTTGGCTTTGCGGACTTTTCGAGCGTCTACAAGCGCATGCAAGCGTGCTTGGCCGAGACCCAGCTCAACCAGCGGCTCGCGCCCACCGTCTACCTCGGCGTCGTGCCCATCTACAAGGACAAGGACAGCGTCATCCGCATGAGCACGTACGACTACTGGACCGACGCGCGCGAGAAGGACGCGACGTACTATGCCAACGACGAGCTCGGCGAGATCGTCGACTGGGCAGTCAAGATGCGCCGGCTGCCCAACGAAAACACGTGTCTGCATTTGCTCAAGACGGGCCAGCTCACGCCGACTCTGCTCCACGCGGTGGCGGCCAAGATTGCGCGCTTCCACGTCACGGCGCGCAAGAGCCCGTCGATCGACGCGTTTGGGAGCCCGAGTGCGATCGCCGCCAACGTCAACGAGAACTTTGCGCAGACAAAGACGCACGCGCGCGCGGGCCTCGTCGACGCGAGCGTGTACGCCCACGTGAAGCGGCTCTCGGAGGCGATGACGGCGGACCTCGAAGCGATCTTCCGGCAGCGCGTCGAGCACAAGTACATCTCGGACACGCACGGCGACCTGCGCCTCGAGCACGTGTACTTTCTCCCGACCGCTGCGAGTACGAATTCTTCGACGCTTGCATGCGACTTAAAGCTCTTGTAGACGCACCGCTCTCGACCGCCCAGGTCGCGTCACGCTACGTGCCGCCGATCGCGGCGTACGAGCTGACAACGTTGGACGTCTCGGCGCTCGATGTCGTCGTCCTCGACTGCATTGAGTTTAACGAGCGGTTCCGGTACAGTGACCCGCTCGCGGACGTGGCGTTCTTCTCGATGGACTTGCTCCGGCTCGGGCGGCACGACCTCGCGCGGGACTTCAACAACGCGTACTTGGACGCGTCCAAGCAAGCCTCCAAGGCCAACAACCAACTGCTGCGCTTCTACACGGCCTACCGCAGCGTCGTCCGCGCCAAAGTCTCGGGCTTCCAGGCGCTCGACTCGCTCATGCACGACACGGCGAAATCCCGCGCCCGCGCTCAATGCCACTGGCTCGTGGCTCTGAGTCTCTTGGCGCTGCCAGCCGACCGCCCCTTGCTCTTGCTGGTGACGGGCCTCCCCGGCTCGGGCAAGTCGTCGATCGCCGAGGCGCTCACGGTCACCGACCCGCGCTGGGTCTGGGTGCGCTCGGACGCGGTGCGCAAAGAGCTCGCCGGCGTGCCCGTCAACGAGAAGACGCCGAGCGACCAAACGGACGACGTCTACTCGGCCGCGTCGACGCACGCCACGTACACGGCCTGCTGGTCGACGGCGCTCGAGGCGCTCACGCGGGGCCAGCGCGTGCTCGTGGATGCCACCTTTCGGGAGCCTGCGTTTCGCTCGCTCTTTCTCGAGGGCGCCAAGCAGGTGGGCGTCAGCGTCGCCGTCGTGGTCTGCGACTGCAACCGCGAGATCATCAAGGGCCGCATGGCCAAGCGCGACGAGGAGACCGTTCACGTCTCAGACGCGGACTGGGCCGTCTTTGAGAAGGTCGAGAAGAGCTGGACGCCGTTTGAGGTCGATGCCAACCGCATCTACAGCCTCTGCGCCACCGAAGTCTTTGAGGTCAGCACGGAAAAGCAAAAGGAGCTCAGCGTGCAGCGTATTCGCGGCTTCTTGCGCAAGCTTGGAGTCGAGTAGTCGATGCATAACGCAATACAGTATTCCCGGTAGGTTGGCTTGTCGATCGATGCTCCTTGATGGACACGAAGCAAGTGGCTGCTCAAGCTGTCGGCACCCTTGTGACGCACCGTCACGAACGGCCTTGAACGGTCACAGAACCTGCCATACAAATGTTGGCATCATCTTTCGCCCTCCTTCGTAGTTATTACGTAGTACACCTTTCGTAAGATCAAGTGACACTGTACTCAAACTCTACATCGTCTACCTATACACGCCCTGCGCTACACTACAAGAGGGACTTGGCGTTGCTGCGCACCGTGACAATCTCGGACGCCTTGACGTCGATCAAGGTCCGGTCCGGGTCCACGTACGCGAGGCCGCTCTCGGCCACAAACGCGTCGCCGTCGTCGCCTTCCAATCGCAGCATTTCTTTGACGTACGCCAAAGGAATATGCGGCTGGTAGGCCTTGCACATGATGCGCAGCGCTTGCAGCCGCACGTGGTCGACGTAGGCGTCCATGAGGTACCCGCTCATCTTGGGCGCCGCCGCGTACAAGTGGAAAAACAGCGTATAGTTGTTGAGCGCGACGGCTTCGCGCACGTCGAGGGCATGGGCGACGGTCTCGTCGTCGCGGTCGGCGGCCTGGATGCGCGAGAGGACCTTGGCCATGGCCACGTTGCCAGTGTTGACGTCCGCCTTGGCCTGGAGGCACACGTAGATGCAGTAGAGCACGCGGTACGCGAGAAACTCGAGCGCGCAGCCTTCAATGCCCGCATCGTAGAGCGCCGCGAGCTGCGTCTGGCACTGGTTAAACTCGTTCATGTCGCCCTCCTCAAGCGCAATGCGCGCGTGGGACTCGTACGCGCGGACCGTAAAGGCATTCTTAATGTGCTGCACCTACGCACCCGAGGTTTGCATCGACACGAAGAGGTCGGCGAGAATACCGTGCAGTCTTGGCGGATCGACTTCATTTGGCTGCACACGTAAATGTAGTCGCACTTACCTTTCTTCCACTTCTTCCGCACCATCTCGAGCGCCTTGTGGAGCACGGGCTCCGGGCGCACGGTCGACGGGTGCGGCGCCTACGCGACGCTGAGATGCTGGGACATATGCTTCGTCCTCTACCGAAGTGAGTCGGAGGTACTCCTTCTCGACGATTTGGCTCGTGCCCTTGATGATCATGGCGTCCAAATCCAATTCGCCGTCGTCGTTGAGCACTTGCAGTGGTCGGTCTTCGTCCACCTGTGGATGGTATGCTGTGAGTGGACCGCAATACGACGATGGTAAGTGTACGGTGGGGGCGCGGGTCTTGTTGGCGACGAAGCTGTCCTTGAGGAAGCGCTGCTGCCGCTTTAGCTTTCGCTTGACGTCGTGGCCATCGGGGTCGTCGTCCCTGCACATGCAATACATCTTGCACGGTTCTTCATTGAAACAGACGACGTACATCATCTTGCGCTTGGGCTGCTTCGTAAACTTGGATGACGGGCCGGATGTGTCTAGTGGGATGAAACCGGAGGGACGGGGTGGGGGGACAAAGCCCCGGGGGGGCACCATGCCCGGACGGGGCGGCGGCACAAGTGGGCGAGGACCCGCATGAAGAGGACGAGGAGGAGGAGGACGCATATGCAAAGGACGGGGACCCATGGGCCCTGGCGCGATCATCGTGCTGCCTTGCTCCTCCAGCGGCAACGGCTCCGCATTCCAGTTCTTGGTCCAGAGCTGGTTTGCTGCCAAAGCGGACGCGATCTTCTCTTTTAGAAGGGCCTGGACACGCGATTTGTCGCCTTCGGTTCGGGCAGAGTTGAAGGCGCGCTCGACGTAGGCTTTGAGAGCTGGCGGCCACTGCGTCGACTCGACACCTGCAGGTGGTGCTTGCTGCTGATGCACGTTCGGCGGAGGCTGCGACGAAAACTTGGACACGGCGGGCGGTGTTCGGTTGTACATCTTTGGAGCTGCACTGGCCACCTCCGTGGCCGGCCCGTAGCGTACCGCGGGATTTGGCTGCTGGTTCTCGGCGCGTCCTGTACCCCACTGCCACTGGTTAGACGTAGAGTTCACTTGAGGAGGAGGTGCGTGCGGCGCCTTGTCCCACTTGCTACCCGCAGGCGGTTGCTGCGGCGCGACGGGCCGAGGTGGTACCATAGCGCGAGGTGGCCCCAGTGGGCGAGATGGCACAAGCACGCTACCCTGCGGTCGAGGCTGGAACGGCGGTCGCGGTGGCGGCGGGTACGGGTACTGCACTTGCTGCGGCGCCTGTTGCTGGTACGAGTACGCCGGAGCCTGCTGCTGCAACGAGAAACCTCGCGGAGGAGGAGGCGGTCGCATGGGCGGCCCGCGCGGAGGCGCGCTGTTACCGTAGAACTGGGCGTAGCCAGCGTACTGCGGCGGGGCAGGCGGCGGATACTGGCTCATTGCTGCTACCGGGTACCTGGATTGGCCGAGAATAACTGAACTCGGGACCAGACGCCCGACACCTGTATCAATCTATACTGATATGCATTTTCAAAGGTATTGGGACATGGCATCCAGGGTGGCACGTGCCGATATTAAAATCAAGATTCGGCCGACAGGATCTAAACAGAGTTTGAGCAGACAGACAGTGTTTGGAAGGCAAACGGTGCGGGTAATAAACCTCGTTGCTGTTGATCGTCGCGGGCTTGGTTGCTTCCTGTCCGCGGTACCGGTAGTAGCTGTCCGAGGTCGCTGCAGGACGCGCGTCAGAAAGCATCCAAACCAACTTGATGATACAATCTCCCATCAGAGTCCAAATCGAGTCCCAAAGCCAACCCCTCTGGCTTTAGCAGTTGCTCGTGGAGGGAGTTTGGAGGCAAAATTTGCCTCCCAACGAACCTGGAACGCTCACGGTAAAAACGACACCGGCATCGTCTGATTGAGCTATCGACCGCGCATGATAAGATCGACATCGTGTTTCACATGCCTTGTCTATCCCGGCAGCAGCGTCACCTAGGTTGACCTCCCGCGAGTGTGATTGCTCCTCGCAAGTGTCCTTGGCCTTCCTTGTTGTGTCTTATTGTTGGATACAATCGTCGTTCGCCTTCATCATGCGTGTTTGCGCGTGTTGTCCAAGGCCTCTGACATGGCCTGCGTCCATTCTACGTGCGGCGGCGGAAACCAATGGCTGGCGTGCACTGCCACCCGCCGTGCCTCGGCTGTCGTCACGCCATGCGGCTTCTACGGCCATCACGTGACTCACTTGGGTGCGCGTCGTGTCACATGCACAGCGGGGCCACAGCAGCCGCAGCTTGGTGCGCGTACAGTACAATCCGCCACGCACCTCGCGCAAGGCCGTGCGACTTGTAATTCTTCTTGCGTTCGCCGGTCCGTGGGCCAACATCCAGCGATTGAAGCCGACGCAAGGCGCGTTGCTCTCGGCATGTCGCACTTTTGCACTTGGCCTTTCTAGTCACCACTCGTGTAATAAAATCAATAAAAAATCGTTCCGATTTCTTGAAGTGGCGCCAGGTGGCCCCGCCTTGTGAGTCATGGAACGAGTTTATTCGCAAAGTTGCCATGGTGTCCGCAGCCGTCGCCTACATCTGCCTCATCGCGACGCTTCTCGCCGTCGCCGCGTACGCCGTGTATGTCACGTACCTCGTGCCCGTGAAGAGCGTCGCCACGTACATCAGGTACGACGACGACGAGCCTCACACCTTCACGCTCTCTTCTTAGCGCCAAGAAGACGCAGACGCCGTGGGTCCTCGGCTGGTGCATGTTTTCGTCCGGCATGGGCTCGTGGGCGCTCTTCTCGTTCCCGGACACGGCGGCGGCCGTCGGCACGTGGGGCCTCATCGGCTACTGGCTCTCGATCGTCCTCGGCTACGGCGTCCTCGCGGTACTTTTACCCGACGCGTCCTTGCGAGTGAGGATGATCTCATCATCGTTCATGTCAAACAGATTGCGGGTCCGGCCATCTCGGACATGCTCGGCGATGGCATCACGCTCAGCGACTACGCGGCGCGCGTACGACGACATTATCATCGTCGCGAGACTCATGGTTGTCGTACTAGCGCTTTGGCGTCGTGCCGCAGATGTACGTGGCGCTGATTTCGCTCTTTTACCAGCTCATTTCGATCGCGGCCGAGCTCACGGCGATCGGGTCGCTCATGTCGCTACTCGCGCCCGACACGCACACGCTTGTCTCGGTCATCCTCGTCTCGGTCATCACGTGCTCGTACACGCTCTTCGGTACCGACTGCTGTTCTATACATCCGACGAGTGCTAAGGCGATGTTATGCTAGGCGGCATCAAGGCCAGTATCGCGACGGACGCTGTCAAGGGCGGCTTCATCCTCGTGCTCATCATTGTTGTCTGCATCGCGATGTTCACCTCCGTGTCGATCCCGGAAGGCTCGTGGGCCGAGACGGGCGTCGCAGACTTCACCTTGCTCGGCTTCGAGGCCGTGATTACGCTCATCGTTGCGATCGTCTCGTCCAACCTCTTCTTGACGGGCTTTTGGCTGCGCACGTACGACAAGGTCCGCTCGAAATGGAAACTCATGTGTCGATAGGTTCTCGGCCAAGACGTCCCGCGACTTGCACATGGCGTGTGGCTTTGCGGCGCTTGTCGCGACGCCGTTCATCGTGCTCCTCGGCGTCACGGGCATGGTCGGCCGCATCTTGCACGCGGAAGCGACCGACTCGTTCTTCTTCCAGATCCTCCTCAACATGGACGAGGCGTGGAGCATCATCGTGCTCATCGTGATCGCAGCGCTCGTCTCGTCGACGGCCGATACGATCCAGACCGGCATGAGCGCCGAGATTCTGACCAACTTTCAGTCGCTCTCGCTCACGCAGGCGCGCGTCATCTCGAGTACTAGGCCCTTCATTTTTGCGCATGTGTTCTGACGTGTCTTCTTCTAGTCCTCATCAACATCCCCGCGATCGCGATCGCCATGACCAACACGAGCGTGCTCCAGCTCTTCTTGATCGCCGACTTGCTCTGTGCCGCGACGGTCGGGCCCATCTTCCTCGGTCTCTGGGAGCGCTGCCACCCAACCGCCGTCATTGTCGGCTGCATCAGTGGTCTCGTCACGGTACGCCACCTTGCCACGTGGGGTTGAAGCATTATTGATACCGCGTAGATTTTCGTGTCGGGCTGGGCGCGTGACGGTGTCTTTGTCGACGGCTTTAGCGAGTTTGTCCTCGCGGAGGGTCTCTTTACGGAGCACTCGATGGTCCTCTTCCTCGCGGCGCTCATCGTGCCGGTCATCGTGACCGTCGGCCTCTCGCTCGTGCTCAAGCCCGCGCCGCGCAAGGCGCCGTTGCTGCAGTCGCCGACCGATTTCGCGGCGGCCAAGTCGCCCGAGCTCGTCTAAGCGCACTTCTACGACAGCCAATACAATGCGACCTTGTGTGTGCTCGCATCATTTGTCGATGATATTAGTCAAGACTACGTGTACTTGTGCAGCGGCCAGTCGTCCTTGTGGTCGGCCACGAATTGCTCAAAGCTGCGAGGCGACCGCCCGAGCATGTCCTCCACCGTCGTGCTCGTCTCCGCTTCGTACTGGGCTTCGTAGTAGCGCGAGAGGTTCACGAGCTCCTGAATCTCTTCCGGACGCTTGCCTACGCTGCGTTCACGCACCGCGCAAGGCGATAAACAGTTGTACCTTGCACCCACATCGCCGTCTGCACGGCCCAGAGAGGAAACTTGGAGTACTTGACGGGCGGCAAGACGTGGCGCGACAGCGTCGCCGCAACCTCCTGCATCGAGAGAGCCGCGGGGCCCGTCACATGCAGCGTCGTCGACGCCGGCGCGTCGACCGAGACGAGGCGGTTGACCACGTCGGCCACGTCGCGTCCGTCGACAAATGCGATGCGCGCCGCTTCGTTCGTCACCGAGAGCGTTCGACCGCACACCATCTCGTGAAGCTTCCCGTACAGAAACGTGTCCATGAGCGTCGAGGGATGCACGATCGAGAGCGGAATCTGCGTCGCTTCCGCCGCCGACTCGAGCTCAAACCACGCCTTGCCGCTCGGCACCATCGAGTCGGCCGCCGACGTCGCCGTCGACACGAGTACCTACACGAGTCGATGAGCTCTACATGGTGGAAAGTGGCCGTTGTACGAGGTGCTCGAGCTTGGCGGCCTTGGCCGCCTTCAGCAACGTCTGCGTCGCGTCCCACTGGGCCGTATCGACGGCGTCGGGGAGCAAAAGCAGCCCAGTGCTACCAAGTCGCTTCATCTGATCAACCACATTGTCGACAGAGGGCTCTGCGAGCGAAAGGCCCACGGGCTTGAACTCGGAGTGGCAGTCGGTGGTCGCGTGCACGTGGCGGATCACGGCTTCAGCGTGGTCGACACGCGCCGTGACCACCTGCCACTCATGGCGGAAGGCCGATGTGCTGTTGAGGCCCAGCACCATGCGCCCAAGGGCGCCGGCAGCCGACGTCGGCTTGAGCAGGGAAGCGCCGTGGAGCATGAAGCGCTGCATGGTGGTGGCAGCGTCGGAAATCTGAAATGCAACATCCTGAGATCTCCATGCGTGCGGTCAATTCCCACACGAACCAGACGTGAAAAATTCACAGCATCCGGATACGCGGCCTAAGCAACTGCGCCACACGCTGCGCCACGCGTTCGACCGCTGACCCGATATCTTCGCGTCCCACATCGCCCGAAAAGACTTGATCATGCACGTGTCAACACGGCGTCCTCGAGTCCATCGCTTGCCTCGGGCGCGGGGACCTGTCCATGCAATATACTGCACGTAGTAGGTGATGCCAACGGCGCGATGTGAATGTGTTTTTGTGGGTTTTCGGATATCCGGATACAAATAGGACGCGACCGTTCGACGTGAGCTCCGCCGCCATGTCGTTCGGGTCTGCCGCCTACAGCATAGACTACGCCAACGCGATTACAAAGCTGGACCCGCAGCTCTTTCAGCCACAGCGCCTCTCGCTCCGCGTCCAGCCGCAGATGCACGCGCGAGGTATCGTGATCCAGCTCATTGCGCAGCAGTGCACGGTCTTCGCGCTGCTCGTGCACAAGCTGCGCCTCGCCGTGCTGCCCGACGCGACCACACGGATCGGCATCATTGGCGGAGGTCGTGTTGGCGTCGAGATTAGCCAGGCGCTGTTGGCCAGCGGGTGGCCGCCAACGCTCATTGCGATATCCACACGGCAGCCAGAAGACCCTCGCTGGATGGCGCGGGTTGACGCCGCTGTCGCGCGGTCACCGCCACCGCCCACGCCAAGTATCATCTCACGCCGGCTGTAGGTACCACGACAATGCGAAACTCGCGCTTGAGAGCGATCTCGTGCTTCTCGCCGTGCCCCCGTCGCAGTTGACCAGCGTGGGGATCCAAGTCAAACATACGCTGGGCCAGCCGGCGTCGATGCGGATCCTTCTCACTGTCCTCGCAGGCGTCGAGCTCGACAAGGTTCGCGATGCATGGCGCCATTATGTGACGCATCTGATCGCGCGTCAGGTGATGAAAGTGTGCGCTTGCCCATGCGCGCTCCATACCCGCGTGCACCCTTCGATCGTCCAAGACGTCGACCTCGCGACGATGGATACGGCGGCCCTCGCCGCAAATCACTACGCGCGTAGGTCATCTGTGCGACGGCCATTACCGTATGGCAGCGTGCATTATTGCTCACACCGATACTAGACAACAACTCGGCCGGTCTGCGGGATCTCTGCCTCCGCTTTGAGCAGTTTGCATTGCGCCTCGGCGTCGACGAGCGTGTCGCACGCCGCGTCGCCGTCGACCTCGTCTTGGGCCCGTCCCGTCGCGCCCCCTTTGATACTCCGCTTGCATCCAGTGCGTTGTGGCACCAGTCCTGGGACGATCTGCTGTCGACGACGCAGCGACTATGGAGCGGTGCCATCGACCAGGTCGATGTCCCATATAAGGCAGAGAGCTGCTCGGTCGCCTTGCCCGAGACGCTGGGACACCCCGTGTAATGCCTTGCAATATACAGCGAATGTGTGGTAGAGGCAACCAGCAACGAGCAGCTCGCCCGTAGAGGGAACGCACGATCGAACAACGACAAGGCCGCTTGGCAGCCAGCTGGAGGTACCTGCCATCTGCGTTCCGCTGCAGTAGAAAATGTGCAAACTCAAGTGTCCGGATAACGGCCCCTCTGCCAGGCGAAAGTGATAAAATGGCCAGCGCAATTCGCAGGCGATGCAAGTCTCCGTTGCCGTCCCATACAAACACCAAGCGTTGGCGATCTCAATGGGTGCGTGGGGACGAGGCGGGGTAGGGTGCGTGTACTTATCGCTGCGAATTCCCGGCGGCCACCGGAAAGTGCACCCCCGCTGGTGTGTAATCGGATTTCATTCCGCTTTTCGAGGCTCAAGGCATAGGTTCGGCTCGCCTTCTGTTCTTCTCTTCTTCGACGTCGCGCTCGCATCCCGCCGTCGTCTTCTTCCATTTTCTTATTGGGAAGATCCACCACAAGCTACAGCATGCAGAACCAAGCCGCCGCCTCGCCTGCTCGCTTCGCCCGCCGCCTCCGCGTCGTCACGGAGCCGCGCCGCAGCAACTCGAACAAGATGCTCCGGACGCGCACCTTGTCCGAGATGGTCTTTCTCTCGCCGCGCAACAGCCCGCGCATCACGCCCCGCAACTCGCGCTTCGACATGGACATTGAGGTGAGCTCGACGTTCGCCGAAGGCGACGGCCCCGTGGACCTTCTCCCGATCGGCGCGCCGCACATGGCGTACGAGCCGTCGACGTCCAGCGACAGCTCCTTTGTCGTTGTCGAGGACGGCGAGTCGCCGGACGAGCTCTTCGACGCCTCCAACAACGAGCACGCGGCGATCCTTGAAGACATGGACATGGACCATGACTTTAGCGACCGCATGTCGGTCGACGACGAGGACGCGAACGAGTCGGTCGCCCACGCCGAACAGGACAACCAGGCCGACAATGACAGCGGCGACGAGATCCGCGCCGGCGGCCCCACGAGCGTGTCGGAGGTCGTCGACATTCTCTTTGAGATCCACACGGCGCTGAAGTCGCGCCACCTCGGCCAGCGCACAGCGGCATCGGCGCTCGCTGCGTCCAACCTCGTGTCGTCGGTGGCCTTTCCCGCCGACCCGGCCATGCCGCGTGACGCGCAAGCTGAACTTCTCGAGAACCACAAGAAGATGCTCGAGTGCGCGATCTGCCAGGAGGTCTTCACCTCGGCGACCGAGGCCAAGTGCTGCGGTCAGATCTTTTGCAAGCTGTGCATCGAGCGCTGGGTGAGCGACCGCAACTCGTGCCCCATGTGCCGTGACGAGCTCAGCTTTGACCAGCTCTCGCCGTCGCGCTTTGCCCAGCGCATGGCCAACGACGTCATTGTCACGTGCGCCTATTGCTCCGAGACGATGAAGAAGGCTGCCCTCGAGGATCACATGGACGTGTGCACGGAAGCGCCGATGGAGCCGCCGCCGCCGGCCGACGTCGCTCTGCGCCACCAGCTCATCACAGCCGCGCGCCTCTCTGTGCAAATGATGACACGCTTCCTCATGACGCCGTCGCCGACCCAGGCGCTTGTGATGCAGTGCTACATTCGCACCCGCGGCTCGGGCAACTACGAGTTGTACACGCAAGACACGGACGTCCTTCTCTGCACGGCGGTGCGTCGGCGCCAGCTCGACATGAGCGTGACCTTCTCCATCTACGCGGCCAACGCGGCCCCGGCCGAGGCCAACGCGATTGCGCGCCTCGAGCGCAACTTTGTCGGGTCGCAGTACACGGTGCTGAACACCACCGAAGAGATCCCGTCCGAGCTCGGCGCGGTGCAGTACGCTGCGACCTTTGGCAAGACGCCCCGCCAGATGCGCGTGGCTCTCCCGCTCGTCCACGAAGCCAGCAACAACGACGACGTCGCGTCCTATGAGGTCGAGCGGTACGTTCCGACGGGCCGTGACGACTCGATGCTGTCTCAGATTGAACGCCCGGACGCGTCCCGCGCCATCAGCCTCATCAACAAGCCGCCGGTGTGGATCGAGTCGCTCGAGGCGTACTGCCTCGACTTTGGTGGGCGCGTCGCCGCCGCGTCGGTCAAGAACTTTCTGCTCTCGCACCCGGACGACATGGACAAAACGATGATGCTCTTTGGCCGCACGTCGGACCGTCAAGTGTACTCGATGGACTACCGGCACCCGTTTTCGCCGGTCCAGGCGTTTGCGATCGCGCTGAGCTCCATGGACTCGCACCTTGTCACGTTCGATTAAATGCCGACCGAGTCGCTGCTATATATTCGGGCTTTCGTTTTGGCTGCTTAGTAGAAGGCGCGTGCTATTTTATTTGTGTACAATATATTGCATTTCAGATCTTATTGATTTTTCGTGCTGCGTGAACTGAACCGGTCGCTTGGTGGGCAAGCGCCATATCTGGCGCCGGCTTCTTCAAGCAGCTGAGGGCGTGTCCAACGTATGGTCCCCGGCACATGACGTGGCCGTCTCACGTGGCGACGGTTTCGGACGCACCCACATACAGAGCAGCTTGCCATGGCGCCAAGCTAGCGCGTTCGACTTGCAGCGTTCAGGGAGTGCAGCGTCTTGCACCTGCTGCTAGTATTACTGTTTGCACTAATTGCTATGTCAAGCCGTTGAAGCCGTGACGGTGAGCGCCTGTCGAGTCGTACGACGAGCGGACACACAATCCGCCCTCGCGCAACCCGAGCATGGACGTGTAATCGTACTGTACATTTTGCCACTCTTGAACCAGACAGCACAGAATCGTCGCTCCATGCCGCCCCCATCCACGGTTCGAATGACCCAGTGCAGCGTCGCCCATCGAGGCGACGGTGTCTTTGAGCTCCTGCACAACAACGGCGTCGTCTACCGCGCCGCGCTGCGGCGTCAGCCGACGCGGACCGCTGTCGTACCCATCTGCAATGCCAACGAGAAGCGTGCCGTCGCGGGCCAGCTCCTTGGGTCCGTCGACGGCGCCTCGTACTGCGTCGTACACGAAGACACGCCGATGACGATCATCTACTCGGCGACATACGGCCGGACGCCACGGCGCATGCACGTCGTGCTGGGCAACGCCGAGCTCGTCAACAAGCCGCCACGTTGGGTCGAGTCGCTGCAAGCGTTTGGACTGAACTTTGACGGCCGCGTGCGCGTCGCGTCAGTCAAGAACTTTGTTTTGCTCAGCGGCGGCGCCGACGCCGTCATGGTCTTTGGTCGAACACCAGACCGCAACGTGTACGTCTTGGACTATGCGCCGCCGCTCACGCCACTGCTTGCGTTCGCCATTGCCCTCAGCAGCCTCGATGCCAAGTGCGCTACCGTGAGCTAATCGATGAGTTTGCACTTGTGAGTCAAGTGCAATTTCAATCGCAAAAACGTGTAATCGCAGGCTCACGACGGCGGTGTGACGAGGTGGCACACACCAAACGAGCTATCGAGTTCCATTGGTCCATGTCCGTCAGCATGTGTAGAAGCACGTGCGACGCCGCATTAGGCACACATCGCGTCAGTCGCCTTGGGCTTCTCTAAACCCGTTCAAAGGCATTCCTAAGCGTCTCTGTTGGACACACATTCTGGACACAGACCAGATCCTGTTCGCACAATCGGTGCAGTGTCAACCGAACCTGGTGCCATACCGGTACGTGCCATGCTGCAGTCCCGTATTGGTGTACTCGAAACGAGCTCGACGACTAGCTGGGCCTTGCTCTATTACGTAGCTCTTGCACTGCCTTCCTCCGACGCCATGTCGCGTAATATGCTGGTCTTTCCTAAACGTGCGTCGATCCCCTGCGCGCATACAAATGCAGCTCCGGTGGGATCGAGACTCGGCACGTCAGTCCGCATCCTGCCTGCCACGTCAGTCCCAGAAAGGGCGCCAGTTCCAATTCCGTTCTCCTCTTTTATACGCGACTGGCGTGGTGTGGTAATATTACAACGGCCAATATTTTAAAATACCTTGCGCATTGTATCATGTGTCGGTGGTTTGCGATTAAATCACTGGTGGCGACGGCGGGGTATTTTATGACTCGACCTTTGTATGTCACGGTTCCAAAGATTGAAACTCAACAAATCGTGTCCATCACCAACATTTTTCAGTTGGCCGCATCCTCCGCCGCTTCCTCCGTCGAGTCCAAGTACGACGCATGCTGCCCTCCCGCGACGCGATGCTCATGGGGACATCGCGCACTAGGATGCCCGCGATACGCTACCGCAAGAGCGCGCCGTCCATCTCATCCGCCACCATGGAGGACGAGGCGAGCCCGCCACCGGCGCCGGGGCGGTTCCGGTCGCGGCTGCGCCTGCCGTTCTCGAACCGCAACAGCGACGCCAAGGCGAAAGAGCGGTCGCCGTCGCCGCCCTCGGACGACAAGGAGGATGCCAAGGCCGACGAGAAGCGCGACGAGAAGGCCAAGTGCACGCCGCCGAAGAACTCGCCGGCGATGGAGTGCCACGTGTGCAAGATCTCGCTGGGCATTCGCCGCCTGAAGCACCACTGCCGCAATTGCGGCAACTCTGTCTGCAATGCGCATAGCCGCAACCAGCTCCCGTTACCCAAGTTTGGCATCCTTCGCACCGTGCGCGTCTGCGACAAGTGCACGAAGGAAGTGCTCCAGCAGCGCGCGGGGCTGCGCAAAGGCGCCTCGATCCCGTTTCCCGAAGAGACAACCGACAAATCCATAGGCGGCGTCCTCTACTCGTCGCTCGTCGAAGAGCAAGACGACACGATGGATACGATGCTCTACATTGGGTCGCTCAAGATGACGGGCCGATCGCTCGCGACGCGCAACCTCAACTCGAACATGATGATCTGGAAGGACCGCATGCTCATCGTGACGCCGGCCGAGATGATGTGCTTCAAGCACAGCGACTCTGGTCTTGGCGAGGTGCGGACGACCGTGCACATGACGGACATTCTGCACATCTACATCAACGAGAGCCACCCGCGCATCCTCACGGTGGTCCGCGCCGACGGACGGTACTGTACATCCGATCGACTCGAGCTTTGGTTTCTCATGCAGCATAGCATTTTTCGCATCCGCGCCAAAGACAAAGACCAGTGCCAAGCGATCCACGACGTCCTCCAAAAGACACACAAGATGTTTCAGGACGCCCTCTACAAGCTCCAGCGCGGCGTCCTCCCTGAGGACTTTAGCATTTCGTCGATCACACTCCAGCACACATCGAGCCTCCCGGAAGTGACGATCGCGGCGTTTCCAAACCTCCTCGAGCCACTCCACCACGTCGGCCTCTACCCATCCTCGATTGTGCGCCTCTACGTGGCCGGGCCCATGACGTCGGGCGTCGCAGTCTTCACATACGAGATGCTTGTCAAGAGCGACATGGTCCTCCAGCAGTGCGAGAACCCCACGGCGCGCAGCTGCGACGACGACGAAGCGCTCGAGGTCCATCTCGCAACAGGTACGACTTTCACTCGCTCCATCGCTCATCCGAATGGTGGCCAATAGACGCGTCGACAGCGGGCGCCACAAATGGCATGGTGTTGTGGCCCGTCGCGTGCCTCGGACTCAGCGGCCTCCTCTTGAGCGTCGCGATCCTCGGCTCGGACCGGCTCGTGACAGCATTAGGTGGCAGTCTCTTGCTCGCGGCCGCCCTCGCCCTCGTGCTGCGCTCCAACTATGACGCGCTCACGTCACTGCACTTGCTGCTCGCGACGCGCGGCCGCAGCGTGCTCGTGGGGCCCTCGTGGCGGTCGCTGACCGTCACCAAAGTCCTCCTCACGTCCAAGGACGCGTCATGCGACGACGAGCATGACGCGTCGGCCATGGACGTGCCGGACGATGACATTTACGGACGGTTCCTCGAAGGCATGTCGGGCAACGTGACGGAAGCGCGTCGGCGGTACTTTGCGATGGTCAATTGGCGCAAGGACGAGGACATTGACACGATCTTGGCGCGGCCGCATCCGCAGTTTGACGCAGTACGACATGGAAGAGGGCACGGCGCCGGATGCAACATGGCGTTTTTGTAGATCAAAGAGTCGCTCGTGCTCTATCTGCACAAGCGCGACAAGATGGGGCGCATGATCCAGATCGAGAAGACGGGCACGATGAAGAAGACGATGCAGATGCTGACGACACGCGGCGTCTCGGAGGCCGAGGTGCTGCACCACACGGCGTTTATGCAAGAGTACTATTGGAAGATCCTCGACAACCGGGCGTACCCGAATGGCATGCAGCTGCGCATCATCGACCTCAAGGGCATCTCGATGGACATTATGAGCTCGGACGTGTTTTCGTTTGTGAAGAAGGTCGGCCTCATTGCTGGCAACTACAACCCCGAGCGCATGTTCAAGGTCTTTATCATCAACCCGCCACGGTGGTTTGGCATGATCTGGAAGGTCGCCGCGCCCATGGTCAATCCCAAGACGCGCGACAAGGTACTGCTGATGCGTCTGTCCCGCCACGCGTGAGCTCATGCCCATCATCGAGTAGACCATTGTCGTGTCGGGCGAGGCCGAGATCAAGAAGGCGCTGCTCGAGTACGTGGACGCCGACTGCCTGCCCGTCGAGTATGGCGGCAGCTGCGCCTGCGACGGCGGCTGCATGACGCACTCGCCCGAGGAAGTCGAGTTGCGCGACTTTGTCAACAAGCTCAACGCCGGCGAGCGCTGCGACGAGCTTCTGGCGGCCATCCGCGACCGGCCGCACCCGCGCGCCGTCACGCGCATCAGCGTGGTGGACGAGAGCTAGAAACACCCAACTGGCACCCGACCGCACAAACACACCATTATATTCTTATTGGCGAGAAAAATACGATACAAAGACGCCTTGCAATTTAATGCCCATAAGTGCAAACGCCGCAACGGTAGCCCGACTCTAAAAACACGCCATTTTGCGATGGCCACGCCACCGATCCATGCGCAGACCTCGTCAGTAGCAGCCCCGCAACCACGGAGTTGTAGGCGTGCGGAAGACACGTGCACGTTGCTTCCATTCCATGATCTGCGGCCGCTTGCCCGCCCCTTCATGCCACCTCGCTGCCGTGCGTAGAGTCTGGTGAGCGTAGTGCGAATCGACGGGTGCATCGACCGTGCCGCAAGGCTCATGCTCCTGTTGCAAGTGCTCGGAAAAGTTCTCGTCTCGGGTGCGCGCACGCGGATACTGTGCGAACAGCGCACTCTCGCGCGGGATCTCGCCGCGACGAAGTGTCTGAAGCCGTTGGGGTTGGGTGATTTAAATCTCGGCACGATGACGTTCGCCGAATAAAAATTTCAGACCGGCGGGAATAAAAATGCGGTTCATAAAATAGAAGACGACCGGAAGGCCGAGAGTGCAAAGCGGAACCGAGCATGTTGGAAGCACGGGAGATGGGGCCGCTGCTAGCGCTCCTCAGCGTACGTCCATGCGTCTTCGCCGTCGTCGAACGCTCATGGCCGGTGCTCTAGGAAGAAGACAAGTCCGTCGAGGTCGTCGTGTCCATGTTCCTGCGGTCGTTTACGAAGAACGACCATTTCAAGGTCGGCTGTATGGTGTGCCTCATGCTCGCCGACAACGTCTTGACGAGCAACCAGCGCGTCGTGGGCTTCTCGATCCTCAGCGAAGTCTTCCGCAACGAGACCAACACGAACCCGTTCTTTCCGAGCCTCGTCGAAGCGCTCGAGGCGCCGCACGGCGACCCGGCCGAGAAGCGCTACTTGATCCACCTCCTCGCGCGCATGAGCGCGCCGGGCAGCGAGCCGAGCAAGAAGAATCTCAACGCCAAGCAGCTATTGCAGCATTTTCGCAACGAAACCAAGGTCGCGTCGCTCAACCTCGATGCGGAGAAGCAACTGTACTTTGACCGGACGCCACGTGTACCCGAGAGCCTCAGCCAAGGCATCCGTGGCGTGCTCCCATACTCGGCACTCGAATTCCAGGAGCACGGGAACTACAACCTCCTTCTCGCGCCCGCCGACATTGCGGCCATGACGCTCGACGACGAGCCGACGCTCACGGCCGACGACCTCAACCTCGAAACGTGCACGCTGCAGAGCGTCAACCCGGTGTTTGTGCGCCCCGCGCCGACGATTCTCGAGCCAGAGATCTCCGAGTACATGTGGCTGGACCCGGACTATTGCCCGACGTTGCTCTGGGACACTGGCATGTACGAAGACGCGGACGTCGACTGCGGGCGCGAGCTGCGGGACCTCATGGCCAAGGCATTTGTGGGGCCGCTCGTCCCGTCGCAGCAGCAAAAGGTGGTGTCATCATCTTGCGTCGTGTGCACTGTATGCTACTGTGGACTGTAGGTGCTGGCTGACTTGGAGGCCGACCCGAAGCTCGTGTACGCGTGCCAATTGACGCCGGCGCGGCTGCCGGACCTTGTCGAGAACAACCCGATGATTGCGATCGAGTGCTTGCTCAAGCTCATGACGTCCAACCAGATCACCGAGTACCTCTCGGCGCTGGTCAACATGGACATGTCGCTCCACTCGATGGAAGTCGTGAACCGCTTGACGACGGCCGTCGACCTCCCGACCGAGTTTATCCACTTGTACATCTCCAACTGCATCTCGTCGTGCGAAAACATCAAGGACAAGTACATGCAGAACCGTCTCGTGCGCCTCGTCTGCGTCTTCTTGCAGTCGTTGATCCGCAACAAAATCATCAATGTCCAGGTACAAACACCCATTCCTCTCTCCTCGGCGCTCTCATCGCGGGTAGGATTTAATTATTGAGGTGCAAGCCTTCTGCATCGAGTTTAGCCGGATTCGAGAAGCCGCGGGCCTCTTTCGCCTCTTGAAAACGCTGGAATAAATACACGCCAAATAATACCACCCCCACCAGACGACGACAATAACGATCGATTGACGCGCGTGATTCTTATGCCTGCTTGATGCGCAGGTAGAGCTCGAGCGCATAGATGCCATCGGGCGTGAACTCGTCCTTGCGCGACAAAATCTCGGCCGCCGACATGACGAGCACTTCCGACACTTCTTCCGGCTGCAGCGTGAGCTCGCCGTCGAACGTGCACTCAAACATGCCCCCCCAGACGTTCGAGTCGCCGTTCTACTCGCCGCATGGTGAGATTCCTGCATGCATATCCCTCGCGGACGGTCCTACCTTGTATGGGAACGTCGTGACGTACGTCAGCGGCGTGTTGGTGATGCCCATTTCCTCGGCCACCTCGCGCTCGGCGTTCTCCTCAAAGGTCTCGCCAAACTGGACGACGCCGCCCGCCATCGGGTCGAGAAAGCCCGGGCAGTAGTCCTTGATGAGCGTCCGGCGCTGCACGTAAAAGTCGCCGCTACACCTCGCTGAGCACGCATGGCCTTTCATGTACGTCATGATACCTGGAGTTGCGGATCACAATGTACGTGGCGCGGTGCGGAAGGTTGAAGACACGCTAAGAAGACATGAGGAGGCGCTTGTCGATACTAGGGGGAGACCATGACGGCGCGGTCCGCCTTTCCAATGACGTTGTTGTTGTCGTCGACAATGGCCACCTACACGCCGCGTCCTAGGAGCCGCTTACGTCGCACGCGTCGCACCTGCTCCTTGGCCGTCAGCCCATGCAGCTTGTTGTCCATGCTCGCGCTGCTCTGTGCCATCGTGCTCGAATCGAAAACTGACGTCAAGAACAGGTGTCAAGAAGGGCAATTTGGTGGGAAACCCGGTGTGCCGCCATTTCTCACACGTGGCATTTGGTGGATGACGTGGCATTTGGTGGATGACGAGCCGAGGGACTGTACTTTACTGATAGTACTAGCTAGAGCTGCGATTTCTACTCGACGTGCTCTTCGAATGCTCGCACACGACGACGACGTAGGTTCGAATGGTAAAATCCAAGCCGCCCTGTGAAGAGCGTTGACGTTAAAAGAGGATCAATCCGACCATGACGGCCGAGCCGACAAAGAGAAGCATCTTGGAGAGGAACGCAAACTGGACTTGCTGTTGGAGTTCGGCGGGGGTCAATGGACCTAGGATACACACCCGGTGCCATCGACGTTGCGCGTCTTCGGGGCTCTACCTGTGTTGGTGTTGGGCATCGTGGCGGTCGCGGCGCTTTGCTGCGTCGCGTGAGACCACATGATTAGCAGGTAGCAACGTACGAATTGAAGGCCGAAGAGAGACGGAAAGAACCCGATCAAGGGTGAGAACGCGGCTTCTTGCGCATGCGGCGGCAGCGGGTCCGGCTGGAACTAGGTTGTGTGCATGTCGAGTCCGAGAACGCACGCACGTCGCACTACCATGAAGCGTCGGCGCAGAGACGGCGCGGGGCGCTGGCCACGCGGGCGGTTGGGGATACTATCGTCGGCGCCATCGATTGTGCTACGCAGAAACAAGGTCAGCAGGGGCGAAAACCACGACGACGGGGAACCGAGGGTCGATCGAGTTGGCGCCGCGGCCATACACTGGGATCACATTCTCCTTTGTGACGCCGGCCTTGCACACGGGGCATTCGTTGTGGTTGGCGATCCACTGTCATGGCAAGATGAGCCAAGCGCGGGGCGTCGTACGAGTATACCTGGAAGAGGCAGGGCCAGCTACGTCAGAATGATGAGCGCACGCCGTCGCTGGCGTGGGCACGTACCAGTAGAGGTGGCCGCAGAGTGTCACCACGGGCTCCTTCACGCGGTCGAGGCAGATATTGCAGTCAAAGTCGGTGGCTGCCACGTCCATACTGTGCTGCTCGCCGCAAGTCGTGGAGATGGTGCTGAAACTCAACTCAATTGGACCAATGAGCGCCGCGAATTCTCAGAATAGAAAATTCAGCACCATGGGCACGAGCGCGTCCAAGCAGCTCTACGACGCGGCCGCGTCCAACGACGTCGCCAAGCTGCGCACGCTCGTCAAGGAGGGCGTCGACCTCCACCAGAGCGCTGGCACGGTACGCCGCCTGCGCCTCCATCTGCATCGACCCGACGCGACGTCTAGGACGGGATCTGTATCCTCCACGTTGCGGCCGAGAAGGGCCACAAAAAAGTCATCACATATCTCCTCGACAAGGGCATGGCGATCGACCGCAAGACCAGCGTAGGCCACGCGTGTACTTCACGCCCTTTCTGGTAGTGTGGAGATGGCGTAGAATGGCCGGTCAGCCTTGTACATTGCAGCCAAGCATGGCAACGTTGAAGCCGTCCGCGTCTTGGTCGAGCTGGGGCTGACATCGAGTCACATCGAAAGGTTTGCATCGCCCAACGGAATCTCGTACGTCATGGATATGGTCCTAGAACGGGCGCACGGCCCTCGTCGTCGCGGCCAAGAAAGGGCATCTTGAGGTTGTGCAATACCTAGCCGGGCGAGAGGCCAACCTCGAAGCCTGCCGAAAAGTACGCTTCTCTCTGACAGTACATCGTTGAACGAAGAGGACGCTAGGATCTTCGCACGCCCTTGTACATGGCCGCGAAGAAGGGTCATGTTGAAGTCGCGCAGTTTCTCATGGACAGCCAAGCCAATATGGAAGCTGCGAGTATCGTAGGATCTTTGGAGATGTCGCAAATGGCTTGGAGACATGGATGTTTTCGGTAGGATGGCACGACGCCGCTGATCGCAGCCGCCGCAAAAGGCCATGTGGCCATGGTCAACGTCCTCCTCGAGCACGGCGCACAGATCGAAAGCACACGCAAGGTCTCGCGTGGCGGTTGTTCCTTCTGTCTTAAGCCATTGCGATAGGATGCGTGTACGGCGCTGTATGTAGCGGCGCAGCGAGGCCACCTGCGCATCGTCAAGGCGCTCGTCGACCACCACGCGAACCTCGAGGCGCGCGACAACGTGGTACTTGCATCGACCTCATGTATCCTCTGCTAACACTGTCCTCGCAACGTAGCTGGGCATCACGCCGCTGGCCGTCGCCGCCATTGAAGGCCACCTCGAGGTCGTCAAGTACCTCTTGTCGCACTCGCCCGCGTTCGTCTCGAGCAACCAGGTTCACAACCGCACGACACCCGCCGCTTGGCGTTGATGCCATGTACGTACTAGGACGGATCGACGCAGATTGTGAACGCCGCCGCGTTGACGTACTCGGACGTGGCCGACGCGATCGCAGAGCTCGAGCACCCAGACCGCTTCAGCGTCCAGAGCGTCAAGAAGGTCTTCAGCTTCTGATGCAGCCAAAGAGGCGATCGGATCCTTGGGTGATAGGTGGGTTGCCGTTCTAATATTATTCCGCAGGTTGCAACCCTCTCTTGATGTTTGTATAAAGTCCTTGCCATCGAATTGAATTCGAGCAGGGGAGAGAGCCGATAGAGGGATCGGGTTGGCATCGGAAGATCCGGGAACCTCTGTCTTTTGATATACTGTGCCAATCGATGGCGGTATTGTATGCATTCCCAGAGACTTCGAGCGCCGACAGCCGCCACTATCATCTTTGAGAGGGTATCCGTGGCTCGTCGTTTGGAGGCGTTTGTTTTGCAAGGCAGCAGAAGAAGAGACCTCGCGGCGATGACGATGGGGTCGTCCTCCGGGAACAGCAACCTGATCAGCCCATGTACCTCCGACGACAGCATCGACGACCATGCCAAGTTCGACCTCGACACGATGGCCGCATACCTCGTCAAGGACCTCGACTCGGGCCAGAGCTACCGCGTCGAGGAGATCGACCAGCAGTACGTGACGCTCGAGGCCATGAAGGAGAAGCTTTCCGAGTCGTACGCCCTATATGCATGCGCCATCATAAGCTCATCATAGCTAGGCATGACCTCCTCGCGCTCTACTCGGCGGATGCGACGACCGAGGTCGAGATTGAAAACACGTCCGACTCGGACAAGGACGACGACGATCCTGGATACGTCGAGGAGGTCGACGTCGTCAAGCACCGCACGTCCGAGCTGCAGCCGTGCCAGTTCACAGGCTGCACGCTCTTCCATACACGCCGGTCGGGCTACTGCGAGACGCACGAGGTCCGCGCTAAAGAGGTGCGCATATCGATCTCGTCGACCGGGGGCCCATACATCATGTATGCAGGAGGAAGACTCGCGCGCGCAGGCGCTGTACCTCATTCCGCGTGGGCGGCAAGCCAGCTTTGTCGAGATGAAGGGCCACTCGTTTGTTGAAGACTCGATGTTTCGCCTCTATACGGTCTTCACGGTCGTCCTTCGCTGTGGCGAGTCGACGTGGAGCGTGTACCGCCGGTACCGCGAGTTTACAGCCCTCTACGACAAGGTCCTCTCGAGCTACACTACTGATGTGCCTCATAAGATGACTCGTAGCTCAAGCTGCGTTCGCGGCTTCGGCTACCCACGCTGCCACCCAAGAAGATTATCGGATCGTTCGAGCCGGAATTCCTGGCGCGGCGGCAGTATGAGCTGGGGCAATGGCTCGACCAGCTGCTTACGTACGAGCCGCTCTCGAACGCGACCAATCCGCACGAGTGCGACGAAGTCGTGCGCTTTTTGACGTGGAAGGCCGACCAGCCGCCGTTCCCGGTCGAGCAGCCCTCCGACTTTTTGAACCTCCAAGACTCGAGCTCGAACGCGCCGCGCGTGAACCTCACCGACTTCAAGATGATCCAGGTCATTGGCCGTGGGTCGTTCGGGAAGGTCGTTCTCGTCGGCCACCACGCGACAAAGAAACTCTATGCGATGAAGATGCTCAACAAGGCCAACATCGTGAAGCGCAAGCAGGTTGAGCACACGCGCACCGAGCGCCGCGTGCTTGGGTACACCAAGCACCCGTTCATTGTGGGCTTGCACTTTGCCTTTCAGACACCGCAGCGCCTCTACTTTGTCCTCGACTATTGCCCGGGCGGTGAGCTCTTTTACCACTTGACGCGCATGAAGAAGTTGCCCGAGCACATGGCGTGCTACTACGCGGCCGAAATCACACTGGCGCTCGAGCATCTGCATGGCCTTGGCGTTGTGTACCGCGACCTCAAGCCCGAAAACATCCTCCTCACAAAGGAAGGCCACGTCAAACTCGGTACGACATCACATACTAAAAGCGCAGCGTGGGACTGTGCTTTGTAGCCGACTTTGGGCTTGCCAAGGAAGGCATCACAGACGGCGTGTACGGCACCAACTCGCTCTGCGGCACGCCTGAGTACCTCCCGCCCGAGATCCTCGACCGCCTTGGCCACGGCACGGCCGTCGACTGGTGGAACCTTGGTGCGTCCGACGTCATGATCACAGCAGCTAACAAGCGCTGTGTATGTAGGCATGGTGCTCTACGAGATGCTCACGGGCTTGCCGCCATGGTACACGAACGACCGCCAAAAGCTCTTTGACCGGCTGCGCTCGGCGCGCCTCCACTTCCCGCCGTACGTCTCGCGGCGTGCCGAGGGCCTTATCCGCGCGCTTCTGAACCGGAATCCGGCCGAGCGCCTCGGTGCGCGTGGTGCTGCCGAAGTGAAGGCGCACCCGTTCTTTGAGAGCATCGAGTGGGACGACCTCCTTGCGCTCAAGATGCCGCCGCCGTTCCGACCGTGCCGCGCGACGACCACCGACGACACGCCGCTCAATTTTGAGGCCGAGTTCACGCGGCTTCCGCTGCCGAGCGTCGAGGTCGTCGACAAGGAACCAAGCAAAAGGCGCGGGCCAACTCGGACACGTTTTCTGGCTTTGCGTACGAGAACCCGGACGCGCTGCAATCGTCGTTGTAGTGACGACGACGTATGCAAAGAGAAAACGCGCGAGGCTGAATAAATATATATCAACACACCACCACAAATCAGATCATGGCGTCCTTGGCCTCGGCGATGCGCTGGAGCCCCAGCGTGAGCTCGGCTTCGAGCGCTTCGATGTCGGCAATGTCCAGGAAATCAATGTCGTAGCCTTTGAGTCGCATGAGCAACTTGTTTTCCATTTCGGCGTCGGCGAGCTCTTGCTTGAGGTTGGTCACTTCTTCCTCGAGAAGCTTCATGTCGCCTGTACGCTACCCGTGAATATTTCGTGCAAAATAAGCCAAGAGTCGTACCGGTCGGCCGCACGCGCCGCTTGGCGAGCGCCATGGCGTAGAAAAGGGAGCCGGCGGTGACGGCGACAAGCGCGAGCGTGCGCCGGTCCGTGTACCAGCTCTCTTCCGCAAAGAGGCGCGTGAACCAGCTCCCTTCGCACGCGCTCTCGGGCACGAACGGCGGTACGAGCACGGCGTCGGTCCATGCCGTCCACTGCCGCGAAAAGATCTGGAAAAGCGCCGTGTCGACACGCGACCGGACGCGGAGCGAGTACGTGGCATCGTGCTTGACGTTTTCGAGCACGACAAAGCAGTCGTCGCTGTAGAGGTCGCCGCCGTCGACAGAGCTCTCGGGCGACGCTTGGTTGAACGCGGCAAAGCCGCTGAGCCAGCTGCCATGGACCCAGTATTGCACGTGGAAGCGCGGCCCTTCGTTGGCGCTCGCGTCGTGGAAGAAGCTGCCGTGGCGTGCTGCCTGCGAAGCGACGCCACACAGCGGGCTGTGCCAGGACATGAGAATATTGGTCATGTCGGCCGCCGACGCCATCGCGTCGATGAGCAGCGCGTCGGACGGCGCCGATGCGAACCGGTCGGCGGTCACCTTGACAAAGTCGTGGGCCGTGGCCGGAACACGCGGGATCGTCCAGTAGAGGAGCGAGAGGCAGAGGAGGATGATCAGCGAGACGAGCGCGGCAATGCACGTCGCGATGCAGCACGCGGACGCCGATGCGTGCATGCTGGTGCTTTCGACGGCCGAAATCCACAACTGGGATGCAGAAAGGCAACCTCGGACGCTTTTTAGCCAATCGGTGGCCGGCACCGAGAGTGGGACGGCCGCCGCACGCGGTGTATGCACCGTGATTTTCACGTGAAAAACTCGCCACGCCCTCTCGTCGCCTCGGCCTCGTCTTGCTGCTGCCATGCTGCTGTCATGCTGCCTGCTAGGATCGCGACGTAAGTGCAATCGGCGATGACATCACTGGCGATATCGTTGACGTCGACAAAGAATTTGGAGGTCGAGATGCGGGACGTGGTGCAATGTGTGTGCGACGACGCCGACCTTCACTGGGCGGCGCGGGTAGATACGTTGCGTGCTTGCTCTTTGGTCTCCGTAGAACCAAGGGAACCCTTGGTTCTTGCGCGCCACGCTCGCCGTCGACACGTGCAGACGCGAAGACACCGCGCGTGGAAATGCGAATCTGATTCGGGCCAGGAAGAGGTGGACTGGTTGCGGCCTGTCGCCTGCGGCACGCGGCGAGGACGCGCGCAGGCTACCAACTATGGGCTACCTTGAATCGCTCGGTGTTCTTCACCGCCTTCTTCACGGTGGGAATTGCAGTCCGTACCCAGGAGCATGATGAAGGTACACGATGGGATGGGTACGGACGCACTTGCCCTCCACCCGCTTGGACGCTTGGCGCCACGATGCACAACACACTTCATTATCGAGAAATTTCTTCCCACGCACTACGATCTTAGTTGGTGAAGGTGGCGCCGAGGGCCCAGCCCATGTACGAGTAGACGTCGGCGGCTTCTTCCAAAATCTTCTTGGTCGGCTTCCCGGCGCCGTGGCCGGCCTTGGTCTCGACGCGGATGAGGAGCGGGTTCTTCTGCTCTTCGTGGTGGCCGAGCTGGTGCTGGATCTCAGCAATGAGCTTGAGCGAGTGGAGCGGCACGACGCGGTCGTCGTGGTCGCCCGTCGTGAGGAGCGTCGCGGGGAACCCGCCGTGGTCGTTGCGGAGGCGGTCGCTCGTCTCGAAATTCGGGACGTTGTGCACCGGCGAGTACTTGATGAGGTACTCGAACGCCTCGGGCTCGTCCGGGTTGCCATAGTCGGTCGTCCAGCCGTGGCCGACCGTAAACTTATGGAAGCGCAGCATGTCCATGACGCCGACCGCGCCGACCGCGCACTTGTACAGGTCCGGGCGCTGGTTGGCCGTGGCCGCAACGAGGAGGCCGCCGTTGGAGCCGCCGTGGATCGCAATCTTGGCCGGCGACGTGTAGCCCTCGGCGATGAGGTACTCGGCGGCGCCGTGAAAGTCGTCAAACACATTTTGCTTCTTCTCAAACGTGCCGGCCTGGTGCCACTCCTCGCCGTACTCGCCGCCGCCGCGGAGCGTCGGGAGCGCGAGGATGCCGTTAAAGTGCTGCATAAAGACCGTGCGCGCGGCCGAGAAGGTCGGCGTCAGCGACACGTTGAAGCCGCCATAGCCGTAGAGGTACACGGGGTTCTGCCCGTCGCGCGGCAGCTCCTTCTTGGAGACGAGAAACATCGGAATCGGCGTGCCGTCCTTGGAGGTGTACCACACCTGCTTGGCCTCGAACCCGTCCGGCGAGAAGCCCGGCACCGTCGACTCGCGAAACACCGCCGGCGTGCTCGTCGCCGGGTCCGTCAAGTCCTCGCGGAAGATCGTGCCGGGGTAGAGGAACGAGGTAAAGTGGAAGAAGAGCTCCGGCGACGTGCGCTTGCACGAAATGCCGACCGACCCGACGCTCGGGAGCGCAATGTCGCGCACGAGGGCGCCCGACTGCGTGTAGATGCTCACGAGGCTGCTCGCGTCCTTCATAAACTCGCAGATGAGAAGGTCGTCGCGGATCGGCGCCGCGGCTTCGAGCACGATCGCGCCTTCCGGCTCGGGCACGACTTCTTCCCAGACAAGCGGCGACGCCGTGTAGTCGGCGACGCGGATGATGCGGTTGCGCGGCGCGTCGAGGTTGGTGAGGAAGACGAGCTCGTTGCCGTTGTTGAGGAGGTAGTTGTAGCTGAAATCCATCGTGTCGACGAGCTTGTGGAACGCGAGCGGCGCCGCATTGTCCGCGACAAAGTCGGCCAGCGGCGCGACGTAGAGCATGTTGGCGTTCTTGCAGCCGTCCGAGATGGTCACGAGGAGGAGCGCGCCGTCGTCCGAGACGGTGGCGCCCAAGTAGTACTTGGGCTTCTCCGGGTACGAAAAGACGAGGACGTCGTCCGTCTGCGGCGTGTTGAGGCGATGGTACCAGATTTGCTGGTTCTCGTTCAAGTCCGTCTCCGTGCCCGCCGACTTGTCGTCGGCCACCGTCTTGGGCGCCGGGTACCGGCCGTAAAAGAAGCCCTACGCGGTCATATTGAGCTGTTGAAGAAGCTTTGAAGGGAACGAGCTACCTTGTCGTCACTCGTCCACGCAAAGTAGCTGAACTTGACCCACTCGAGGACGTCGTCGAGGTGCTCGATCGTGCCATCGGGGTGGATCGCAATGACCTTGACCGTCTGCCAGTCCGAGCCGCCCTTGGAGACGCCGTACGCGAAGTAGAGCATACCCGAGTCGGTCTGGGCCTTGGAGAACGTGCGGCCGCTGAGCGCAGCCGTGCCGTCCTCGGCGAGCGTGTTCGGGTCCAAAAGCACGCTCGGGTCGCTCGTGAGCGTGTCCTGCATGTACAAGACCGCTTGGTTCTGGAGACCGTCGTTCTTGTAGAAGAAGTAGCGCGACCCATGCTTGGCCGGCGACGAGTACTTGGCGTAGTTGAAGAGCTCCGTGTTGCGCGCAAGGAATTCGTCGCGGTGGGGCACGGAGGCAAACACCTTTTGGGTGCACGCGTTCTGGGCGGCGACAAACGCCTCGGTCTCGGGGCTGTCCGGGTCCTCGAGCCAGCGGTACGGGTCGGCGACCGTGCGGCCGTGCAGCACGTCCGTGTGGTCGGAGCGGAAGACCGTCGGGTACTCGAAGGAAGCCATGGCTTGGAGGCGGCGAATTGGGAAATGACGTGCAAGCCGACGAACGACGAGCAACCTGGGAATCATCTTGGAACGGCAACTTGCACTTTGTAGAAAGGACGCATCGCCACTGGTCAAAAACATCGGAATATCGAAGTTCGAAGGCAAAAAACGCAATATGATTGGCCAATGGCGACTTGCAAAACCACTTCGTTGGACACGTGGTGGTGTTGGGATCGACGCTGGGACCCACGATGACGCGTGTGGTGGGTACCGGTACACGCGTCTACCGGTACTTCATGTAGTAGTACAGTAACATGTCGAGCGCCTTGGCCCGGCGTAGCGAGTTAGTATGCATGGCGTCGCCCGCAACGCAACCCTCAAAATAAGAAATGAGATGCGTTGAAGGACCAAGATCCACGAACACCACGGCGCGCGCAGCGATTGGCCAAATCTCGTGGCATCCGGTCGGGCGCGCGTTTGATTGGTCGGTAGCCGAGTGCCACTTTTCAGAAACCATCGCGTGCTTATAGCCACAAGCGCGATGCCCGCCGCCGCCGTACGATTGCCATTGCGTTGACGCGCCAATAAGATGTGAGTGTGTAGGAGCCATCGCCGGTCTTGTTTGTCGACCACCTGGGCCCCCAGGTCCGCTCCGCCCACGTCGAGCAGCTCATCTCCCAGTTTGGCGTCGTCGAGCGTGTGATTCTGCTCAAGAAGAAGACTGGGCCGCATGCCAAGGCGACGCAGTACGCGCTCGTGCAAATGGAGTCGCTCGAGGATGCGATGGCCGCCCACGACGCGGTTGCAGCCCGTCCGCTGCGGCTCTACGGCCTCTCGATCGCAGTCTCGTACTCCAAGAGCCAAGAGTTGAATGCGGCGCGCACACGGAGTCGCAGCCGGTCGGCGTCGTCGGCCGCCAAGCTGGCGGCAGTCAGCGACGCACCAAGTCCTTTGAACGACATGGCCCGCGACCCGAACGAGGCTGTGAACCGTATTCTGCTCGTGACTGTGCAGAACCCGCTGTACCCGATCACAACCGACTTGATTGGTAAGATCTTTAGCATCTACGGCATTGTGGAGAAGATTGTCATCTTTGCCAAACCCGTGGGGCTTCAGGTATGTGCGTGATTATCGCCTCGTATCAGATCTTGGACGTAGTGCCTCGTGCAATTCTCGTTTGCCCACGACGCCGAGAACGCCAAAAACAAGCTGGACGGCGAAGCGATTTACCCCGAAAGCTGCTACATGATCATTAGCTACTCCAACCTCGCGGTGCCTTCTCGTCCTTTCCAACGCGGTGCTCATTTAAAAATGACGTAGGAACTCGTCGTGAAGGAAAACAGTCTCAAGACGCGCGACTATACGAATCCGACGCTGCCGGTGCCGGTGATGGACACGGCGATCAACGCGCCCCACGCCGCCATGCTGCACTCGTTCATTCCGTCCTCCGTAACGACAGCTGCAACACCGTCACCACCGACCGCAACGAGCCATGCGACAAAATCGTCGCGAACGCGAAGCACGAGCCACAGCGACCGGTCCAGCGCAAGCGCAGACGCCGCAAACACCGCAGATCCTATCGGGTCGCCTGTCGTGCTCGTGTGCAACCTCAAGCGGTCGCTGACATGCGACCAAATCTTCAACCTCTTTTCATGCTATGGCAACATTACGCGGCTCAAGAAGCTCCATGCCAAGCCCGTATACCTTGCACTTTATGGAGGCTCGGTCGATGCAACGATTTCCTTGCGTAGGACCATGCGCTCATCCAGTACGCGACCGAGACGGCGGCAGCGCTGGCGATCACGCACCTTCGCAGCGTCGTGCTCGCCGGCCGCGCCATGGACGTTCGCGCGTCCAAGCACCGATCCATTTCGCCGTCGCCCGACCAAGACGCGTACGCTGTCATTTCTCACACGACGTGGGCACATTGCTGGGAGTAGGAACGCCAAGGAGTTCAACAGCACATACAATCGCTTCACGGGCAAGTACGCCAACTTTACAAAGCACATTTACAGCCCGACGCGTGTGCTCCACCTCTCCAACTTTGGCGCGTCTTTGGACGACGATGTAGCGCATGCATTCCCACGTGTCGTGTGGGCTCACATGATGGTTGCTAGGACCTGCAAGCGCACTTGCGTGCGCTCGGGTCCCTCGAGAAGGCCAAGTGCAAGACCTTTACCAACGCCAAGGGCCACCCGCAAGTGCTCCTCGAGTTTCCGTCGACGGAGCTTGCGATCAACCTGCTGTCCTTCGCCCACAACTCGATCTTTGACGGCCGCATGCTCAAGATTGCCTTTTCGCGCAGCAATGTCAATTAGCACACACACACACACAAGTCGTCTGACCTCCTCAATCCATCCCCACCCATCCTACTACATACCTTGCTTCATTTGCTTGTCGTGCTTCTCACTGGGACGCTGCCACGTGGATTCGTGTTGACGAATCGAGGATGTGCCATGTAGCGAGCGGTTCACGTCACCGCCGAGAGATCAAGATGGCGGAAGATCGCCATGGCAGAGAGCTCAGCGTAGCGACCGCGTCGCCCGTCGTCTTGTGGCGACTTGTGGGGAGCGGTATCTTGTGCGGACCAACAACTGATTGGGCAAATCTTTGGGCGGGCCAATCGGCAGTCGCCAGCAACGACCAATCAAAAGCGTTGCAGCAAGCGGCCCTTGGGTGCCGCCCGATCTGATTGGCGGACGCCGTTCAAGCTGGCGGATCCCTGGCGTTTGCGTGGTGCTGCTCACTTTGCCGTTTGCAACCAGAGATGGCCAACGCGTTCGAGGTCGACGACGTCGAGAGCTACCGCGCCAGAGGCGTCGACGGCGCCATGGACCTGCTCCTGAGCCTCCCGAGCCGCCCCGGCAACGTGCTCCCGCCCGCCAAGCACGACACGCGCGAGTCGACGATCCAGATCATGCAGCACTACATGCGCCGCCTCCGCATGGACATTACCGACCTCTCGGTGATCCACATTGCGGGCACCAAGGGCAAGGGCTCGACGACAGCGTTCACCGAGAGCATCCTGCGTGCGCATGGCGTCCGGACCGGCATGTTTACGTCGCCGCATCTCATCCATGTCTGCGAGCGCTTTCGCATCAACGGCAAGCCGATCGCAGAGGCCACGTTCTTGACGCACTTTTGGGCCGTCTGGGACGGTCTCTATGCAACCAAGGTACATCTACCTCTCTCAACGACTTGTGCGCGGTGGCCCATAGGACCAAGCGACGGACGAGCCACCAATGGCGGGCTTCTTCCGCTTCTTTACGCTGCTGGCGCTGCGCATTTTCGCGGCCGAAGCCGTCGACGTGGTCATTCTCGAAGTCGGGCTCGGCGGTCGCCTCGATGCGACCAACGTTGTCCCGCACCCGGTCGTCTGCGGTGTCACGACGCTCGACCTGGACCACACACGCGTGCTCGGCGAGACGCTGGACCTCATCGCGCGCGAGGTTCGAGTCGAGATTTCTTGTGTTGTATTCTCTTACGTGCGATACTAGAAAGCGGGTATCTTCAAGCGCAACGTGCCCGCCTTTACAATCGCGCAGCCCGAGATCGCGGCCACGATGCTCGAGCGCTGCGCGGTGGAGCACGGGAACCCGCTGTTTGTCGTACCGGCGCTTTCGACCTTCAACGTGGACGTCACTTCGCTCGGCCTCCACGGTACATCGATACCCGCTCTCTCCTCATGCACGTGGAATGACATGAGGCGCTAGGCGACTACCAGCACGTGAACGCGGCGCTGGCAATCGTCTTGGCGACGCAGTGGCTGCAGCGCAAGAGTCCGCTGCCGCTACCGCCGTCCTACCCGACGCTCGCAACGCCGACGGTGCTATCCGGTCTCGCGTCGGCCTTCTGGCCTGGCCGCGCGCAGACGATTTCGGACCCCACGTCGTCGGCGACGTACTATGTCGATGGCGCGCACACGCCGCTGAGTATGCAGTGCTGCGGCGCGTGGTTTTCGCAAAACTGCGACAAGCAGCCGACGGACCAGCGCGTCTTGATCTTCAACTGCCACCACGAGCGCGATATTGTGGCCATATTGCAGCCGCTGCTTGCACTCTCGTTCGACCACGTCATCTTTACGCCGTCGCGGTCGTGTCGTCCGAGCTTCGTCAAGGTGCTGCGCTGATCGCAGGCGGGATCGAGAACTGAGCTTGTCGTAGATTCCGAGTGTGCAAGAAGCGCTCCTCAAGGCACGCATCGCGATCGACGGCGTCCCTGCCTCGGTCTTTGACATGACCAACTGCCCGCCGAACGGCGACAAGCAGTACTGGCAGTTCATTTGCTCCAAAGTGTGGATTGCGCTGCACAACGGCCGCGCCGCCCCGAAGACGTCGATTTGCCATTCTGTCGAAGACAGCATCGCATTAATCCGCTCGACCGCTCCCGCGCACGCGCGAGTGCTCGCGACTGGATCGCTCTACATCGTCGGCGACACGCTCAGCGCCCTTGGCTGGACCGAGCAGCAGCACTAACGATCGCACCGATGGGTAGCGCGACTGAGCAAACAACGGTTTTCTGGCTACTTTGCAAACAGAATTTCATACAGAATGTGACTTTTTCTTCGAAGTTCGAGTTGGGTGGCATGGCTGGCTGCGTGCTCACGGACCCGTCGCTTCTCCGCCTCCTCCTTGCGTATCAAGATGGGCTGTACGAGGACGTGCGGGATCGTCTCGCCGACGCCATGTTCTGCGTACGCCTCGATGACGACGGGCGGTACTACCACCTGCCGAACGTCGTTGAGCCTGTCTCGACCACACGTACGCTCTTCTTGTCGCTGCCGGCGTACGACTTTCGCCTCCCGGTGCATTGGACCATCGTCGAAGGTCAGCTGCGCCTCCTCATGCGCGTTGCCGCCTGTCGACCTCAGCTCTTGACGCGTGATGCGCTGTACTGCGCCGTGGCGAGCGGTGACCTGCCAATCGTAAGCTACTTGTGCTCCTTGGATCTCGCACCAGGACGCCTCACGGAGCCGCTTCTCGATCTCGCAGTGTCCCACGGCAGCATTGCGCTGCTAGAGCTGCTGGTCGGTGCCGGCTTCAGCCGCGCAAGTCCGCGCGCAGCTGCGATTGCCGCCGAGCGCGGCGACATGGACGTGCTTGAGTACCTCGCGTCTCGATCATGCGATGTCACCCAAGCAGTGGCTACTGCAGCTGCACGTGGCTTTCTCGATATCATCATCTACTTGCACGCTCGTGGCGTCCGTGGGACGTCGCCAGCGGTCGTTGATGGCGCCGCTATGCACGGCCATGCCAACGTCGTGGCGTTTCTGCTGCAGGACGGTGGGTACACCAACTCGGCGACCGCATGGACGCTGGCCGCCAACGACGGGCACCTGCACGTGCTGCAGCTTTTACATCAGCACGACGCGCCTCACTGCTCGAGTAACGCGATGGACTATGCGGCCACCGAGGGTCACTTGGAAGCTGTGACCTTTCTTCATACGCACCGCAACGAATGCGGCGCCACGACAGACGCGATCGACGGCGCAAGCGCCAACGGACACCTCTCCGTGGTGCAGTACCTCTGCGCGAACCGCACGGAAGGCTGGACCCACCGCGCGCTGGACGACGCCGCCGGTGGTGGCCACCTCGAGGTCGTGGTCTTTCTCCTGCAGTGGGGGCCACCGGCCCTTAGCCAGCGCGCAGTGACGCAGGCCGCTGCCAACGGCCACGCAATGGTGCTGCAGCACCTCCTCGCTGCACAGCTGCAAGGTGTTTCTGCGACGGCGGCCGCTGCCTGTGCTGTGGCCGAGCACGGTCACCTCGACGCGCTCCAAGTGCTCTACGCTTACCGCCAATCCGGCTGGAACACATCTGTGTGGTTTGCGGCCTTTGCCCACTTGGACGTGCTGACCTTTCTGCTGACGCACGCACCCGAGTGCGTCGACGCCGACGCGTCACTTGTGCCGACCGCGCTATCCGTTCCGGTTGCGCGTTTGTTGCAGAGCGCGCTTGGACATCATCTCCGACTCAACTTGCGTCAGGACGACGTGGGTGTGCTGGCCCTCTTCCCGGGCTATCCATGGTCCGAGACGACAATGCGGGAGGCCATTCGCAGTGGCAATCTTGCCATGGTGCGCTACCTGCACGAACACGAGCACGACCATGTGTGCAGCGCCGACCTGCTGGCGACGGCGGCGTCCGTCCCGGGCAACACGGATGTCTTCACGTACCTCGCTGAGCACTGCGTTCGTGCGACGTCGGAGGACGTGTGGATCCAAGCAGCGCGCCACGGCAACCTGGCTATCCTAGAAGCTTTGCATGCAAACCAGAGCCTTGGCGCCACACCGGCCGTGATGGACGAGGCCGCCCGCGTCGGCGCCGTCGACGTGCTTCGGTTTCTGCATGACCACCGACGCGAAGGCTGCTCGACGCGCGCCATGTTTGATGCCATCACGTACGGACACTGGCGCGTTGTGGCGTTTCTGTGTCGACATGGCGAGCCAGGCGTGTCGAACGAAGCCAGTTGCCGCAACATTGAGATCGCGATCGAAGCGTTCGATCCCGAGTGGACGGAAGCGCGCTTGAGCGATGTGCTCCCGCTCTTGCTCCGGCGCCTTGACGCGCTGCGAGCCTGACTGAGGCGAGCGCAAACGTCGGGATTTCGGCCAGAGCGCAAAACGCAATATCACCGCATGATCTATTTATCACCGAGGTCATCGCGACCCCAGCCTCCTGTCATTGACAGTACATTATTGTACAACCATCTGGAGAAGCTGTAGCACCTCTATAAACCTATGCCCACCTCTTTCCTCGTGCCCACGTGAGCTGTACAGTGTAGCTCTTGCCGGTAGGAGGAGGCGCCCTCCATCCACTTGAAGCCTCGCGCGGCGGTGCTCTATACGCTACGTACACATGAGCTACGATGGCGCGCAGGGTGCGTAACCCGGCGCATTCCGACGGTGTTGCGCGTCGGCAGAATCGCTTTTCATGTTTTTCAATACATATATATACATGGATTCAACGCGTGGACGCTCTAGCGCAAGAGCACCATCGAGGTGCTACGGTGCACTGTCGTCGTCGTCGCACGGTCGCTGCTTGACGCGCTCCAGGTCGTTCGATCGCTCGATCTACGATTCGGAGGTCCTCTGAAAACGATGCTGATTATAAACTTGTCATTACTCACTGCACAAATACAAGAGGTAAATTCAAATGACCATACAAAACCTAAATTAAATGTACGCCATTTAAATCCGATACCGGTTGACAGAGAAGCGCCTTTACAAGAACCCGCTCTTTCCCGTGTGTTGGCAGGATGCAATTTCGAGTTTCGCGATGAAGGCGTCGAGCTTACTCCTCGTGGCTCTGGCCGCGGTGAGTACGAACCACTGTACGTCGTTGCCCTTGGCCAAGGCGTCGAGAAGCTCATGCGCATGACATAGATGGGGTGGACGCGCAGGCCATCTGCAAGCAGCGCACGTGCACAACGGACACGGGCCTCTTTTGCGACCGTGCGCTGCAAACGTGCCCTGAATGCATGGGCTCCGACGCGAGCACGGGCACGACCGTGTGCAAGCCGACCAACTTTATCGGTACCTGCAACGTCGTCGGCATTGGTGGCTTCCAAAAGTGCGGCAAGTACACGCCGCCGAGCTCGGGCTCGGGCTCTGGCTCGGGCTCTGGGAGCATTACGCCCAAGCCGACGACCGTCAAGCCGACGCTCGCGCCGACATTGGCGCCAACGACGTTGCCCTTGACGACAGAGCCGGTAGTGACGACGCTGGCCCCGACGACGACACCGACGGCGACGACCAAGAAGCCGATCTCACCAACGCCCACTGCTACGCCTGCCTCGACTTCGAGCTCGTCGTCGGGCTCGGGGGCTGCGTCGACGCCAACTGCTACGCCGTCGAACGCCAACAACTCGCGCCCCAACGCGACGTCGGATTCCGGCATCAACTGGGCGCTCTACGGCGGGATTGCCGGTGGTGCCGTCGTCTTGATTGCAGTCGTGCTAGTTGTCGTCTTGAAGATGAACAACCGCGACGACGACGATGACGACGAGCCGTACAAGCCGACGGCGCCGGCGACGAGCCAGAACTACACGAGCACTGCGGCCGCCACGACGTACGAAGGTGGCAACGCTGCGGTGGTCGCGGCCAACCTCCGTGCGCAAATCGATGGCCAGAACCAGCCGCAAGCGACGTACAACCCGTACGGCAACAGCAACAACCAGCAACAACAGCAATCGCAGACCTACAACAACTATGGCCAGCCACCCCACGACAACTACAACACCCAGCAGTCGTCGTACGCCCAACCCAACCAGTACAACAACAACAACACCAGCAACAACCATGGGTATGCGCCTGCCCAGCAAGACTACACGGCCGTGCCGGTGGCCAAGCCCCGCAGCGACGTCACGCACTCGGACGTCTGGGGCAACGTGCCGTCGAGCTACCAAGACGGCACGCCGACGGCCAAGAACAAGCTCGCCCACCCGGCGCCCACCCACGCCAGCGACGTGCGCGACAACGAGACGCGCCTCTCGGTGGAGTTTTAAACCGACGCAATAGCTTTCCCCTTAACGTTGACGTGTTGTCTCGTCTTGTGCTGTTACTTGACGCGTTCCTGGGTGCCATACTACATACCACCATGGTCCAGCTGCGCAATGCATCGCCACATCGTAATCTCAGAGCTTCATCTCAGCTGTGCTGCTCATGCGAATCTGTGGCGATCGTCTGTCGATCCTCCTCCTTGAAACAAGAGACACATTTTTCGCGCTTCAATCGAAGCCGCATTGGCAAGCAGCCTCGTGTTGGGAAGCGTCTCGAGCCATGACCACCAGTGCATGCATGGCGACGCGTCGTGCAGGGTCCCTGCCTCCGAAGCGTTAGCCGCGCCAAAGATCCGCTGAAATCGCCACGCGCCGTGGTATTCCACCGGTTGGCCAGGCTGGGACAAACCCCACCGCGGTGTGGTTTGGTATGTTTTGCCCACGATATGGTTTTTCCCATCGAAGTTCGTACTTGCGCCATGGCGCGGCCACGTAGTTCGAAGCGTTGGCACCCATGGCTTGTAATAAAATATGATCGCACAACATGCGGTTTGTATACGGATTTGGATTTCCTCATTGTATTGCTGACCGGAAGAAGCATTGCATGCTCAACGAGTTTTCAACTTGGTTCTCGGAGCTCATGAAGGTGGTTGCCCTGTCCACGCTCGCCGCATGTACGAGGCTTGGTCTACATGTGCCATGGCTCATGACGATGGTCCTAGGCGTGGCGCTGCAGACGACGGCAGCAGTTGACTTGTGCCGAGAGACCATCCAGTGCAAGACGCCCGGAGACGATACATGCTTCCTCCTCTCCGGGGACTGCCCGCCATGCCTCGCCATCTCCCCGTCGCCAAGCGGTCTCCGTCTCTGTGTCGCCACAACGACGCTCGGTATGTGCCCACTTGGCTACGTCTCGTGCAATGGCTCGGTCACCACCGTGCCACCGCCGGCTACGCAGCCAGTGTCCACACCACCGCCGACATCGGAGATCCCATGGACGACGACAGCGCCTGTATCGCCTCCACCGACAGTCACTTTTCCTACAAGCGTCTTACCGCCGGTCCCATCGCGACCGGTAGCCACGTCGCCCGCCGTCACGACGAGTGCAACCGTGACGAAATCTCCGGCAGGACCGGCTACTTCAGCACCGTTGGCGCCTTCAACGACCACGCCTCTGAAATTACCCACCAGCACCTCCGCGTTGTCGTCGCAAGATTATAACGACAGCTCGATCCCAACGACCAACAGTACCAGTACGACGAAGGACACGACGGCGTCGTCCGGTAGTGGCCCGTCGGCGAGCTGGACTGCCGCGTTCGTTGTCGGTGGCATCGCCTTGGCTCTTTTGCTTGTCTTTGTTGCTCGCAAGTACCGCAAGTCGCACGAAGACGACGACGACGACAACGACGCGTGCACGCCGGATGCGCCGCTCACGTTTACGGGCCACTCGAGTTTCCAGCCCATGCAGCGTCTGCGCACGACCGGCAGCGAGGACGAGCCGGTGCCCATGATGCCACCAATGAGGCCATCGGCGTTCTCCAAGCCGAAGAATGACTTTGTCGCGCGCCCGTCCTTGCGCAACTCGGCAGCCGACACGCCGCCGCGCGCGTCCGTGGCGTCATCGATGGACTTTGAGATCAACGCCGTGCCGTCGCCGGTGTACACGGACTCGTCGCGGGGCAACTCGGCCGTCGACCTCTGGGACGAGATGCCGATTTTGATCAGCCAAAAGCAAAGCCGGATGCAAACCACCACCCACGATGACAACAGCGTGACGCTGTAAGACCGTATTCTGTAGTATCTAACAACTATAACTTGTCCGCTCGAAGGACTTGCCATTGACGTCTACACAAGATGCTCCTGGCCGCCAGAAAAGTGTAGGTATCAATACTTCAACCAGAGGAGCAGGAGGGTCCATTGTGTGGGAAGGACGCGTGGGACGTCGACGCTGGCACGAACACTACTAGTACTAGTACAGTACTAGTGCCGTGGTGCTTCACATACAGCGGGCCAATGAAGACATGTTGTACACAAAATACACTGTACTGGACGCCGATGGTGTTCGTTGCCTTTCAAGAAAGTCTCGTTGTACCCATTCGACCGTCGGGTGCTATAACACGGTTAAAGAAAGCGATGATGAGTTATAACGCCATTCGTGGGCCCTTTAACACATCCTCGCGCTGCACTTTGCGACACGCGCTTTGAAAGAACCTCCCATTCTCACCATTACGCATGGCCACTTTAGGAATAAAAGTACAAGGTATGCATACAAACCTATCGGTAATTTAATTCGATACGTCGAATCGTTGCAACCTCAATCTCTGACTTGAGGTTTGTATACAAGTGGGCTCACCGTGTGTCAATGGGGAGCGCCGGCTCGTTGCAATGGCACGGTGCCATTTTGCGTCCGACCAAGAAGAGAGCTTGAGGAGGATGGTGCGTCTAAGCAGCCTCGTCCTGCTTCTAAGTACGCGCCTGCATGCGGACCATACAGGTGCTAACGCTGCGCGTAGCCTCGATGGCCACGGCTGACTTTGTCGCGAACGTGACGACCGACGTCCCAACGCTGGCGCCGACGCTGGCACCGACGACTATGCCCGTCATCACGATTGCCCCAGAGACGCGACCGCCAACAACAACACCGACGCCGACCACGGAGACGCCGGTGCCCACGACTGTGACGGTCACGCCGCTGCCAACGACCGAGACTGTCGCGCCCGTGACGACGCCAGTCGCCACGAGCGCCACGACAGCGCCTGTGACCAAGACGCCCAAGCCTACGACACGGGCGCCGACGCCGACGCCCGTGGTCTCGTCGTCGTCGTCGTCGGGGGATGCAGAGACGGCAGCGCCAACGCAGTCGGTCAAGGCCAAGACCAACGACAACTCCGACTCGAGCGACTTGTATTTGTACATTGGTCTTGGTGCAGGCGGCGTTGTGCTCGTCGCACTCGTTGTATTCATTGCAATGAAGCTGCGCGACCACGAAGACGACGATGACGATGACGACTACAATCGGAGTCCGTCGAGCTACAAGGGGTCGGGCCGCGCGCCGGCGTACAACAACAGCTCGGCTGGGTACACCAACCAGGAGGCCGCGGCCAAGGCCGCCGCGTCCTACGCATACGCGAACGCCCAGAGCTACAGCAATGCGACGCCCAGTTACAACAATGCGACGCCGACTTACAGCACCAACAACGTGACGCCTGGGTATGCATCCAACCAAACCAGTTTCGGCGGTGCACCAGCATACGCCAACCAGCCAAGCTTTGGTGCGACCAGCAACAACCGCAGCTTTGGTGGTACTGCCGTGCCCATGTCGCGCTACCAACAGCAGCAGCAGCAACAGCAACAATACGACACGACCAACTACAGCTCGCAGCAGTACTACCCGCAGACGATGCAGACGTCGCCGGGCCCGCACCGCGCACCACCGGCGCCCGTGGCTTCGTTCCGATACGAAGAGCCGTCGTTTGCAGAGAGCACGTACGAGTTTAACGACTCGATGGCATCGCGCGACAGCCAAATGACCGACGTGTATCGTTCGCCCCGCAACCGGAAATCCTCGATCGAGCTGTAAGCTTCCAAGACCCGTCCCTCTGTACAGACCACCATACCCTAATTCTAGTTAATATCAACCATTGTAGTAAGTTCTTCCATAGTTCTTCCATTAACTTCCATTTCCAAACACAAAGGGCTTCGGGTCGACGCGCTGAAAGGTGCTCGTCATGGACCGCCCTGTTCCGCGTCTCTTGCTCACGCAGTGGAATAGTGTAGTTCACGTTGGCTGGATAACCACCGGTGTAAAGATTGTTCACAGCTTTGAAAAAAGCTCCGACATACCGGTACTGGTTGACCTCTCCAATAGACGAGAGCGTCCTTGATGACGAAGGAAGTCCACCTAACGACAGCGATGGCTAACTCGGCAACGCAAAGCTACTGCGGGTGGAATACAGTATGGCTGCATTACATGGCGCGCGTCTGCGCAGATCGCCCAGAAGTTGAACATACATTAAACATGAGCCAATCACTGACGCGATAAAGAGATTTCAACCAATCACGTCGTAGCGATCGCTGGCGTCGAGTGCGTAATGACCGGCCTTTTCGCCGCCGAATCCGGATACGGCGCCCGACCAGACCTGAGGGGTGCGTCGCTACAAACACCGAGTGCGGGGGCAGGGCATCCGGATACCGCGCGCAAGCCAGACCAACGCAGAACTCAATCTCGTGGAGATTATCACGCGGCGATGAAGGCGCTCCTCCTGCGTACGCTCGTCGCTCGTAACCTCCATGGCTCATGCGTCTCGTAGTTCTCTTGTCGCTCTCGGTGGCCTCGGCCGTCGACTCGTCCATCTGCGCTGCGCCCAAGTGCCTCCTCGGCAACCAGCCCGGCAACTTCGCGGTCGGCGCCGTTGCGCTCGACTCGTCGCCATGCTACCAGAACAACGGCAACGAGCTGCCGGGCTGCTACGCGTATGACCTTGCTGGCAAATGCCCGCCCTTTCGCGGTGTGATCGACTGCGGCAAGGTGGCGACGCCGGCGCCCACGACGACGCCGCCGACAACGACTGCCGCATCGACGACTACTTTAGACTCCGTGACGCCGCCGCCGTCGACGAAGGATGGCGGTGGCGCTGGCAGCAGCACGGACAGCGGCGGCTCGTCCAGTAGCAACAAGATTTGGCCGTACGTCGTCGGCGGAGGCGTCGCGCTGGTCGCGATCGCCGTCCTTGTGATTGTCATGGTGAAAAAGTCGTCGCGTACGAACGAGGAAGACGACCTCGATCCGGTCGAGTACGCCAAGCCAATCCCGACGTCGTCGTCGGGCAACTTTAAGGACGGCAACATCAACGGCGGCATGCCCAACCCGCGCCCGGGCTACAACAACTCGTTCTTGCAGGCCGACGTCGAGAAGAGCTACCCCGCGCGGGCCAACCCGTCATTCAACCAAGGTCCGACCGCGCGCCAGAACCCGTCCTTTCTAAACCAGCCGCGCGCGCAGCAAGGCTACGGCAACGCGTTCCCGCAGGCGCAGGTCGTCCCGCCCATCTACTCGCAGCAGCAGCCGACGAGCAACAACAACTCGCTCGGGCCGCACGCCGCGCCGCCGCGCCGCGAGTCGCGCGACATGGCGCCGCCAGGTGCTGACCACGCGCCGCCCAAAGAGCAGTTCTATGTTCCCCAGGTCGAACTTCACTTTGGCGAGCACGAAGAGCCGTCCGGGCGAAGGGAATCGTATGAGTTTTAGGACCTCCGCTCCGTAGCGTCGTTCGTGGCGTCGTCTGCGTACAGCATAAACACACCATTTGTCTCTTGCCTCCCTGCTGCCTTCGAAAGGGTGCTCGCTCAATGCTGCAGCACGGCCTCTTCCGGCTTGTGGAAGACGAGCGCCTTGGGCGTGCTGGGGTAAATGCACGTGAGGACGTGGATGCTGAGCACGAGTTGTGCGAGCGACGGGTACACCACGCGGGCCGTCTCGTCCTGGAGGCGCATCTCGAACGTCGACGAGATCGGGTTGAACTCGATCGGGACAAACTCGACGCGCCGGCTGGCCGTGAGGTAGGCGACCACGAGGCACGACTGGCGCGTCTCGGAGAAGCGCAGCAGGAACGTGCCGGGCGCGTTGGTGGCCACCAACATGGCTTTGGACGCTTCTTTCGAGAGGAAGCCGTGGAGGAGGCGCGGGTGTTTGAACGCCCACACGTTGGTCTTTTGAATGCACACGATGAGCGGCTCAAACCAGCTCCAGAACGCGGCAAACATCGAGACGTCGACCGCGTTGTCCATCGTCTTGGGACTCCGACCGGTGGCGCCTATTGCAACCCATCGTCTCGCACCGACGACGACGACGTGAGGAGGAGAAGGTCGTACCCCAGATGAGCGACGAAGACGCGAGGAACTCCATGCAGCGGCTCGAGAGCGGGCGCTCGACGGCGGCCTGGCGCACCTTGGACGCAAAGAAGCGGCTGATTTGCTGCGCGAGCAGCTCAAACGGCACGGCGGTCGCGCGCCGCGCGTCCACATGCGGCGTCGACGCTTCGTACTCGACGACTGCGTGCGCCCAGACGACGCAGCCTTCCGGCGACGCGATGTGGGACCGCGCATGCTGACGCACTGCAAAGACGAGCAGCTGCTGTGGCGACATGCCGCCCGTCGCGGTGCCGCTTTCGCCAGCGTCGTTCCGGCGGTCGAGGAATGATCCGTGCTTGCGCAGCGGCGCCGGATCCAGCAGCGCCGACGAGACGCGGCTCGACGCCGACTTGGCGAGCGCCGGGTGGCGGGCGTGGCCATACGGCAAGAGCGGGCAGTAGTCGTTGGCCAAGTCTTGCTTGGAGCTCGGGTCGAGGCCCGCAATCACGGATGGGATCAGGTAATGGAGAAACTCGCGCTCGTCGCGTTGCAGATCGCGGACTTCGAGCAGCTGGGCCACCTACCGTCGTCGGCGTTTTTCGTGGTGAGAAATACCACAAGACGACGAGAACGACGTACGGCGCAGATGGTACGCGGGTGGCCACCCAGTGCGTCCATGACGACACCGCGGCTGAAGGCGTGGAGGTCGCCGCCCATCTCGTGGATCTGCAGCCGCCGCGGCGCGCGCACGGTGAAGAGCAGCGCAGCGTCCATCGGCGGAAGATGCTCGATCGGGATGATGCGCTCGCCCACGCCGCAGTCCATGCCCGTGCCGCCCCCGAGGCGCGAGTCGCTCGTGATGAGCAAGCTCAGTGATCGCACGCGGCGCAGCAGCTAGTGTCGCCAAAGATATTGCAGCGCATCGATGCGAATCGAAATTACCTGGGAAATGATGGTCCGGAGTTGCGGCATCAAACCGGGTGCGAGCGCCTTGTTTGGAAAAAGCGCATTGCAGCCGTCCATGACCAGAAGGTACTTGGTCGACTGCGACGACGCGGAGGCCTCGAGCTTGTCGCGAATGCGGTCCGTGAGCTTCTCCATCGCGTCGTCGCTGTCATCACTGGCCTCGTCGGCCGATGTGACGCCGAAGCTTTTGGCGAGGCGACCCATGAGGTATGGCCGCAGCGGCAGCGACGACGGCAGCGCAAAACGCAAAAAGAAGATGCGCTGGAAGAGGTACCGGTCGGTCGCGTACTGGCACGTCTGCAGTGCGACTTCGGTCTTGCCAATGCCTGCGGGCCCCGTGAGACACACCATGCGCGCACCCTCGACGAGCGCAGTGTACGCTGCGTGGACTTCGATCGACCGCCCGACAAAGACTTCAGCGACCGCGTCGCACTCGTTGACGGGCAGCCGTGGCGTCAGGTCTTGGTACTCTCCAACCGCAAGGTCGGAGAAGAGGTGGCTGCGCGCATGGTCGCCGTTGCCAAGGAGCTTGAACTTGGACTGGTGGTGGTCGGCGATCGACACAATGTCGGCCTGGACCTGCCTAATTGTGCCCACGAATCATTCCGTGATCGAGATGCGACGTTGGCATCCATGTACCCAATCTCAAAGGCCTTGTAGACGCTGTGGCCCGCCAAGAGCGCGGTGTAGAAGGCCTTGGAGAACTCCATTGCCTTTTGGTCGAGCACCTTGTCTTCCTTGGGCACGACGACGACGTGCGGGACGCCGGCCGAGACAAAGGCTTCCGCGACGCTCTCCGAGTGGCACGCGCTCACAAAACGAGGCGCATCGTGTTCTCTGGCGAGGTGCCCTGGACGCCGGCGAGTAGCAGCGTCTTGAGCTCGTGCTGCGATAAAAAGTGCGCTTCGCAACTGCCATTCTCAAAGATGACCTTGCCGGGCACGCCATGGCCCGAAAAGTGCAGCGCACGGCAGCCGTACGAGATGACCTACTGCAAGCATGAGCGGCGTTGCGCGCGCAGAAGCTGTGCACTACCTTGCGGAAGGTATGGACGTCGGCGACTTCGCTGCGCCAGCGCACTTGCTTGTTGCATTCTTGCAAGCACTGCAAGAGGAGGCGGCGCTCCTCCTTGACGTCGAGGATCTCGATCGGCTGGAGGTCGTGGCTGAAGCTGAGCGGGTGCGCCGGGTTCAGCGGCTTTGGGAGGCTCGCAGTCTGGCGCACGACCAGCGGCGACGAGTGGAGATGCACAAACATTGATCGCCACGCTCGCTGTTGTGCCCAAGTCGGATAAAATCACCCATTTCCGTATAATACCGCTTTTTCATCCGGATAGCGGCCTCGACAATTCTGTACAACATGCCTGGCGGTACGAAACCAGTTGGAAGTAACTTCAGTCCGTCGACTTAACCCTCCCACGCCGGGAGTCCTATTATAGGCCAAGGGGCCTATAATAGGCCAGTATTTAACAGTGGTTAAGAGTGCTAGGAAGAAGCTCGGAGCAAGCAACGTCGTCGATGCCGGTGTTATAGTAAGTAAGACCTCCGGGTCAAGCAGTCTTAGGTCAGCGCTCGGCGACATCAGACGTCTGGCAGACACGACCACGAGGCGTCTGAACAAGGCGCGGCAGCTCACCCATCGTGGAAGTAGTCTGCAGCGCGATCTGCCATCGCGAGTCCCTACATCTGTGCAGTGGGCAGCCATCCCTCCGATTGAGGCCTTCAGCTGTGCATTAGGGTGAACCGAAGGGAAGTCGATTCCCTTGGGTCAACCCTACTACGCCGCAAGTCCAACCATCGGGCACATAAGCATTGCTCGTATCATGTCGTAATGAACAGGTCCCCTTTAAAACCATCGGTCCCATGCCTCTTGACCACTTGTGGCAATTTTGAAGGGTGCCGAGAACTGGTGTGCTCCGGCAGAAAACGTGGCGACACCGTTGAGATTGAGATGGTCGTCGCTATAGACATGCTGAGGACGAGAACAAGCATGCGGCAGAGCCACGTAGCGTCATGCGTTTGCACCGAATCCATCGCCCGAGGGTAGGGTTCCACGCCGATTACGCTTTGGGACCAACGCAGTGTGCATCAAAATCGCTGCGTAATCCGTGCTTACGCCATCGACAACCAACGCTGTCGACGTCTACGATCTTAGGCTGCGCAGCGGAACCCGATCGTGGCGGCGCGGTCGTAGCTCTGGCTCAGCGTGAGGAACTTGCCGTGCTTGTTGGTCGACGCGATCGCTGGAAAGTACCAGTTGGGGTCTCGGAGGCTCGACGCGACCGGGGCGTACGCGCTGCCGCCGCGAACCAAGACGCTGCACGTACGGTCGTCGCAGAAGGCGTCGGTCATTTGCCACACGTGCCCGACGAGCGCGCAGACGTCGGATGCCGCCGCGCACCCGGCGGGATACGCATCGACGTCGACGGCGGCGATGTCGTCACCCTGGCGCTGGAGGCGTGGGTGTCGGGACGAATCCAATGCGTCGCCGTACGGCACAAGGTTGTACGCGAGGCCGTTGGAGGCGACGTACTGCCACTCCCAGTCGTGGGGCAAGCGCAGACCGTAGTAGGCTGCAAAGGCCTGCGCATCTTCGAGGCAGACGTGCACGACGGGCTGCGACGCGATCGCTTTGGGCACCGACCACGACGTGATGGGCGCGTACGAGCCATCCTCGTGAAGGCGGCCGCTCCAGTGCAGGAGGAAACGATCGACGTCCGTCGGCACGTACTTGGAAGACGCGAGGAACGCGTGGTACTGGGCGTTCGTGACCGGGTACTTCATGATTTGAAAATCCTCGATCCAGAGCTCCGTCGCGTGGTGCGGCCGCGGTCGGTCTTCCCATGGGAATTGGACGCCGACGCCATAGTCGTTGCCGTTGGGCGTCCACGCGGGCACGGGCTCGATCTGGACGCCGTCGACGCTAAACGTCCACGCCTTTGTGCCTGGGATACGCACCTAGACATGGATGGATCTCTACGGCCATACTAGATCGACTTGTTTGTGTCGTACCAGGTGGAGGAGCTCCGAGACGTTGGTTGAAGCCGGCGCGCGCTGGTCGAAGGTGCTGGACGCATCCGGGCCAACGACGACCGCCGTTGCCGACGACTGCGTCGTCATGCGCTGCTGCAAGATCGGACGGCTGGTGTCGTACGTAGCCAGTGGCGTCGTCGTGCGGGCGCGCATCGCCGCGAGAAACGTGGCGAGCCACTCGGGCTCGCTGCCAGCGGCCACGACATAGTACGCAGCGTAGCCGTACTCCTCAATGCGCGCACGAAAGGTGACGGAGGATCCGGACGCCTTTGCAGGCACGGCTTTGCCGTAGTACAGGTCGTACACAGCGACCGTCGACGCGTTTAAGTACGCGTCCAGCGTGAGCGAGAGGTCGCCATCAAAGACTTGGTTGCTCGTTCGAATCGCAGTGTAAAAGATTGCGTTCGCCGACCGCACGGGGAACTTGGACGCATGAACGTTGGATGGCAAGCCAGGTACATGGGGCGTCCACTCGAGGCTTGGCAGCGCAAACGAGAAGCGCTGGAGAATCGACATGGACCGCTTGAGCGTCTCGACCTCGCGCTTCGTCATGCCGTTCCAGATGCCCCAAATGTTTTCCCAAATGACGTACCCGGCGCCGTTGAAGTGCGAGAGCTGAAACTCGAGGCCGCGGTTGAGCGACCAGCGGCTGCAGATGAGCACCATGTGGCGCGGCTCCAAGAACTTGGCGCGCGCGACGGGCGGGAAGCTCGAGAAGCCGTAGTAGTAGCCCCAGCTCATCGGGTTCGTGCCCAAGTCGGACGAGGGCACACCACCTTCGGGGCAAGTCGCCATGCCTTCGTTCGGTCGGTAGAACGAGGAGGGCACGCCGTATAGCGTGTCACCGTTTACGCCGTCGGCGCCCGTCGCACGCAGCACGTCGTAGAGCTCATCGATATCGGACTGGTAGCGCGACTTGGTCGGGTTCGGGTCGCGTGTTGCTGTGTCCCACGGCAAGTAGGGCAAGAAGACGCGGATGTTGCGCGCGTGGAAGTCTGCGACGAGCTGCTTGACGCCGTCGATGCCACCCGGCAGCGAATACCACAGATCCCACTGGTTGCGCGTGTCGATGCCAAGGTTCGGGTACGATGGCCAGAGGAGGACGCTGTCAAACTGCAGGTCGAACGTCGCGAGGTACTTGTCGAGCGTGTAGGCATTCGTCTCGCGGTCAAAGAGCATGCGGTCATGCATCATGACAAAGACTTGGAGCAGACTTGTCTGCGTCCATTGCAAGGCCGGCGTGTTGTACACGCTCTTGACGTCCTTGGCCGAGTAGCGCACGGTGCGCAACTCGAGCTCCTTCCACGTCGCCCACTTGCTTCGCCACGCTTCGATGGACGCGTTGTCATGGCGGCTTGGTCCGTCGATGAGCTCGTAGCCCTCGGGCTGCGGCTCCCACGCGCTAACGACGGCCGCGAGCGCCGCCAGCCCCGTCGTCAGTCCCACGACGCCCCTCATTCTCAACCCAAAAAGATTTGCGATCCGAAGTGCTTTTCGCACTTGTGGATTGGCCAAAATTCAAGTATTTTTGGATTGGTGTAAAAGGATGAAAGAGGTAGTGTGATTGGTGGATAAACTGAATTGTTTGATTGGCGGAAACGCAATGAGTTACGTGAGCAGTTTCGGATCGCGGGCAGAATCGAAGTTGACGAGCGGTAACTTCGACGAACACGAGCGTCGCCTCGCGAAGCCTTCGCACCGCACGTGGTTCATGACGATGATGATGATGTTATGGATAAAGCATGGCCATCGCGTGTTCACGAGGTCGCGCGTACACGACGACGTGGGACTGCCACGGGGATGAGACGTCCCATACTACACCGCATGCGAGACACTTGGATGATTTTGAATGCGGACTAGCGTCATCTTGGTACCTTTTATCAAGTCTAGCTCAATACACCCATCATTTCCCACACACGACCGAATGATTGCGCGCAACCGATTACGACACGCGCGTGTGCGCAAATCAAAGGCGCGCCCTTGCCCAGCACCGGAACCGCAATCAGGGGGGGCGCCCCAGGTCAGTTGGTAAAGTTTCTGCTTCGCATCCCGAAGGTCGCCGGTTCGAGCCCGGCTGCGCGCGCGCATTTTTCAGTTCTCCGCCCCCCTCCTCCCTGCGTCGCGCGATGTACCCGAACAGGGCCGAACCATGTGGGTCCAGGCCACCTCCGCAAGTGTCACCCAGAACACATGATGACGTAATCAGCTGCTCCAACAACAGGCCAAGATGAGACAATTTCTTCCAGCGAGCTCTGCTCATTAAAAATTAATTGACCCATTTCAACAACAACAACCGGAACCGCAATCATCGGCTCCATACTAGCTACAATAGATACAATAGCGAGTGCTCATCCCCAACGCCAGCAAGATCCAGCGCGTCGCTTTACAGAACACGAGGCACTGCAGGTCTAATATATATCGCAAATATATCTCGTGCCGTCCGTCCCATCGCGCGTTATCATGGTCGTCGGCTCCTTGGCGCAGTGCACTTTGGCCGTGTCTGTGTCGAGCGGCATCCAAGCGGCGGTCCAATCACGCGCATTTTCAAGGCAAGGGTAGCCAACCTCGATGCGTCGTCGAGAAGACATTGGGCGCCAACGTACGGGATACGCCGAGCGTTGTCCTAACGTTATCATTCGGGACGACGCTGTACGAGAAAATCGCGGCTCTTACTTTCACTATGCTACAAAACTAGCATCAACGAGGCGAAGTTCGAAGCGCGCGTTCATGACGAAATCACGACGTGGCGGTAAACACGATCGAGGTCACGTCATGGGCAACGCGGCGTCAGTGCCATTTCCGAATTTCAATGGTGGCCCCGAAGCGACGCAAGACCTCGTCGGTCTCGACGATGAGCAAGGACAGCGAGTCGCCGGCTCCGTCCAAGATGGACAAGCGTCGCTACGACTGTATGATGAACCAGCGACGGTACCGCGAGCGCAAGAAGAGCAAGACACAAAACACTGAGTGGTATGTCGACGAGCTCCGGCGCGAGACGCGTCGCCTCGAAGAGCACGCAGCGCTCCTCAAGTCCAATATGCTCATGCGCAACATTCAAGCCGGCACCTTCCGCTGCCGGTCGATCTCGACGTATTTGAACCTCTTCCGATCGGGCCTCGCCCGCGTGCCGGGCCACTTGCTCAACCAGCAACTCGACATCATCGACAGCCTCATGCACCCGAACGTCGTGCTCAACGGCAGCGTCGGCGTCCATGGGTTGCGCCAGCAGTGGGAGGCGTTCAACGAGTACTTTTCCCAAATCAACATGAAGGTGCTCGATATGCAGACGCTCGGAGATGACCACGCCGTTGTCGTCGTCGACGCCGTCCTCGAGCTCCTCTTTGACCGCCACACGATCTCGTGCTTGTTCCCGAACGCTGTCGACCGTGATAACCTCGTCGCGGCCGTCCTCGACAAGGTGATTGCGTGTCCGCTACGCCTCTCGTTTGTCTTTGGCGACAACCAAGTCGAGTCGACAGAGGCCCACCTCAGCTTTGTCGAAGGCCTTCACAACGTCCTTGGCAACTTGCACGACACGATGCTGTTTGTTCACGGCGATGACGCGACGCGCATTACACCCGAAGGCATGATCGCGGTCGAGGCGGTTCTCTTGACGCAGCTGAGCTCGCGCGCCCACGAGATGATCTCGACCCCGATCAAATTCGACATGCTCAAGCCGACATTGGCGCCGCTCAAGAGCGAAATGAACTACATCCTTATGTAAAGACTAGAGTCCATAGTTAGATTAAGTTATACGAAACCCAACCCAATCAGTCGTCCATGTCTACAACCTCAGTAGAAGCCATGTTTGCTTCACGCAGTAGCATCATACACGAGACGAGAATGACGCTACAAGAGTGGGAGCGACGTGATCACTGTAGCATCCCGGCGGCGTGGGTGCTACAGTGGTAGCCCGAGTTTGCATTTTGACTTTGAAAGTGCAAACTCGACGCCACACTGGAATGGTGTCGTAGAACACTCGCCACGCCATCCACGTCACGCAGAATGCAGTGATGAGCTCAGTAACGATACGGGATTGCCTCCTGAGATGACGACACAAGCCTATGTATTCCCGCCGCCTCCACCCAGCAATGAATTCTGCATAGACCTACAACTCGATCTCGAGCTGGTTCGCCTCGGTGGCTCCCATCAAGGCCGTATACAGTAAACTAATCCGGCACAGCGTTGGCATTGTCTAGGCGACCTAAATGACAATTGACGACTGGCCCTTTGGGGGTCCGTTTGTTGTTGTCGTGAGCGTTGCGCTGGTGGTGGCTTTGATCCCCTTTGGAATGATCTCGCGACCCTAATATCTCCAGCTTCGCTTTGCACGGGTCGTTGTCTTGCCTACGGTTGAACGTCTATCACGTCGGCCTCTGCCCTCGTGACGTCCACCACCACGCTCGAACAAGCCCGAACAATACCCCACCCAAAGTTGGCTGAGAACCGAACCGCAGAACCAGACAACTGAAAAGAGTCAACGTAAGCATCAACTTGTGCCAAGTCTGGAATCAACGACCGGCGCGCGTGACGAGATCAACCACCACGTGCGTTCGTGGGTTTTGATGCAACAGGACGCTGCAAGCGCACGCACGCGGGCTTGCCATCCATCGTCCTACAGGATATGGACAGCGTCGACGACCCAATTCCTGTCATGGCTTCGCCTCAAATCCTCACGTACGAGCTCAAGAAACCGAGTACGAGCTCCAGGAGCACTGGTGGGAGAGTAGAAGCAGAGAGTGCGTCCGAACACTATTTCCGTGAGGCGTGTAACAGGCGCCTCGCGTGACAATCTATTTTTAGAGCAACGTCATCGGGTGCGTACCGAATTTCGAAGTAACGTAACTTGCCCCGGCTGGCAAGACAATAGTAATATTTAGTCGCCTATCATGTAAGCGAAGTTGCATTGAAGCTTCGAGGTGCACTGGGCCGCGCCAGCAGGTGCGCGATCACGCTCACTTTTCATTTGTCTGCCGATGTCCCAAGCTGTGAGCGCCATGGAGCCGACGGAGCTGCGCTACATGACGGACTCGCTCCCGACGCCGCAAATGACAGCCAAGGAGCGCGCGGAGCAGCGGCGGCTCGAGTGCATGATCAACCAGCGCCGGTACCGTGCACGCAAGAAGGCGCAGCACGAAGACACCGTCGCGAGCATCAAGCGCACCAAGGAAGAGATCCGGCGCCTCCACGAGCTCGCCCTTGTGCTCCAAAACACGCACATGACCCGGCACATTCAAGCCGGCAACTACCGCCACGACGCCATCGCGTCGTACGTCAAGATATTCCAGCACGGCTTGGCGCTCCGCGACAGCGCCAAGTTCAACGACCAACTGCAGCTGCTCTCGGGCGTCATGAGCGAAAACTTGCTCTTCAACGGCGAAGTTGGCATTCCGTCGCTCGTCGCGCAGTGGCGCGCGGGCGGCCAGCTCTTTTCCCGCGTTGAAATGCGCACGCTCGAGCTCCAAGTCATTGGCGCCGAGCACAACGTGGTGACCGTGACCGGTACCATGCGCACGGCCATCAACCGGCACACGATCGCTGCGCTGTTTCCCCACGTCTTCAAGCGCGAAGACGTCGCCCAAAAGCTCATTGCGACTGGCCTCTTTTGCGAACTCCGCATGTCGTTTCTCTTTGACGACGACCTTGTCTCGGTCATGGACTCGGAGATCAACGTTATGAGCGGCTTGTACCACGCGCTCGGCGACCTCGAGGCAATGAGCTTTGTCGCGCACGCCGAAGGCGGCAGCAAGATGCTCTCGGACGGCACGATTTTGTACAATGACGTGGCACCCGTCGACGACTTCAACGCAGTGTCCGAGGTTGTCGAGCCCATTCCGGTCGGCATCGCGGACGCGCCGGTGCATCCCGAGAGCGATGACGACGGTGGTCATGTCACCAAAGAGAAAGCCTCGATCGACTTTCTGCTCGTGCCGTCGAGTAGTGATGATGTCGCGAACTAGTGTAACTATCAATCCTGTATTTGTTGTTGACCAGAGTTATATTACATGAAATATTAAGATATGGTAGACTTTCTAATGTGCTCGCGGGGCGTGGCAAGCGAGGAGCGTTGGTGGTCGTGATTCGGAACTGCGAGGGACCAGGTAGCGTGTACACCAAGGGTCGTCGCCAGCGACGCCTCAAGATCGAATCAATCCCATCCTTGTCGTCATCGTTGTCATTGGCTTGTCTACACGGCGGCGTTCGCAAAGCAGCCATGCATGTTTCGGTGCTTTACTGGCTGCGACGGCGTGACGGGATGCCGAAAATAAGACCGGGCAAGAGAAGCGCGGGCGACGGGATACGGAGCGGCTACAATGCGCGCGTACCACCCTAGTCCTTGCACAGCGTCCATCACCGAATGGCTACGAACGCACGTGGCATCAGAAGCAGGCTTCGTGTCATGTCGTCGTCGTCGTTCTGTAGCTTCGATCGCAGTAGCTTGAATATGCTGAAGCAGCCGCCTTTTATCGGGCGAAAACCTCACATCTATGCGTGCCGCACGTTTGCTTTGCACGTCGTCCTGGGTGGATGGTCGCTGGGTGCGCGTGCACCCTCGCTGAGTATGGAAACCACTCCTCCTGCTTGTTACGACGGTGTACTGTTGGCGTGATTACGAAAGTTAACCTACCTCGGTATGCTTGCTTTACCGCGCCGGTACACGCCGCTGCTGCTGTCGGCTACATGTATTCGACGGGCGACTGCTGGATTGGCCGCCATGGCAGAGGAGGCCCGGCTTTTCCCCCAAAACAGCTTGTCACGAAGCGAGCCAATCGCGATAACGGTAACATGACGCCATTCTCGGCGACGCTGTTTTTCGTGGCAAATGCCGAATTTAATAACGATGTCCAGTGTTGACTGGCATTTTTGTCCAACTCGAGATGGCACATCGTCCGGAGCTGTCTCCGCAAACGTCGGAGCTGGGCCCGAGCCCGCCACCGTCGACGTCAACGGACGTGGTGAAGGCGTCCAAGCGGCGCCAAGAGTGTCTCCAGAACCAGCGCCGGTACCGGCTTCGGAAGAAGAAGAAGTTTGAGGCCAAGGCCGAGCAGCTCAGCGAGCTCCATATTGAACTCAAGCGGCTCCAAGACCACGCGCATCTGCTCAAGGCCAAGCTGCTCATGCGCTTCATCGAGGCGGGCATGCAGCGCTCCAACACGATCGCGGCCTACTGGGAGCTCTTTCGGCTGGGCCTCGCCGACATCAATGGCCGGTACTACACGCAGCAGATCGACTTTATCCGCAATCGCATGCACGACGACATGTACGTCAACGGCGTCCAGGGCGCGAGCAACCTCCTCGACCAGTGGCACGCGTGCCACTCGCTGCTGTCGCACTTTGACGCGCCCAACATGCAGATCCAGGTCTTCGGCGCGGAGCAAGAGTACATTGTGACGACCGGCATTATCCTCGCCCAGTTCAACCGCGACTCCATTGCCCTCATCTTTCCGCGGCTCTTGGCGCGCGAGGACTTGGTGCAGCTGCTTCTTCAGCGCCCGGTGCCGTGCCCACTGCGTGTCTCGTGTCACTTTGCGGGCGGGAAGGTCCAGAGCATGGACATCGACATCAACATCATTGAAGGCCTCCGCCGATGTGTTTCGGACCAAATCAACGCCGCCGAGTTCTACAGCGTCCTCGAAGGCGCCGCCGCCGCCTCGCACATGACACCCAACGGGCTCGTGGACCAGCAAACGCTCGAGCACATGGCGCTCGAGCTCGTGCCTGATGACGCCGCGTCCGTGTAGGTATAAGCGAGGGCATATGCTAGTAGTATTACATGTTGCAGAAACTCTATATGAACGCTGAATTTCAAGCGAGACATCCGAGATTTTGTACTCCCCGAGCAATACAGCAGCAAAAATCATGACGGAAGAGACGCAGCGCTGGCTTCGGACGCTCGTACCGCGCGTCGACTTCCCGCGTCGAGTTTCCGGCGCGACGCTGACGCAGCTCGATGCGGTCGCTCGCCTTCGACTCCATTTAACAGCGCCCCCTCCGCCTTGGCGCTGCAGTGTACAGCAGCAAGCCAAACAAACAACAGCGGTAAGCGTTCCGTAATCAAATCACTTACATGTTGCTACGACCGGAATCCCATGTCATGAAGCATGTTGGAGACGGGCCCGGCTTGGCCTTCCTGCGACGTGAGCGACTCGAGCAGGTTCGACACGAGGTTCAAGTCGAGGTTGACGGGTGCAAGGTCCGCCGCGTCGTCGGTCACACCACTGCGCGTCGTCGTCGTCGTCTGGAAGCTCTTGCCCATCTTGGAGTCGGTGAGCTCCATGTCCATCTCGTCCATGAGCTGCTCCATGAGATGGTCCATGGCGGCATCGTCTTGGTCTTCCTCGTCCTCGTCGTCACTGTCGTCGTCGTCGCTCGAGAAGAAATATGCGTCATTGTCGTCGGACGCGTGCGGCTTCTCGGACGGCGTCGCGGCGGTCTGGTTGAGAATCGCCATGAGCGCATCCATGTCCAGGCTCACGGGCGGAAGCGTGTGGGCCGACATGTCGACACCGTCGTACTCGGACGCCTCCTTGACGAACGAGTGAAACATCGAGGCCATGTCCTGCAGCTCGTCTGCGTTGCCGTCTTGCACGCGGGACTCGGCCTTGCGCAGCGTCTCTTCGAGACTCTCGGGCGCCACGTACAGCCACGCGTCGTCGTCGTTGGGCGCAAGCGGCGCTGGTTGGAGTGGTGCGGTGGCGGCGGCGTCGATGCGCGATGTCCACAGAGCACCGGTATGGTCTTTCGTGCTGCTTGCGTACAAAAGCTCGAGGCCGCACGTGAGCTTCATGCCAAGGATCGCTGCGTCGTCGGCTTCGTCGAGGTTGCCAAACGGCTTGGGCGCCGCAAATGGCTGCTGCTTGAGCTGCGCAAACATGCACCGAGAGAAGGGTACCATGACGGACGTCATTGCTATCGGCGAGAAGCGCTGCATGTGGCGACAGAGCCGCGTTGCCTCGGTGGGCTCGCGGTAGTAGAAGGCTTCGACGGCGTAGGCCAGGGCGCGGGGTGTCTCTTGGAGAACGATGGCGGCTGACGTCGGCACGCGACACTGGACGGTGTGTCGATTGATGCTTCGCTGCATCGAGTGGGTCCGCGCTTGTTCGAGTCGGTCGCCAAGGATACGCTGGGCGTCTCTCGGCGCTTCGTACTTGGACGGCGTCGTCGTGAGCGACTTCAGCGCGACGGCGAGGTCCAAGTGGCCTTTCTCGACGTCGTCCGTGATGAGATAGACGCGGCCATGCCGCAGGAAGACGCGGTTGTTGGAGTTCTCGGGCGTCACCCACATGGGCAGCGCTTCGGCCGCTTCGATGAGGAGGAACTGACCGTCGGCGTCGGCGACCTGCAGCGTCATATCGGCGTGCGTCTTCGTCAGCGACAGCAAGGCGGCGGTCGCGACCCATTCGTCCTCGACGTTGTCGCCAACATACATCTTGCCAAGCAGCGTCGTCGCCGAGGTCCACGTAGTCATGGGCGCTTCCAGGCACAGAGGCTCCTTCTGCCAGATGTAGTCGCCCACGAAGGCGGCGACCTCGGCCGCCATGCTGCGGAGCCTGCCAGCGTCCGGTGCATGGTCAAAGTGGACGTGGAACTCGAGGCCGTCCGTCGAGAGCTCGGCGGTCGGGAACATGCTTGCTGACCGCTGTTGATTGGTGTAAACTCGAGCGCTTCTTATTGGCTCTGGCACCTTGGATACCCGCGCTCATTGGTCCATCGCGCCGCGTTTTTTCATTGGTCCATTTCATGACGTTGAAGTTGATGGGAGAGGACACTGCAGAAATAGTGTGAAAGGACCACCACCCCTACACCCATGCGCCGCACACTCCGCTTGGCCCATCGGCCCGTCGAGCGTGCATGTACAACACAGTGGTAGTGTGTCGGTGGCTAGCATCTCGCCTGTGCATCGACGGAGCGAGCTGCGAGATCGTACAACACTATTTAAATACCCAGAAACGTGGCACCCGCCAACGCAGTTTTGGAATGGCGCGGTCCGTGCTCACGAACGACGACCTGTGGCGCGTGACGACCATCTTCTCGCGAGGAAAGGCAGCTGCGCAGTGGCGTGACGGCAACTTGGCCGCCGCGCTCGGACACGTGTACCTGCTCGAGCACCTTCCCGCGCTGCTGCTCACGCCAGCGGCGATGGAGGCGGCGGCCGCGAACGGCCACTTGGCCGTGGTACAGTGGATCCACTCCAATCGCCCCGAGACGCGAAGCCCGTGCGCGATGCTGTGCGCGGCCGAGAACAACCACTTGCACATCGTGTCTTGGCTCCACGCGCACGCGTACCCCGATGCGCTCGCAATGGATGCGGCCGCCGCGGCCGGGCACCTCGAGGTCGTGCAGTGGTTGCACGCAGTTGTAAGGTCGCCACGAAGCTGCTCGGTGCGTGCGATGGACCAAGCCGCCGAGAAAGGCCACTTGGACGTGCTCCAGTGGCTTCATCTGTATCGGAGAGAAGGCTGCACGACCGATGCGATGGACTATGCTGCGTGCGCGGGGCACCTCGGTATTGTACAGTGGCTCGCCGCCCATCGTCGCGAGGGCTGTACGAAGAAGGCGCTTTTGTATGCTGCGTTCAACGGCCACCTTGCTGTCGTTCAGTTCTTATGTGGGCTGCCGGCCTTTCAAACCACCGACGATATCCAGCGTGCAATGCATTTGAGTGGCAAAAACGGACAGCGCCACGTCGCCGACTGGCTGCGGACGACTCTGTCGATTACCCGCATGTAGTCGTCCAGCCAACAAACCAATACACAAGTCCCATATCCTTTGGACTCCAACGCCACAAGTACCCGTACTCGCACGTGCAGCGCGCACGGTCGAGTCGACATGGGATAGATATATGGTAAGAGCACTTGATACGTTAAAGCATGGCTTGTCGCTGCTACGGTGTCGCATGTGCCGCATCGTCGTCGTCGTGAAGGAGAGCCTTGCTTGCAGCGAGGAGCGTCGCATGCGGGCTTCGGTCGCGACCATGCGTGAGCCAGTCCAAGTAGCACGCCTTGAACCGCGCAACGTCACCGGTTTGGAGCTTGAGAAGGTGCTTCAAGCACACATGTGCCTGCTGCTCGATGAGCTGAAAGAGTCCGCGCAGCAAGAGCGCGACGCGCTGCGCGTCGACGGTCTCGGTCGGCGCCGCTTCATAGAGAGTCGCGCTCGCCAAAAGGCAGTCGAGTGCGTCCTTGTACACGGACGCCACTCGCGGCACTTTCGTCTCGGCGGCCACACCCACCGAGAGCAGAAATTTGACCTTGTCCAGGCGCAAGAGCAAGTGGTGGACACGCGTACTGGCGTCGAGAGGTAGCGTGTCGAGCGCATTCTCGTAGTGCGCCGCGCTGGCATCGATGCTTGTCCAGAGGGTTGCGTCATGGGCCTGTGCGAGGCGCGCGCGGGCGTACGCGGCTTCAAAGCCCGCGAGCAGATAGTGCGAGTCGGCGACACGCCACGCACACAATTGCGCTTGGTGTCGCCGCGACGGTAGCTGAGCGATGCGCGCCAACGCATCCGAGCCGAAGCGCAGGCCCGTACGCAGCTCGTCTCGGATCGCGACCCGGGCCGCCGTCAATTGCCCGTCGCGGTTCAGAAGGGGCTCGGACGCGAGCTGCTGCTGCAAGTGGAGCGCGTGCGACGTGTGCGCAAAGCGCAGGAGCAGCAACAGATGCACGTGGAGTACGCGGACGTACTCGGACTCGACGAGCCGGAGCGCCGAGAGCGCGGCGTTGAAGCCGGCAATGGCCTTGTGGTGCCGCCCCGAGCGCAGCGCGACTTCCGCGAGCACGATGCGCAGCTCGAGCGTCGCGACATCGTCGCCGAGCGATGTAAAGAGCAAGATGCCTTGCTCGGCGTGACGCGCGCCCTTGGTATGCCGGCCCGTCGACACGAGGTGCCGCGCCAGCGACACGTACGCGTCCCGTAGCGTTTCCCGAAAGCACCGGTGGATGTGTTCGCGGCCAACGACCAAGTGCGGCAGCGTCGAGTAGTCGCCGACTTGCATCGCACAGGTGAGTGCAATGTTGAGGTGCTGCTCGGCGTCCCCAGCAAGCGCTTGGCGCGACATGTGCAGCCACAATGGCGCGTTCATGGGCGGCGGCGCGACCGAGACCGCGCGGTCGGCCGCAACCGCTTGCTCGTATTGGGCTTGTACGACATCCAGCGCATCCGTTGGTTGCATCGCGAGACGCAAGTGCACCTTGGCCACGACGAGAGGGACTTGCGAGCTCTGGAACGAGTCCACAAAGCATAGCATGTGATGGAGGCGGTACAGCGCGAGGCCACAGTCCGTCTCGAGGAGCGCAATATGTACGAGGACGTAGTAGCACGCCAAGAGCGCCTCGCGGAGCTCGGTACAGGTGCTGGCATCGACATACGCAGCTGCCTCCAGCAGCAGCGAGAGCGCATACTCCATATCTTCCTTCTGTTGCGCCTCGTCGTCCAGCATGGGCGGCGGCAGTACACCGCGCTCGGCCACCGGCACGGCGGAGATCGTCGTCTGCGGCAGAAACTGCTGCGCAATCTCAAAGAGCGTCTTCGTGCTCTCTTTTGGCGACGACGCAAAGGCCTCGCAGGCTTCGAGGGCTTGGACGAGCTGCGACTGCACGTCTTCGGCCCGCACGAATGCGTCCGTGTGCAGCCAGCGCGTCGCTGTGTACGGGCGCATGTACGGCGCCATCGCGAGTTTCGCCGACGCCACGAGTGCTGTCGCCAGCGTCTTGGGTGCGATCGCCCGTTTATCGACGAGACCGAGCCCTTTCCGGTACAGCTGCATGGCACGCACGGTGTCGGAGGTTTGCGCCGCCAGTTGGAGGCAGAGCGTGCCGACAGTGTGGTCCACCGACGACGACGGGAACGCGATCGCGTCGGATGGGAGCTCAAAGAGGCAGACGCCGGACGGCGACTGCGTGAGCCAGTACGTTGTGGCTTCGCTCACGCAGTGGGCTTGGAGAAAGCGCAGAATGGACTGGGCGTTTTGAAACACGTTGGCAGGATCAAAGCTGAGGATCGGCAGCTCGTCGGTGCGCACCAAGTGGTAGCTGTCGAGGCGGCCGTTCGTGTTGGCCGTGCAAATGGCTGCGCGCTGGATGCCAGTCATGACCTGGTCGAGCCACAAGTCGAGGCACGAAAACGATGTCCAGTGCGTCTCGACGTCCCGCAAGGCGACGGCCATCGAGTCCCCGGACGGCGCGTGCTGGAAAAGCATCGAGTTGTTGCCAAGAAGCATCTCCATCGAGTCAAACTGCCAGTGCACGACGCGGTCATACGCGGTTGGCAGCGTCGGCGGTAGCATTGCCCTCGACACGTCGTCGTGCAAGAACCGATCGTGCAACACCTGCTGGTACGTGGTCTGCGCGCGGTCTTCAGGCTGCGGCGCGTCAGGAAGCAGAAGAAAGATCTCGCCCGTTTCAGGGTCGGCGACAAGTTCGTACGACGGGACGCCGTCGCCGTCCTCGCTCTCGTCGGTATCGTGGACGCTGCCGTCATGGTCGTCCTGCGGATTGACGAGCGACGTCTTGAGCGGCGATGATGTCTGGCTTGTTTCGGGCGGATAGTGGATCGGGAGGTGCTGCAAGAGCTGCGTGGCCGGTCGCCGGGATTTCTTGTAGCGTTGCGAGATCTTGCGCGCCTCGGACCCGACGCCTTGCTCGCGGCGGCGACGGAGGCGGTCGTGGGCGCTCTCCATGACGAGCGAGTTGCCGACGCGGTGGATCGCGACCCCCGAAGATCCGTCCCCTGGCTGGTATGGCATCGCAAACACTTGCTTCAGCGTGTCCGTCGACGCGATGATGTCGACGCTGGGCGAGAGGTGCTCGTGAAGGAAGACGCCGGACGGCGCGTGTCTGGACAAGGCCTCTTCACCGACTACGTCTGGGCGAGCAGAAATGACTCGACGGACATAAACGCGCTCGTCGCTGCCAGGCGTCGCGTCGGGCTCGCCAGACGTGATGCGCTCGCTTTGCGGCGGGCCATCGCCCAGCACCATAGGCGCGAGGTCGAGTCGCTTCGTGTTGGGCAGGTGGAGGTTCGCTAGCGCGGCCACGCGCTTCGCGGTCGTCGTTGGGGCCACTGTCATCGTCGCGCTTCGAAAGCCGGTCTTCGTGCTCTGAGGCTACTCGACTCTCCCGGCGATGCTATTCCGGAAGGTCTTGTCCTAGATGAAACTGAAGGGTATCGATATCAGGACAAAATGTCCTACAGTTATCTGTATGCGACACCCTCTGGATGAACCCACGCAACTGATAGAGTCAACACCGCGCAGCCGATCCTCCACGGAACTCCGCGGATCATACTCACAGCACACAGCACACGGCAAGCAAGGCGGGGATCGGCGAGGATGTGCTTGGGACTCAGCGCGTATGTGAACACGCCCAGATGTGAATCTCGGCGACCTCACCTATGTATTGGAGCGCATCTGGCAGCCGTCGACGGAAGGGGATCGCGAAGGCTACCAGGTACTACATGGTGGAGCACTACTATACGTAGTATCCTCCCTGCACGGGCACGAGCGTGCGATTCGCGGCCTCTCTCGGTTGCTCTGTGGCGAACTTGGTGATTGTTGCGTGCGTTTAGCGCGCCGTCGTTCAGTTCGACATGGTTGGCGCATTTCACGAATGCACCGTGGATCGTATAGTATACTAAAACCAAGTGCGTGGAATCCATCGTACCTTGATGCGACCTTGAACCAAGCAGCTCACTTTGCCTTTTCCTGCGATGCGGCTGCTCCTCGCGCTCGTGCTTTTCGCCGTCTACGCTGCAGAGGCGAGTCCGTTCCTCTTCGTGGGCAGTAAAACCAACGCGGCCGTTCCGTCGCCGATCGGCCTCACGATCTACAGCAACTCGAACGGCCACCTGCGCGAAGTGCTGCACCAGTCGAACGTCACGACGGGCAACCAGCCGACGTACTTGGCCGTGACGCAAGACCGCCGGTTCTTGTACATGACTAACGAAGTGGACGTCGGCCATGTCGCATCGTTCAAGATCGACGATGCCGGGACGTCGCTGACGCTGACGCCGCTTGGCCTCGCACCGACCGCGTCACACGGCCCCGTGCACATTGCGCCGACCAAAAGCGGGTGGTTTGTCTTGGTTGCGAGCTACAACGTTGGCAGCGTCACGGTATACACTGCTTCGATCCTAGTACATCGTTGTTGACGTCGGCGGGATGTATGTATAGGTGATGCAGGTCGACGCCAATGGGTTGGCGGACCGTATTGCCCACCAAGTGGTGTTTTCGGGGGGTAGCCACGTCGTGCCTGGCCGCCAGGACGGACCCCACGCGCACTGCGTCGCCTTGAGCCCCAACGACGATTTCGTGTACGTCAACGCTTGTGACGCGGCTCGTAGAAAGATGACGTAGGTTCGTCACGGACCTCGGGAACGACCGCGTCATGCAGTTTGCCTTTGACGCGACGACGGGTCACCTCACGCCGAACGCTGTACCCTTTGTAGACGTGGGTCCGGGCACGCTGCCACGTCACATGGCGTTTCACCCGAACGGAGAGTCCCTCTACTTGACGACCGAGGCGTCCAACGAGCTTAAAAAGTACGCCTTTGATGCGGTGACGGGCACGCTCACGCTGACAGCGTCCGTGACAACGACGCGCGCCACCGGTGTTCTCACGGGTGCGATCCACGTCACGTCCAGCGGCCGGTTCGTGCTCGTCTCCAACCGGTACGGCGCCCCGGCGTCCGACGACAGCATCGTCGTCTACGACACCGAGACCCTCGCGCACGTCGGCACATATCGCACATCGACGTGGGGTGGTCCGCGCGACTTTACCATCACGGACGATGACTTTGTGTACGTCACCAACGAAAACACCAACTCGATCGACACGTTCCAGCTCATGCCCGACGGCGAGCTGCGGCATTTGCCGCTCTCGCAGCCGCGTCCCTTCCACCCTCAAGTGATTGTACCCTTTTAACTCAACGACTGTACGTGGACCAAGCGTTTCGTCGTTGGCGTGTTAATGTATCGCATTGGTTGGCGCAAAGCCCTTGGCCTGCGATGCAGCTACGTACAAGCTATCAAGGCCATAGCAATGAGTTCTTATGGCCAGAACCAGTTACTTCTGAGCTTGCAGCTTTGTGTTTTGTACAATCATGTCACTGTCTTGCCATCCATCGACCGGATTGCACTTGAACTCGACCACGATGACGATCGTTGCACAACGTGTGTTTACAAGGTGGCGGACTCGGCTGGTTTAGAGCGGTCTTGTGCATCGTGCGGTGGCAGCCATCTTCTAGTGCCCCAACATTGCTTTAGTAGTATGCCTGTACGATTATGTCCCTCGTTGCATCTTTGATGCTACCGAGACTGGCAAGAAGGGTTGGGTGCTATTAAATTAAGACGATCATGGCGGCGCGATCGGACCGTTGAGAATGTGGTCGAGTATCGAGGCGTACTTGTGGTCGTTCCCGCGCACAATGAGGGACGTGAGGTAGTTGAGGGCGTCGTTGAATCCGCGTAGGATGTGCGAAATACGATAGCAGTTGCGACCGACGTTGTTGGGCGCGTGCAGCGGGTCTTGAATGTACAGAGTCGTCCACGGCTCACTACGCAACACGCGACATCGTACCACGTCCATTGGCGGGTGACGCACCTTTGTCCAATCCACAAGAGGACAGTGACGACGTCGACCTCGGGCTGGAAGTCATTGCCGTAGTACTGCAAGACGTCCATGAAGAGTTTTCCGAGGTTGGGCGAAGCACCGTCGCTGCACACGCGTGACGTGATCGCCCGACCGATCTGCACGCCACGCGACTGCTGCCACGGTACGATAGCGCCTTGCACGTCCGCATCGGACTCGTCGGGCACGGCCTCGGCTTTCGGCTCGTCCAACAACATCACGTGGGCCACCATGAGCAGCTACGTGATCACCATCGACAACTTGGCCAAACAAACGTGCGACACGTACCAAGCCGTACGACGAGAGGCCCCCGCGGTACACGTCGTTCATACCGCGCTTGCTCAAAAAGTACTTAAGTACGAGCGTCACTTCGCGCAAGCCAGGCAAGTCGGCGCACAGCTGACGCGACAGCGCCGCACTCGCGAGGCCGTAGTGCTGCAGGTTCCAAAACGTGATGTCGAGCGGCACGTGGATGACGTGATCCGCGTCCTCCGCGTGGAGCTCGACGAGGACCTTGACGAGCGGAATCGCGGCGTGTGGAATGGCCTGGATGTTTGTAAACACAATGCGTTCGCTGCCGTTGCGGATCAAGACGTCGGCAAGCACTTCGACATCAAATTGGGGCACCGGCGGCACGGGCGCGTCCCCAAAGTAGCCAATGACGACGTCGACGTCACTCGACGGGCCGTTGAGCTGCGTGGCAAACGATCCATACGGTTCCACGCAAACGTTGGGCCACACGAGCTGCGCAATGGCACAGAGACGCGACAGAACGCAGGCGACCGCGGTCGCATCGACGGGCGACGCCGTGTAGTCGGCGAAGGCGACGATCTCCGAGTGCAGTCGCATCTGCAAAGCGCCGGCTTGCTCCGTGTAGAGTCGCTGGAGCTCCGAGAGTGGCCACGGCTTGGTCTCGTGCATGCGGCGAAGCCGCTCGTCCTCGCTGGCTTGGATCACGACTTCGCGTTTGTTCATGCGCTCTTCGTACTCAGCCTCGGGCGTCCGAACGACGCTGCAGACCAAGAGGTGCTCGGCGACTGCATCCCGAGAGCACACGGCCTTGCACCCAAGGATTGCGTTCGGGCACACAATGTCGTACGAGTCGAGGTCCATGGGTTCGGCGACGGTCGTGTCGGGCACTTGTCGATAGGGACAGTCCCGCAGATGCTCCTCGACGTGGCGCAGCATGCAGCTGTAGCTGCAGCCAAACCAGCTGTGGGGACACACCACTTCGTAGTCGAGAAAGGACGGCGAGATCGTCGCTTGGAACCACGCTGTGTTTTGCATGGCCTCGAGAAACATGTTGGCCGTGCGCGACTGCTGCTCCGCCTCGATGGCCCGCATCGCCCACGACTGGCGCCGGAGCCGCTCGACGTCTTCGGCGAGCTGGATCTCGGCAAGAAGACCGAGGCGGCGTGCGCGCTCCTTCTCGGCGGCCTCAATCGCCCATTGGACCCAGTACGCACGGGTCGCGGCTTCGACCTCGAGACTCGACGGTGGCGATATGCTCTGCGGTGATCCAGCTGCTGGACGCAGTGGTGGCGACTTGGTCGGCGAAAATGGCTTGGCCGAGGCGCAGAGCTTGGATCGCGTCGGCGACGACGGGGCCTCCCCAGGGCGGACGACGACCGATGGCGCCGGACTCGCGCCGGCTACTTCGCCATCGTCGTCCTTCTTCTTGTTGCGGTTCTTTGGTCGGCGCTTCCGCGGGCCCGAGTGGCCGCGCGCCTTGGGCTTTGGCTCGTCGTTCTCCATCCCACCGCGAGTGTGCAAGAACACGTGACATACGTTATGGTGACTGCCTAAAATCACCCAACCCATCATTACCAAACCGTCCGTCTTCTGCCGTGCGCCTCGTAAAAACACCCAACCCCACGCACAGGCTTGCTGTTTCTTTGTCTGTTCTATTACCCGAGGCGGCCTCTTGCCGCGCCTGCGCCGACATCCGTCCATGGACCCTCGATGTCCAGGGACAAGTGGCGTGTGTTTATCCAAAAGAATGCGGGTCGTCACATTCGCCTGATCGTTCTGCAACCACCTGCTGTGCACAGATTTTGTCCATCCAACTGCGTACAATACAACATACAAGGCGACGCGTCGAATAGAAATGTATGGCACTAAAAGATGTTGTTGCGGGGGAGCGGCCGCCCAATCTTGTCAGGGCTGAGCTTGGCGACGACCTTGGTGCTCACATGGTCGTCGTCGAGCTTGCGCAGGATGACAGCGTTGAGCGATTTTTCCCGCGCGTCCATGGCCTTGAGCACCGATGTTTTTTTGCCTTTTTGCTCGGACATTTGCTGCAGAAGGAGCGCTTGGTACTCCTTGTTGCGCACCTTGGCAATGTCCTAGCACACGCGCATGCTGCAACCCGTCATGATGATGCGAGAAGGACGCACGAGCTTGTGCCTTGTCTCTCGTTGCGCAGCCTCGCCCTCATCTTTGCACTTTCGCGAGTACTCTAGCTCTTCGAGATGCTACACAGCCACCAGCTGACTCCATCGACGAGCCAAGCCGATGTTTCTACCTGCTGCTGCTTTTTCTGGACCTTGAGGTCGTGCTGGAACGTGAGATACTGGCTGCGGTCCATCGCCTCTTGCTTGCGTTCGCGCATCTCGCGCATCTCACGCTCGACGTCGGTCTCGAGCTTCTGGCGTTGGTACATTTCAGCGCGCCGGTCGTCCTCGAGCGCCTTTTGCTGCAATTGCTCGTGAATCGTGATGGCACCGCCCTTATCGAGGCGGTCTTGGCGCTGCAGCTTGTGCTGGAGGGCTTTGACGCGGTCGGCCTCCTCCTTCTCCAGCTTCCGAGCGTACTCGTCCATCATCTTGACGTCCTGAAGCATATCGAGCTGCTTGGCCTTGTCCTTGGCCTCTTTCACGAGGCTGTTTTCCTTCAACAGTGCGTGCATGCGCGCGTGCTGGGCGCGCTTCCGCTCCAGCGCCTCTTCCTCGACGCGCCGCAGCTCGCGTTGGCAGCGCTCGACCTCGAGCGCTTCTTCGTGCTGCTTCTTGCGCTCGAGCTCGAGCTGCCGGAGCTTGGCGTCGCGCAGCTGCTGGTCACGCTCCATGCGAATGTGGTCGACCGCGTCCTTGACCTTGCGCGACTTGGTCACTTCGTCCGTCTTCCACTTGTCATAGCCCGAGACTGCAAAATCCAAATTGGTACACTTCGAGTGGTTGTAAAGGCGTACCTTGCTCTTTGAACAAAAGCTGCTTGTCGCGCCGGGCCTCTTCAAGCTTGCGCTCCTTCTCGCGCTTCTGGGCATCCAGCCACTCGCGCTGCTGCACCGTCTTGGTGTGCTTCTTCTTCAGGTTGTTGACTTCCGACTCTTCGAACTCGACGCTACACGCTTTGCTTGACATGGAAGCAAAAGAGAGAGCAGGTGTAGTACATGTTGAGGGCGTTGATGAGGACCCATTCGTCGGTCGTCTTGAGGTCGACCTCGGGCGACTTCTTTGGCTCGCCGCGCTGGCTCGTGCGCGGGCGAAATTCGGCGACCTTGGAGTCGAGCGCGTCTTGTGGCGCGGGACGCCGCTGCTTGAGCTCCTCGATGTGGCGCTCCTTTCGCCCACGCTCGTCATAGAGCTTCTTGACTGTCTTCTCCAGCGCCGCGATGTCGGCCTCGATGAGCTTGGACGCGCTGCGCACGAGCTTGGCCACCAGCGACACGATGACGCGGCCAAAGTCGGCGTCGTCCAGCGCGTACTTTTTCACGAGCTTGGCGACAAGCACTTCTTCAAGGGCCGCCCGCTTGTCGCTCTTGACCGACTCCTGCACAACATGTTGGTATCGCATTGTATCCAGCATGAAGTTAATGCTTCGTACGCGCTGCAGGATCGCCTCGGCCTTCTCGCGCCGCGTCGACGTCGACTAGCAGCAGCACGACCTTAGCGATCGCGCACACACGCTTAGTTCGTACCATCGGCGCCGTGTGGCCACCGTCTTTTCGCCGGGCGCTGAGGTTCATGTGGACGCGTCCGGGCGGAAGGGTGCGCCCGCGAGGTGGAGTTGCGACTATCTATCTATAGCTGCAAGGCTGCGGCAGCTATCTTTAGCAAAGCGGTTGCAGCGGCGTTGCCGACAACGTCAAGAACGAGACGCTCGATACGTTGAAGCGCATCAGTCACGACGCTCGAACAGGGGGTGCTGCCCTTGGCTCTTGCTGGATCAACAACAATAAGATCCAAGTCTGGCAAGTCGGCCAATGAGACTGGACGTAGAAAGGTCTCTGTCCATAGAATCGGGTCCACTTTGCTAGCTACACCAAAGGACAGCTACGTCGTGGAGGCCACACGCATGCTGCATTCCTGCTGCGCGTCCTGCTATGGGTAGTGTGCTACTGGTACTGTACCGGTCGGTAGCTGCGGCCACGGTGGCGCCAAAGGCGGCGTGTCGCGTATTCCGGATACGAGACGAAAATGCCGGATACGCCACGCTAAGGTTGCCACCGTCCGTTTGAAAGGCCAACATCTTGCATCTTGAGCAGCATGGACGTGGCATCGCGGAACAAGAGCCTTCGCGTCGGCGTGCTTGGCGCGGGTCGCATCGGGCGCATCCACACGCAAATCCTCACGCGCCTAGGCGTGACGGTCGTCGCGGTATGCGCTACTTGGTCAGTCTCAGGGAACATGCATCGACCTTGACAACTAGATCGCGGACCCGAGTGACGAGCGCGGCGAGAGCTTGGCCCGCGAATTCGGTGTCGCCAAGGTGACCAAGAACCCGGACGACATCTTCAACGACCCGACGATCCACGCGGTCTTGATCTGCTCGCCGACGGACCAGCACGCGCAGCAGATCCACCAGGCGGCCGCGCACAAGAAGCACATCTTTTGCGAGAAACCGATTGCGCTCGACTTGGCGGTCGTCGACGCAGCCGTGCACGCGGTACATCCACGCTTTTTCCGCCACCACGTCCATGACCCAAGCATAAATAGGTCGAAGCCGCCGGCGTCAAGATGATGGTCGGCTTCAACCGCCGCTTCGATGCCAACTTTAAGCGCATTCGCCAAGCGGTTCTGCAAGACGAGATTGGTGCCATTGGCATGGTACACTTCACTGTCGTCGCATTAGCCTTGCGGCTGACAAGGTACTTGTCGTCAGGTGCGCATCACGAGCCGCGATCCGAGCGCGCCGCCCGTCAGCTACATCAAGGTCTCGGGCGGGATCTTTTGCGACATGACGATCCACGATTTCGACATGGCGCGCTTCCTCGTCGGCGCCGAGGTCGACCAAGTGTTTGTAATGGCGCAGGCGCGCGATCCCGAGATTGGCGCTGCGGGCGATGTGGACACGGCGGTCGTCTGCCTCCGCTTTGAGAATGGCGTGCTCGGGTACATTGAAAACAGCCGCGTCGCTGCGTACGGCTACGACCAGCGCGTCGAGATCCTCGGCTCCAAGGGCGCCGTCTCGTGCGAGAACAACTACCCCAACACCGTACGCTTCCGCTACAATACGTTCTTATGCAATACTACGGCTGCAGGTGACGATCTCGAACGGCACGTCGATCGCGCGGGACCTGCCGCTGCATTTCTTCATCGACCGCTACATGGAGGCGTACAAGAACGAACTCGCGGCGTTTGTCGAGATTTGCTTGAACAAGGAGGCCGTCGCGCCTGTCTCGGGCCACGACGGTCGCCAAGCGCTCAAGCTCGGCCTCGCGGCGACGCTCTCCATGAAGGAGAACCGTCCCGTGCGCCTGAGCGAGTTTGACTCGCCCCGCATGGTAGGTCGCTTGTAAATTCCACCCATGCACAAGAAATAGAGTTGGTTTCCTGCCGTGTAGTGACCGCGTCGTCGTCGTCGTCGTCTGTCTCTGGCATACCCGTTTCAGCGTCTCGAGCTTAAAATAAAGGCCGCCAAATACCGTTTTCGACGCACAAAACGAATGCGATTGCGACGGCTTCTTGGGCTCTTCGTGGTCCCCCTCGCGGTGGCGCCGTCGCGGCTGCCGCTGCCACAATTCCGCCTCGAGGATCTTGTCGCGTACCGTAGTGAGATGCTACTGGCCTGCGGCTGCAGCGTCAACGGACTCGCGGCCCGCGTGCTGGCGCTGGCGCGGGACGGCGATCTGCGCTGGTCGGTCGAGATACCGTCGACGATCGCGCACACGCACGACGCGTGCGCCACGAGTCTCGTGGTCGCGAGCGATGGGAGTATTTACACCACGGGCTACCACGCCAACGCGACGCAAACGACCTTGTTTGTCGCGAAGCTCTCTCTCGCTGGCGCCGTCACGTGGGTTCGGCGGTTCGGGGACGAGGGCAAGCACCATGGGCTCGGCGTGACGGTCACGCTGGATGGCAGCAGGCTCTACGTCGTGGGCACATCGAACGGGATCCTGGCGCGCGATCGCACGCATGGAGACGACATGGTCGTATTGCAGCTGCGAGCTAGCGACGGCGACACTGTGTGGGCACGGCTACTCGACTCGGACAACCACGGGGACGACCAAGCGTTCAGTGTTCGCGTCGACGCGGCGGGGCATGTTTACCTCGTCGGTCAAACCAACGGCCGCTTTGAGACGACCGGTATTTCTTCATGGCTTTGATCGTCGCGAGGAGGCTGATGCGACGTGCGCAGACAGCGGCGCAGTGGGCGATGCACTCCACGACGGCGACCTCGTCGTGCTTTCTTTGGACACCCACGGCCGCCGCGTACGACTCTTCTTTGCATAGTACGGACGCTGGTCTCACGCAGTAGGGCGTAGCGCTGGACGCGACAACTGCACACGACCGACGCCGACGGGTGCAGTGACGACGTGATCTACGACCCACAACAAAGCCATCGCCGTTGCGGCCTTGCAATGACCGCATCGACCGTCCTTGTCGTGGGTTCGACCGCCGGCACGGCCTTCTTACACCCGATGCAGTGGCCGCCCGACGACCAATCGACGCCGTGCACCTCTCCGCGCTGCCTTAACACAGTACTGGTGCAGCTACACCTTGAAAATGGCGCGGTCGGCTGGACGAACCAACTGGTCTTGGACGACTTGAACGTTGGTCAACGCATCCTCGTCGAGATGGATGATACCGACACGGTCACGGTCGTTGGCACGTTGCGAGAGCGCGACGACGGCGATCAGCCGCATGGTCTACCGGCGCAGTTTGCCGCCGCGACGGGCACGCATCGGCGAGTCTGGACGACGGCTCCTGGCATCCATGTCGCGGCGGTGGGATGGACCCCGGGCACCTTTCTTGTCGGTGCCACGACGTTCAATGCCTCGTACCTCCAAGTGCGATCGACGCGCGATGTCACGATGACGCTTCCGTTCTGCACCAACCACGTGTCGTTTGCGGCCGCGGTGACGTACGTCTCGTCCAGCAACTGGACGGAATTGAACCCAATTGCGATTGCAATCCGTCGGCACACGGCGCCGCTCTGCCCCGCGTCGACCACGGTGCGCTACACGATCTCGTCCGCCGACGTCGGGCAACCGTTTACGCCGGCGTCGCCCCACAAGGCATTTGTCCCCGTCACGGGCGACGTGCGCCTCGATGCGCTCAACCCGACGATCTTCGTGCAGCTGGCGGCGAAGCCACCTTTGGATCTGCAACCAGCGTCGGCGTTGACCGTCACGCTGCACGCGAGTGACGACGGCAGCACAAGCGTTCAAGACCCAGCAACGCACATGATTGTGCTCCTGGGGACGCCAACTGCAGAACCAACGGCAGTACAGGTCCAGGGCGAGGCCCTCGTCGTGCTCTGCGTCGTTCTCTGTGTCTTTGGCGGCCTCGTACGGCGCGTCTGCGATGGCAGCTCCGGTCTCTTTAGCGGCGTGCAGTACCGCCACGTGGAAGAGGCGCCAGGAGAGCGCCACGTACCACTCAACCATCACTTGCAGCTGCTGCGTGGCGACGCCGCGGCCGTTGGTCACCATCCGAGCGTCCACGAAGGCCATGGGGCCGTTCGACCTGCCATGCTGGCGTCGCCGGGCCGGTCTGCCAAGCCCAAATGCAAGCGGGTATGCGTCGAAGATACATCATCATCATGTTCATGACCAACGACGTCTCTAGGCTCGGCGGTCGGCGCTGCTGCCGCAAGCATCGTCGCCACGGGCTACCAACGACTGAGACTTCGAGAAATTTCAACATGCGACCGTTCTCGTGCGATCCTTGGAATACAATGGCGCCAGTTTAATATACCTTGGCGTTTGTATGGACCGGAGTAAAAAACCGTTGCCTGGTCCCAAAGGCCTCTTGAACCCAGACTGGTATTTCGGATGCAAGAGAAGGAGCTCTGGACCAACCTCGTCGTCGCCGTCGTCTGCATCGCCATCATCCTGCTTCCGTCCGTCCTCTTCCGCGTCCCGAAGCACCTTGATCGCGTCCCAGCCCAGAAGAAGAAGCAGAAGACGTACGCCAAGCTCGAGTAGGTCCATCAAAAGACATATATGTCGTCGAGCGTGTGGGAAGGCGCTGTCGCGGGCGCGGTCGCGGGTGGCGCGACGCGGGTCCTCGCCGCGCCTCTGGATCTGCTCAAGATCCGCTTCCAAGTCCACGCTGCGCCATCAACGCCACACGATCTCGGCACGCGCCTGCTCCGCGCCGTGGCCCACATTTACGGCGAAGAGGGCGTCCGCACCTTCTGGCGCGGCAACGTTGCCGCCACGGGCCTCTGGGTCTCGTACGCTGCGATTCAATTCGCGTGCTACCAAGCACTTCAAAACTCGGTCGTACGCCACGACCATACGCTGTCGTGGGTCTGGTACAGCGGCAGCGGCGCGATCGCCGGCGTTGTTGCGACCGTGGCCACGTACCCGCTCGACCTCTGTCGAACGGTCCTCGCCAGCCAAGGCGTCCCCAAAGTCTTTCCCAACATGCGGTCGTTTGCGAGGTACGAAACACGACGCAATGAAACTGCAAAGTCATGGAAGTGGTGTGCATTGTGTAGCCACATGTATGCGAACCAGGGCCCGCGCGGCTTCTTTCAAGGTCTAAGCCCGACCGTGCTCCAGATCGCGCCGTACATGGGCCTCAGCTTTGGCATCTACTCGACGCTCGCCGACCTCTCGACGACGCATCCGGTATTGCATGCCATTGGAAACGGTGCCATTGCAGGGTTTGTATCCAAGCTCATTGTGTACCCGCTCGACACGGTCAAGAAGCGCATGCAGATGCAGGGCATTCCACGCCCGGCCGCGTACGGCGCATCGATCCCGAGGTACGCCTCGTCTTGGCGTTGCGGCCTCGACATTGTGCGACGTGAAGGGATCGCGGGCCTGTACAAGGGCACGGTGCCTAGCTTGATAAAGTCGGGTGTCACCCACAGCTGCACGTTTACAGTCTACGAAGCCACCGTATCGGTCCTTCGGCGCCTCGACGCTGCATAGCCACCGCGAATTCGTGTTATACATAGTAGATTCGTATTGATGTGATGGGTCTAGCTCTATCCTGACGGGCTCGTCTTTGCGTGGACGGTCTCGAGGTACGCAAACCGTTTTGCATCGGATACGAGCCGCTCAATGGTCATCTGCTTGACCTCGGCGAGGAGGAAGCGGCGGACTTGCTCGGGATTCTCTGCGGCCTTGAGCAGCTGGGCCATCGACGTGCCGATCGAGCCCGTGCTCGAGGCCGAGCTCGCACTGAGACCCGAAGAGGCCATCGATGCGGACGTTGCGACGGTTGATGGGACTGGTTTGGCCCCGCGCTTTGGGTTGCCATGGAGTGGCACGTTGGTGCGGTACTGAAGCTTGAGCTTCGTTGTGGGCGCCGACGGCGACCCAAGGCCAAACTTGTTCGTCTTTCGCCCCATCTTCTTGACGACCTGCGCGCTATTCGATGCGAGCGTGATCTTGAGCGGCGGGTCCTCCAAGTGCGTCGGCGCGGGCGGTGGTTGCTTCTTGGAGGTCGTCGCCATGTCGGTTTGGCTCTTGCGCCGGAGGTGGAAGCCGCCATGGTTCTCGGCCAGCTTACGCTCCGTCGAGTCGTCCCATAAGATGTTCTCGTCTTCGTCCGCGTCGTCCTCCTCCGCCCACTGCGAGAGCTTGCTCATCGTCCCCGGCGGCGGTTCCCGATCTTTCGAACCTGCCCAACGCCAGCGCCAGGGTCATCCGGATGGTATCCGGATTTGCTGCCAGCCGTTGCTGCCACGGATGCCTTCGTTGCTGCCCACAGACCCGACGTCTGTCCATGTCGGACAGCCTCGCCGACCCAGCTCGCCTGCCTGGTCCTCGCACGACGAAGTACAGCGCCGTGAGCTGACGATGTCGCTGGCGTCATCGCGGGGCACTGCACTCAGATGGTGCCACAGCAGCGAAATGGCACTTTTGGATTGATGCTTTTTGATGCGGCGACGCGAGTCACACCCTGGCGGCCGTGCGCAGCAACCAACTTCAAGCAGCCGACGATGGCGATCTATCATCGATGCACTGGTCCGTCCTTCTTCTTCGAAGCAAGGCTGTCGTATATTAAATAATGCATCTCGGTCGGGGTCGGGGCTGGTTACTGCTACGGCTTCGCGGGCGGTGACACGATGCCACGTCGGACCGACGGGCTCTGACGCCGATGGTGGTGGTGGTGGTGCGACGGCGGCGGGACGCCGTCGCTGCTCTTAGGCGCGCCGTCTTGGCTGCGTGGCGCGCGCTTGCGCTCCGCATGGTGCGGCGGGCGCGGGTCAATACTCCGCGCCGTGAACCCTTGGTTGTACGCAAACTCGTCCGACTTGGAGACGCGGTCGCGGCGGTGGTACGCCGCGGGGCTCGAGTTGACGAGGTGCGACGCAACGCTGCTTGGCATGCCGCGCTGGCGCCGCTCGACTTGCACAAGCGGCTCGGGACTGCCTCGTGCCTCAGGCAAGAAGGCCGTCGGGTCCGAGTTGCGATGCGCTAGGCGCGGCCGGGCCTCGTCGAGCAGGACGAGAAACGGGTCGTCTTCATCGACAGACGCCGCCTTGAGCAGCTGGGACCGCGGTGCGTCGACCGAGAGGCGCGAGAGGAGCGCGTTGTCGGACGCGGCCGTCTTGAGATGGGCCGCCCGCGTTGTCGAGGCCGACCGACGCATCGAGTTGACGGCCGACGCCGACGCCGTGAGCCGCGCGTCCGTCGTGCTGGCGTTGGCCTTGGCCTTGGGCGCGCACTTGACGCACGACCGCACGTCCTTTTGCTCGCGGACGTGGGCGTCTTTTGCAACGGCCACGGACGTCGTGAACGAGCACTTGGAGCAGACGGCGTTGCCGCAGAGGCGGCAGTGGTGGCGCCGGCGGAAGAACCGGAACGACTTGAAGCACACAAAGCAGTACTCGTTGTACGACCAGAGCGACGAGGGCACGAGGCTCACGAGCTCGGACGGATTCGCAAACGCATGCAGATTCGCCACGAGCTGCGTGGTCCACTCGGGCACATACGGCTCGCGGAACGAGACGAGCAGCGAGATGCGACAACGCGCGACGTGGGGCGTGCGCTCGAGCACGAACCCGCTCTTGTACAGATGCAGGCGCCGGCAGCCCGTGTCGACTTCGCGGAACGACGCGAGGTTCGGGAACGAGTCCCACGTCAGCGTGCCGACGTCCGGAAGCGCATGGCCTGTGTGCGTAACGTAGTCGCCGTCGCGCACGCTGTAGAGATTGGTCTTGGAGGCAAACACCATGTCGAACGGCTGCAGCTTGGGCTGCGACGGGTCCTCAAAGAGCGAGAGCCAATGCACGCGGACGCGGTCGGTCGAGATGGTGCTGCTGGACGGGCGGTCCGTGGCCGACGACGGGAGCTCGGCGAGCGTCATGTTGATGCCATGGCAGAAGAAGGGGCCGAAGAGGTCGTACATGAATTTCTTGAACTCGAGGCTGCTCTCGCTGCGCTTCTCGAGCTTGGCGAGGTTGTCGAGAAGGAGGCCATCGATGGTCGTCGAGCCTTTGACGACGAGCGTGCCCTCGATGGGGCACACGCCTTCGTAGACCTGCACGCGGCCGACTTCGCGCGTCAAGACGAGCGGCGGCGGCGAGAGGAGCGCGCTGGATTTGGCGTTGAGCGCGGCGGCGTACCGGCGCTGCTGGTCGATCGAGATGGCGTCCGAGCGCGCCATCTTGTGCAGGCGCTTGGCGTACTCGGACTGCGGGTTGGTCATGCCCTTCGGGCGCCCGCTGCTGTTGGGCATCGCAATCAATTGCCGAATGCTACAACGCTAGCCATCTGTGCGATTCGTACAAGCGTAGCATATGGTCCAAGCATGAGTATATTAAAAACAGGCCGTGACACCCGGCCGAACAACCCAGAAGAGAGAGCCGGCGCCGGCGTAGCCACTCGACGCGGCTTGCTTGTCAGAGCACGATGTCGCCGGTCCCACCGCTGTGCATGATTATTCAGGACAATTAGACGCTGGGGCAGTCGTCGTCTTTCTTTCTGCTGCTTGATAGTAATCCGACACAGCCTCTTCTTCTCCACGACTCTTCAAGCGACGCCAACGGAAGCCGCTGGCCTGTCGTACCGGGTGCGCTGGGTACCGGTACCGAGACTGGTGGTACAAAGAGCAGGACGGTGCAGTGGATACGACAGAGACGCCGACACAGGGTCAAGTCCAGCGGCTACATCACTATATAACTCTATGGATTCTGTTGCCTGGGATCTCACGCGTCCATCGACGAGGCCAGTGCCGGGGCAGATGAGTGCTGCATTTCTACTTGCAACATAACGCTCTTCCGTCAGAACTACAACACTGTACAACGACCTCTTGGTGGCAACCTTGACTTGACGCACGTCTCTTCTCGGGCAGCTGTCATACAAGCATGGTAGAGAGCTACTCCTATGACGCCTTCGAACGTGTTCGTAAGTTGGTTGTTCGGGCTAGGGATGCCTCGAGTCGACTAAGCTTCCGACTATAGTCGAGGAGTGCAATAGAACTGGGCGCTGGCCCAAAATGTTTCGTCAAATTTAAACGCTGTGCGACAAACTCAAACTCAAATGCGTTGGAATCCTTCTTTTTTTAAATCGACTTGGTTTTTGTAAGCTCTGGCAACTCAATCGGGTTCAGAAACACGACGAGTAGTTTCGGGCCGCATTCCGTGCAACGCGTCAAAGCACTCTACCGACGGCCGCGGGTTCGCATTAGCATGACCGAGGACCCGCTGCGCGTGCAAGTGAACGTGGAGCCGACGTCGCCGTACCAGATGGTGCTGTCGCCGCATCAGTCGCCGATCGACGACGCCGAGGCCTTCCGCACGGTCCATCTCAACGACGCACCGGCGAACGCAAGCTACCGGTACTGCAGCAACACGATCGTGACGTCGCGCTACACGCCGCTCAACTTTCTGCCCAAGATCCTTTGGTACGAGTTCAGCAAGCTCGCCAACTTTTACTTCCTCGTCATCTCGGTCATGCAATGCATCAAGCCGATCTCCAATACGGGCGGCTTTCCGGCCTCGCTGCCCGCGCTCATTGTCATTGTAACCATCGACATGGCCTTCGCCGCCATGGAAGACTACCGCCGCCACGTCGCCGACGACACGACGAACTTTGCGCCCGTGCAACGCTACAACCGTTCGAAGATGGCGTTTGAAGGCTGCACGTCGGAAGAGATTCGCGTCGGCGATATCATCAAGGTCCTGCCTCCGTGATACCATCCACCCATACTCATGGCGTGCATATAGGTGTGCAACCGCGAAGTGATCCCGGCGGATGTTGTGATTCTCGGCGCGTTTGAACCCGACCCGGCCCGCCCCGCGGGCATTTGCTACGTCGAGACCAAGAGCTTGGACGGCGAGACGAACCTCAAGCTCCGGCAGGGCCTCGAGTGCACGTACACAACGGTTCAGGACGACTCGCACCTTGCCGACCTCGAAGGCCGCGTGGTACGCGCATGCATGAGCGTCCTCGGTCTTGAACAACTCGATGTCGTAGCTCTGCGAGCAGCCCAACAACTCGATCCATCGCTTCAGTGGCACGCTCACGCTCCGCAACGGAGTGCAAGAGACCATCGGCGCCAACGCCATCTTGCTGCGCGGCTGCACGTTGCGCAACACCGAGTACATTTACGGCCTCGTCGTCAACACGGGTCCCGACACGAAAATCATGATGGCGTCACAGGTTGTCTTGTGCATCTCTCGACCGCATGTATCTTACATGCTGCTTGGTGTAGAATAAGAAGACGGTCAAGTGGAGCAACATGGAGCGGCGGCTCAACACTCAGATCCTCTACATCTGCGGGCTCATGGTGGTGCTCTGTCTCTGTGGCGCCATCGGTGCCACGGTCTGGAACCGCCGGTACCTCTCCAACAAGCCCAACGACAAGGCGTGGTACATTCATTCGCGGCCTCGACGCTCCGACGTGGCTCAGACATACGATGGATATTAGGTACCTCTTCTTTTCGTCGCGGGACGTGACGGTCGCCAACCCGGTCGCCAACTTTTTTCTGCTCTTTCTGTACTTTTTCCTGCTCCTCAACTCGTTCATTCCAGTCTCGCTCTACGTGAGTATGACGAGCGTCAAGTTTGTCCAAGCCTACTTTATGAACCACGACCTCAAGATGTACCACGCCGAGTCGGACACGCCGTGCCAAGTGCGCACGATGTCGCTCAACGAGGAGCTCGGCCAAGTCGACTACGTCTTCTCCGACAAGACGGGGACGCTCACTTGCAACGTCATGGAGTTCCGCAAATGCTCGATCCGCGGCGTCGCGTACGGGCTCGGCGACACGGAGGTCGGGCTCGCGGCCAAGCGCCGCCAAGGCAAGTGCGACGAGACGACCGTCGACTTGAGCCAGCATCGGTCGGTCACGGCACCGTTCGTCAACTTTCAGGACGACGCGCTCTTTGTCGCGGACCCGGAGACGCTTGCGCCGTTTTTTGAGCACCTCGCGGTGTGTCACACGGTCATGCCCGAGACCAGCGCGGACGGATCGCTTCGGCTGTCGGCGTCGTCGCCCGACGAGCAGGCGCTCGTGGCGGCGGCCGCCTGCTTTGGCTTCAAGTTCTTTGCGCGTGCGCCGGGCGAGGCGGTGATCGAGAAGCTCGACTACCTGGGCGGAGACTCGGATGCGTCACGCGGCGTCGTGACGTACAAAGTCCTCGACGTCCTCGAGTTCAACTCGACGCGGAAGCGCATGTCGGTCATCGCGCGTGGTCCCAACGGCCAGCTCGTGCTCCTCTGCAAGGGTGCCGACACGGTCATTTACGAACGCCTCTCGGTGCGACATTGCTTGTCCACATGCACAAAATGGACACGTTGACGGATTAGGAAACGACGAGTGCGGCGGTCGCCCTTGTGCGCCAGAAGACCTTGGAGCACATGGAGATGTTTGCTTCGGAAGGACTTCGGACACTTGTGATTGCATCGGCGCCGATCGACGAAGCGTTCTACGCCGAGTGGTAGGACGCTGTCTACCGATATGGAGTTATCGAGGACGACGACTAGGTCGGTCAAGTACCGCGCCGCCTGCAACGACATGCGCGAAATCGAGCGGCGGCGGGAAGGCGAGCCGAACGCAATCGATCTGCTCATGGAAGAGATGGAGATGGACCTCGAGATTCTCGGCGCGACGGCCATCGAAGACAAGCTCCAGGAAGGTGTCCCGGACACGATCGCCAAGCTGCGCGAAGCCGCCATCAAGGTGTGGATGCTCACCGGCGACAAGCAAGAAACCGCCATCAACATTGGCTTTGCGTGCCAGCTCTTGCACATGGAAATGGAGCTCGTCGTCATATGCGCCGACGACCATCCGGACATCTCGTCGATCCGCGCCAAGCTCGAAGAGTTCAGCCACGTCCCGGTGCTCGACGACGGCACGCCCGCGGAGCTTGGGCTCGTCATGGACGGCGAGACGCTCGAGCTGGCGCTCTTGCATTGTCCCCTCCTGCTCTTGGCGGTCGCGCAGCAGTGCGCGGCCGTGATTGCGTGCCGCGTTTCGCCAGCGCAGAAAGCGCAGCTCGTGCAACTCGTCAAGTCGAACGTGCCAACCGCCCGGACCTTGGCCATCGGCGACGGCGCCAACGACGTGAGCATGATCCTCTCGGCGCACATTGGCGTCGGCATCTCGGGCCAGGAAGGCATGCAAGCCGCCAACTCGAGCGACTATGCAATCGCGCAATTCCGGTTTCTGAAGCGACTGCTTTTTGTGCACGGCCGCTGGAACTACAACCGGATGTCGATCGTCATCCTGTACATCTTTTACAAGAACGTCATGATGAACCTGACGCAGTACTGGTACATGTTCTTCACGGGCTACTCGGGCCAGAAGTTCTTCCTCGAATGGGGCCTCCAAGGCTACAACCTCTTCTTCACGGCCCTTCCGATCGTGGTCGTTGGCGCGCTCGACCAAGACTTGCCCGACTACATTTGTGAAGGCTTTCCGCGCCTCTACCGCATGGGCCAGAGCAACACCAAGTTCAACACGCTCATCGTGTGGCGATGGATCCTCTCGTGCTTCTGGCAGTCGATGGTCATCTGCCTCTTCACGGTCTACGGCCTCCAGCTCGAACACTCGACGACGCCGATGTGGGTCTTTGGCGCGGCCGCGTTTACCATCGTCATCGTTGTCGTCACGCTCAAGCTCGCGTTGCATCAGTACCTCATCACGGGCTGGCACGTCGCCTTGTTTACTGTCTCGGCCGGTTTCTGGCCCGTCGTCGGCTTCATCGTATCGACCGGGACGTTTTCTTTGTACTGGCGCGGCGCCTTCCACGTGGTCATGTGCTCGCCGGGCTTTTGGCTGAGCTTCCCGCTCATCCTCTTTGCCGCGCTCTCGCGCGACTACTTTTGGAAGGGCTACCAGCGCGCGTTTTCGCCCACGTATACGCACTTGGCGCAGGAGGTCCACTGCTTCAAGTGGCACCAAATCGCGCACCAATTGCTCTCGTACCCGCCGCCGCCGCAGTTTTGCCTCGCGGAGCTCGAGCGGCTGCAGGCGGCGGCGTCGACGACCGAGAAGAACGACACGATGGACCAAGAGCTCCGCGGCGAAAAGAACATGGCGTCCTCGGCGTCGCCAGGCTTCAAGTCGACGTCGACGCGCCGCTTGCGCGGGACCGCGTTCAGCTATGACGCCGACTCAGTCATGGCCCAAGGCTTCATGGCCACGGACACGTCGCTCTCGAAGGCGCGCATCTCGTTCGATCGACATGCAAGCCGCGGCTCCATGGCGCTGCAAATGGACCTCGCAGCCCCGAGTGTCGACTCGCCCTATGAAGTGCAGCGGCAGGAGCGCGGACTCCCGCCCCGCGTTGCCCGGGCGCCGACCGTTGGCAACGTGTTCCAGCACGCGACTGGTCGCCGGACGCGCACACGCCGGGCGTCCTCGATGGAGGAATTGACCGCGCGCGAGCGGGAGGCCCTGCAGATGGTCCGGCGCTTTAGCGTCCGCACGAGCCTCCACGGTCCCCGCGGCGACTTTGCCTTTTGAACAGCACGAAATTGCATATAAAATAATAGACGACTAGATATTACAAGGGCGACGACACAAGCTTCTTCTAGGTGCGCGTACAGTCGAGCGTGCTGCTGCTTCTTACTTGTCGGCGTGGATGTCGAGCGAGAGCTGGTAGACCTTCATGGCCGTTCTTGCCCGCAGCAGCGAGACGACGCTCCCAATGAAGACAAAGAGGTAGAGCGCGGCCGCGAGAAAGATGTTGGCGGCCAAGGACGCCTTCTCGTGGCCGTGCGGCGGCTTGACTTTGATGTACATCGAGTTGGACGCGACCGTCGAGCCGAGGAAGAGGAGGAAGAAGAAGCCAAAGAGGCTAAAGACCGAGCAAAAGATCGCAATCGGGTGCGGTGACGGGCCCTTCGACGAGCCGACCGTGAGCATGTCTTCCCAGCCCTTGAGCTCGTCGACGTCCATGCCCGAGTCGCTGCCCGGCGACGTGTCGGCCGTGATGTGGCTCAGCTGCGCGTAGCCGAGGCGCGAGCGCGCAGTCGCGACCATGTCGGGCAGGTCCATCTCCTTGCACGCTTCCTTGAGCTTCATCATGTCCGGGCGACTTCGACTCGGCTCACTGCGTGGGTCTCCTATGGCGCTTCCCGTCCTCGCACTACAATGCGGAAATGTCGAAGTGGTGCAATTCGAACGAACGCAATTAGTGTGAGTGATGGGATTCGATTTTGGATCGTTTGGCGTGATGATACTGCGCACGAAGACGAGATGCTCGGATACGCTCGTGTCTTTCGAAGCGGAACGACGTCCCGCGTCGGCTGCCTGCACAAGCCCAAGCAGATAAGAAACACACCTGAAAAAAACTCATCTCTGGCCACCACCACTGTACTATCTGTGCAGTATGCAGCCCAATCAGCAATGCATGCCCGAACGCAGGAGCTCAAGACTCGGTGGATTCTTAAAAGCACCACAACGATGCACGTCTCACCTCGTTGTGCTGCGGATGAGGAACTAATAAGATCATGCAAAATGCAATATTGGGATCTTTGAAGGATGACGAACGACTGGCGAGATCCTATGCTCGCGATCGATAAAGCACCCACTGCCCGAGAGCAGCATCGAATGCGGTCTCGTTGGAATCGGAGCCACCGCGGCCTCCTTTGGAGCACTTCGGCAGCAGCACGGTGTCGACCTTAACCTCTTTCGTAAGCTAACACTATTTCTGTTCTATTGTGTGTTGCGCGCGACATTCACTCTGCATGGACCTGTATTTCTTTGGATAATACCTACACTCCACTTGGGAACTGTATGTAACATTCTTTTGTATGGATTTTATTTTCTGGTTCGCGCCGATTTACAATCGATTTCGTGGTGCTGTCTCATTGGTGTAGCGAACGACATACAAATATCAAGATACCACGATAGCCAATGAAACGTCGGCATCACAGCCGACACGTGGAGCGACGTGCGATGGCCCTTCCGAGCGCGGTCTGGGTCACCGTCTATGCGTTCCTGGATGGAGACAGCCTCGTGTACGTGGGCTGCGCCTCGAGGCAGCACCGAGAGAGGCTCCGGGCGCATGTCCGTCGCTGGAGGCAGATCCAGTGCGGGCTAGGCCTCGGCAGTTGGCTGCGACGCGAGGCATGCCTGACCATCGACACCTGCGCCCAAGAAGCACAGAGCCACGCCATTCGCCGCAGCGACGACGCTCGCGTGCCACCCCGCGTCGAAACGAGCTGGGTCGAGCTCGGACCTATTGCGCCGGAGCGATCACTCCACCGCATGACCACGCCGTGCTATGCCGGCGCGTCTATGATCGTGTTGACATTTGACTGCCGACACGTCCAGCCTGCACCGATGCTACTGCACACGACGAGTCATGCGCGAGCGCTCTACTCGTCGCTGTCTTTGTCTGTCCAAGGACGGTCGCTCCGGCAGCACGTGTACCACAAGACAATGGGCGACCTGACGACCGTCTCGGTGGCGGACAAGCACGCAATGACGACAGCGTGCGGCGTCTTTGTCCGTCTCGCGAGTACTGGCGGCGTCATTTTTGTACTCTAGGGGTGACGTCTATCAATGCGACGTCGCGTCGACCGACAAGTCGATTCAGCTGCAGCTTGGCCTCCCGTCTCGGCTCGACGGCATGGTCGACTGCTTCCACATCGAGCGCGTCACCTTTTTCTTGCACAAGCACGAACTCTTTCCCTCTGTACACCGCAGCGTCGAGGCTTCGTCCGACGTTGTGCTTGCCGAGGTGCGACCTCTAACCCATGACGTTTTGATGACCGTTCGTTGCGTGTAGCTGGCGTTCTTTGACGTCCGTCAGCGAACGTGTCAGCTGCGAGTGACGGTGCCGTGCCGCCTTGCACTCGAGGCCCCTGCGGCTCCATCGCCAGCCACCCGCAGCGTTCGTTTCACGACACGAGATGGTCATGCGCTTATACGCTAGTAGGCGGGGACCGACACCGAATCCTTTGAGATTCGAACCTTCTCCAGCCTTTCGCCCACACCCGTATCCAACGTCGCTGCGCTGGACACGCCGGGGTTGGTGAGCCTTGTGCTTCGAACGTCTCGTCGACGGAAGAGCTACTACCACGCAGTCTTTGGGCACGGTGGTGGCCAGCGCCGGACCGGCGCGACCAAGCTCATTTCAGCTTCGTGGGTGCCGGGTGTCTTGACTTATGCTATGCACCCGGGAAGTACGACCCGCCGCGTTCTCAAAGGCCGGTTCACGTGCGAGTACGCATCTGAGACAGGTCTACCGTCCTCGATGCTATCGTCGTCGTCGAACCGAACGGTGCGTAGGTGCGCTTGCATCGCTCCAGATCATTGCGCAGCACTTGCGACCAGAGCGGCTGGAGCGGTATGCAGCGACGCTGACGTCGTACACGGCATGATGATACAAAACGCATTGAGCTAACGTCGCTACAACTTGTGCTTGTGGATGCCAAGGAGCACGGTGCCGGTCGTAAATTTCTTCTTCGGGCCGCTCGTGGGCTTGAAGCTCTTCCGCTCGCGAATGCTGTCCGAGAGACCTTGGGTTGCAATCGCGACGGGGTTTCTTCGGTTCGGAAGCATCGCGCGGTTCACGACGCGCTCGTCGTACGGGTCGGGCAGCCGCTCCGGAAACTTGTCAAAGACACTACAAACAACTCTCACACGCCATTGCTGGGACATGCTGCGTCTACCCGGCCTCGCCGTCCTTCCCCGCGTGACTTGGTCGCCATGACTTGTACGTTGGCGCGTGCGCCACCGCCCGCTCCTTTGGGTTCATGAGCTCTTCCTTCTCGGGCGGGCGCTTCTTGCAGTCGTCGTCCCACTCAAACACACGGGACGCCGCGACGTGGTCGTTCGTGTCGAAGAAGTCGACGGGGTGCGAAATGGACTTGAACGCTTTGCGGTCCCCCAGCTTTTCCTTGTGTCGCTTCATCGCCTCCTAGCGCAGATATGATGCAAAGAGGATGGTATGGTGCTGTCATACCCGCTCTGCTTGGCGCACGGATTCGAACTCGGCGGGCATCGCTGGGATCACCTTGGCGCCGATAAGCGTGCCGGTGTAGCCCAGCGTCCCTTTTTTCGTCGGTGCCGTTAGCACGTTGCGTCGCTACAGGATCTCAAATGAGCTCACGCGACGACGACGACATCTACTTCAAAGCTGCGCTCTTTCGGGTTGGGTCGGGGTAGCGGTGGCGGCGGCTCGACGCTTTCTTGATTCTTCGGGTCATGGAACGAGCCAAAGTAGTCACCAGGTCCACAGCTACCAAGCATACGTTATGTTGTGTGGGCTTGTTGATCCTAGGACCTCTTCTTGGAGTGCGAAGAGTAGGTAAATCCGCTGGGCTTCAAGTGCTTTTTGGTGTTTTCCAGCCGCGCCTTGTTCTCTTCCTTGTAGCGTTCTTGGTATTGTCCCTAGAATCCAGACTTGAGAGCTGCGCAGCGATGGCAGCCACGTTGCGCACATCGAGCCCGATAAACTTGCGTGGACCGGGGCCCCAATTGGAGCCGGTTTGCCCGGGCTTGGGGCCCGTCGTGAGAAACTGCTTTCGCCCCGAGATGAAGTGGACTTTGGGCTCCGCGGGGTCCTTGTACGGGTCGCCGATCGTGACGAAGGCCGGCTCGTCAAAGTTGCCGTCGCGAGTCGTCATCCCCGTACCGAGTCCTCAAACGTAGTGTTTTCGAGATGGGCGCGCGCTACTTTTAGAAGGCGCGCGTTTGATTGGCCAACCAGAATAGCGTGTCAATTTCAAACACTGTCTGAGACACTGGGATGGATTCAAAACACTGTTTTGTCGGACGACGGCCAACGAGCAGTGTTGTGGGGCATCGTAAACATGCCTTCTTCCCCGACGCAATTCACACGTCCCCAATGTTGAGCCACTACATATACACTTGCACCAGTGTTGGACGTGGAGGCCTCGCAGATTGGCCCTTGTGCCCCGCCGCCCAAACCTCTGACAAAGGATACACTGTATAAATAAATATGTTGGCTGTGTTTAGGCCAACTGTGCTGGTCAACGTATAAAATCATTCCCGGTCGAGGAGCAGCAATGCCGGCGAGCGCTTCGCTGCGCCGTTGTACCTCAAGTACTGCAACGCCGGGTGCACATACGACGGGTCGCTTCGTGGATGGCGACCACTCGCTGCTGCTAAAAATCGCAACGCCAACCAAATTCTTTTCGAAGAAGATGCAATGTGTTTAAAACAGCTTCTAAGATGGCGCCATCTTCAAGTTGTGTTTGAAACACAGTGAGACATACGTTAATCAAGACGATGTGGCATCGGCGCCTGTTGAAAACAGTGAAACCAACGTGTGTTGACTTGACAGGCTGTTCTTTAACCCAGGTGGAACGATGTTCAACCTTCACATTGCCAGCGACAGTCCAGCACCTGCCGAGATGGCATCGCTCACGATTACACCGGCCAACCGCAGCAGCAACGTCGTGATCATGGACAAGGCCGAGTCTGCCGCGCCCGGGAAGGCCGTCGACGAGTTCCGCAACTACAAGGACAGCGACCGCCAGGCCGTCGTCGAGCGCCACTACCGCCTCATGCGGTCGCACCAGACCGTGGCCTTCCATGACAAGATGCAAGCGTACTGGGGTGCGTTTGACCGAGCTCAAATGACGGTGTGGGAGGCCTTCGAGTCGCTCAAAGGTGCGTAGCCTCTTGCCCCTGGCCACCGCTGTAGCCTCGTGAACTAGGCTACGTCGACTCGTCCGACCCCGACTCGTCGCTGCCCAACTTGGAGCACATGCTGCAGACGGCCGAGGCCATTCGTGCGGCGGGGCACCCCGACTGGTTCCAGCTCGTGGGCCTGCTCCACGACATGGGCAAGATCCAGTATCTTTGGGGCCAGCCCTGTGACGGCCAGCAGGGCACGGCCGATGGCGATCAGTGGGCTCTGGGCGGCGACACGTGGGTCGTGGGCTGTGCGATCCCTGACTCGACCGTGTTTCCGTATTTTAACGCGTTGAACCCAGACATGCAGAACCCCCAGTTCAACACGCCGAATGGCATCTACACGCCGGGCTGCGGCCTCGCGCACCTCAAATTCGCGTGGGGCCACGACGAGTACATGTACCAAATGCTCGTCTTCAACAAGGCGGCGATCCCGGAAGAAGGCCTCGCGATGATCCGGTACCACTCGTGCTATCCGTGGCACAACAAGGGCGAGTACCAGCAGTTCATGGCCGACGACGACTGGGACCTCCTCGAATGGGTCCTCGAATTCAACAAGTTTGACTTGTACACCAAGGCCGACAAGCGCCCGGACGTGACCGCGCTCTGGCCCTACTACCAGTCGCTCATCGACAAGTACCTTCCTGGAAAGCTTTGGTGGTAGATGATGATGCCCTTCCTTTCTTGCCTGCGGGCCAAAGTATTTTATGTGGCGTGCCCACTGCGGCTTTGTGTCTTGCCCGCAATCATGGCCCATGTCGTCGTCACGAGGTGCGACAGCATGGGCTCGGACGGCAGCAAGCAATAATGCGTGCGCAGCGACACGGTCGAAACTTCGGTTGTATTATCACGGCTGGGAATCACACGGACGCTCACTTCTTGGCGCCCGACTTATTTGCGCTCGCCTCCCGGCGCGCCGCGTCCTGTAGCAGCTCCGTGTCGACGTCGGCCTTGGCGATTTGAATGTAGCGCACGACCGAGCCGCGGATGAAGCAGTTCTTCATGTTCATCTAGATACATGATTGCTTGAGGCATTCGGCTGGAGGCAGGCGCGACGCACCAGCTGCGGGTACTTGTGCTCCTCGACGACCGTCACGTCGACGAGCTTGAAATTCAAGTACTGGTCCACCGAGTGGAGCGTGCCTACGAGCGCGACGTCGTTCTTGAGCTCGACGGCCACCTCCTTGCCCACGAGGGTCTTGAAGAACGAGTAGAAGAGCTACATCCGAGCGCATGAGCCGTCGGCCTCGGGCGCTGCCATGCTACGTACCATCGCGAATGTTGTTTGTGGTCGCCGGCCGCGGCGCCGGATACATATCCGGACGAGGTGGCATCTGCCACTTTTATAGGTCGAACGGCAAAGTCGCCAAGCAGCTTCGCCATGCCAGCTTGCTCACTGCGGATAATGCACGCTTCTTGTGATGGGTCCTATTCCAAGTTGTTGCTTTGACGAAATATCATTTCTCTGGACCGAGCCCGTCGACGCTTCACTTTGTACACTCCGTACATCCCAAGGTGAACCTCTATACGTAGTTGAATACAAGTCACGCGGTTGCAACCCAGAGCTGCAACCGAGAGCTGTTGTCTGACAACTTCCACTGGTGCATGTATTGGTGTCGGCTCCAACGACCAAGATCATAAAGGGTTCACGTCAAGGGAGCACACGTCGAAGCAAGATCCGCCAGTTGACCAAGAGATGTTTCTAGACCATTGGGAAAGGTCTTTTCGAATTGCCCCCAAAACTCTGGCTAACGCACATTCCCTCTCGACTACTACACCACGCATCTTTCCCCATTAGCTGCTAGCCTCATGACGAAGTACGGTGTTGCGGAGGGCATAGAACCTCTCTACTATGTTCTGGTAAGACTGCCCCACAAGCGCAGGGACCATGCCACGAAGTCGACAGCGTCATTGCCTCGGAATTCCAGCCTCATAGCGCGTTAGAGTATCATGTCGCGGGCTAGCGCAAGGAGTTCGCAACATCGTACGTGTGCTTGTCACCAACTTCTGGACGAACGAGCATTGGAGGGTGTGTTATCTACCACGACGCGTCGATCAACGACGGGCTCGTCTTCTAATAATCGAGAACAAGGCAAGCCGTCGACGATCGGGTCGACTACTTGAGCGCGCATTGCCATCTTTCGGGTAGCAATTGATGGACGCCACCCAATACAACGTTTACCTACCTTGTACAATTTTCGTGGTTGAACGACTACTTGGTCGTCAAAAAGTTTAGACCGACAGGGTTAACGAGGTATACCTACCCCCATACGCTTCGACGTTGCATTGCCACTGACCTCTTGTCTGGAGCGCACTCATATCGCCGTGTTTTCAACCAAAACGATGACAACTACTCTGCCCATACTTGTTATATACACCATGGCACATTGCTGTCGTTAGTGCGACTTTTCCTTCGCTTGGCGCCGAATCTCATCCCACGAGGTACGCGGGGCCGTCGGCGTCGGTGGTGCCTCATCCCAAGGGTCGTAGGCCTTGGCTGGCACCTTGGCGGCAGATGACTGGGGTGCCCCGGTCGTCTTGGAGCCCATGATCGAACCAAAGACGTTCTTGGAGGGCGTCGAGGACCACGACGCGTCGCCGACAGCTTCCGGCATGGGCGGAAGCGGCGGCAACGCATGCGTCGACGTCGGAGGCGCTTCCTTGGGCTGCACCGCCTCGTCCCACGCGCTTCTACACGATCGCGTGAGCTCGAAGACGCACGTTGGCTACTGAGACGCACTGGAGTGCGTGCGAGTTTTCGCCCAGGATACCCATGCGGCGATGAACCTCCTTGAGGATGACGCTATCGGGCATCTCACGCTGGAGACTATGTGGAATGTGAGTAGAAACACGGGGTTATGGTCGTACACTTCGCGGCAGCTGCGCGCAAACTCGGATTGCTCATTGGGGATCGACATGAGGTCGAGGAAGAACTCTTCGCGGATCGAGCCAATGCCATAGACTGCACCAACAACAGCCCCAGCACCTAGTCACATGCAGACATTCGACGACATCGTATGGTTCGACGTGCCTACCTGTCATGAAGGCGCCCAAGAGGTTGCGGGGCGACTTCATGAGGCGCCATGCACCAAAGCCGACGACGCCACCAGCGACGACGCCGTAGAAGGCGCGCTCGCGGCCAATGCGAAAGTGGCGGTCGGCTACGGCCTTCTCGGCCGGCCCATCGATCTTGACGGGAGCCTTCGGGTCGAAGCGCTTCCCGAGGACGCGGAGGACGAGCGGCAGCTCCCGGCGGATCGCTGTCTCGTTGTTGCTCGGTGGCACGCTCACGCTCATGCTGCTGCTGCTGCTGCTGGATTTGGTTTGCTCGAAGTCAAGCGAATTCACTACCGGAAAGATCGTGGCGTGTTAATTTTCTTTACACCATTTACAGGTCATACTATTTAACAATATAGATGTATGTATGATATACATACAACAAGCTTCCTGCCAGCTCCACAAGAGCGAATTGAACGGCGATGGACGGAACCGCGGACGATACGAGCGTGGCCGAGCTGCAAGAAAGGTTAGTGACGTTCAATGGCCAGCTCGAGACCATTGAGCTCCTCTTGACTTCTGACCCTGAGAACGAAGAGCTCTTGGGCATCGCGAGCGACCTCAAAGAGGTCATCAAGCTCACGACCGACATGCTCGCGCACAAGCAGCCGCAGGACACTACGCATGCGTCGCCATTCCCCGTCGGCTCGATCGTGGAAGCGCAGATCCAGTCCGTGTGGTGCCCAGGTAGCGCAACTATTGTCTTCTGCATCGATGGGTGTACCTCACATACTAAATGGATTGCGTCTTCTAGCTGTGATTGAAGATATTGCTGGTGACATTGGGGTACACATCATGGGCGCCAACCAGAAGCACCGCGTGACTGCCGATGCGCTCCGAGCCATTGATGCCAATGGCCTTCCGCCCGTCGATGCATCGGCGATCGAAGTCGGCTTTGCTTGCCAGGTACCATTGACATCGCCGCCTCATCACGCCGCGTCTCACCCTCGTCGATCGCAGGCCAAGTACTACGCCGACAGCAAGTACTATTCGGGCAAGATCACGTCGCTCACGGAGCACGGCTGCGTCATTCTCTTTGAAGGCTACGGCAACTCGGAGGAAGTCCCGTTTGCCTACCTGACGCCGCTGCCAGAGCCCAAGGCAACGACCAAGCCGCAAGACAAGGTCGACGACAACAAGCTGATTCCAATCCCGGCGCACTTGGCCATTTTGCCGACCGACTCGGAGGCCGAGAAGGAGCGCAAGCGCAAGCGGTAACAGCGTCCGCCAGTCGGACCCTTCACGTTGACGCATGCTCGTAGCATCAAGGCCATCAAGTCGCTGAACCGGCAAAAGACGATCGAGGCCGAGCGCAACACCAAAAAGAACGACTGGGCCAAGTTTACGCAGAAGCAGGGCAAGAAGCGCGTGATTGGCGCCATGTCGTCGATCAAAAAGACGAGCATCTTTGCATCGCCCGCGACCGTCGACGGCCGCGTCGGCGTCATTGGCAGCGACCAAAAGATGACGCAATTCGACGACACGCGCAAGAAGTTCAAGCTCTACAAGGAGTAGCGTAGACCCCTTGAATGCACTCGTGTTGGAAATGATAGAGGCAGCGCACACGCCAGCAAGAGTGGTCAGGCAAAAAAATACTATTCACGGAGGGGCCAGCAGGCTCCTACGATGGTATCAGCAGCCTCGAAAGATCTCGCCAAGCTCACTGGACTACCCAGTCAGTACACATGGTAGTACTGCTGAGACTGGCGACTTTGCCCTTTTCGCAGATGCTGATATTCGCATGGTGATCGCAAGCTCGCCGCCGCAAGAAGCCGCCGCAAGCGACATTATCGACCTCATTGGATACATTGTGGGCGACGTACACGCGCGCAGAGCTACTACACCGGTAGCCACTCGCTGCCCGAACGACCGAGCTGCTCGCCTCATGGGTCAGCCGCAGCGGTGCGATGGCTGTGGGTTTGATCCTACCGGTATACGTACTCTACTGTACCGGTAAGGAGAGAGCTTGGAAGGTCGGTGATATGCGTTTTAGTGGGTACCTCGTCGGCTTCGATCGCCCGACCTTTCTGCGCAGTATCTGCCTCGGTAGTGAGCCTACCGCGCGTGACGACACGTCCAACAGTTGGACACGCAGGAGCTTGCCGGCGGCTTGAAGCGCGTTCGGTGGCGTCTGCGACGGGCGTATTTCGGCGCCGGTTTCTATCGCCGGACGTTCGATCTTGCATTGTACTAGCGGCCATCTGGGTCGATCGAGGTCGAATTGCATGCGTCCCGCGGTCGCCAGGCACCACGTGGTTCTGCCGAACACGCTTGCCCGAACCAGCGACGCCATTGACCCATGGACGCTCAGAGTTCCATTTCCCCCCAACCACACACACGGGCGATGCTAGTGCACCGGACGGCAACGCTCTTGGGCCTCGTCGCCGTGGCCGCCGCCGAGTACTTTACGGGCGAAGGCACGACGTACGGGCCGCCCGACGGTGGAGATAGCGCGTTCACCGGCAACTGCGCGCTCATGGCACCGCTCGACTTTGCACCAAAGTTCCACGCCGCGATGAACAACTTCCAGTGGAACACGGGCGCGCCGTGTGGCCGCTGCGTGCAGGTCCAGTGCATTGACCCGAAATGCACGCGCAACGATGTGGTGCTCGGCCAGATCACGGATCGGTGCCCCGAGTGCGCGCATGGCGACCTCGACATGTCGCTGCCCATGTTCAACAAGGTCACGGGCCTCTACACGGACCGCCCAAAGATCAAGTGGACCTTTGTCGACTGCCCCGTCACCGGCGGCCTTAAAGTGTGCGCCAAGTCCGGGTCGTCCCAGTTCTGGCTCTTTGTGCAGCCGAACAACGCAGTGAACGGCGTTCAAAAGATGACGATCAACGGCAAGGAGGCACCGCCGTTCGATGGATCGTGGTACTTCAAATCCCAAGTGAACGGCGACCTGAGCACGACAGCAATCACGATGACGTCGTTCTCGGGCGAGACCATTTCGACGACGGTATCCCTCGCAGCCGACAAGTGCACAACCATCTCCCAGCAGTTTCAAGGCGGTGGTAGTCCGTCAGAGCCTCCACCAGCCCCGGCACCAGCCCCGGCACCGACACCAGCTCCCACACCAGCTCCCACACCAGCTCCCACGCCTGCTCCGACGCCTGCGCCAACACCAGCGCCAACACCAGCACCGACGCCAGCTCCGACGCCTGCGCCAACACCAGCTCCCACGCCAGCACCGACGCCAGCACCGACGCCTGCTCCGACGGAGGCTCCGACGCCTGCTCCGACGGAGGCTCCGACGCCTGCACCAACGCCTGCTCCGACGGAAGCCCCGACGCCTGCGCCAACACCAGCACCGACGCCAGCACTGACGCCAGCACCGACGGAAGCCCCGACGCCAGCTACCACGCCAGCATCGACGCCTGCGCCAACACCAGCTGCCACGGAAGTCCCAACGGACGCACCGACGACTGCGCCGACGCCAGCTCCCACAGAAGCACCAACGTCTGGACCGACACCTGTACCGAAACCTGCACCGACGTCCGCACCGACGCCAGCCTCAACGGAAGCACCGACGACGGCACCGACACCAGTTCCGGCACCTGCACCTACGCCTACACCGACGCCTGCCTCCACGCCTGGTCCTACGCCGGCTCTAACAGATGCACCGACACCGGCACCTACGGACGCACCGATGCCTTCGTCAACGCCAGCCCCGACCCAAGCTTCCACGCTTTCCCCAACGGATGCTCCTACTCAAGTACCGACGGCTGTGTCGACGACGGCACCAACCACGGCACCAACCGATCTACCGACGACTGAGCGTACACCGGCGTTAGTACCTACGGTTGGACCTTCGACCGTACCGGCCACGACACCGACGACTGAGCCAACGGTTGGGCCTACGACGGCGCCGACGACCGAACCTACGGCTGGTCTTTCGTCTGTACCGACCACAACACCGAAGACTGGGCTTACGGTTGAGCCTACGACAACACCGACGACGGCTGCACCTGCAATTACATCCATGACGGAATCTACGACGGCAGCAACATCGGCGCCTTCGACGACAGCGACCACAGCACCGACAACAGAGTCTACGGTAAAGCCTACGCAGACGCCTGAGACGGCGCCAAAGTCAACGGATGCACCGACGGCACATCCAACTGAAGCCTCCCCTCGGCGTCACCTTCAAGCCCTAGCCCGAGTGCGTCGCTTCAGCCGACCACAGCAGCGCCTTGGACGAGCTCTGCCAGCTCAACGCTGGTGCCGACTGATACCGCGACCTCAGCGCCCATGGACCTTGCGCTACCGACTTCAGCATCGACGACGTCCACCGACACGCCCGTGCCAGGACCGTCGCCTTCGCCGTCGCCGTGGAGCGAGCCGTCCCCTTCGTCGCACGTGTTTGTCCCTCGTGGCGGCAATCCTACAAGTGAGCCCGCGGCGTCACCAAGCCCAAGCTCCTTGACGGTGCCCACGATGGCTGACAGCAGCACGACCACTGCGCCGCCATCAACCCAAGCCAGCAGCGCAACCGCGCCAACGAGCAGCGCACCCGCACCGACGACCAGCTTGCGCACAACGGCACCGCCGGCGACGAGTCCCGCTGTCGAGGTCAAGAACCAAGCGTCGTCGGACGAGAGCAATGGCTCTAGCGTCATCGGCTTCATTTTCTTGGGCTGTGTCGTCGCGGCCGCCGCCGCCTTTGGCTTCGTGGCCCTCAAGGCGCGGCGCAAGGTCGACGAGGACAAGGAGCGTGACCGCTTGTCTCTGAGCCACCAAGTTGTTGCGACCTCCGACCGCGCCAGCCACATCGCCGTGCTGTAGAGGCAAATTTCATGTTAAGTGTTAAACTTTTTGACAAGCAGTGAGTACATTTTCTTGTCTCCTCGTGTGCTTGTGCCGCAGCACTTGCTGTTGCCCACACCTGCATTATAATTCATTATACTACATAGTATCGGTACCGTCAGCATCCAACTCCGAGGGAACCACTGCAGATTCTGCTCACTGGGGTCCACTGGCAGGGTGGCCGCTCTTCAAGCGAATCGCTCGCAGATCGCAAATCTGTAGCTTTATCCGGATGGTACGGATGACATTGCGGTCATTTCCTGGGTGGCAGCAGCAGCAGCATGACGGCCTCCCTCATCGTGGGTCTCGAGACCTCGTACGTCCAGGACCTTCCGGCCAAGCTCGACCAGGTAGGCGCCAGCTGCCTGGCCATGCATCTCACGCCGCATGTAGCTCCACGAGGAGCGCTTGACGTGCATCGTTGCGCCGCTCTTCCATCCGCGCTTCCGCCGGGACTCCGCAGGCGTCTCGGACGCGCGCGACGGCCCGCAAACCCGTACGTCCAACTATACCCTGTCGATTGCTCACAACTGCGCAGGCTCGGACTTGGTTCTGGACTCGCGCGGCTGGACCTCGTCGGTCGTGGGCCAGCTCTCGACGTGGGTCGACTACGATGCTTCCTGCGATGCCACACGCGCGACGGCCGAGAAGGTCTTCAAGGAGGAGATCGCGTGGGCGTCGCACTTGTCGCTCGCGGCCATCATGACGCCGCCGCTGCACGCCACGCGCTCGAACGCCAACTACGCGCGCCTGCTCAACCAGGCCGCAACGCAGGCGTCGTACGCGCAGGTGGCTCGTTGTCGCCTATTGACGTTCTTTCTCAGTGTTGGCATTGTAGTTTTGGGTTAAAGTGCCCATGTACTACCCCGGTCGCTTCAACGAAGATGACGCGTCGTTCGTCGACTCGTGGGAAGCTTGGAACAACCTCCGGTCCATGTGCGAGTTCAATCCCAAGATTCACGTCGCGCTCGAGGTCACGGCCGACCTCCCGGACGTACACTACCTCGACCGGTGGCTTGGCGAGCCGCTCGCGGTGCGTCCTTGGCCGCTTCTACCATTCTCATCCTGCGCTATTGCATCGACGTAGGCCGTAATTGTCCCCACCGACATCTTCCTCACCAACAAGAAGGGGTACCCGACGCTTTCCAAGATGCACCAAAAGTTTTTCCTCAAGCTTTTCCAAGTACGTTGTACTCTATGTCTTATTGTCATCTTGTTGTGCCTGCTTAATTGTTGATGGGATTAGCACAAGATCCGGTACTTTCTCAAAGGCCGACCGCACCACCACCAGCGGTACCTCCCGTACGTGCAGTACCTGGAGCACCTCTGGTCGACGCGCTCGTCGTGGTACGTCGGTCATCACGTCGTCGTCGCCTCGAACGCTCTGCTCTAGTCCGGACGCGAAGGCCACGTTTGAAGCACCGTACTTGGACTACCTTCAGGCCCCGCTGCAGCCGCTCATGGACAACCTCGAGTCGCAGACGTACGAGACGTTCGAGCAGGATCCCGTCAAGTATGCGCAGTACGAGGTTGCGATCACGCAGGCGCTGGCCGCGACACCAAGCGACAAGATCTCGGTCGTCATGGTGGTAATAATTCATCCGCCTGATTTCAGTGCACATGCCATGATGATGTATTAGGTCGGTGCCGGCCGCGGACCGATCGTCCGCTGCGCCCTTCGTGCGTCCGTGAAAGCCAACCGCACGATCAAGCTCTACGCGCTCGACAAGAACCCCAACGCCGTCGTCACGTACTTACGCCCCACGGTGTCGTGCGCTGATGGACTCATGGTCCAATAGGTTGCGCAACATGAAGCAGTCGGAAAAGTGGGACAACGTCACGGTGGTCTCGGCCGACATGCGTGTGTGGAAGGCGCCCGAACTCGTACTCCCGACCATTGACTGCTGTCGAATTCTTAGTTTCATATATCTTCTCGCGCGTAGGCCGACATTATGGTCAGCGAGCTCCTTGGGTCGTTTGGCGACAATGAGCTCTCGCCCGAGTGCCTTGATGGCGCGCAGTCGTTCTTGCATGGTGAACGCAGTCATCTTCTGAGTATATGCGGCGCTCACGATGAGTTGTAGCCGACGGCATTAGCATTCCGGCACGCTACACGTCGTTTGTCGCGCCCATCTCGTCGTCCAAGCTCTGGAACGAAGTCAAGGGGCTGGAGGCACTCACGTCGCTGCCGCAAAAGACTACGAGACACCGTACGTGGTGCGACTGCACCAGATCTTTTCGTTCGCGCGCCCGCAGCCGTGCTTTGTCTTTGATCACCCCAACCGTGATGCTACGATTGACAACCGCCGGTACAGATATGGTTCGCATGAAGAACTGTCCAAGGATCGAGTCTATGTCTAGGTACACGCAGCTGTCGTTCGAGGTGCACGAGAATGGCGTCGTGCACGGCCTCGCGGGCTACTTTGACAGCGTCTTGTACGGTGACACGTGCATTAGCATCAACCCCGAGTCGCTTGATCTCTCGCCCGGCATGTTTTCGTGGTTCCCGATCTTCTTCCCGCTGCGCACGCCACTCCACGTCCGCGACGGTGACGTTCTCGACGCGGTCTTTTGGCGCCAAGTCGCCAACGGCAAAGTGTGGTACGAGTGGGCCGTCGGTGTCAACAACGCCATGTGGACGCCGATCCACAACCCCAACGGCCGCTCGTACTGGATCGGTCTCTAACGCGACGCCCGTTTGCCGCTGGTTTTGAGCCAAAACAAATCGATACGACATCATTTCTTGCTTTTTAAGGACAATGTGTCGCGTCGCATGAGCATCGACGTCGGCGGCGCATTGCTGGAGCGTCCGTGCAAGGCAATTGAAAGATCCGAGCCGAGCTTGACAGTCGATAGGACTCGAACGCAACGAGGTGGCGCCACCACAAAGTCTCTGCAGCGTTTTGAAGCGACGGCGGACATCAACCGTCGGACGAGCTCTCACATCAATCACAGGGTAGCACAACAATCCATGACCCTGTGCTTTGAGACCTTGTGTACCACCTCGGTCCGATGGACTCACTCGTTCGTGCAAATATTCTCGGAACGTGGGAAGGTTCAACTGTCCGTTTTGGCTGGGTTGCCTCCGGATCGCTTGCCTGCAATACACAGCTTTGGCCTCCTCTTGCGCCCGCCGAAAGCTCCCGCAGAAGCCCAAAAGGTTCATCAACCTTTTGGTATGTAGCAGCTCGTCAAGCGAGGTTCAAAGGCGTCCGACGTCTTGTCCGTCGGTCTCTAGACAATTCTGTGCCTGGTCATCCGGACGATGTCGTGTGGTATCCGGATGCGTGTTTGTGCGGAAGCTGCATTCCGAGATGGCGGACGAGTGGAGCGAAGCAGGGTCGACGTCGCGGTCCGTGGACGAGTACGCGCGGCTCGTGAGCAAGATGGCGGTCGCCAACGTCCTTGGGCGCGGCGCCGGCTTCGAGATGGTCCAGGCCGACGCGACGAGCGCGCTCGTGGACGTCATGGCCACGTACATCCGGCGGATTGGCAAGCAGGCGCAGGACCTGGCCGAGGTCGCTGGCCGCACCAAGCCGCAGGCGACCGACGTGCTCTTGGCGCTCGAAGACATGGTGCCAGCGCCTGTCGTCTTCTCGGACCTCGTCCAAACCTTCAAGGACGCGCACCAAAAGTATGAAGGCCGCCTCGCCTTTCCGCGCGACCTCCCGCGCTTCCCGAGCAAGAAGCTCAAGCGCAAGCACGCCGACGTGGTCGACGATGTGCGTCCTTGTCGTGATGCACATGGGATGTCATGAGCCTCGTCGTAGATTGGGCGCCGCGAGACCGAGCAGCCATCGTACGCGCCGGCGTTTGCGCCGCCGCTGCCGCATCGCCACACGTACTCGCAGGAGCGCTACATCGTCGTCGAGAAGGAGCACGACCCGAAGCGGATACGCCTCGACCAGCTCCGGCAAAAGAGCGAAGTCCAAGAGTCGCTGCACAACCTGGTCGACAACGTCGTGCCGCCACGTACTCCTATTGCATGCATCCGACGCGTCCTCTCACAGGCCATGTAGCGGTCTCGTCGTTTCCCGCGACGGTCGCCGAGCCCATCTGGAAGCCGCACCTCGGCCGGCACGACTCGCACTCGACGTCGAACGCCTTCTTGCGCCAGCCGTCGTCGGCCAAGCACGCGACCACCAACACCGACCTGTACGAGACGCCCAAGGTGCCCTTCCGCCCCGTCGTCGCCAAGCCCGTGCGCAAGAACGTCGAGCACGTCGTCGTGAACGAGACCCTCCGCGTCCAAGCGTACGTCGTCGTCTTGCATGGAAAGCAACAGTGGCATCGTTCTTCCATGCATGTAGGAACAAGGAAGACATGATCTTGGCCGGCACGTACCACGACGGCGACTCGGATTAAGCCCCGCTTACATATCGTGTGTCTTTGAATTACAAGCCTTCGGTGATGAGGAGGTGGCAAATGGCGTCGACGAGCGAGCTCTTGGAAATGTCCAGCGACGGGTCTTCGATCTTCTTGGTGAGGAACCGGTCGAGGTGGAGCCGCAACGACTTGACGAGCACGCCGATGCGCGCGACGGCATTGAACCGAATCCAGTCGTCCACGACAATGAGCCCCTACACCTTTCCGTCGCCGACCTTCCGGAGAAGTCCTGTGTTCTACCTTCTCGTGCTGAACGTGGAGGGCGCCACCAAAGAGGAGGAGCGCGTACGGCGCGACCATCGTGCTCTGCCGCACGAAGAGCCGCGAGGTCTGGACCAGGTCCGTGTACATGAGCCACGGCGACTCGAATTGACCCTACAGCACACCGTTGATGAACCATCCTATCCAAAGGATCGATCCAAGGGCCCCTAAACTGGTGATGGACCCGTGATCGATCGATCGTACCAAGGTAAAGTTGATCGAGCTCGGGTGCAGAAAGACACGCTCGTGCTCCTTGGCAAGGGTCCGGATGACAAAGCGGAGCTCCTTGGCGTTGTGCGTCGCGGCGAGGACGCCGTGCGCCGACTCGTAGTACTTTTGCTCGGGGTAAATGACCGAGACGACATTGCCGTAGAGCCCCGCCGTGAGCGCCGCCTAGGATGAAATATGTTGAAGAAGAGCCAAGACGATACGGACGAGGACCTTGACGACTTTGCCGTTGGCCGCATGCTCGTTGAGGCGGTCTCGGTTCGACGCGTCGTAAAAGCCGATCGCTTGGAGGTGCTCGAGGTACTGCTTGCGCAGCTCAACGATCGAGTCGAGTGTCTCGTACGAAAGCGACTTGTCCTTGCAGTACCTACACCGCAGAGACGTCGCCAAGAGCACGCGACACGACAACAAGCATACTGGCGGCGCGACCGCTTCTCGAGGCCCAAAAACGTCTTGACCACGCTCCAGAGCAGCATGTGGTCGGACGTTGGGATCTCGGCGCTCAGCGCGCGCTTGACGTCGTCGGCCTTTTTGCGGTCGTCGGCCGTCGTCACAAACGGCGACTTGCACTCGAGCGCCGCTAGAAAACAACAAGAGGTTCGGTACATGTCTCAACCGTTCTGAGTCCCTACCGGCAATGGTCACGATCGGGTCGATGCAGCGCAGGATGCAGCCAAAGACGACGACCTTGGCCAACCGCGCGTCCATTGGGAGCCGCGCCAAGTGCGATCCGAGCGGCGTCAAGCGCACGCTGTCATCCGCCTCGCGCGCAAAGGCGCCCATTTCAAGCAAACCGTCGATGGCCGATGCGACGGCCGCTGGCGACGGCGGCTCGATGGCCTGTGCGTAGGCGTGGTACAGCTACCAGATTGGAGGGAAGAGTGTACCTGCGACAGGAACGACGTGACGGACGACCCGAGCTCGAGCGCTTGGATCTGCAAACAGAGCGGCTCGAGCGACACGCGATGGATTTCGGGCGTCGGCTGCGCGGGCATCTTTTGGAACTTGGACGTCGAAAAGAGGCGGTAGCAGATACCCGGGCGTACACGACCCGCGCGACCTACGACCGACCATGCATCGTATACAATATTGGTGAGGAGACCTACCCTTGCGCTGGTCCGCGGCCGCCTGGGAGATCCAGCCTTCTTTGAGACTCGACCGGCGGTTGATTGCATCGTAGGCCATTTCCTTGGCCTTGCCGGCGTCAATGACAACCTGTCAATCGCACGTCAGCGCACCCGAATAAAGACGTGAGTAGAACGTACCACAATGTCGTTGATCGTGATCGATGTCTCGGCGACGTTGGTGCTCACAATGACCTTGGTACGACCCTTGGGCGCCGACTCGAAGACGCGTGCTAGGGTCGCGTGAATAATTGCATTCGAGTAGCCGCGAGTGCGTACATTGTTCGTGCGCTGGCAGCGCGCCGTGCAGCGGCAGCGGAAGCACGAGAGGCGCGAGGTCGGCGTCGCCCTGCAAGCCGCGGATGGTGTTTTTGATCTCTTGGACACCAGGCATGAAGATCAAGATCGCGCCTTCGCCAGCGCCGGCATTGTCAGGCGTCTCGACTACCAAATGGCGCACCAGCGCCGTCTACATGTACATACATATACAATCTCCTGATGATGTTCAACAAGAAAAGCAGCGTTGTACCACGAGGTCGTAGTTGATTTGGTTGTCGTCGTCGCCGTCATCCTTCTTCTTGGCAGGCTTGACAAAGCCCGTCGCTTCGTACACGTGCTTGATGTAGTGGCACGTCACGGGGAACGTAAAGCCAGGAATCGACATGACGGGTGTCGTCGAAGCCGTCACCGCCCTACACGCATCCACTTTAAGGGTGAACTGCCATCGGCAATACATACCCAAAGTAGTTTTGGAAGAGCGACGTGTTCATCGTCGCACTCATGAGAATCAAACGCAGATCCGGGCGTTGGCGCAAGACATCACTACTCACCAATAGTCCTCTACATGTCATAGAAATTTTGGTCGAGTACCGCAGGATCGAGAGGAGAAGGTCTGTGTCGACGTTGCGCTCGTGGACTTCATCGACAATGATGTGCGAGACCTAACCACAAGGTGCATGAGACGCTGCTAGAGAAAGTAGGTATCGTGTTGTACTTCGCGCAGCAATGGGTCGGAGAGGAATCGGCGCAGAAGCACACCCTAAGAGCGTCATGGGTTCAATATGGATGCGATCATCATCACTAGGCATCTACCGTCGTGCAAAAGAGAAGCCGCGTCTCGGCCGACTTTTTCGTGTCCATGCGGATCTGGTACCCGACCGACTCGCCGATCGTTTCGCAGCGCTCCTGCGCGACGCGCGTCGCAACGCCGATCGCGGCCAAGCTAGGCCATGGCGTCAATACGCATAAGTGCTTACACAGTCGAGTACCGCCGGGGCTGCGTGCAGAGGATGTTGCAGCTTTGCTTGGCCGGAATGAAATGGTCGAGGAGGAACTGGGGCACTTGCGTCGTCTTGCCGCAGCCCGTCGCACCGCTGATCAAAATGACCTGGCATCGACGTATTAGCATCTTGCTTGATACAAAAACGTACTTGGTTGGTCTCGAGGAGCGACACGATCGCGTCTTTTTCCTTGTACGCCGGCAGCATCCCGCGGGCGGTCATCATCAGCTTATACTTGGCTACATCGAGGCATGATTGACCAACGATTGCGTCAATGGAAAGGCCAACCTGTGCGCTGCTTGGCCATGTGCTTGTCGTAGAGCGCCTCGTTGATGGCGGCGATCTGCGTGTCCGAAACAGTACGCGGCGGCCCCGTTCGGCGCGCCTTAACCGGTTTCTTCTTCGAGGCGCGCAATGGCTCCTGTTCCATACAAGGTCGATGGTTTTGTACTCGCGACTCAAAGACTACCTCGACCTTGGAGGCCGCCGTCGGGGCCTCGGACGCAAATAGCGTGACCGTCGGCAGCTGCGACGGCGCCGCCTCGAGCGCCATGCAGAGCTCATACATCATGGGTTCCCCACGAAGCTTGGTCGCCGCGTCTATGTGGATACGATTCGTTGAAACATTGATACAAAATGCAGTTGTGCAACCCAACAAATGCGCCGTGAGCGCAAGCGTGTTGCGCGATGCGGCGTCGGCGTCGTTTGCGCGCAAAAGCACCATCGGCACGTCAAATGGGTACAAGGCGTCGTTCGAGAGGTAAAACTCGAGCGTCATCGCGTCGTCCAGCACCATAATGGTCACGATGGCCTCTACACACAGCTTTGGCGTCGCCGCTAGTTGTATAGAGCAATGTACCGCCGCCAGGCGACTCGGTTCGTGTCGCCTTGTCGTCGTAGATGGATTCGATGACCATGTACTCGTCTTCGCGGAGGCTCGCAATGTCCTCGGCGGTCACGTCGGCGTCTGCGCGCTCAATGCGGAGTGTGCGCAGCAGTTCGTTGTGCAGCGCCGTTCGCAGCGCACGCAACAGAGCAGCGGGGTCTACGCTGTGAATGAATACAGGCGCTAACCTCCATATAAAACATACCTTGAAGTCCTTGGGACTTGATGGATTCGAGCGCCCCCAAGCAGTCCACGTGGGAAAATCCATACGCAGCGAGCTCCTTGAAGAGGGGGCCATGGAGTGCCGCGTCGTAGGCGGCGGCGGCTTCTTGGTCCTTGGACGACGAGATGCCATACGCAACGGCTTCGAGTTGCTTGCCCAGGGGGTTGAAGCCCCTGTACAAGTGCATTCGTCACTGTCTGCATCCCATCAAGTAGTACGTACTTGGGCAGCTCATGCTCGGGGATGTTCAAGCAGACCCAGTCCAAAACGGACGCATCGTCCGAGAGATCCCGGCACTTGGTCAGCACGGCCTCAATGTGCGCGAGCGAGAATCCCATGCTCTTGAGCTTGGCCTGGACCTCGCGGCGACGGTCGGCATCGTGCTCCTACCCTCATATGTTGAGATACGAAATACATCAAGTTGATAGTAATCGACCGTGGCCAATTCGGACGGTTCGATCTTCTCGTCCAGCTCGGCAAGAATGGTCTCGACGAGATCGCGCGCCTTTTGGCCCATGAAAACCTGCACCGGCATATTGGCGCGCTCGCGGTTCTCCCGCGCCCGCGCCCGGCGGTTCCGCTCTTCGCGTTCGCTCAGCTAGAGCAATATGTATCATCACATGGATTCCAAGTACTCTCGTGATCGTACCTTGGATTGCTGGAACTCGGCCCGGGAGGCAAACGCGCGGTCGGACGTGAGGACGCGAACGTCCTTCTTCGATTCTACGCGTTCCCATTGAGCGTCGTCTCCACATAATTTCTCGTCGGACCATCGTCCACCGACGACTCGTCCGTGGTCGAAGCCGCAGCCGCAACAGGGGTCGCAGGTGCAGCCACAGGGAGCACCTTGACTTTCTTCCCGGTCTTTCCAGCGTCCTTCTTGGCCGGTTCGGGGGCAGGGCACATGGCGATCCACATATCGCGGTACGGGTCCGGCAGCTTGCGTTCGTGGGGCCGGGTCGGCTCGACGTAGTAGAGCGCGAGCAAGGCCGCGCAGTGCTTGGCATCATCGATCGACGTATCCACGCTCTGTGCCTGTACATCCTTCATGAGTTCCATGCTTGGATCTGGAGTCGATGGCAGCGTACCGGGCAGAAGATGAGGTCCTTGTCTCTCGACTTGGCGTCCGGGAGGATGCAGCGGATACGGAACTCGGCGTCGCTGTTGGTGTGCACCTCGTGGAAGTGGGGCTGCTGGCGCTTCACCGACTGGCAGTACTCGCGCAGAAGCTGCATGGGCGTCCGCTGCCACTCCTTGCAGGAGACGCCTTGGCGGACTTGCTAGTCCATGCTTCGCATGAGCTCGGCCTCCATGGACCATGACCATGTACCTCTCCTCGGGACGTCGCGACCGTCCCCGCGCCCTTCTGCCGATGGCCGCGCGCTCGCTTCGCTGGCGCCGACATGGTCTTGTAGTTGGTCTTGCAGTGATTCCAAGATTGGGTCCCGTGATTGGATAAAATGCATCGTTCGAGGTGACTCCCATTTTGCAACGCATTTTAGATTTCAAAAGGTTAGTTTCTCTCCTATTCACGTTTTATGGTTTTACGTCATCGGGAAAACAGGTACAACTGAGTCCGGATCCGTCGTCGCCATCGTTTAAGCCGACGATATTAGAGTGATTTTGCAAGGGTGGAATTCAGGATTGTTCGGCGCGCGACATTCCTGAAAACTCAATGATGAAAAGTGGCCGCGTCCGATGTTTTTGCAAACGTGCAGAAGTTTTTCGCTTTGGACCGGTCATGGACGACGCCCTGCTCGCACTCCCTCTCGTCGCGATTATCGCCCAACACCCCGTCGTGGCCTCTCGATCGTTCTCTAAGGCCGTCCTAAGGTCGTCAGAGCGCCGGCGGCGCCTGATGACTGTGACGAGGTCACCGTAGATCACACACATGTGCTCGGCGAACTCTTCCCAGCGCTTTGCGGTCTGGCCGTAAGGACAGTCGTGTGGCACGGACAGTTGTGTGGCATGTGGGCTCACAAGCATGACGTCCGAGGCCACGGTGAAGCGAAACGCCTTCTTCGTCGTCTGTGGACTCCTTGCTCATACTCAGTGCAAGTCAAAAAATAAGTGGCTTTCCTGAAAACCAGTTCAGGATTGAGGGCACCTAGGGGTAGCCGATCTATCCGATGTGTATCGTAATAATTTTAAAGCAAAAGGCCGATGGTACCGTGGTTTTTTTTCGATACAGAGAAAATAAATCCGTGTGGGAAGAAGATGATAACCGCATGAGACAGGATGAGACGGGATATTAACCTTTAATTCTCATGAAACAAACTCACTTAGTTATGTTACAGGTTAATCTCCCCGAGGGTACAATAACTATTCGAGCCAGGTTGTTAACGGATTGAGGGTGTTTATGAGACCGCTTAAATATCGAAAAGAAGGATATCCCCAAGCTTGGAAGAAGGATTTCCAGCAAGCTTGGTAGGGAAGCTACCGGTAATTCGCTTGCACTGTAACCGCTGTGAATGAAACGAATGCGATGCGCGTGTACTAAAACAGCTTTATCGATGTTCTTCGACAAGAGGGACAAGAAGCGCAAGTCCAACCCCACGTACGAGGAGCAGCGAAGGGCCCACGAGCTCAAACATGGGCCTATCTCTCCGATAAACATTGCTGCCCTCGACGAGGCATACAAGCGCCGCCAGAGTGTCCGAAAGGCGCGCAAGCCCAAGCCAGGGGCACCCAAGGCACGCAATCACGCAGCAGCAGGCCTCGACCGTCACGGTGACGCCGACGAGGACATGGGTGGAGACGTCGAGTACGGCATGGGTGGCGACGCCGACGACGAGTACGAGACGCCTGCATATCGAGCCACTGACGAAGACATGAAGGTTCTACAAGCGGGCCGGCATGTCAACGACCTGACTAAGCCCTCTGTCGAGCTACGTCAGGACTTGAAGGACCAGCAGAGTTCGGAAGCACGGTGCACCGCTGCTAAAGCCTGGAGAAAGCTCATCTTTGTCCATTTGAACGACGTCGCGTATTGGGCGACCCCGCTGGAGAGGCCGGATGCGATGTGCACCCTGTGTTCTCACCCTGCGACCTACGTGTGCAATACGTGCAACACCTTTTCGGCTGGTGCCATCTTTTGCTCTGCCCATGCCATCAGCCACGCCCCATATGCGCACGACATTGTCGACCGCGAGGACAAGATACTGCGCCGACCCGCGATGCGATGCCTTCCGTGCCAATGCTCTACAATGACTGCAGTCCGCGCGGTCCCCATGAAGGTGTACCTCCATGGCTATGACGCAAGCGAAATGGTGGCTATCTCGTGCCGACAGTGCAGTCCGGCGGCTGTCTTTTGCGTCTGGGCTTCTTTCCAAGCTCACCATTCCTCCCAGGTAACATTCACGTACGCTTCAGTGAGGAGTCTACTGTACCTATATTCTACGCTAGCACATGGTTTCGCGTTCTCGATGCTGCAGTCGGGCTGCGCATACCGCAAGGCCGGCAATGGAGTGTCATACTTTGGCGCTGCAAAGGTCTTCTTTGGTGAACGACCCGAGTACGAGCACGATGTCAAGGAAACTATATACCGACCGTTCAAGCATGCATTGTGCCAGTACGAGAAGATCAAGCATTTCATGACGCATGGGCGCGTGACCGAAGCGATTGTGACGTTATTTGGTGTACATCTCAATCGGAATATTAGTTGATGTATGCTTACGCTGTGCATGTACCGCATGTAGCCTGGCAAGCGGATTGCTATTGCGCGGGGCCAGAAGTGAACCTCGAGGACCTTGGTTTCGAACTGGCGCTCATCAATCCGCCAGTCGTTCGCGTGATGGACGCGTGCTTCGGCTACAAGCGGCTGAAAAAGCAACACGGCAGTGGCGCGGCGTTTACGGACGCGCGAATTGGTGTCGATGGAAAGGGTCTTTTATGGAGCCAAGAATGCACCAAGGCAGTGCCAAGCAGGTACTACATGAAAATGCATCCATCCACATGTAGCAAGTAGTTTCATTACGACCACGCGCTTTACATGTAGCCTGGAAGAGTCTGCGCTGTCGCGTTTCGAGCGGGTGAAGATTCTGGCGCAAGAGACAGCCGGTGCGACGTGACCGGTGTATTTGCTTCCGGGTGCCGTCACGGCACCGTCGAGCGAGTGCTGGACATTGACAAGGGGGAAAAGTTGTGCTACGCCACGACCGTTGTCGACGACTTGGCGAAGCGCTACAAGGGTTCCAAGCTCTGCATCTCCTACGACATTGCGTGCAAGCTCGTCGCACATGTCGCGAAGCACCGGAAAAAGGCGCCGGACACGGTGCAACCGGACATTGCTGTGCTGCCCGCGCTGCACGCGTATGCGCACAGTAATGGCTGCCAGTCCCGTTTCAGCACGCGAAGTGTTATGGGTGTCGGCACTCTAGACGGCGAAGCTATCGAGCGCATATGGTCAGATGGCCAAGCCAATGTATCCGACACCAGCCGGATGCGCCCCGAGAACCGTCGCGATACGCTTGCCCTCCTTTTCGAGTACCAAGCCCAACGGCGCGCGTGCAGTTTCTTTGCCGATGTTACCGAAAGCGTGAAGAAGGCGATCGAGGACGCGACAGTCGTGGCCGGACGCCTCCGCGATATTCCCACGTACGAAAGTGTCGTCGCTGCAAATAGAAAGCGACGGACCGAAGCCGCCAAGCAGGCAAACGTCCAAGATAGCAGCCAGGACGATGCGTCACGCAACATGGAAGAGTGCGCCCGTAGCCTGCAGCGCGTCACAGCCGCTTTATCGTCGGTACGAGGAAGCACGAAGCTGACAACATGCTACATCCGGCAGCGGGATGTCCTGATCGATCGGCTCAAGCAGCAAATCGACGCGGCCAATGCAGTTGACAATGGGTGCACGCACACAATGAAGACGGTCATGGACTCTATTACAACCCTTAATGGTGCTACTCTCGACGCTCGAGACCACGAGAAGTTCTGGCGCCTTGTCGAAGACGTATTCCATACATGCGTTGACTTGTCGCGCTCTGCATCGTCAACGAAACATGCAAGAAAACGCTCAAGGAGATCAAAGTACAAGTCTCTTCGACCTCTGCCGACGACGCTGCAGGACTCGCGAGGATAATATCGAGGGCCGTTGCTCGCAGCAGGTATAGAAAAGAGCAAGCACAAAAGCAGTGAAGCTTGTCAAGACACTCATCGACAACGCTGGCTACAAGTGCTACGTCGAAGAAGTGATTGTTGCATTCAACCACTGCATCGATCTTGGAAATACGCAGTAAATGTAGTACATGCTCATACCTCACTCCTCGTAACATGTACGCAAGTGAAATGGACGATGTACACGGCTATTGCTATCAATGTAGGAAGATATACAACAGATCGCGAATATAAAGTACTAAAATGCAGTGCACGAATGCTGACGACTCCACGGCTCGTGCGTGGACGCGCTGCGCGTCCACGAGGTGTTGTCAGATAGACGCAAATTGCAAAGTGGGAGCATGACATGCTCTCACCGAGATTTCACTGGTTGCAATTGAAACGGCCATAGTAGCCAATCAATCGTACCGTGGCACCTCAGACATTTAATATGTATTGTGTAAATCGATATCCCGTACAAAGGCATGGAAACTGATGGAATTGAACTCGTAAATGTTATTCTCGCTCCATGACACCCTGCGTCGTACGACCGTGCTACTGCTGGACGAGCGGCCCAAGCTCGAACTTGATTTGGTCAGCCTTCAAGAGCTTCTTGATGATCTTACAATGGACAGGTGGCGCCTCGGCCTTGAGAGCGACAAACGTAGGCCAGCCGCCGAGAGACAGCGAGTGCCCGGCAATGGTACCTTCCTCGAGTGCCGTCCACGGCATGGCGTCGACGCGTTCAAGACGAGCTTCGCTGAGCAACACGTTGAGCGTGTCCACGAGCTTCTTCGCGTAGTGGGCAGACATTATCTTCAGCAAGTCCTCCCCGTCGACGCCAGGCCCATCGCAACGCATCGCCCCGGCGGCGTACGTAAAGATCTTGTTGGCTTCAACATTTTTCTTCCCAAGCACATCGACAACACGGTACGCCGTTGCACCTATCACCAAACGATGGAACCTCATCGACATACGACTGCATACCGTGAAGGTACATGCGCTCGGAGAAGTTTGTGGTGTTGAACAGTGTCGTCTTCGAGTGGATTTCTAGCGCCTCTATACACATACACCATTAATACACGCATGCTCAGAGACTCGATCCCACCGAGAGCTTCCCCTGCAACTCGGATTGTGGTGTAGAGACGGTCGATCATGCGTTTACGCGCCGGGCCAGTGAGGTCGCTGACCCTCATGAGCCCATTGTCGTTGATGTCCTTGGCGGCCTTCTCGTACACCGCTTTTCAGCGACGGACAAGTTGTTCCATGCGTCCGCAATCTCGGCGTTTGTCTCTGTGAAATCGACACCCGTCTTGCGGCCTAATCATGGCTGAGATATTAGTACAGTACTAAGCCCCATGTCATGACTTGTTCACTTACTCCGTTCCCATGGTTCGTTCGCGAAGACCAAGTACCCCGTGGTCTTGTGTACGCGCAAGGCCTTGTTGACGTCCGCAATAGTCGTTCTTGGGACGACGATCTCATCCGCGATAGTCGTGTTTGGGACAACGCGGTCGTCCGTGGAAGGTGCGGGTGGAAGCGCCTCTAGGAGCCCATCGACGAGGTCATTTTCCGCTTCTTGGTCCAGAAGCTGTCCATCCACGACTTGATCTTGGACTCGTCGACCGCGAAATTGCGCGCCAATAACACGCGCTGCTCGAGATGCTCGTTGCAGCCGGTGACGCCGTGCACTTGAGCGGCCTCCGTCAGCATTTTGCGCGAGACCTCGCAGAAGCGGAAGCCAACGCCGACGACAAGTCCCTGCGGCCATTGCGCCCACGAGGCATACATCGCATCGGGATCTGTAGCGGGGACACGAGAATGGGGCATTTCGCAAAGTGTGTATTTATGTAGCGCTTAAGATTGGGAACTTGGCGACAGAGAGCAAGCCCACCAACTGATGGCTCCCGGGAGAGAGCGGTGTATACAGTTGCGTCTCTTGAGCTATGCAATGTACCGACATAGTTCTATTACGATGTTACGATGCCTGTACTTTTGGAAGGCTTGGACCTAGACGATTTACCCTTGTCAATGTGATGGGCTTGGACCAAGTTGACACGCGATCGAGGCCAGCGGGTCAAAGGCGGCGCCGATGGTGGTCGAGGACCGTAGCCGAGGGTGCGTGGTGAAGGCGGCGCTGACTGTGGAAGAGATGCGTGGTCGAAGGCAGCGCCGACCGTGGTGGAGGTTCGTGGTGGATGCGCGTGGTCGAGGTCGGGGCGTGGTCGAGGTGTGGTCGAGGTCGAGGTGTGGTCGAGGCCGGCGCGT